ATTTGCTAAGCTTCTTGCTCAAATAATTAATTGAGGGCACAATTTTCTGACTATCCATTTAAGACAATTCGTCTTGATAATGCTTGTGAGTTTACATCTCAAGCATTTGATGATTATTGCATGTCCATTGGGATTGGTGTTGAACATCCGGTTGCACATACGCATACTCAAAATAGATTAGCAGAGTCCTTTATCAAATGCCTCCAATGCTTGCTCGTCCTTTACTTTTAAGATCAAAATTACCTACTTCTCTACTTGGGGACATGCTATATTGCATGCTGCATCTTTAGTTCGCATCCGGCGATCATCAATATTCTCCATTACAACTTGTTTTGGGCCAACAATATAATATTTCTCATTTAAAAATTTATGGTTGTGCTGTTTATGTTCCAATTTCTCCACCACAACGAACTAAGATTTGCCCTCAAAGACGTCTTGGAATTTACATTGGATTTGATTCTCCATTCATAATTAGATATCTTCAACCCCTGACGGGTGATATGCTTACAACACACTTTGCAGATTGCCATTTTGATGAGACATTTTTCCCACAGTTAAGGGGAGAAAAGGTGCCGCTTCCTGAAGAAGGGCGTGAATTTAATGGAATGCATCATCATTGTTTCATCTTGATCCACATACAAATCAAATTGAACATGAAGTTCAAAGGATCATTCATTTACAAAGTATAGCAAATGAATTACCGGATGCATTTACTGACACAAAGAAAGTAACGAAATCTCATATGTCGGTTATAAATACTCCAGCACGGATTGATGTCCCTGAAGGTCAACATGATAGTACATTAAAGGCACGCTTGAAGCGTGATCGTCTTGTTGGTGCTAAAGATAAAAATCCCCAAAAGAAAAGGACACAAAAAGTGCCTATTCCAGAAGAAGATAAAAATCCAAAACAAATTAGTACTCTTTATGAGCCAAAAACTGGCCAGTTTAAAATTGATGAAAATATAGCCCTTGTAGAGGCACAGACACCAGAAGAAGTACATGTGTTCATCCATAGTCAACCCATTTGAGCCTACGTTAAGCCTTTCTTTGTGTAAACCATTCCTACCATAATGAACCTCTGTTTTCTTATTATTACTTATTCTATGAGCAATTAAAGCTATCTTCAAAAGAGAGTTATAAAGAATGCAAGGTTTTTGGAGCAAAAGTGAATCATTAGTACCATAACCCAAGTGTTAAAAAGAAATAAGTTTGGGGGTATTGGTAACTAATCAAAAGAGGTAATGAAGTGTGACCAATGTAGTCACGGCCCTCGGGTGTTATAAAAGAGAAAATCATGGTGATCTAGGGTAAAGAGCCACAAAATTAGGTCAAATAAACAGATATAAAGGTGCTGAAATTATGTTGAAAATCTGCTCATGTATGTTTTCTTGGAGTAGCTAACTAGGATTTTATGCATCTATCACAGGTTGGGAAGGGGTTTAGATTCACCAATTCTACTCTCCTTTCACAAGCAACATATGAATGACCTAAGAATCATTCAAGGGGTTAATAACCATAGGTTGACTAGGACAGATACCATGTTCTAGGACTTGTGTGATTATCATATTCTCATGGAGCTTAATGACTCTTGTATGCTTTATTCTAAGTAGATACCATGCTTAGGTTGCATATTAGAGATCACGTGTTGTGTAGATACCATGCACAATTACATGCCTTAGGAGAATCATGCATCCTGCACCTAGATACCATAGGCTTGTATGCGATAATCTATTGTTGATGAAGCTTGAGTCAATTTCTATGCATTCATAACTTGGATAGGAAAACTAGTGGTGGATTCCAAGGCTCTAACACCTCTCAATTATTGTTTCACAATCTGTCTAGTGTTTACTTTCGAGCAATTTCATTTCACTTTCTTCTTTTCATTTCAACAACAAAACCCCCCATTTCAAGTGCGTGTGTGGTGCTAGGATTCTGTCCTAGACCTTGAGTAATTAGCAAGAGGCATTGTTGAATTCGACCTTGCCTTTAGCTAGTTAGTCAGTTTCTTTGTTCTATGTTTTTCTAGCATTCTAAGTAATTTAACTTGGAACCAAGTTACCATTCTCCATGGGATCGACCTCGTATTTACATAAGTTATACTATAAACGGTTCGTGCACTTGCGAGAATTAAAGTTATTGTTTTTAATAACTCATTTTAGTTGTTATGAATAGAATCAACAGATCCTTGTACGGATTAAAGCAATCTAGAAGAATGTGGTATAACCGTCTCAGTGAATATCTTATACAAGAAGGATATGTAAATAACCCAATTTGTCCATGTGTTTTTATTAAAAGATCTAGAACTAGGTTTGCTATTATTGCATAATACATGGATGATTTAAACCTTGTCGGAAATCTTGAAGAGCTTACAAAAATTGCTGCTTATTTAATGAAGGAATTTGAGATGAAAAATCTTGGGAGGACTAAATTTTGTCTTCGCCTGCAGATTGAGCATTTACAAACTGGAATCTTTATCCATCAATCAACATATACATAAAAAGTTTTAAAACGATTTTATATGGATAAAGCCCATCCATTAAGTAGCCCTATGGTTGTTCAATCACTTGATGTAAAGAAAGATCATTTTCGCCCGCGAGAAGATAACTAAGAATTACTTGGTCCTGAAGTACTATACCTTAGTGCAATTAGAGCTTTAATGTATCTTGCAAATTGTACATAGCCTAATATAGCTTTTTCTGTCAATTATTAGCAAGGTATAGCTCTGCATCAACTAAGAGACATTGGAATGGTGTTAAACATGTACTACTGTATCCTCATGGAACAACTGACATGGGTTTATTTTATTCAAAAGGGTCAAAATCCCAATAGTTGGCTATGTTGATACTGGTTATCTTTCTAATCCACATAAAGCTAGATCACAAATAGGGTATCTGTTCACTTATGGTGGTGCTGCTATATTATGGAGGTTTGTGAAGCAAACATTAGCCGCTACTTCTTCAAACCATTTTGAAATATTAGCATTGCATGAAGCAAACTAGGAATGTATATGGCTGGGATCCATGATACAACATATTCAAGAAACAAATGGGTTGTCTTCAGTCAAAGATTTTCCAACATTACTATATGAAGATAACGCTACTTGTATTGCTCAAATCACAAATGGATACATCAAAGGTGACAGAACCAAGCACATTTCACCAAAAAATTTTTACATGTATGAACTTAAGAAGAATGGTGAATTAGATGTTCAACAAATACAATCCAGCAACAACTTTGCAGATTTATTCACTAAAGCACTGCCAACTACAAAATTCAAAAAGATGGTCAGCAATATTGGAATGAGTCAACTCAATGATCTTTTGCTAGCATCAGGGGGGACGTGTCATCATTAAGACCTTCACACTGGACTCTTTTTCCTTCGTCCTGGTTTTCATTCCACTGGGTTTTTCTTGGCAAGGTTTTAATGAGGCGATGTCACACGTTCTGTAACATCCCATATCGACCAACGGAGATGGGGTGATGTGCCTTATATATATATATATATATATATATATATGCCCTCCTCCATCTAGCACGAGGCCTTTTGAGAGCTCACTAGCTTCATAGTCATGGGAACTCAGAAAGTTAGGCGAGTTGGGGTTAGAGCAATCCCAAGATGGATGACCCACTGGGAAGTTGCTTGTAAGTTCCCAGAAACAAAACCTTGAGGGCAGAGAGGGGTGCCCAAAGAGGAAAATATTGTGCTACGACGGAGCCGATCCCTTGATGTGACAATTTGGTATAAGAGCCACTTTGTCGTGTGGTGCAAGTGTGCCAATGAGGACGTCGAGCCCCTAAAGGGGTGGATTGTAACATCTCACATCGACTAACGAAGATGGGGTGATGTGCCTTATATGCACATGCCCTCCTCCATCTAGCTCGGGGCCTTTTGGGAGCTCACTTGCTTCAGAGTCATAGGAACTCCGAAGTTAAGCGAGTTGGGGCTAGAGCAATCCCAGGATGAATGACCCACTAGGAAGTTGCTTGTGAGTTCCCAAAAACAAAACTGTGAGGGCAGAGAAGGGGGCCCAAAGTGGACAATATCATGCTACGGCAGAGCCGATCCTGGGATGTGACACGTTCTATATTACATATGGGTATGTACTCTTTTTCCCTTCACCCAGGTTTTGTCCCACCGGGTTTTACTGGCGAGGTTTTAATGAGGCATACTTCATGCATGGTGGACATTCAAGGAGGAGTGTTGTAAACTAAAAGGTTATTGATGCCCATCATAAGTCCATTGTAATTTCTCCATTATATCCATCATTATACCTATCATTATAGGGTTGTAACCTATGCACTAAATACTATATTTATCATTGGTTATTAGGCTTTGTAACCTACTACTTAGGGTGGTAAATGGTGACGTATTTCTTATGCCTATAAATAGTAGGCACTAAAGATGAATATACTTTCCTATGAAAGAGTTATTTTACTTCTTCGAAGTGAGATGCTACCAGAAGTATGCTCAGGTCCGCGTATGCAATGCCAAGCTATTGAGCTGAGCATTTTCTCGTCATCCCCTTAGATCGGGTAGTGGATTTTCTGATGCGTGGTGGATGTGATTGTTTTGATCTTGCCAATCCATGGTCTGCCCAAGATGCCATTGTAGGGGGAAACTTCATAAATGATCATAAAGGTTTGCGAGGTGATTACCAGCGGGGAATAGACATCGAGCTCTATTGTGCCAATGGTAATCGAGGTCGCCATTGAAGCCAGTCAGTGATCTGGCTGATTTGTTTATCTTTGTCCAGGTCTCTTTAAGGGCGGTGGTCTCTTCACCTAAGGCTTGTCTTTAACTTTGGTTAGGATTTGATGTATGGGGATGGAAAACTTGGTGTAGTTCTCATTTGCCCAAGTGTCTTCTTAAGGATGTGACTTGCGCTTGGTACTGCCCTTGTTGGCGAACCTGTCGCTTCTCTGACTTGCCTGTTTGGTCGGTTGATTAGCCTGCATAGTAGATTTTTTCGTAGCGATTTGATCATCATCTCAAAGTGTTTAACATTCTGCGGTCGCGAAGACCTTTGCTAGAGTCTGGTTGGGAGCAATAGTCAGCTTGTTGTATAAGTGTTTGGCTGGCAAGTCATTCTTGAAGGCTGAGGACACGATTCGGTCATCGTACCCTATGATGTTTGCCTTTTCTGTCTTAAACCTCTTGATGTAATCTCGAAGAGATTCATCGTGCTTCTTGCATAGGTTGAACAGATGGTCAGACTTTTTCTTGATCGTCCGATAAGAAGTGTACTCCTTGGTGAAGATGAAAGCTAGCTCCTTGAAGCTTCTGATCGATTCAGATGGCAAGGTGTGGAACCAATCCTGGGCTGCTCCTTGCAAGGTTATTGTAAACACCTTGCACATTAACGCGTCTTCAGTCTTATAGAGAATGATAACACTTTTGAAGTGCTTTATATGGCTCTCGGAATTAGAATCCCCTTTGAAGTGTGTGCAACAAGGTGTTGAGAATTTCTTTAGTGGAGCAACCTGCTCGATCTCTGTGGTGAATGGTGATGAGTTCACTTAGTCCACCTCCATATGTAGAGCACATTCGAAATCTCCTATGATCTTCAAGTCTCGAAGCCGATTACTCACAAGCTTCTCGACATCTTCTGCACGCATAGCTTGTGGGTCACGCTGATGACCTCCATGATTTGAATGTCGTTGGCTGACTTCCTCGTTGACTAGCAAGGGCTGACCTCCTCGGATGTCCTACTTGTGTGGCGTATTGGGGGATTGCGCCTGTGAAGGATTCCTTGTGGCTTGTCAATGGGAATTGGCTATTCGGGAGTAGGCTGTAGAGCACCTTTTTTCACGAACCTCATAACAAGGGTCGATAGATTGACCCTCCTTAAAGGCCCAGCCTCTCATGAACATTTCTTTGTGGGCCTAGGTGGGCACAAATGTCGGGTCACTGGCCTAGCCTTTCTTGCACGTTGGTCCTTAGACTCAACCTAGATCGAAGACTTGGTCTGCTTTGAGCGTTGCTCATGGATGCTTGTGATATGCCAGCATGCTGATCACACTCTTGTCCTTCTCCTTGTCAACTTGCTCTTGCTCGACCTGCATGGGACCTCTCGAACCACCTGCCGGTGCTTTCGTCTACCTTTCTCTTTTCATCTTACTATCTAAGGCCAAGGTCTCGGACTAAGTCTAGCTGGTTGAGGAGCTACCTCACAAAGTCAATTTGGTCATCCATTCTCTGGGTCAACTGGTCAACTCTAAGATTGAGGTCTACTTGACTTCGTGGATCGGGAGGAGAGACTTGCGTGGAGCCCAAATGCACACGGGTTAGAGTTTCGTTGGAGGTGTACACGGGAGCGTACATCCAATGGGAGGCAAAGGAGGGAATGGGTGAAGTTATTTCAAGATCGAGCCGTAACTTGTTATTGCGGCAAGATTGCCTTGATGAGAGGTTCCACCTTGTGCGGTGGTAGTGCCGTGATAGTGGCTGGTTCCACCTTGTGGGAGACGACACTAGCCGCGGGGCTGTGAAGAAGATTATCACTAGACCCGTGTGGCCGTGAGGCGATGGTAGAAGCGATGAGTCCTTATGGCTGGATGGTTGTTTCGGCTCCAGGACCATGAGGGGGGTTGTCGGTTCCAGCTGCTATGCCTTGTGGCTACGCACGGCTCCAACCATGGAACCATGTGGTGGCCCAACAACATGGGTGTGCGGTAGGTTCACAATAGTGGCGTCGTGAGAAGGTGGTGCCCCATTTAAATCGCAGGATCTTGGGACGAGTGGCTTTGGCCCATCGCAGATTGAGCCATCGCGGCAGTCTTGCTTCTCGTGCGTTTCTTCCAGCCATGTTTGTTTGGAAGGATTTGGTTGAGTGAAAACAAAAAAAAAGGAAACAGATTCCTTTGATTCAAGAGCACACATTGAGTACAACTCGCGCTCTCAATGAAATCACCAAATGTTTGTGCAAATATGTTGCGGGGTGAACATTCGCTTGAGGATCCTTCAACTCTAGAACTTCCTTCTCTCTCTTCCTCGATTCCTGTAAAATCAAATAGGAGTAAAAGACCACACCTAAGGGGTGTTAGCCAAAGACCCTTTGATGTCTAAGTTAGTTCTATTGAATCTCTTAGAAGCAATAGCTAAAAAAGGGTACGAAGTTTTCTCTGTGGCAAGAATCGGGTGGCTGGAGTCATGTGTGGTGGTCGGAGCCGTGATAGGAAAATATGGAGAGAGAGAGAGAGAGAGAGAGAGAGAGAGAGAGAGAGAGAGAGTAGGGTTGAATGTAGCCATGTATTTATAGAGCTCTAGGCATCTAGGGTTTTTCAAAGAATATTTTCTTATTTGGAAGAAAGATATTCTTTCCCCAAATTGTAGAGATTGAATCAATTAGTGATTTAATTGGGATCAAATCACTAATTGATGATGATATCTCCTAAATAAGATAATCCTAAATTGGTGATATTATCTTTTAAATAAAGAAAATATCCCTATTTTTAGTATCAATTAATTTGTTAAATAAATGGGCTCAATTAATTGACCTAGGAAATATTCTTCTTGTCCATGTGGCATCTTGTGATTGGAAGCCAGATTATTTGATCCCACACCAATCAACCAAGGTTCCTCCCACAAAACCCTCTTTTTCCAAGTAAATCGAAGGGTCATTTGTTACACAGGCTTGACTTAGACTAAATTGAGTACCATATTTGTTTCATCTAATCCTAGTTTTAGATGAGATTGCTAATACAAGGCCCACTAAAAACACCTCCTTAAGAGGGGACTACTAAACCCATGTGGAAAGGGAGGATCAACTAGTCTCATGCTCATCAATGTATAAAATGCATATATTATATTGTAATACTAATAACATATATTACTATTACTATTACTATTATTATTATTATTATTATTATTATTATTATTATTATTATTATTATTATTATTATTATTATTATTATACATACACATATACTATAATGTACATGTATACACATATATACAATATATTTATATGTGTATATATACATATATATATGTATATACATATACATATATACACGTATATTATTATTATAATATACCCATATACACATACATATTAATATTATAATAATAGCATAGGTGTATATATGTAATATATATTATAATACATATATATACACGTAAATATACATTTATGTGTGTATATATTAAACCCATGTATGTACTATAATATACATATACACATCTATATACACATGTATATTATTACAACATACCCATATATATTATATATTATAATATATATATGTAGAGTTTTCTCTAATGTGGATGTCCACATTGTGTTATAATAGAGTTTTTCTCTAATACCGACGTCCGCATTGTGTTAAAATCCGGTCGTGTCCTTCTAGCTTCTTTTCTATGGATTTGATTTCATACATACATATGTAAAGCAAAAACATCGTAAGTACTCCATATATAAATATATAATTAGGGGTTTGGCCTTCCAAAAGTATCCCAGGGGTGGGAAGGTGTGCAGAAGAACAATAAGCAATACCATTGGTTGCTACTATAAATTGGCTTCTTTTTCTGTTTAATTATAGAGCCATATAAGTGATGAACGGGTTTCACTAAGCCAGTATGGTTCCTCAAGCCAAGTGGATTCCATTAAGAACCAAATCCACTTGCAAAAAAGAAATAGCAAAGGAGACGACTGGACTTTAACACAATGCAGATGTCTGCATTAGAGAAAAACTCTATATATGTATATGTATTATACCCATGTATATATTATAATATACATATACATCTATGTACACATATATTATATATGCATAATTTATGTATATTATAAGGGCTTAGACATTCATACAAAGCCGTAAGAGTTCCTATATTTGATCTGGTTCCGCTTATATATAATAGTACAAGACTTTTGATCTGGTTCCGCTTATATATATACAGTCCCCTTCTATTGAGGGACGCCTTTTAGGGTACTCTACAATTTTTTTTCCAATGATCCAAACCATCAATTTTTTAGGTCTTCATTCATAGATCATCCTTACAAAAAATTAGACAAATCGGAAACCGTTTCGACATTAAATTGTGTCCTACAAAATTAATGAACACGATGCTTCAAGAAAGTACTAAATTTCAATAACTCAATTGAATGGTCAAATGATATCGGATTCAAGTGATTTTTTGTAAAGATGATCTTTGAATGTGTATCTACAATCCGAAGTGGGCCCTACAAGGGGTGTCCCTCAAATAAGCTTATTTGAGGGATCCCTCAATTGAAGCTCTCTGTATATATATATATATATATATATATATATATATATATATATACATGTATATACACATATATGTCATATATATTATATATGTGTGTATATATATACATATATATTATATATTATAAAATACATATATACACATACACAATATATGTATTTATACATATATACATATATATAGATAGTTTTGAAAAAATAAAAAAAATATAGTCCTAGTCTAAGCATACACCAAACGCATGATAAGTGTTATCCAACTTAGACCAAGTCAAGCCTAGCCAAAACAGTCTCTAAACATAGTCCATACCAAGACAGTCCTATGTAACAAACGTGCCCTTCTACTCGTTCTTGACCTCCTGTCTTCTCCTCTGCTTGTGGTATTCTCTCTGTCAACTTTACATTACTTCCTCTCGACTTGTATTGTGCTAGGATTTCTGTTTTTGTTTATTCATTTTATCCTTTTTCAATTCTGATTGGTAGGGTTTCTTTTTCAATTCTTTAAATCCAGCTACGAATGAACTCATGTTGTTTAAGTTGTGCAAGAGATGATGAATGTACCTCTAAATAAATGGTTGGAGCATTCATACCAGCAACTGTGATTGGTGTACTCATCAACCATGTGGTTCTTTGATGAAGTGGATAATCACATGCTTTCCAAATTCACAAACATGTGGATCCTCAAATCAATATATGCTTTACTTTCCGGGGCTAGTGAGAGTTATCTTGATTTACCTTTGTGAAAAAAAAATAAGGAACTTAAATCAAATTAAATCAAATTACACTGGCAAGCCCAATGTCGTGTCCCCAAAAATTAATTCATAACAAAAGCGGGATTAATATTGAATGAAATTTAATAAATTTATTCTATTTTCTTATATTGTTTAAAAATCTTCCCTGTCATGCCACATGACTCTTCTTCACTACCCAGGATTCATCCTGCCTCAATTACGGAGCAAATTTTCTATGGTGCGAGGATGATGATCAAGCAAGTGTTTTATTGTTCTCGGCCTGACTGCCATGTCCGTGTTTTAGTCTGGAGGACAGAACCAACTGGTTTGAGGCCTCAGCGTATCAACGGCACAGCCTCTCTCAAGGTTTGGCTGCCACGGAGTCTGAAGATAAAGCTTGCATGGTGAAAAAAGCCAAGCTAATCTGGCCATGGAGAACGTGACCAAAAGCGAGCAAACAAAGCTTCCCATCACGGAGCCAGTCACCTGCAACTGCAGATCGCTGAGCGTTGCAGTTAAGGACTGCTTCTGTAAGAACTATTTTAACTATTTTGGTTGAATTGGACCTGTTACCACTACTAATAGATAACAGAAAAGAGTATAAACACATTTTGACATGAAACCAAAACACAGAATACTTCCCATACGACCTGATGAACTTTGGGTTTGCTAACTGAACTAATGGGTCAGCTAGATAATACAACCATAAACCTACGAGATGTTATGCTATTCCAGGTAATATTTGAACAAACTTCTACTAGTCAAACTGCTGCCGAAGCTGCATTTCAGTTTCACTTTTCCATGTACCATGAGATGACTGGCCCTTCATCCTCTTACTCTTCTCCTTATCTTTGATGGTAGATCCCTTCTTCTTGGAATCATTGGTTGTGTCTACAGGACGATCACCGCAAGCTGGGCAGACCATTCCCCGTGCATTGGAGTAGGTCTTGGGTATTCCACATTGCAAACACATCCTATTAGGAGAAATATTTCAGATTAGCAATTACGAGGCCAAATACGTGACTAATACCCAACCAAAATACCTGCTGCACTGAAAAATAAAAATAACAATAATCTAAAACAGCTATATGTCTTTCAGAACTAGCTGAACCAAGAAAAGAAAAAGATTCAGAAAAACAAAAAACAACACAAGCAAACAAACAAGGGAGTGGGGAGTAGAAACAGCAACAATAACCTCAGAAGCTCTGCAGCATCCTCTGCACTAGGATTCGTTGCAGTTGGCAGACGCTTGCCACCTTGAGACGTGCTTGTAACTATTGATGTTGGAGGTTGGTTACCCGCAAAATCACTTCTTACTCGTTCATGGATTCCAACTAACTGAGCTTTGGACTCCACTACAGCACCTGTACACAGTTTTAACTGAGAGTCTGAACTGCTGCAATAGAAAATAAAAAATAAAAAGGAAAACATACATTTGCAGAAAGAGGTAAAAACCAAATCATTATTAGATAATGATACACAGAGAAACTATATGCATAATAATTTTAAAATTTTGATCAACATTTAACAAACTTCTCTTCTATATCTTTCAAATTAGCTGTTCCTGCTGAAAAACCACTGCCATGAGCATCCAGAGCACAGATAACGCCCATCAGTTCAACAGAGTATCGTAAAAAACAGTTCAAACAAACACTTCTGAATTATTATTCAAACAGATTTGATTGGAACTCAACAGATACAAATTTATAAGAAAAATCCAAGAAACCACATAATTTTATGTTGCCAAGACATCTAGGTATTGTCTGACCTAAGACTTCCAATTATAAAATAAAGCATCACATTGACGAGGTGCAGATCTATGCAAGACAGTTCAAGAAAACTCAGGATAAGAAAATTTATCAATGGGTACTGGAATTATTCTGATTCATGACTTCCACGGTGTTTACTATATGTACAAAATAAAAAATTAAGTAGGTTCCACACTAAAATTCGTAATCCAATATCTGAAACACAAGGAGTTAGATTGATTATGGGTGAAAAGTTGGTCCCACTCATTCTCTCTTCTATTCTTGACTTCCCCAATTCATGACTTCCCCGATTCCATGCAAGCAAACACGCCATAACTGGAGTTTGAATTTGGATAATATATAAACAGAATAGAGTCTACTTCCAACGTTACTTCCATTCTGTGAACTGGTTGTCCTGATCTAATAAGAACCTAAGTTCAGGACATGCATCTCAAACATAGATGTTTAAGATACACTCAGACAGATGCATCTCAGTCATCTATATATGGTTGAATAACCGCGATTTGTGCCTGTTCTTTCTCTTAAAGCCATTATACACTTCATTATACAGGGACCACATATCCAATTTGTAGTGTAAAATCAATTTTTATCACTCCTCCTCCTATGTCTCTCTGACTGCAGTGACACAATTTTAGGAGAATGTTTTGAATAAAAAGCAACCCAAAAGTACTTAGAATTGAAGTGTATAAAATTGATCTTTAACATAAAATGAACAAACATTAACTAAGAAAAAATACCAACCAGCAGGTAAATCTTTCTTGTCCTTGCGAAGTTTGGCGTTGCGGGCACCATGCCTCCCTTTCTGGGGACCGTCATCCCTCGTTGAACCGTCTTCTTGTACGCAGTTATTGAGGAAATCGGGCGGTCCACAAATCTTCGGCAACCAATCGAAGAAAAGCACGATGAACCCATAAAAAGCAGCAAAAAATAAAAAAAAATTAAAACTGAATGGTAAATTGCAGAGAGAAATAAAAAGAAAAACAGGGGGTGAATTAGGGTAAAATGGTACCTCGGAGAAGACATCAGATGCAGAAGGAAGGCCAGAGGCAATGGAAGAGGAGGGAGGTTTGGGAAAGTCAAAGACGGATTTGGGTTTGTGACTTTGGTCACCATCTTCGTCGTCGTCCGACGAGTTTGAGTTTTGGTAATGGAGGCGGTGATTTTGGGCTTCTTCTTCTTCTTCAGCGGAAGAATAGCCCTGGAGGAACGCCAAGCTCATTGCTTGCTTATTAATGGAGGTGGTTTTGTGCTTACTGTAGCAAAAAGAGAATCGTAGGTAAGTGGGTCGGATTTCAAGTTATTTGGATTGGAGAAGGAGGAGCTTGTGCCAGTCTGCTTGGTTCTTTTTCTCCCTCCTTTGTTCTTTTTCTTTTTCTTTTTTACCCTCCGTTTGGAGGGAGGAAAATAATTAAGGATTTAGCAAAAAGTTGGGAATTGAAGTGAAGAAATTGATGTTTTTATTGTTTGGCAACCTAAATATAAAACTTATTAAATGACACGCAGAAAAAATCATAAAAATTGGGTATCGAGATTCTTTAGTTTAATTTCCGCCAAAAGAGTTGTCAATTCGCACTTTCTATTGAGTATAAATTCATTTTTAATATAAAAAAAAACCATAAACTCTCTCTGAATGTGAAACTGTGAGCTTGCACTGTAGCCGCCGCCCCCTCTAGTTGTGGGTGGCTTCTCCATCTTCCATCTTCCTCTCCTCATCTCCCTTTCTCTTTTCCTAGTTTTCTTCCCCTCTCCTATTCTATTCCCAGATTTGTTTGGATTTTGGGTCCTCTTGCCCAGATCTATCTAGATCTTGTCTTTTGTTTGTTTGTTTGTGTGTTTTTTGTTGTAGGTCTTTGGTGACTTTTGTTGTTCTTGGATGTGGCTTGCTGTCACTGGGATGGTTGCGGCATGGTGTTGTCGACCCAGCTTTTCTCTTTGGTTTTCATTGTGTTTTTTAAGCAAGCACTGCAATTCACCATAGACGCCATGATTTTGTTGTAGCTTTGGGTCCACTCATATGGAATTTGCTCCAATTCAGTGTTTGGGGTTGGAAAAGTGATTGTTGCTGGTTTGTGTGGGATCAGGTTTTGCCTGTGCAAAATAAGAGGTTTAGCTATGTTGGTGCTACAAGTCTCTTTGGTTTGCTGGAGAGGAAGTGGTGCAGTGTCCTTGTTTCTGTGTTTTTTTTAGTCTAATAATTCTCAGAAACTCAATAGGAATTAGCTGATGTTTGTATTTAGTGTTAGACTTTTCGATGCGGATTTGCCGTTACTGCCGTTGTGCGGAGGATCTGTATTGTAGGTATGAGTACAAGTGCTTCTTGTCTCCGAATTGGAGTTTTTAGGTTTTTCTGGCATGCGTAATTCTCTCCAGATCAAACCAATTTATTTTTGTGTTTGGTCACTGAAGATGTTGTACTCATATTTGGCATTGCGGCTACTCTGTACTTTTCTTTGTGTTATTGCTTTCAATAAAAGAAATCATTTTTAATGTAATTTATGTCATTTATAAAATTTGACATACATAAATTCAAACACATAAATTATTAATTGTCATAAATTCAAACACATAACTTATTAATTGCCAGATCTAAAATTTGAATAGTTGAGTTAAACTTTATAATTAATTTGGATGTGTTAAATGATAATTTAATATGAAACTTAATGTTAAAATTTATGATAAATATTTTTTGTGCAAAAAAAAAAAGGAGATTTGGGGCGGGTATGGGGGATAGTTCCCTGGCTGGAATGGGGTCGGGGATTCCCCGAAATCTATAAAATGGGGATGGGTTCAGGGACGGGGGCGTGGATGGAGAGCTGGGACGGGGATGGTATTGTCATACCTGGCCCCTACCCAACCAGTTGTCATCCCTAATAGAGATTTAAATTCTGTCATTTAAGAATTCTATGTAATTTTCAATTACTTCATCCAAAAGAAGATGTCTGAATTGGGTGAAAAAATGACATGTAATGAAAATTATTATTTTATTTTGAGTTAATTTCAATTTAGTACCCTAAACTCTAATTGGTAAGGCATGTATTAAAAAACTAATTAAAAAAAGAAAAAATATTTATAAACATAAATTTAAAAATTAAAACCCATTAGCCCCAAGCACCCAACCCCTTACTCGACCCTCAATTCCTAGCCCCACCCCAACCCTACAGCCTTAGCCACACCACCCAACCACGAAGACAGAAGACGCCATGGCAACACCTCGAGGATGAGATCAAGCAAGGTTATGGACCTCGACAACCCTAAACACTAAAAGACCACAAAATAATAATAATAATAATAATAACCAACAGGAAAAAAATAGTCTTCTTCCCTAACCAAGTCCCAACCTCACCCCTTAACCCGCCACTAATAGCCAGCCAACCTACCCACTCCTCATCTCTCTCTCTCTCTCTCCTCCTCCCCCCCCCCCCCCCCGCCCCCTCTTATCCTCCCACTCCCCCCTCCCCAATGCAACAGCCCAAATTCATCCCCAAAAGGCGAGGCCTTCCATACCCCAGCCAAATTTATACCGCCTATTTTCCCCAAGTCAAATTCGTAGTGGCTTTCAACAACGTCATTCAAATAAGTAGTGGGAGGTCCAGTTTGTTACACCCCCCCCCCCCTCCCCCAAATAAGGGGGTTTTCGAAATTAAGTCAAAATCTGGGTCAGGTCAAGGTTTTGATGGTGTCGGAATATGGGCGAAATGGTGGGGGGGCTGTTGATATGGTGAATTCTGTATCCTGGGCTATTAAGTTAGGTTGATCTTCCAAGATAACCTACATACTTCAAGCAATTAAACTATCAGAAGAGGGGAAAACTAGCATGATACCAGTTGAACCCCCTCCGATGGCTAAGTTAGAGGTAGATTTAGAGTGGAGAAGAATGGTTACAGAGTTTATGGATAAGAATAGTTATTACCTTTGTCCCAATATAGATGAAGAGTATTTATATAGGGGGAAATGAGAGATCATATCTCCTTAAATCTAGCAAGAAAGGAGATCTTCAACCATTACCCATGCTGGGACCAGAGAGTGGTTGCGGGCATCAGTCACTATGCTAATTATCAGAGATCAAATAGCAAGGCGCCACCTAGCTTGAATGTGAAGCGCATTAAATTATCCCTTCCAGCCACCATGCTGGTATTAGGTGCGTGAAGTGACATGGCTTGACAAGGATTTGGTCGTGTTAGAGTACTAACGCTTCTGCCTTTCTGGTCACATGACATCTCAGTGGGCCCAAGGAGATCAGTATGGTCGGGTCAGTACATGAGCACCCAAACTCTGGGGTGGTCAAGTTGGTCGAGTCGGTATACGAATGATCTAGCCTCTCTTGGCCACGTGGTTCTTTTTGATAGGCTCGGCTATATGACCCATTAACAAGGGCTTTAGCATGCATTTTTGCTTAATCGATTTTCCTAGGAAATACAATGAGTAGAATAAAAATTTATGAAATAAGTTTGTATTTCTTGTCCCTTTTTGTTTGGATAAATCTTGGCTCTAGATTCTTATGCTTGTTGGGTGGTGTGTTTTCTTGGTATTCAAGTTGCAGAGGAGTAGCAGATGGTGGCGTGGGGTGGGTGGTTGGAGTTGAGGTTTATTAGGTGGAGGTTAGAAAGGGTTGGGATAGGGATAAGGCCTTATTATTACTTTTTGTTTTAAATTAGTTTTATTAATATTTTAAGCCATTTAAATTTTAAAAGGTGAATCCCACATATGCCACATCAGTAAGTAACGGAAATTCGAATAGTAAGACTAACGTCAGAACCAAATTGCAAAAAATTGAAAAACTTAGGTTATGTTGACTAGGTTGGGATTTCGAGATTTGTTTTTGTTATTGTATGATAATTCTTGGATATTATTTTAATAATTGAAATTATAGAATGATTGATTATGGGTTAATTGAGTTGGGTGAGTTATAAAAATGAGCTTTGGGTTCGGCTATGATTTTAGTGAGTGGACATTGTTTTCGAATAAATAGCATGGTTTTATAATGGAAATTTTTTGCTTATGAATTTAATGGTTTATTGAATTTCATTTTATAATGGATAGTTGAATTTATTATTTGCGTAAAGTATTTGTGATACATGTGGGTTTTTGATATATTTGGGTATTTTGAGTTCAAGTATATAATATTTGAGAATGTGCTATCTATGTGGATTATGTGTGGGGTACTTGGGTTGTTAATGTGAGATGTTGGAAAGTTATGAGTTTAGAATGTCAGTTTGAAGTGCTATTAGCACTACCTTAGGTACCTCACCGGTTACGGAGTTTATGCTTGAGAATTTATTGTCTACACTATGAATAGATTTTTGGAACAACTGAATTAAGGAAGTAAGTATCATTTTAAAATATTATTTTAAGGGTTATGAACTCCACCATCATACGTACCTTCCCTGGTTGCTATACACACATGTGTCGTGTTTCAGGCGTGTGGGCTTTCTTGGTCACAGATCCTGGAATTGTGGGATGCCGGAAAAATTGTGGATACGTTGGCACTCGGACGCCCTTGAACAGGGGTTCGTGGACCCTTAACGGGGTAGTTTGCGCGAGTAGGACTTGTCACAGGTGTACAAGTCTTGAGGGTCTCGGCTGTACGTGCTGGCTGAGAGTTCATCCCCTAGTTGGACGGCTCGTTCCCTAGCCACATGGCTGTTCTCCATGTGGTCTAGTTAAACGATCCCCAGTTGGATTGTTTTCCCCCAGTACATGATGTGCATCATCATATGTACCTTCCCTTGGATACTGATACTTGGATACATGGAATTGGACACATGGATATTGATACATGGGTATGTCGGAACCCGGGCATACCTTAACGAGGTGTTACCGTAGACCCTTGATTGGGTTGTCTGCGCATGTAGGACTTCACACAGGCGTACGAGTCTTGAGGGTCTCGGTTGTACTTGCTGGCTGAGAGTTAGTCCCCCGATTGGTCGGCTCGTTCCTTAGCCACATGGTTGTTGAGGACTCCTCCATGTGATCTAGTTAAACGATCCCCGGATTGGATTGTTTTCATGGTACATGATGATGGTGAGAGGTGGATGTGATTATATATATAATGATATGGACACGCATGTTACATAGGTATATGTGGATTTGTTTCCGGATTGAGATCCGTGAGGTTGTGCTTTGTGATTACCCTACATGGGTATGAATGTTTGAGTCCCGATTTGGGAAGTGTGGTTTGGCAACATACTCCTTGGATACGGTATGGTTGCACGGAAAGAATTGATAAAAGAAAGTTTGTATAGTATCGGAGTTGTGACTGTTGATGAAAGAACTACATGTGGCTTGATCCCTCACAAGGGGTACGTAGGTAGCCTAGAGTAGTACCTAGGTGCAGCCACGGACTAAATTTTACTTATGTTGTTTTATCGAGTTTGGTTTTGACCTTGTCGTTGGTCCTAAAACTCGGTTGAAACCGAGGTGCAATTAAATATTTGTTCATACTCCCATTTGGCTAAGGGAGGGTTGTGTGAATGTATTATATTAAATAGTGTATGTGGTCTCTACCTGTCTGAGGTCCATTTCGAAATAAATGTTGATTTTAGGTTTGATTATATGGTATAATGGGCCGAGGCCCCTGGGACTGTTGGTGATAATTCATAGATGGTAGTTGATGCATGCTAAAAATTTGTGGGAAGTTATTTTATGTTGACTGCAATGGTACTCGTAAAATTATTTGAGTTCCTTAATTGCATTGCTAGTACATTAATTGACTTAAGAGCATTGCTAGTTGTTCTGCCTTGATTCATTTGAAGCCTAGAAGCCTTGTCTGTAAACTGTGTGCTATTACATTGTGTGTGCTGGCAGTTGGCTTCTTAAATTGTGTTTTTGTTGCAGGTTGAAAATTTGGGACATGTTCAATTTACAAGGGAGTCTCTGCTGAAATTTGGGTAGAAAGTCTCGTGCCCTTATTCCTTTTTGGAAAAGGAGGCTATAGTTTTAGTGACAGGGCTTGGCATCAGGGTGATGTCGGATTTTCCATAGGATTCGTTCCGGGTTCCTAGGAATTCGGGGAGGGTCATGTCAGACTCAATCATACTTTAGAGAGAATCAGCCTTTGAACTGGAATTGGACTTGTTAACTTGAATGCTTGAGACTTAGGCTTGGTTTAGGGTTGGTGCTCTTAAAAAATAAGCAGCTTTGAAAAGAAGTTTTGGAGGTTTGAGTGTTTGGTAAAACCAATCCAAGTTGCTTATTTTAAAATCTGCTGTCATCCACAGCAAAAAACAAGAAGCAGCTCACCATGCATCTAAAATCTGCTGCAGGAAGAAGCATGTGGAGAGTTTAATGAAACTTTCAAATTGCCCATATTGCCCTTATTTGTTTCAAACAATTACATGCTCTATCCTCGTCATCCCAGGTTTGAGCCTCTCAAGTGTTGTTCCTCTTGGATTTTCTGGATTGCTGGCCTCATCCTCTCTATGCAACTTGATCCTTTCCCTCAATCCGTCAAAGCTACCATCTCAACCTAAAACCCCACCAACCCACCTCCCTATTTTACAGACCCAGAATATCTTCTTCCCCTCCAACCAAAAAAACCCCAACCTTAGCTCCACACTTTATCATCTCCATAGCCACAAAAAACTCAACACCCAGATTACCCACTAGTTATCTCCTCCAGCTAAAGAAAACCAAACCCCCAACTTCCTTGCCTTCCCCACCAAAACAAAACCCAATATTATAGTCCCACTATTCACATCCATAAAGCAAAGAGAGAGAGAAAAAGAGAGGTAGGGATGTAGCATCGACGTCCCAAGCATCATCACCGAACCCAAATATCAACTCAAGGCTGCCAACATCCCAAGCTCCCAGATCTTGATGATGATGGAGAGAGAGAGAGAGAAAGGTGTCAGATGGAAAAGCTTACACTTTTGATTTAAAAAAAACAAAGACTTGTAGGGAAGGGAGAAGAATGGTCTCTGTCAAAAAAGAGAAAGAAATGAGAAGAATGGTCGAGAGAAAAAAAATAAAGAAAAAAGATGTATTGAAATTTCTTATCTTTCGAGAAAAAAAAACGTTTTTTTGTCATACCCTTTTGGTCATTATACACAATCACAGCACTTCTACAAAAAGTTTATCAAATACCATGACATTGCTTTTTATATTCATAGCACTTTTACAAATATAGATTACCAAACACTTAGCTGCTTCATTGGGTTCTTAATGTTTTCTTATGTTACAAGACTACATTCAAACAACAATACACGTCACTGATAGTGCAGATTCACAGCTTCGCAACATAACATGTTTTTTACTGTATAAGATTGGAAAACGGAATAGTGACATCTCTGCTGGACAATCTCATTCATTTCCGTTATAAAATTTTCGACGTGAGTGTAGGATTGGAACAAGGAAAAGTGACATCTCTGCTGGAAGAAAAGGGTACTATCAAAAGGGTTCAGTATAAATCCGGACTGCACATGCTCCTCTCACAATATTATGTGATGGTTGCTATTCAAACCTGCGGCGCTCCCTCTGCGATCCTAATGTGAAGATATAAGACCATCTCCAGTTATAGGACTAAATGTAGTCCAAGGCTAAATATTTAGCCCTCCAAAATATTAATTTTTTAAAGAATAGTGCAGGGCTAAATTTTTCCATCTCCAGCCATGCAGGGCTATATTTTAGGGTCCTTCATATTTTATTATTTTGAGAAAAACTATGGTACAACACTCATACATTCAACAATTATGTATTGTTTAATTTAATTAAACTACTATTTAGAGACAATATTCCATGACCAATAATTTTTTATAATTTTTTTTACAGAACACTTGAAAACATTTAAAAAGGTGACCACATTTATTTATTTATATAAAAAAGATGGGTTTCAATGGTCTGACCTCCAAGGTTCATGACCAGTAATTTTTTATAATTTTTTTATTAATTGAAAACATTTAAAAAGGCAACCACATTTGCTAAACGAAACCTAAAATTAATTGAGTACTTCCTAGTATAAAAGTATATATTGAATTACTAATTTACCATAATATAAAATGACCAAAAAGGATATATGGAATTGTGAAACAAATATAATTTTAATAAGTACACCCCTACTAACCATATTCAACCTTAATCAAGAGATAACTTGGTTCCCATATTTGTGATCCGCGAGTCAGAATGGCTTGGAGCAGATGAAGCCTTCCTTCTTTCTTCTCATAACTATTTCTTGGCAACTTGGATTAGACAACTTAAAAAGCAGCCTTCAATTCGGTGACACATCTACTGGACAACTTTTAGAAGGGTGCTTTTGACTTGGCTGTTGTCAATGTTGACTGGTTCTGCATATTGATTGGAGAGCTTCTTGCTGTTTCTTGATGTGAGTAAATAACATCAAGGTTTCAATCTATTATGTACACTTTAGAATCCAATTAGTCTTTAATTTTGCATATAAGCTTGTATACATGGTGAAATTTTACTTTAGTTTATTGTTTCATGATAGAACTTCATATAAATTAGTTCATTGATTATTATATTCTATTTCCTCCTCATGAATTGCTTATTTATTTATTATTTTATGTATTTGGATTCCTATCCTAAGGAGTTTCAAAGCCTTTGTTGTACTTTTGAAATTATGCAGATTTGCAAATTGGGTTACTTTTGAAGAGAGAAGAATAGAGGCATTAGAATAAATTATGTTCTTATAAGTGAAAAACAGGAAACTTGATCAATTTTAGTGAACCAAAAGTACACCTTAGAGCACTAGCTTTGGGGGAAAAAGTCCTTTTATTCGTGCACGTCCACCTCAATATGGGGCTTAGAACAAGCCATTAGAAAACAGTTTTGGAAGGACACAAATGAATTGGCCTCTTATTAGTACATTGCAGAGATATTATTCCAGTTTTATGTAGCATATATCAAAATAAAAGCAACATTAATGGGATCATCAGCAAAGATAATACTAACATGAATCATCTCTGTGACTTCTGCAATACATTGCTGTCTTGCACTCAGTTCCTTTAACAAAGCCTCTTCCAACTATGTAGAGTCTGTCATTTATGCAACATGATTGCAAGAAAGAAGACTTCAAGGAGTTGATTGGTTTTGTATCTATTTCTGCGTTGGATAATATTATGGTTGAGCTGAAGTGGTTAGATTATATTGGGGTTGATCCGATATCATGTGGTTGCATAATAAAACACACACATGGATTACCATGTGCACATGAGATGCAAGAGTTCAAACGGACTCATAGGCCTATTCCACTTGATTGTATTCATCCTCGTTGGAGGAAGTTAGATTTTTTGGAGCCCCGACCTACTGCTACACTGAACAATCCTCCAGAAAATGCACTGTTAGAATTAATTGTGAAGTGGTTTCAAAGTTGTAGTTCTGAGACAAAGAGACATGTTAGTATGAAGTTACAAGAGATTATGAATCATGCATCTACCACGCTTACACAACCCTAGCTGAAGATTAAAACAAAAGGTCGTCCAAAAGTTGACACATTTACTCGATGTTTGCCTTTTGCTTTTGAGGTTGTCTTATTTGGTCAAGATAGTGCACACTTGATTGACAATGTTGTTACAAGACCGCCACGTAAGAAGCCAAAGACCATACCCCAAAAGCGATCAGTATTCAATAGTCAAACACAACCATTACCATATGTGAATCCAAAGAAGCGGCCTTCGAAGCTACCTGTAAGTAGTTACAATATTAAATTTGTATACTGTCGTTTATATTATAATTTGGGTGTAATTGTAATATGCAGGTCTATAGGCCTAAACCCATTGTAGATGACTCTTGCTTAACACTAGAGTTTAACAAGTCATTTCCTAAACATATCTTGATACATATTAGAGGGGCACAAGATGTTAAGAGTGATGGTAATTGTGGTTTTAGAGCCATTGGATCATTGATGGGGTTTGGTGACAATTCTTGGCGCAAAGTACGTAGAGACTTGTTGAAGGAGTTGAGGAAAGAATCTGTCATATACGAGTTAATATTAAATGGTAAGGAACGGGTACAACATATTGAGTATATGTTGGACTATTTTGAGGACTTCCCACTTCAAGATAGGTGGATGACTATACCAGATATGGGACACCTCTTTGCATCTTGTTATAATGTAATCCTCATGACTTAGTCAGTGCATCAGTCACTTACATTTTTTCCATATGAGACTACTCCATTGGATTCTATCTATCGCCGTGAAATTTTGATTGGATTTGTTAACCACAACCACTAGATTAAGGTAAAACAATTAAGAAGTTTATGCATATATATATATATATATATATGTTTGTTCACATAACTTTATTTTTTATTTTTTTTATTTTACAGGTTTATTTGGAAGGTCAACACCCTATGCCACCAGTTGATGAGCGTTGGTTGAGATGTGTAACCATAACTGCATCAGATTGGCTTACACCATATCAGGATCGTATACGTCAATTTAGATATGAAGCTGGTGTAGCAAACCCTTATGACAATGACCCTAATTTATTGCGTAGTTTTGTGAAGCATCATATTGGTGACATTAATTATTACTTTCATTTTCATTATACCATTGGCAATTCTTGTTTTGTAACATAAATAAAAAAAATTATGATGGCTTTTTGCTCATTTGGCTTCTTCCAACAAAAAAAATGTTATGAGATAATTTGTGTTTAATTTCTCATTTTTCCTATTGTGTTTTTAATGAAAGAGGTGGTGATTGCAAGAACTTGGAATTGCAAAAAGTGTCAACATTTTTAGTAGAAGCATAAATTCATATGAAAAGTCAAAGATTTATAAACACTATTTAAAAAAATCAAGCTGAAAATGAACTATAAAATAATGCTACAAGTATTAGGGTGTACCAGGGGTATTTTTGGTAGTTCTATAGGGTGTACTTGTTAAGTTTACATTTGAATTAAAATATTATGGTGTACTTCGATCATAGGGTGTACTCAGTTAATTTTAGGGTTCGTTTAGCAGCACTCATAAAAAAATGGTTGGGTTTAAATGGTCTAACCTCCAATGGTCATGACCAATAATTTTTAATAAATTTTTCTTAAACAACACGAATTGAAAACATTTAAAAAGGCTTTAAAAAATATATCGATGACGTTAACGCTTTTATTGTTGGTTGTTGGATATGCATTTGCACGCCCACACTTGATCATTTATCTTCTTCAAAAGCACATGCATGGGGCCCACAAAAATTTGGCCTAGGCCAAAGCTGGGCTAAATGTGGCCCGATTAGAGGGCTAAAGGGCCAAATGTGGCCCTCCAAATTTGGCCAAAATTTTGTTTAGCCCATGGCTGGAGATGAGTTTTGCATTATTTTAGGGCTATATTTAGGATATAGCCCATGACTGGAGATGGCCTAACATGTCAGAAATTTAGCTTTGTGAAATAAACAAAAAAAATAGAATATTAAATTGAAATATCTATGGACTTTCGAATAGCACATCAACCATTGTCATTGTTATTTGTGCAGGTTGACATTCCTTCTTATTGTGTTGGCTTGGTTCTCAAGAATTGCCAACTTCCCTACGCAAATCATGGGAACATAATTTTGGCAGATCCTTCACAATTGAAATTTTGATTAGTTTGCGGGACGAGTATGAGCCAAAAACTTAGCTCTTCCCTTTATATTTTAGGCCTTATATATATATATATATATATATATATATATATATATTTTGGGCCTTATATGCTACTAAAGACCAACACAAAGGGGAAAAAAATAATGAACCGGCCCAAACTGAAAAATCAAAAAACCAAACTGGAAATAACCAGTTAGGCTCGGTCCAGATACGACCATTTAGGGTTAAATTATTAACTTGATAAGCATTAATATTTATTAAATACAAAAAATATATTACTAATCAGTACTAAGAAACTTACAATAATATTGAAAAGAACAAAAAACTAATAAAAAGAGGTATTTAACTGCGCTTAATGAAATAGTATTGAAATAAACCCCAATTCTTCCCCCCCAAAACTTGCAAAACCTGCTAGGGATTTTGAATTGAAAATCTCTCTCTGTCTCTCCCTCACTCTCTCAATATGAATTACTAGGATCTCTGAACCGATGCGTGCCGATCATGGCATCAATGATCTTCGTCCTCGCCTAGGCCAGGCAGCATGTGATGTTCGACATTGTGCAAAGAATATGGGAAATCACGTCCGTTTAACCATCATGCGAGACAATGAAGTGAAAGCAGCAATAGACTTCGAGAAAGCAAGAAAGGAGTGGAGGCCTGTCAAAGTTTGGGTCTGCGCTAACAATCTAGGGAAGAATCGCCGCATGAAGAAAAAGCTCCTCTGCACCGGCCTCAGGTGCAATGAATTTTCGATGGCCATCGATTTTGTGGCAAGCCATCCCACTTTTACCGCCTATGTGGATTTCTTTGCTACAAAGAAATTAGCTGCTCACTCACTCCAAAAACCAAGCAGGAGAGGACTGACATCTCTATCTGCCTCCAATTGGCAACGTAGGTTATTGTGACGAGCACAACAGAGCTGGATTACTTTCTCGATGTTAGTCTTGACCAGGGGTGGAATGACCAGTGCTAGATTCCAGTTCCCATGGATTACAAAGAAATTAGCTGCTCGATCACTCCAAAAAGCCAAGCAGGAGAGGGCTGACATCTCTGTCTGCCTCCAATCGGCAACGCAGGTTATTGTGACGAGCACAACGGAGCTGGATTACTTTCTCGATGTCAGTCTTGACCAGGGGTGGAATGACATGTCAGTCTTGACCAGGGGTGGAATGACCAGTGCCAGATTCAAGTTCCTATGGCAGAGATTCAGCGAGTTGAAGTAGCGCAGATTTGTTCGATTGCAATTGTTGCCGGGCAAAGCTGCAGCTATAGATGAGTAAGTCCTTATGGTTTATCCGATTCTTGTGAATTCTATAATTTGTGAATTTAGGACTGTGTGAATTTGTTTTAATTATGTGTTGTATGGCTAATTCACACGGAATATGGGAAACCACGTCGGTTTAACCATCACGCGAGACATTGAAGTGGAAGCAGCAATAGACTTCAAGAAAGAATGGAGTGGAGGCTGGTAAGAGTGTGGGTTTGCGCTAACAATTCAGAGGAGAATCGCCGCATGAAAAGAAAGCTCTTCTGTTCTGGCCTCTGGTGCAATGAATTTCCCGTGGCCATCAATTTTGTGGCAAGCTATCCAACTTTTACAGCCTATGTGGATTTCTTTGCTGCAAAGAAATCAGTTGCTCGCTCACTTCAAGAAGCCAACCAGAAGAGGGCCGACATCTCTGTCTACCTCCAATCGATAGCTTAGGTTATCACGACGAGCACAACGGAGCTGGATTACTTTCTCGATGTCAGTCTTGACCAAGGGTGGAATGACCAACGCCGAATTCATGTTCCTATGGCAGAGATTCAGCGAGCTAAAGCTGCCCGAATTTGTTCGATTGCAATTGCTGCCGGGCTAAGCTGCAGCTATGGATAAGTAAGTCCTTAGGGTTTATCTGATTCTTGTGATTTTTGTAATTTGTAAATTTAGGGCTATGTGTGAATTTGTTTTAATTCTGTGTTGTATGTCTAATTTACATAGAATATGGGAAACCACATTGGTTTAACAATCACGCGAGACATTGAAGTGGAAGCAGCAATAGACTTCAAGAAAGTAAGAATGGGGTGGAGGCCTATCAGAGTTTGGGTATGCTCTAACAATCCAGAGGAGAATCGCCGCATTAAGAGAAAAATCCACCGCATCGCCTTCAGGTGCAATGAATTTTCGGTAGCCATCGATTTTGTGGTAAGCCATCCCACTTTTACAGTCTATGTGGATTTCTTTGCTGCAAAGAAATCAGTTGCTCACTCACTTCAAGAAGCCAACCAGAAGAGGGCCGACATCTCTGTCTGCCTCCAATCGACAGCTTAGGTTATCAAGACGAGCACAACGGAGCTAGATTACTTTCTCGATGTCAGTCTTGACCAAGGGTGGAATGACCAACGCCGAATTCATGTTCCTATGGCAGAGATTCAGCGAGCTAAAGCTGCTCGAATTTGTTCGATTGCAATTGCTGCTGAGCTAAGCTGCAGTTATGGATGAGTAAGTCTTTTGGGTTTATCTGATTCTTGTGATTTCTGTAATTTGTAAATTTAGGGCTATGTGTGAATTTGTTTTTAATTTTGTGTTATATGGCTAATTTATATAGAATATGGGAAGCCACGTCTGTTTAACCATCACGCGAGACATTGAAGTGGAAACAGCAATAAACTTCAAGAAAGCAAGAATGTAGTGGAGGCCTGTAAGAGTTTGGGTCTGTGCTAACAATCCAGAGGAGAATCGCCACATGAAGAGAAAGCTGCTCCGCGCCGGCCTCAGATGCAATGAATTTTTGGTGGCCATCGATTTTGTGGCAAGCCATCCCACTTTTACAGCCTATGTGGATTTCTTTGCTGCAAAGAAATCAGTTGCTCGCTCACTTCAAGAAGCCAACCAGGAGAGGGCCGACATCTCTGTCTGCCTCAAATCGACAGCTTAGGTTATCACGACGAGCACAACAGAGCTGGATTACTTTCTCGATGTCAGTCTTGACCAAGGGTGGAATGACTAATGCCGAATTCATGTTCCTATGGCAGAGATTCAGCGAGCTAAAGCTGCCCGAATTTGTTCGATTGCAATTGCTGCCGGGCTAAGCTGCAACTATGGATGAGTAAGTCCTTAGGGTTTATCTGATTCTTGTGATTTTTGTAATTTGTAAATTTAGGGCTATGTGTGAATTTGTTTTAATTCTGTGTTGTATGTCTAATTTACATAGAATATGGGAAACCACATTGGTTTAACCATCACACGAGACATTGAAGTGGAAGCAGCAATAGACTTCAAGAAAGTAAGAATGGGGTGCAGGCCTATCAGAGTTTGGGTATGCTCTAACAATCCAGAGGAGAATCGCCGCATTAAGAGAAAAATCCACCGCATCGCCTTCAGGTGCAATGAATTTTTGGTGGCCATCGATTTTGTGGCAAGCCATCCCACTTTTACAGCCTATGTGGATTTCTTTGCTGCAAAGAAATCAGTTGCTCGCTCACTTCAAGAAGCCAACCAGGAGAGGGCCGACATCTCTGTCTGCCTCAAATCGACAGCTTAGGTTATCACGACGAGCACAACAGAGCTGGATTACTTTCTCGATGTCAGTCTTGACCATGGGTGGAATGACTAACGCCGAATTCATGTTCCTATGGCAAAGATTCAGCGAGCTAAAGCTGCCCGAATTTGTTCGATTGCAATTGCTGCCGGGCTAAGCTACAACTATGGATGAGTAAGTCCTTAGGGTTTATCCGATTCTTGTGATTTCTGTAATTTGTAAATTTAGGGCTATGTGTGAATTTGTTTTAATTCTGTATTGTATGTCTAATTTACACATAATATGGGAAACCACGTCGATTTAACCATCACGCGTGACATTGAAGTGGAAGCAGCAATAGACTTTAAGAAAGCAAGAATGGAGTAAAGGCATATCAGAGTTTGGGTCTGCTCTAACAATCCAGAGGAGAATCGCCGCATGAAGACAAAGCTCTACCACGCTGCCTTCAGGTGCAATGAATTTCCAGTGGCCATTGATTTTGTGGCAAGCCATCCCACTTTTACAGCCTATGTGAATTTCTTTGCTGCAAAGAAATCAGTTGCTCGCTCACTCCAAGAAGCCAAGTAGGAGAGGGCTGACATCTCTGTCTGCCTCCAATCGGTTGCGAAGGTTATCGTGACGAGCACAACAGAGCTGGATTACTTTCTCGATGTCTGTCTTGACTAGGGGTGGAATGACCAATATCGAATTCACGTTCCTTTGGCAGAGATTCTGCGAGCTGAAGCAGCCCGGATTTGTTCGATTGCAATTGCTGTCGAGCTAAGCTACAACTATGGATGAGTAAGTCCTTAAGGTTTATCTGATTCTTGTGATTTTTGTAATTTGTAAATTGAAGGCTAATGTGTGAATTTTTTTTTAATTCTGTGTTGTATGGCTAATTTACACATAATATGGGAAATCACGTCAGTTTAACCATCACGCGAGACATTCAAGTGGAAGCAGCAATAGACTTCAAGAAAGCAAGAATGGAGTGGAGGTCTGTCAAAGCTTGGGTTTGCACTAACAATCCAGAGGAGAATCGCCGCATGAAGAGGAAGCTCCTCGGCGCCGGCCTCAGGTGCAATGAATTTCCGGTGGCCATCGATTTTGTGGCAAGCCATTCCACTTTTACAGCCTATGTGGATTTCTTTGCTGTAAAGAAATCAGCTGCTCGCTCACTCCAAGAAGCCAAGTAGGAGAGGGCCGACATCTCTGTCTGCCTCCAATCAGTTGCAAAGGTTATCATGACGAGCACAACGGAGCTGGATTACTTTCTCGATGTCTGTCTTGAACAGTGGTGGAATGACCAACACCGAATTCACGTTCCTTTAGTAGAGATTTAGCGAGCTGAAGCAGCCTAGATTTGTTTGCAATTGTTGCCGGGCTAAGCTACAGCTATGGATGAGTAAGTTCTTAGGGTTTATCCAATTCTTGTGATTTTTGTAATTTGTGAATTTAAGGCTATGTGTGAATTTGTTTTAATTCTGTGTTGTATGGCTAATTTGAATCCAAATGCTAATGATTCTTGTAATTTCTGTAATTTGTGAATTTAGGGCTATGTGTGAATTTGTTCTAATTATGTGTTGTATGGCTAATTTGAATCCAAATGCTATTGAGTCTTGTGATTTTTGTAATTTGTGAATTTAGGGTTATGTGTGAATTTGTTCTAATCTTGTGTTGTATAGCTAATTTGAATCTAAATGCTACTTATTCTGTGATTTTTGTAATTTGTGAATTTAGGGCTATGTGTGTGTTGTACATCCAAATGCTACTGATTCTTGTGATTTTTGTAATTTGTGAATTTTTTTTTAACTGGACTGGAATTTTTTTTGTATAAAGGAAAGAGATGATCATTTGAGTGTTCTAATCTTGTTTTGTTTGGCTAATTTGATTTTGTGCAGTGGTGGCAAAAACAAATAAAAGAAAAGAAAAAAGATTATGTGCTGTCTCTTTTGGCCTTTTTCTCTCCTCAGCACAACCTCAGTATGTGTGTAGATCTGATGGTTTTCTTGTTCAAGTTTCTAATTGTAGAGAATATTATAGCATTTGTGATGTTCTTCATACGTAATCGGTCCTGCTTGTAATTGTAGAGAATATCGTAGCATATGTGATGTCCCTCACTCATTTGTACACGTAATCAGTATTGTTCACTTCGGTTAATTTTAGTTGCTTTAGTAAATTTCGTTTTCTATAATTTTAGTTCTTCATAGTGATACATATTAGAAGTAGAAATATAAAAAATAATCCTTTTAAAAATATTTTTTTATTAAAAAAAAGTCTTGGCTGCAACCTTCATATAAGTGCAACCAAAACCATCGTGATAACATGTAGTGGGACCCAATATCGGCCCAATATGATTTAACCAGATCATTAAACGACAATTTGGTCTCAACTCAAATGAACCAGCCCAGCCCAATATGTTTTATGCACTTGTTAAATTTTGATGGTCATGTAAAGCGAAATGACTCTTTTTAAAAAATTAAAAATAAAATAAAATAAAAGTAAAATGACTCTTAAAGTGTAAGAAAGTGTTTTCATTTTGATCATGGCTGTGAAATGCTCTCATTTTGATTTGAGGAATTGGAATCATTAATTTCCAATAGTTGCATTTAGGGGTGAGCCAAAAATCACTCTCGAATCATTTTTCTAAGGTGAAATTCTAAATTACTATAATTTTCTAAGAAAGAGAACTCAAGTGCAAGGAGGCGGGCATATGTAAAACTAGCCTAACTCATGTGTACAACCGTTCAAATTGTGTAAACATGCCAAAGAAACCAATCCAGCCCACATTTTAGTTTTAACATTAAAATGTGTAAATTTTATATCCAATTTGAACCAAAGACACGAAGAACGGTGGACAAGCTATGGTACTTTTGAACTGGCTTTTTGAAGACGATTTTCTCTTCCTTGCTATTGCGACGACTTGGCTAAAGTTATTCCGACCAAAGATGATCGCTTTACTGCCTGAAATAGCAGGAATAATGGAGAGGTACTGTGATTTGTTGAAGATACTATTTCTTTTCGTGTATTCCGTACCTCTCACATATTCTCGACGAAGGAAGGTATTTGATTACTTGATGTGAATTGGGTGCACAGCTTTTATGGTTTTTGTTATGTGACTTATGTTTTGGTTTAGTTGTCATATTCAAATTTATGAGGATTGGAATATCTTTCATGTCGTGTTCAAAATAGTTTTAATGTTACAAAATTCGGCGCACAATTTTGATGTATTTTGTGACAAATCACAATAAATTCGATACTTATTTGTTGGTTTTATTTGGTCGCGTTTTCGGCCTCTTGTTTTTGTAGTACTTGGCAGGATGCACATGAACTGCCATCTCGATATAATACTCAAGACTGGATGCAATTAAACCATGAACGCAAGACTGGATACCACATGTTCTTTTACCAGTCTTGCGTTCATGGTTTTATTCAAGTACCAGTTTGTCCACACACAAAAAAAAAAAAAAAAAAAAAAAAAAAACATGCATTTCATTTTTCCATTGAAGGATATCAACTATACCCACGCATCTTATTTGTGGTAGCAATTACAAATTAAAATCTACCTCCAATGTGATTGTGGCATCGAGTTAGATTGATCCATAATCACGCAGACCAGTTAACAATCCTACTATTGGGGAGGGATATTATTTGTAAGGGTGCAATTTGGCAAGTGTTAAATGGTTCAATAACAAGAATTTGGGTTGATAGGTGGCTGCCAGGCCACCAAGATGGTAGAATCCAACTGAGGAATATGCCAGCTTTGGATCTTAATCAACATGTGGAGACAATTATCAAACATGTCACCATGGAGTGGGAGCTTTCACCTATAAGGCAGCAAATATCGAACCATGAAGCTTATGTAATCTCTCATATTAGACTTACTTGGGAACAAAATCGACTAATTTGGCCTTTTGAGAGGTCGGGGAGTTATTCCGTGAGGTCTGGGTATCACTGGCTTCAGCAGGAATCTGATCATATACATGGGCAGGCCCCATCTTCTTCTTCGGTGACTGATCCTAAAGTTTGGAAGCCCCCCCAAATTTTTTTTAATTTCTTGTGGAAAGCTCTCAGGAATTGGTTAGCTACTAAAGAAAACATGTTCATGAGGAAGATAAGTTCATCCCATAGATGCCCCATTTTCTGCAATGAGCTTGAAACTATGGAACATATGCTTCTTTTATGTACTTGGTGGTGCCAATTTGGTTTGGAGGGCAGTTGAACCTGAGACTAGATAAGTTCTCTATCTCCATTTTTGCTAACTAGCTCCTTACTACAATTGGTGATCTGCCTTGCAGTCCCACTGACTCTTGTAGGACTATATCTATAATTGCTTTCACATGTTGGCATATTTGGAAATTGCGTTTTAAGATGGCCTTTGAGCAAAGCAGACCCTCTCCGGATACAGCTATAAGAGAGTCTCAAACAGCCTATGCAGAGTTCAGTAGTGCGCAGATCCACAAGAATGTCATGCATCCATAGGCCGCCTCCTCAAAATATATCCCCAACTCAGTGGTGGATGCCTCCCTATAATGATTTTGTAAAAGTTAATGTAGATGCCTCTTGGAAGCAAGGTATGGATGTGGCCAGAGTGGGGATCATAATTAGAAGAGCCGATAGGTCTTTCCTGGCAGGTTTCTCAGGCCAAACCAATGCGTCCTCTTCAGTTGCGGTTGAGACTTTGGCAATAATGGAAGGCTGCAAGTTTGCTCTTCATGAGGGTTTGAATAATGTGATAATTGAATTCGACTCACGCAAGGCGATTTCTAGTGTTCATGGAAGCATTGCGAGAGGGAGGTGGCAATTATACCCTTTTCCCAAAACCATTCGACTATTCTTTAGTAATTTTCATCAATGTTATTGGTCCTGGATTCCTAGAACCGTCAACTTGGCAGTTGATCATTTGACCAAGCTATCTTCCTCGAGGATGTGCTCTTTTTTTGGGTTGACCGACCCCCCCATCCTCTCTAACAGGCATTACCACAAAATGGTTAGGCTGATGCTGGTTGGTTTGTGAAGACTTAAGTCTTTTTGAAGCAACGTCTCTTTCTTTCCAATCTGTATCCACAAGCTATGTCCACTTTTGATGTTTTATTTGCCTGTAGTCCCCTGTCATTGGATTCCTGCCTGTTTGAATTTGGTGCTTTGTTTGCGCCCTTGTTTTATTCAAGTACCAGTTTGTCCAAAAAAAAAACAAACAAACAAACAGCTTGCATTTCATTTTTCCATTGAAGGAACTCTACCCACGCATTTTAACTGTGGTAGCAATTACAAATTAAAATCTACCTTCAATGTGATTGTGGAAGTTGAGAAGTCGAATTCATGTATCCATATGAAACGTTGTATATGAAGAAGATGAACCAGTTAGTTACTTCGGTATTAGGTTATTGCTTTCTAATTTCTTGGTGACTGCTTCTGTATGTGTTGTACTTGTAAACACGAATTTTCTGCGACAAATGAGACAAGAACACGTGTACAAAATAATATTTGTATTGATTTATCAAGTGTGTTGATTACAATCTTTGTGGGTATTCTTTCACAAAAATAAAAGAATTTCCTCTGATTCAATCTCCAAGAGTGTGTGCAGTTCAAGGGTGCCAAGCACTTGATCTTGAATCAGAATTTGAGACTTCGTCGAGGGCCGTCACGGCTTGATCTCGAATACGTCAAGACCATGAGTAGTGTCATGCGGTGGATAGTCTTCAACTTTGGTTGTGGAGGAATCGGCACGTGTTTGTTGTGCTTAGTAATTATCCAAGAGCTTGATGAAGAACTTGAGAGTCTAGGTGTTGCTTCGGGTAAAGAGCTCTCTGGTTTTACAAAGTGTGTGTGTCTCCCCCTCCGATGGTCCTTTCTCACGAATATGAGCCTAGTCTTTATAGGCAAAGAATTGAGTCTTGGTTTGGAATCCCCAATCTGAATCCCTTGATTTGTGGGATTGGTTTCTAATTTGATTTAATTTGAGCTAATTGATTTAATTTAGCTCTTAATTAAGTCAAAATCCTTCATTTAGGGAAATTAACTCGTGATTTAGGAAGATGACCAAATAAGGATAATTTATTCCTTTTCGGCATATGATTTCATTTGATATATGAAGATCTTAGATGCTAACATGTGTCATCTCTGGTGTACACCTTTCTCTGCATGAGTCATGTGCCACGTGTATTTATGTGGAACTCACGAATTTTCCACTTATTTTTAACTAGTCAAATTTGAATGTTGACTATTGACTGTAAATTAGTGAATTTTTATTTCACTAAAATTTCCACGTCTACAGTACTGTATAAAATACCAATATGTCAATCTGTACCTGCCATTTGATATCGTAGGTGCTGATTTCAGTTGTCAGCTCCCAGCTAGAAATTCCAGTTGTCATTCATGACTACTTATACATTCACGAAATTCCCCTAATTGAGGTAGAATTTGTGTGTCAAGTACTTGAAAGTGTTAGCCAAAATCCAACACAAACATTATGTTGTCAAAAAACTCTTGTTATTTCCCAACCATAACCAAAAAAGAATTTGCACCGGAAAAAATAAGCAAAGTATTGTATGTACTCACTACAGGCATACAAATTCAACATTTCAAACGAGTTGCATGGCATGCTCTCTTGCCTTCGCTTCCTCAACGCCTTCTTTACTTCCCCTATCCATTTCACTAGGATACGTTTCAATAGGATACTTCCAAAGCAGGACAGGATCAATAACAATTTTCTCTAACGCAGTAGCATTAAGAACTTTATATGTTCAACAGCAGAAGCACGAGCACGATTACTAGCTTGAGGTAATGATGGGGGCATTTAACAGCTTTCTTTATTTTTCTACCGTCTATGTGTAGGGAGAAATCCAACTGCACCAAGAAAACAATTTAGTGTACAGCACAATAAGAAATATATATAGTTTTGCTCCGTAATCTACGAGTACAAACAAATACCTTCAATGCGAGTCTTTGCAAGAAAGGAGATGCTTTCAGAAAAGAAGTTAAATGATGAAGAGCCAGACGGTACTCAGCAAAAAGTATTAATTCCAAATGCTTGAGATTTGCTAGTGTAGGAAACACATGTTCCCGATCGTAAACCTGAAAACCAAACAACGAGCAATAATGAGCTACATATCCATGAATGAAGAAAAGAAACTAACACAACAGTAATTACATACATACTAGGGGCGGTCCTACCCTAAGGGCAGGGTAGGTAGCCGCCTACTCCATTTTTTGCCAAACCAAAAATTACCTAATACACATTACAATTAAATTTATTCTGCCTACTTAAACCCAATCCACTAGAAGCGGTCCTACCCTAAGGGCAGGGTAGGCAGCCGCCTACTTCTTTTTCTTTTCCCTTTTTTTTGGCCTACAAGGGTATTTTGGTCATTTTAGCCCAAAATTCAGAAACAATTTCCTACGTGTTCGTTGAGTCAACTAGTATCGTCCCACTTCAATGTCTTAAATGTCCTTTGAAAAAAAAATTCACAAAATGTTACATAAGGGCATTTTTGTCCAACTTTAAATTAAACTCACTTGATAAAATACCCATAATTATTCTTCACCGTAATATTATTTTATTTTTTTTCATTGAAATACAAAAGTCAACTTTTAATTTTTTTTCGGAGTATTACACCTTAGAAGTAATTTTACAAAGGCATAAATTTGTCTTTAAAATTTTGAAGATAAGGTAGGTGGTGGGGGGTTTGGTGTGGGGATGGGTGGGGGTGGGTGTGAAAATAGCAGTGTGTTGGTCCCCAATAAGACCAATAATTGTATGTAGCATGCCTGTTTCTAGAGGTGGCCTTCTTAAAAAGATTGTACAAATTAATTAAGAATAATACTAGAAAAATGGGGTGAAATGTCTACTTTTCTTCTTAAAAAGGTTGTTGACTTTAGATATCTTGTAAGTGAAACTTGGTGATAATTATACGTAATTGACTTGCACATTGATTGTTGTGTGACATGGAAAAGGAAAGTGAGTCACATACTAACCGATCCGGTGATATCCAGCATGAGACTCTCCAACTGAGAAAGATAACATGAAAGTTGGCTAAAGTAAAGCTTTATGGATGCAGGGTGCAGGGAAATATGGGAAAGGGACACCTCCACAAGCAATGGTACATTACTGAGAAGCAGGTTCATCACAACACCCCGATACATAAATGAAATAATGTTTGCCACTGAAATCTCAATGCTTTGAAGGAAACGACAATATTTTATCACTAAATGCTTCAATGTAACCGATGGATGAACAACTCGTATATTAACCAAACTTTTCAGTTCGGACACGGTTAATTGTTCAAGAACTGGACAGTTGGACAATAAGTATTCATGAACTTCATCAGTCACATCAACACATTTGAAAAGAAGAACTTTAAGGTTGTGAAATCCAATTTTGTATCCACAAGGGCGTAGACTTGGAAGGTAAGAATGCAAGTTCCTCTTTTGGAGACCTAATAGTTTGTGGGGAAATGCATACATCTTTTTTGAACCAACGCTATTTTGTAAAGAAAACTTCAACACGAGTGTTTCAACTCCCTTTTCCATTGCAAACTGAATCCATTTGTCAATGGAACTTCGAAACCGACTATCTAGTTGGAAGCAAACCCTGAATTCTTCAATTTTTGGTCCTTTATGTTGTTCCACCACATGATTCACCCAATTGACATACATACCGCTTTCTATTTTTTTTTTTTTTTTTTTTTTTTTTTAGGATGAAGCGGTAGATATTTTTATCAGTATCATAGTTATTAGCATCAAAGTTGAGAAACATAGTAGACATCCACACAAACTGCCAACGTCTAGAAAGGATACTAGTAGCGGTTGCCTCCTTTAGCGACAAAAGAGACAATATACTGACAAGAATTTCATCTGGCATCTCACTAATTTTGTCAACCAAGTTGTACACACCTTTTTCTCCCTCATTCTTTCCCAAGTTCTTTTCTTCACAACATCTGCGTCGCTTCCCTGAGTTCTTTCCTTCACAACATCTGTGTAGCTTTCTTGAGTTATCTGCTTCACAACGTCTGCGTCGCTTTCCTGAGTTTTTTCCTTCACAATGTCTTAGTCGCTTTCCCAAGTTGCACTCATACTTCTAATAGAAGAATCAGCCCGAATAAAATAAAAAATGAAAAGAGTAAAGAGTGGGTAATTTTACAAAGTTAGATATGGAGAAATAAAAAAAGGATGCAACTTTTAAACCGTTTATATATCTGGGTAACTGAAAAACAAAGGGTTCCAATTATATACCAGTTTAATATTTGGGAAACGAAAAGGATCCAACTTTCAAACCAATTAGATATTCCTGATATAGAGAATGTGCAAGGATCGGATCAGTTCAATTTTGCCCCTAAACCACAGCTCAACTGATTACATTACAACGGATTGGCTTGGTTTGGTTTTGACTAAAACCACAAGGGAAACCAAACCAAACAAAAACCATTGTTGGTTGGTTTGATTTGGCAGGTTTGAGCCTAAACCAAATAAAGACTCAATGCCAATGGGTTCCCACCACAGTGTTGCTGGCTTCCCCCTTCCCCCACGGCACCCCAATGTAACAACAAATAAAGACAATCTATAAGAGAGACCATGACACCAGAGAAAAAAAAATCATCAACAACAAAGATCACCAATTTTTATAAGGCTAAATGCTAAAAGATACCCAAGATGTCAGAACTCACCACCACTGGAAGGAAGGGAGAGCCTGAGATGCTCGATTGAGGAGGACGACTCCAATGAGTTGATCGAAAAAATAGACAGAGCCCACCCTCCCCACAGCTCTATTTGCACTGGAACTTTACACGATTTGCCGTGGTGAACAAGGCGCCAGGGGAGAGAAGAGAGTCGAATAAAAGAGTTCAAATACAATTCTCAAACAACAACAAAAAGTTAAAATACACTTTGCATGAGTTGACATGCCACGTCACTTACTTGGATGTTGGCGGTTGTAACATGAAAGGGTCATTTAAAATTGCACCACATGGTATGTATAGGGTGCATCACATAGAGAGGATCAACAAAAAATTCTTGACCTACTTGTGAACCGTGGCTCTATCAGAAATTGTTCTTCTAAGGAATCGTCTAAGACCTATCCACCGTCTGAAATGATGCGCCCGCGCTTTGCAAATACCACGAAACCTACGCAAGGTTAGCGAACTCTACACCTATCTAGCTAATGTTTCAATGCGAACCCTGCGGCTGCTGATGTTGCTCAATTAAGAAACATAATATCTTAATAAACACTCTTCATTTTAACTCAACCTTTTATTGTTTTATCCTAATATATACTTTTATTTCTAAAAAAATTATAGAAACAGTAAGTACCTAAACAAAACTTGATCATTAGATTTTAAGCTAATAACTTTAGTTAGCTCATCCATTAAAAAATCCTTAGTTCCGTCCTTATTCATATGTGACTATGTTAATCGACGTATGTATTGTATATATTTATATTATGTTAAATTTAGGTGTGAATTAATAACATTACGTGATTATACTTAAAAACTTCACTTTAAATAATTTAATTTGGAATACACTCGAACCCAAAATAAAGTATAGTTTGCGTGAACTACTCTTTGACTGATTAAATTTCACCTACTAGCAAAAATAATGAAGATGTGATCTAACACAACATACTAGAGGGAGAAAAAAACTTGTCTTTTAATGTTGATACGATGGATGTTATATGAATTGTTAAAGAATTATCAACCAATGGGCTTGGATCCAAATTGGCCGATCGGATCCAAATTTTGACCCGGATTAAAACGTGCATTGGATCAGATTGGATCCGAATTTTTACTCGGGTCAAAAACTGGCGGTTCAACATGGCCGTTGTATGAACTCTCAGTGTCTCTGAAACCCCACCCAAGTGAGGTTTTAGAAACAGTTCCGCCATAGCTAAAGCTACAAGACCTAATTTCGTTCTCAAATTCTCAATCCAATGGAACAAACCCAACAGTTTGCTATGGAAATCGGACTTATCGGAGCCATCAGAATCCTCTTCGCAGTCAATGATGTCAGTGACGCTTGGTAGAGCAATGACCGCTCTGCTCTCCGCTCGCCCCAGAAAGCTAAACGACGCCGTTTCTCGACTCTCCCCTCACCCCCTCAACTCAATCGGTCACATCTCCATTTCAGCTTCTCTCGATGACTCCCTGCGGTTCTTGCACAAGTACCTAAACGACGCCGCTGAGAAGAACGAGCCCCTCCATGAAATTCTCATCCCCATGCTTGAAAATGTACCCATTTAATTTTTCTTCACATTTTTCATTCGTTCACAATGCAATTACTTTTGGGTTTCTCAAAATTTTAAAATTATTGTTATTATTTCCAAATTCAGTCATTGCGGTACAAGGACACGAAGAACGGTGGCCAATCCATGGTGCTTTTGAACTGGCTTTTTCAAGACGATTTTCTCTTCCAAGCTATTGCAACGGACTTGGCTAAAGTTATTTCGACGAAAGATGATCGCTTTATAGCGCTTGGCTGGTGTACCCTTGTGCGTGCTCTTTTGGACCACGAGACTGCTATAACCCAGTTTCCCATGAATGGTAAGAAAGCCTAATGTGGAGTGTTTGAAGTGAAATTAGTTTGAAGGCCGTTGCTTTAATTATCTTTAACAGCGGAATTTGAGGTTTTACCGCTTGAAATGACAGGAATAATGGAGAGATACAGTGATTTGTTGAAGATACTCTCTTCGTGTATTCCGCACCTGTCGCATATTGTCGAAAAAGGAAGGTATTTGATTACTTGATGCAAATTGAGTGCACATCTTGTATGGTTTTTGTTATATGACTTATGCTTTGGTTTTCTTGTCATATCCAGATTTATAAGGATTTGAATATCATGCATGTCGTGTTTGAGTTAGTTTTAATGTCTTGTATAACAAAATTAGGCAAACAATTTTAATGTATTATGTGACAAATCACAATAAATGCAATGCTTATTTTTTTGTTTTTATTTGGTCGTATTTTCAGCCTCTTGTTTTTGTAGCACTTTGCAGGAAGGACATGAACTGCCATCTCGGCTTGCTGTCTCTGCTGCTGATTGTTTTTTGGCTCTCACAGAAGCATTGACAAAAAAAGCAAAGGTTGCAAGTAACAAGCCCAAATTGTCAGATTCAAATGCACCAAAACGACAGCTTACTTTAGTGGCCATTGACAGTGGAGAAAAGAAAGCAAAACCAGCTTCTGAATCTTTAGTAACCTCAAATATGGAAATGGAATATATACTCTGGGATCATTTAGAGGAACTTATTTGTCTCGTGCAGAAACTCCTTGCTGTAAGTTCTTGTGACTTTGTTACATTCATATATTCAAACACCTCAAATCTCAAACTTTTAATTTGGTGATGTTGCTATTTTTCAAAATAAGTTGAATAATTAGTATGCACATCCCTATTAGTTATAAATTGTAAAAACTAGGAGTTTCTATCAGCAGTTCATATATTCTTTTACCAAATCTTTCCTTGTAGTTTTAGAAGCAATATTTAGATATTTATGATTAGTCTTGGTTTCACTATTTCTGTATTATATGTAACTTGTTTCAAACATGAACGTTGTTACATTTTGTCACCTACTGCAGTGGAGCAGAAAAAGCCGATCTTTACATGCCAAAGGATTGGAGCAAGTGCTTCAGTGGTTACTGGAGATAAAAGGGCATTATCGCCACTTTGAAGTTGAGGCAGGTCCTCTACCCACTCTTTTATTAAATATCACGCCTCTAATGGTGTCTAATTTTTTATGGGTCATGGCTTCCTTGTTTGTAACATGAAAGACAGGTTCGAAGGTTATCAAAACTGGAGCATTGCTACTGTCTTCTTGTTGGAAGCATTATGGCATGCTAATGCACTTGGAAGATCAGAAATTTTCTCATCATTACAAAGAATTATTGGACCAATACTTAGCAGGCGTACAGGTTATATTTTCTCAGCATTACAAACACCTAATTTCATTAATATAATCCAGGACTATATGAACTTGACTTTTAATTATTTTAAATTGCAAAATAATAAGAACTGTTGTTTGTTACGGTATATTTTTAAATTCTCATGCTGGGCCATGATTTCTTCCACTTTATGGGTGCGTCAACATCTCTATTTTAATGTGAATTTTTATTTACTTTTACTTGATGCAATTGTTAACTTTCTGATAAGAAAAACATATGCAGCTTTATGCAGATAATTATGCAGGAGGGCATCCTGAGAATAAGGATGGTGGTGCAGAGACCAGAAAGTTTTTCCTAAATTGTTTATGCCTTCTATTGGGGCGTTTTGACTGCAAGAAATTTGAGACCATAGTATCAGAATATGGGATGAGGATATCACATGCTCTTTTACCACAGGTAGTAATTCTTGCATCCAATCTTGATATAATACCCATAAGGATAACTAAGATTGATTCCTTAATACCCATAATATTAGAGTTGCCATTGGAAGCCCATTTTTTTTTGTTTTTTTGGGTCATTTTACTAACATTACATTTTATTACATTATGAAGCTCCATTCTTCTGATGATGATGTGGTAGACGGGGTTGTTTGCATACTCAAAGCAGTCATTTTTAAGCCAAAATCATCTGGAAGCAGTCTCACTGACACTAGAGAGGTGGATGCTATGCTACCATTGCTGATTCACCTTCTAGATGAACGGGATGGCACAGCTAGAGCTGTTGTTATGCTTATAGCAGAATATTGTTTGATGTATTTTTCTTATTTACTTCTTTTTATCTTTTGGTGCTTGGAAGCGCAAATCAAATATATTATCTCTCCATTTGTTTTTGGGTACCTGATTGTCAATTTGGTATAAATGGTTCACCAGGAGCAAAGACAGTCATTGCTTTAAAGAAGTTCTGGAGCGCCTTACTTCTGGAAATGTTCAACAGAGGACGAATGCCCTTGATGTTATATCAGAACTCATTTGTATGTCATCAGATTCAAAGGACAAACTTTCCCAGTTATCATGGTATGCAAAATGCTCCATCAGCTTTTATTATTTTGTCATATTATGGTGTTTTCACCATTCTGCCCTTCTTTATCTTTTCCCTATGATAATTGCAGGCAAGATATTGCAAACCATTTGCTTGAGCGACTTGAAGATGAAGAAATTGCAATTCGGAAACAAACATCCACTTTGCTTCCAATGATTGGTTCGTTTACTGTTTAAATTGTTTCATGCCAAATCTCGTTTGACATTTTCCAGATTCTTTGCTATATACTCTTTTAAACCATATTAAACTGTAAATCCAAGCTGTGAAGGAAAATTATTTTGACCAGGCATAAACTGCTTGGTGCATAATGGCAAACTGCTTGGTGCATAATGGCATTTGGTGGCTTGTTTTTCTTCATGAATTATTATCTTTTTATTTTGATATATGGAATAGTTATAATATGATTAAAACAGTTTAAGGTAGATATTATTTATCATCCACTAAAATTCTTGGGTTGCAGATACATTTCAACACTTCAAATAAATAAATAAAATATAAGATTAGTTTGTGGGAAGAGCATGAGCCAAAAACTTAGCTGTTCCCTTTATATTTTAGTATGGATCTTTTTTTCCTCTTTCATCTTCTTTGAGTATAAGTGATATCCACTCTAACTTCTTTAGCACTACCATTAGCAGTAAAGATTGACATTTTGATTTCAGTACTTTGCATTGATGAATTACACATACCTGTTCTTGCAGACCCTTCATTAGTTTTGCCTTCTTTAGTTCATCTAATTTACTCATCGGATGAAAGATTGCAATCAACTGCGAGTGATGCCTGTGTTGGGGTGCTCAAATATCATAGCCAGAATGCTGAAGTTATATGTATGCTGCTTGACTGTCTTAGGTATTTACCTTTTCATTTCATTGTTTTCTCCTCCTGTTCTCAAAGTTTAATTTGTTTATCTTGCTATGAATATGTCTGTTGAAAACTTTGTTTCTTTTTTTTGGGTTTGGGTTAGAGAAATGTATATTGAGCTGAAGCTGCTAATTATGAACATATTCAATAGCAGATAACAGTTTTCCCCATTTATTATTTATTCTTGTTTGCAGCAACCTCAGCCAAAGCATAGATCTTCAGACCACTGCAGGGGTTGTAGGTATGTAACTGTTTTGATGTCACCGCTTGCCAGATGACATCCTTCACTGTGCTGAACTTGTATATGCATCTTTTCCCTCTAATTGCATAACCAAATTTGTGTCTTTTATGTCTTATATCCACTGTTCTTTAATTATCTATATGATGATGTCTGGACTATAATGTTCAAATGACTTACAACAATAGAGCAAATTTTACATGGGAGAAATTAAACTGTAAAGATCTTAATTTTCTTTGGTTTCTTTCATTTCTTTAAAGACCAAATGGAACAATGAGTATAGAAACTATAAATCTAACATAAATTCTGCATCTTTAGAACATGGTTCTTCTACATCATACACTGACAGAGTTTCTTTCGGATGCTTAATATTAAATGCTTTCAGTTGTGTATATTTTTGTGTGAACATATTTCCTTTTTTCCCTTGTGGATTTTAATGGACCGAAGATTTGGAAGTTCGTAATAGTAATGAGGTAGTTTTGAAGCTTAGTTTTGCTTTCCTCTTCCATTTTTGTGGTGAGCAACTGAGCATCAAGTATTCATAGTTAAAATTTCTAATTGATTAATTCTATTATTGCCAAATACTATTTCGAAATTGAGCTCTTCCATTTGCAACTTGCAGGATCGAAATTTGATAGTGATCAAGTGCTTAGGCTGATTCCAGAGTGGTCTAAAAGTGTAAGATTGATTTTACCACAATATGTTTTATATCTCTTTCATGCTTTTTAAATGAAACCTCAAATTTTGGTCATTTCGTCATTTGCTTCATACAAAGTTTCAGCTGGATGATCCTTTTGTTATCTATTGAATTATCTCAGGTTCAAAGCTGGGACGTCTTGATTGGACTGTTGATTGAGAAGATGTTTGCAGAGCCATCAAATGCAACAATTGTCAAGTTTTTGAGTTATATAAGTGAGCACTTGGCAGAAGCTGCTGACGCAGTCCTCTCTTGTGTTCTATTGCATGCTAAGTGACGGAAAGAGTAAGTACATTATGTTATATAGCATTTATCAAATATAAGGCTCATATCCTTATTAATAGTTAGCCGTCTGCAGTTTATACTAGTACCTAGTGATTATACAGTGGCTTCCTGTATCTTTCTCTTTACTTTTCAGCTTATTTGAAGACTTTTTTCAACTTTCTATGCTAAAGTTTTCTTCTTTAATTTGTTCTGTCCTTTCTCTCTTTCAGGCCTGATGAAAACAGCTTTTCTGGACGGGAGTGTCAAACCTATAGAAGTGATGACTCTGAAAAAATGCAGCAGACCCTTTTTGAACACCTTTGCCCACTACTCATAATTAGGATGCTTCCACTGAGAGTGTTTAATGACCTTAATTCATCTATAGTGTATGGACAACTTTTCAATCAAGGCATTTTTCACGGTATACTCTCTCTCCATCTCCATATTAAACAAGTTTGCTGATTTGAAAACCTAAGAGGTATATGGTTTCTGGTGTGTGTGTGTGTGTGTGTGAGAGAGAGAGAGAGAGAGAGAGAGAGAGAGATCTGATCTGTCTCTCTACAAACAACTGGTGGATTGTCAATTTAGAATCAACAATATATGGAAGAAGGATTGGATGCTTGCTTGTAATGGTTTAGCAACTGGAAAGTATTTGTTTTAGGAATCCTCAATTTGAAGATGCATGTTTTTGTGCACATCTTACAAACATGTACATTCTGTCAATCTGTCCAAACTGGTTTCAACAACATTGACGCGTGTTAGTCAGTAAGTACAGATCTCTTACCACATTGTGAAATTCAGTTATGTAAAATCATAATTACTATTTTTTCCAATAGCTGCATGATTTTTGTGAAACATCTATAAAAATTCTCTAGACGCACTTCTGGTTTTAACCTATTTCTGTTTAATTTCAGACTCTGGAGATATCAATGCCATCAGTGAGGATTGTGTTACCATTCTTCTTTTGAAAAGGTTAGTCCATCAATGTTAGAAAGATTCATTCATATGACTGGAATCTGACTTCTTCATTTTTTATTCTGGTTACATTTTTATTTCAGGACATTTTGTGAATTTGAATTCAATGATGTACGGAAACTTGCTGCTGAGCTCTGTGGGCGTCTTCATCCCAAAGTATATAACAGTGACTTTTATTACCTACTCTTTATTATGACTGCATCTTCCATTACATGTTCCAGGAAGACTGATTTGTGCCTTCATGGATATATGTATTCTCAAATAAGGTTTTCAACTTGGTTATGTGATCATATGCATGTTAGCATCCATAAACAATCTATTCAGAGCTTTAAAATGTGAGGCCTCTGTGGATCGCAACTGCAGTTTCTGCTTGTTATGCTAGCATGGCTTTAACATTAAGTGAGCAAAGCATTTATCTCTGTGGAACTACACAAGTACACTTTTATGCTTTTCTTATCAGTTATGTAAGATTTTCTTTCAACTGGACTAGCAGCCATTGGTCTAAAGCAGTGCCAATGCTACTATATCAGGATTCCAAATCTATCAATGTGTGGTACTAACTAGCAAATAAGTATGTGACCGAATTTTTTTTTAAAAATGTATTGGCACTATTGCATGTCTATCTACCTGCCTACTTCTCTGTTAACTTCCACACTGACCATTAAAGAAGCTCATTGTTGTTTCTTGTAATTAGTCAGTACGGTTATTTATATCATTTCAACTCTAAAATAAGTTGGGTTATGAACACATAGATTGGATGTGCCAACTTATAGCGTTAGCTAAGATCCATTTGGGAATCCATCTGCTTTTCAGAAAGAATTCTCTGATTTTGGATCCTTGGAAATTTCGTTTAGTGGTCTGTTAGTTTTGTACTGTCAATTGGGTTTCATCCATTTTCAATGCTCAAGAATGATTCCAGAATGTTTGCTCATCAACTTGCATTTCATTTTTCCATAAAGGATATCAACTATACCCACGCATCTTATTTGTGGTAGCAATTACAAATTAAAATCTACCTCCAATGTGATTGTGGAAGTTAAGAAGTCGAATTCATGTATCCATATGAAACGTTGTATATGAAGAAGATGAACCAGTTAGTACTTCGGTATTAGGTTATTGCTTTCTAATTTCTTGTTGATTGTGCTTCTGTATGTGTTGTACTGGATAAAATACCAATATTTTAATATGTACCTGCCATTTCATATTGTAGGTGCTAATTCCAGTTGTCAGCTCCCAGCTAGAAATTGCTACAGGTTCTTGGGATATACTAAAGATTAAAGCTTGTCTGTTTTCAGTTTGCACTTCCCTTGTGGTAATTATTTTTTATGGTCAATATCTTGGCAGAGTTTTGTGCTTTATTCTTCTGCCACGACCTCAGGCATCTTTTGTTTTATTTGCATTGATCTAATGTTGAGGTTCCTGTCATGGATAGGTCAGAGGCAGGGAATCACTTTCTCATCCTTTAATGCTCAAAATCAGAAAAATATTGGAGACAATGCTTTTATGGCCTTCTGTTGATGGGGATGAAGGTGTGTGATAAGTAAAGTTTCTCAAACACGTATCAATTTTGTTTCTATTGGTTAAGTTTGATGCTGATAGGTTTCTATCCCCTCAGTATCTAAAGCACAGCATGGGTGCATTGATTCCCTGGCACTGATGATATTTGCTGAGCTGCAAGATCCGGAATCATTTAGCATTGTTGGGAAGAAAGGTGATCTTGGTTATTGCATTATCCTAAGTATGAACTTAAATTTTGTAGGGTACATGTGACTTTTATGATCCATAATGCAGGTGATGCTTCATCAGGAAACTCCGTCCTCACCTATGTGGTCAATAAACTTATACAAGATAACCACCAACCTGTTTTATCATCCAACTTGGATGATGTGAAATGCTCGTCTGAGGTGCCAGTTCCACTCTCATTTTATATGTGCATGGCTAATGTTCTCATCAGTGCTTGCCAAAAGATATTGGACTCAGGAAAAAAGCCTTTTGTTCGAAAAACTCTTCCATGTCTCATCCATTCTGTTAAGGTATTTTGATTATTTATTTCACTATCAGTAGATTATCATGTTATCGAAATCTGTTGTGGCTCATAAAGTCATGCTTTGTCTCACTTCATTCTTAAATGTGGTGTCAAATACTGCAGGTCATGACGAACTCAGAGATAAGAGCTGCATGCATTCAGGTTCTCTTTTCATCCGTGTACCATCTGAAATCTACAGTTCTTCCTTACTCAGCTGATCTTCTTGAAGTCTCATTAAAAGCACTTAGAAAAGGATCAGAGAAGGTATTGAGCGCAGTTTTGATATATTAGTTACTGTCTCTATGCCTTGGCATTCACAAACACCCAATTTGTGAACTGATGGCCCATATTGTTCTTCAGGAAAGGATGGCAGGTGCAAAGCTATTGGGGTCTCTTATGGCTAGTGATGATGCAATCTTAGAAACTATATCAGGAAGATTAGTAGAAGCAAGATCCATACTGTCAAGTATATCTTTGACAGATCCTTCAGTCGAGCTACGGCAAGTCTGCGGAAAGTTGCTAGCATGCCTAATCTCTTGAGATGGTGCCTAGCAGAGTACAGCATAAGTTTTATCTGCTTCATTTTTCATTTTGGGTGATGTACAGATGTATATTTACTTTTGCTGTATTTAAATTGACAAGTTTTCGTGATGATAGTTGTATAAATGTGCAAATAGGTTGCAAAGCAAAAGTAGGAAGGTTCTTAGGACTCAAGTTCATTAGAAATTTCTAGTATATTACGAAGGAGAATTAGGATTGTTTCAAGACATTTGTATCAGCGCGAAATTTGGATTCTCTTATTGTGATGGTTATCTTTGACTGCTAATTCAAATAATCTTCTAGCGTTTTAAGGATTACTCATTGTCTTTAAGATTTTAGTAACTAAGCTTCAAAATGTGTTTAACTTTTGGATTTCTAATGAACCACTAGATTAGAAGTCAAGCATAGCCAAAACAAGAGCCGGCTGTTGGCAGTTTTAGTAGACAATAAGAAATAATACTGAATTCCATCTCTTCTCAACGGATGAAAGGTATAAAACCACTCAACAAAAGTTGTGAAAAGTTGTAAAAAGTTCAGTGTTGGTTTAGGCCACAACATTGAAATACTATTTTTAAGTAAAAATATCAAAGAATTTAGCTCCAGAATTTGGATCTAAGAAAATTGTGTTCCTAGATTTCCGACTCAGCTAAACACATTTGAATTACATATATCAGGATTCAGAAACTTCAGATAACTAGCACAAAGAATCTTCCGGTAATTGCAATTTATTGTTCATTTAACATTCTTTAATCCTGTTTAGCTGATAATAGAAATCAAAGCAATAAAGATTCCCTCCAAAAAGATATTCCCACATCGATCAAAAGAGAGAATATATTCCCACTAAAGAGATCAGCCCAGGCAGCAGATGCTACCTGCTATCAAATATGCGTAAACTACAAACATGACCCACATTATTCTCTCAACTTCAAATTGTTGCCAACTTGCTATCCTAGCAATGCATGCATTACGACAAGTAATGTTACTGAAACAAAATTCTCCCAACATCTAAATAGAGCATAGAATTCATGTGGCCCCATTGGGTGGAGAATGCATTGCATCAAGTTCATAACCTTGAAAAATTACTTCCATCCCAAAAAAAATCTCCCAACATAGAAGGGAATTCCTCCAGCACCAGAAGTTCCGTATTACTTCTGGTAGTTTGAACATCATCTGGAATCTAAAGGAAAGAAATATTGTGATGATTATTTGTAAATGAGTGCATCACGACCAGGCCCCACACCAATGTAATGGATGGGTACGCCGACAAGTTCTTCTATCCTTTCCACATACTGGCGTGCTGCCTTTGGAAGGTCAGAATAGTTTCTGACCAAAGATATATCAGACTTCCATCCAGGCAATACTTCATATTCCACCTAAACATAGAAAAAAAAATAGCATCAACAAGAGTGTGTTTTCCAAGATATAAAAAAATATCCACCAAAACTTAAAAAAACAGTAGCATCAACATGAGTTAACACAAAGTTTTTCTTTTAAGATATCAAATATAACGAGAGACTTGATTACTAAGAAAAAATTAGTATAAATTATCCAACTGAAAATTTAGCAAAACTATAAACAGCATATCCAAATAGAAGGGAGAGGAGAGAACATGCCTTTAACTGCTCAAGATCACGAAGGTCTGCAGGGAATGATCTGATTGGTGTACCATCAGTTTTTTTGTAGGCAACACCCAACTGAATTTCAGGAAGATCTGACAAAACATCAAGTTTGGTGAGATTGAGAGAAGAAAAACCATTAATCTGACAGCAGTATCTCAATGCTGCTATATCAAGCCAACCACAACGACGAGGGCGGCCAGTAGTTGTGCCAAACTCCTGACCAGCAAACCTAAGGAGGTCACCCCCTTTACCCAAGATCTCTGTGGGAAAAGGACCAGAACCAACTCTTGTAGTGTATGCTTTCACCTGCAGAGATGAAGTTCAAGTTAGCAACATTACTTCACCATCTCAATTGACCTTTGCACTAACTGCAAGAATACATGTCATGACCAATACTATCATATGGTGTTCTGTCTCCTTTGAAGACATTTCAACCAGACAACTCCTAGATACAGATTCCATTAGTAAAGCCAAAATTATATGCAACAAGAAACCATATGACAATGATGACATCAGTCAAATGAAAATCAATTCTGCAACTACAAGAGTAACATTCTACTTACCACTCCAACTAGATCGCCTAGAACTCTGGGAGCAATGCCAAGGCCAGTGCAAATCCCACCGGCTGAAGGACTAGAGGATGTTACAAAGGGGTAAGTTCCAAAGTCAATATCCAACATTGTTGCCTGGCCCCCTTCGACCAAAATCTTTTTCTTCTCAGAGATGGCTTCATTCACGACAAGCACAGTATCGGCAATGAAGGGTTCCAATCTCTCAGCAAATCGCTTGTACTTTTCAACTTCTTCTTTGAGCACATGGGGCCCATAGTCAAAACCTCGGAATCTTGCTGCAGCATCTGATAATAGAATATCTAGCTTTTGAGGAAAAGCATCCATGTATCTCAAGTCGCTAACTCGAATACCATTTCGGATAACCTTGTTAGAATAACAAGGTCCAATACCTCTCTTGGTAGTGCCAATGAAAGATTTAGCAAGCTCAGATTCTCGAAGCCCGTCCACTACTTGGTGGAAATCAAATAAGAGGTGCGCACGATCAGAGACCAATATCCTTCCCTTGCAGGAGACTCCATTAGATTCGAGGCCATCAATCTCCTTAAAGAGCCCTGGAAGATGCACCACAACTCCATTCCCAATAACACAAAGAGTCTCTTCATTAAGGATACCTGAGGGAACAAGGTGAAGTGCAAACTTCTTTCCCTCTGCATTGTAAATGGTATGTCCAGCATTTGCTCCACCCTAAAAAGATACAAGAATTAATCAGGAAATTACAAAATTTGGTTATAGATGTAAGAGTTTTCTGTTACCTGACAACGAGCAACAATGTCAAAGTGTTGGGCTAAGATGTCGACAAGTTTGCCTTTTCCTTCATCTCCCCACTGGCAGCCCAACACACCCGAGACCTGGGTTAGCGACTCAATTCGACTTAGCCCCTGATTAGGAGACCCAGACACACTTAGAGGTGAGGGAGTGGCAATTGAGGGCTTCACCGAGCATACGACAACATTTCTGGGGCCCTGAAGGTGAATGGGCCCATGGAGGTAGGGACCAAATGAGCGAGGCTTAGAGAGCAGATTGGAGTCGAGAGTTGTGAAGGACGAGAGGTTGTTCATGGTGAACCACTAAATGAGAAAGAAAATGTTTAATCAATGACCATTCAAACTTAAAAAAACTCTGTTTTTGAGCAATTGGAGAAAACACCCATACCATAAAACAAAAAATGTTAACTACCATTATTAGGCCGAGAACATATCAGTAAAACACAAGAACTACATATATTGCTCTAAACAAGAAGAAAACGTAAAAAAATTGCAATCCCCTATCTTTTTGTTGGGAGTGAGAGAAGACTTAACATTTAGTATAATAAACAGTTAACAATACAACATTCAATTTGCATTATGAATCATTACAGTTATCCATACTGGTAAATTTACCAAGACCAGAATGTCTACGGTACTCTCTATATGAGACTCAACACAAATCAATTATTCATATCAATGGATTGACAACAATTATATAACAAAATGTGCTCATATATTTCAACAACTCTCTCTCTTTAGTAATGCGCACAAATGAAGCTCATTAATTCTAAAAATTTCATACTAACCAGCTGTACTAACTGGGGCACGTTGGCTGATCGTTTAGCTTCAAAATACCGTACAAGTTGACAGATTTTTCCATTGTCGGTAAAAAAATAAACGAAATTTCAAACAAACAGGCTCTGTAATCAAGATAAAATCCAGTTATCATCACAACAAATATGCCATACCAATTTATAAAAATAAAAAAAACAGCAAAAATAAAGTATATATATACATTCAAACCACATTTTGGGTTTGCAGCTAAGATCTGCAACTCGTATTTTCTAAGGTCAGAATCAAATAGAAAACAGAGCAATTCATTCACCCCTCATACATACAAATATATACATACATGTTAACGAAAGAATGAAGTTCTCATAACTGACGTTTGAAAGCAGAACCAGGAAATCAAAGATCAAAGCTTGACAGAGCAAGATCGAGGCAACGGGGATTTCGACATCAAAGAGAGGAGAGAGAAAGGGCGAGAACTCCGCTGGTATTCTGACAAAAGATTAGGGTTGATTAGGTTTTTTATTTTTGGACCAGAGGGTTGATTAGGTTACATTTGGAATATTTTGACATTTCGGCTACCAAAGATGGGTATTTTCGTCATTGGAACTCATTGACACGGACGGACGAATGCATCGAGTTTTTGAGACTGTTGACCTCATTGGACTTGGCTATAACCACGAATAATGTGTGTTTTATTTATTTATTTTTTATGACACAAGTAATATGAAGGAGGAGAAAATCGAACATAGGACTTCGAATGTATGAGTAAATTTTCTTAGTTATTTGAGGTATAAGTCCTTTTGCGATAATGTATTTGCTTTAGGAAGGTGAGAGGAGTGTTGAGGCCCAAAATATTCACAGTTCGGCCCAAATAAATTCTCGGCCCAATGCGATGCTTTACCAAGAAGAAACCCGATTTGGGCATGCGAAAGTTCATCATATGCGCTTGCACACATGCCACGCCAAACGACACGCCACGCTAAGCAAGGAATTATCATTCCGCACCTAATCACGCCACAAGCTTAAGTGGGCCCCAAGCCACTCAAATACCCGGGGCTTGCTTGAGTGGGTTGTTGTATGGATGGTAATAAATTGTCATGAGGCCCATTGATGGACCAAGAAGTGGAGGTTCCGGGTTACTTGGGAGCCTCGGAACCCAAGCCCATTTCTTAGGCCCAAACATGTGGGTAAGCACAAGAGAGGAAATAGCCCAATTGCTTCAACTAGAGTAGCCCAACCAAAATAACCCATTACTTTAGATAGCCCATAAAGCCCAAATACTTGGTGAATTTAACCCACTTATTAGATGACTTGGCCTTCTATATTAAAGGGCCCATACCATTTGAATAAAAGGAGTCCAAGGCCTTCAGCACTTGGCTGAAGCAGAAGTCCACGAAGAAAGCCAGAGATTCACATGTGAGGGGCTGCTGGGGGAACAAGTTCCAAGTGCAAGCATTCAAGAAACCAAGGGGTATTAGCACGCAGGGGAAGATGCTATCCCTTAAACCAGCAGGCGCACCCATTTTCTTTCCTTCATCAGATTTGGCCGTGAAAAGAGGAGGAAAGAAGAGAAAGAAGATGGGTGAAAATGGAAGCTCTCCTCTGAAGCTGTTGAAGCCTCGAGCTCCCAAAAATCCCTGATTTTGTGGGATTGGGCAGAACTGATTTTTGCCTCCATGAGGTAAGTCAAGCAAGAGGAGAAGAAAGGAAGAGGAAAGCTTAGCTAGATTGGAAAGAAACCATTAGGGTTTCTTGGAGAAGACCCATTCCCAACAGCTATAAATAGGACCCCTTCTACCCAACACAACACAACCCACAACCTTTAGAGAGCAAGCTTTCTCTCTCACATGCAAACCCAGGAATTTTCGTGCTATCCTTCCTCATTTTCCTTTATTTCCCCTGTTTTGGCAGATTGACAGAAGCTTTGACAGAGTCACTGTCAAGCTGCCGGAAACTGCGAAAGTCACCCAAAACTCTTCACCATCCTTCTCCCTCTTCATCAAAGCTCCTTAGAGCCTCTCTCCCTCTCCATTAGAACCTCTGTACCTCATAGGAACCCACAGATCTCTCTCTCCTAAAGTGCTAAACTCATGATAATTTTTGCTCCCATGCCATAAGTCAATCATGCCAAGCTAGAATATTTATTTGTAATTTGTTGTCATTTTCATTGGTGAAGGTAACCAAGGAGTTTCCTAAGGCGTCATCACCCTTTCGAGACATCCTTGGGGCTTGATCTTCGAACTCAGGCTCAAGGGGCAATTTCTTCCATTTTGCCCTTCACGGCAGTCAGGCCCGTAGTAGCTGCCGGAAGAAAAAAGCCCCTACAAGGAGGAGATGGAAAGAGATACATTTGTTTAATTTTTGTCACAATTGATATATATTTTTAAAAATTAATAGCTTAATTAGAACGGAAAAACACAATCTCAATTCTCCCAAATATTTCCATATTCTTTACTTTTACAACAGCCATTATTATTATTTTCTTATTACATTCGTGTACAATGGATCTTATTCGTGTTGAAAAAGAAAAATAAATTGAGAGGAGAAAGTTGTCCTTTTCTGTCAAATTACCCCCCAAACTTACCATTTACACAGAGAGCACACAACACACAGCAGCCACCCTTTTGGTTCTTCGCTCCTGCTACCCCTAGGTTTTCTTCATTGCTTCCTTATTTACTTCTTCATTTCTAACCCCCTCCTCCTTCCTCTTCCTCTTGTCTTCACTTTTCTTCTAACCCTCTTGTTTTTCACACAGTCCTCTCACAGTCCAAGTTCGAGTCTTGGAGGGGTTTGCTCAACCCAGTGCTCAAATGGCCAAAAGGTACTTCCTTTTCATTCTCTAATCTTCCAATTTCTCTGCTGAAAGTTTGGTGTTAATTTATTATTGCTCATGTATTTGCAGTGGTAATGTTTAGGGTTTATCTATTCGATTGAGAGATTCATTGGCATAGCTAATAATTGCAAAAAAACTTATTGTAAAGCAAACTAACCAGCTAACTTTGTCCCACTCAGCTCTGTTCATTAGTGCGAAGTTTTTAGAATTAATTAGCAAAATGTTAAGTCGTGATTGATGAGTTGGTTGCTTACTAAAATGTAGTTTGTCTATAACAAAATGAGTTTTGTACTATGAGTATGAAAATTTTGATTTTTGTTTCATTCTTGCTGTCCTTTTTGTTGTTGTTATAATTCTGGTCTTGGTAAATTTACCAGTCTGGCTAACTGTAATGATTCATAAGGAGTTTTTATAAGGGGCATTTGTGATTGAGTTTCAAAATAAGGATATTAGTGAATAAATTAGGTTAGCCAAGGGTAAAGCTGCCAATTTCCCTAAATGGTAAGGGTAAGTTGGGGGGAAATTGGCAGCTTTACCCCTGGCTCACCTAATTTATTCACTAATATCCTTATTTTGAAACTCAATCACAAATGCCCCTTATAAAAACTCCTTATTGACAGCCTATTGCCCATCCTTCACTTAGTTTTTTTTTCCTCAGTCATTGCTCTTCCTCTTCCTCTTCTTCCTTTTGCCAAACCTCACAAAATCCACCTCAACCATAGAATCTCCCCTAACTCTATCTCATCTTTGTTATATCTTCCAACTAAGAGTTGATTTCAACCTCAAAGTTGAACCCCAAATTTGGACCAGACCCTAGCCAAGGCGCGACTCACCACCTCTGTTGTCGGCCTCCGCAACGAAGCCATAGTCTTGAATTGCCACCTCCATTGTCGGCTTCCACCACAAAGCAACGACACAATCCTTGTCGATCTTCACTGTGGTGAGTTCTTATATTGGTTTTGTTTTTGTTTATTTATTTATTTTTGGGTTTTTTTGATTGATTGAGATTATTGGGTGATTGATCTCACTGTTTTGAATGATATATTAATGGGTTTCTATTGTGGCTTGCTGTTTCTGTGATTGAATGAAATTTACCAAATATTTCATATGGTTGTTAAGCTCTTGGACTTGGATACACTATTTTGTGCTTATGATTTGTCTTTGAAATGATGTATACATTGTTTTGTAATTGAGACTTGGACTTGCAGATCTCCTTAAAAGTAATGTATTCACTCTTTTGGATGATATTTGATATGAAACAACCTTGGACAGTCAAGGTTTGGCAATTTGTAAGTAGTTAGTTAGTAATAGGATACCCTAGGTTAATGGCTTTGGGTTGGATTTAACTTTAAAAGTTCTTAATACATGCTTTCCTTGCTGGAGCTTGAAACACAGCTATGCTAGTTGAACCGTTTCACTTTGCATAATACTGATGTTTTAAAATTGTTGGTTATTAATGTTTAATTGATGTTTTATCTATATGGTTTATACACTAGTTGATAGATTTTTTATTGGTAGCTTAACATGTGTTAACAAAAGGAAATTTTATGATGGTTAGAAATGGACACAATTGCAATTTTGGTTTGCTACAATGGCAAATGGGAAACCTCAAAGAAGATGTGCACATATGAAGGGGTGACTCAAAAGGCATAATAGTTTCGTGAAACATCACATTTGGTGAGCTTTTGGAACGGGTGCATAAGATTGTTAATAGAGACAACAGGAAGACAAGCTTTGTTTAAAGTTCTCAATTTCAATATCCTCAAATGAGTGTAAGCATATCAAGATTGAGGACAACGATGATGTTAAATTTTTCATTAAGTATATTTGTGAAGTAATTCCTTCGAAAGTGGCTCCTTTACTGGTGAGCATAGAAGACAGAGGAGTGACAAATGTCATAGGTGATCGTATACATAGCACGACGGATATGAGTCGGATGGCCTGTTCTTAAAATGCCATAGTTGAAAGCAATGGTGATGTACATGGTGATTTTGGAACATAATATTTAGACATGATTGATTTTACAAGGGTGGAGGGGATGCATAGTGGTGATAATGGTACGGAAATGAATGGATTGCAAATGCACTCAGCCCATCCTATTTTGGCCCATTTGGAGACATTTTCACAAGTGGGTGTGGTGGGGTTTTGGAACGACGTTTGAACTTTCTATTCGACATAATTGGAGGTAAATGGGTGAACAAAACGTGCAAAATTTGGATATTGTAAATGATGATGATGATGAAGATATTGAAAGTGCGTATTCACGGAATAATTGGGATCCAAAATTGGAAGTTGGGAAAATTTTAACTAGTAAGGAAGCCCTGTCCAACAAGTTACGGTTGGCGGCTGTGAGAGGTCACTTTGAATTTAAGGTGAAACAGTCTTGCAAGAGTCGATTGGTTGTGGTTTGTTCTCAAGGCCCATGCCCATGGCGGCTTCGTGCATCTAGTTATGGACAAAAGAACTTCATGATTGTGAAATATAATCCAGTTCATGAATGTGATATGAATTTTATACATGACAAGCATCGTCACGCAAGTGCTAAACTCGTTGGTAATGCAGTGAAGCGGAAGTTGAAAGATTCTCGCACAATATACACACCAAGTGATATAATCAGAGATGTGAAACAAAACTTTGGTGTCACCATTAATTATTGCAAAGCTTGGAGATCAAGGGAGTTAGTTCTAATGTCCACTAGAGGAGGCATATTCTCTCCTTCCAGCTTATTGTCACGAATTAGAACGTGTGAATTTCGACACAATGACATACATCCACACCGATGAGAACAACCACTTTTCGTATTTTTTTTATAGTTGTTGGGGCATGTATTAGAAGGTTTAAATCTTTGATGCGGCCAGTCATTGTTGTGGACGCCACGCATTTAAAATGTAAGTATAAGGGTGTACTTTTTGTTGCCAATGCATTTGACGGAAATCGAAATATATTTCCTCTTGCAAGGGAAGGATATCGGTCTCTGATCGTGCGCACCTCTTATTTGATTTCCACCAAGTAGTGGACGGGCTTCAAAAATTCGAGCTTGCTAAATCTTTCATTGGCACTACTAAGAGAGGTATTGGACCTTGTTATTCTAACAAGGTTATCCGAAATGGTATTCGAGTTAGTGACTTGAGGTACATGGATACTTTTCCTCAAAAGCTAGATATTCTATTATCAATGCTGCAGCAAGATTCCGAGGTTTTGACTATAGGCCCCATGTGCTCAAAGAAGAAGTTGGATCGACTCCATTCCAATATATGTTATTCTAGACCTTCCTAGGATCATGTAGGAATTTGCATATCGTGAATCAGAGCCCCGGATATTCAGATTCAATAACTTAAAGTTTACGTTTTATGATAACCGTCTGATCGTGCGATCGTAAGTGATCTAACTGTCCGTTTGGGACCAAATTTGCAGGAAAGGTATCTTAGACCTTGTGAAACCTTTAGGAACTTTGGATTGTGAAATAGAGGTCGTGGGTCCCGTGGGCCCGGTTGACCCGAATTGGGAAGTTTGACCGCCGATTGCCCGAGTGTCTCCCGAAGTTATTCCATCGTCCGAATTGGGTAGTTGAACCTTAGAACGTCTCATTCCTCGTACACATACTAGAACCCTGGGAAACTAGGATTTTAATTCAAAGTTCTCGTTCGAAACGCTTTGTATTAATCTCGTATTTGTATTCTGAAATAGGTACTCTGACCATGCATACGCAGCAGGCGGGACCCTTTTAGGGTCAAGCAGCGTGGGACTACTTGTGAGTGGACTTCGTTTTCAAATAATATGCATGGTTTTATGATGGGAAAAATTATGCATAATGTTTTAATGGTGTTGGATATATTATTTATTCAATGGTTGAAATTGATATTTTTATGATGCATTGGCATTTATTTTGGGTTTTGACATATTTGAGTATCTTAAGTATGTATATATGGAATTTGAGAATTTATACCTATATTGTCTATGTGTGGGGTACTTAGGTTGTTGAGATGAGATTGTGGAAAGATTTGAGTATAGAACGTCAATTTGGAGTGCTATAAGCACTACCCTATGTACCTCCCTGGATTTGGAACTTGGATATGGATATTTGAGATACTTGGAATTGTCGGAACCTGGGGCATCCTTGACGAGATGTTGTTGTAGACCCTTGATTGGGTAGTCTGCGCGCGTAGGACTGGTCACAGACGTACGAGCTTTGAGAGTCTCGGCTATACGTGCTGGCTGAGAGTTGGTCCTCTAGTGAGACGGCTCGTTCCCTAGCTACATGGTGAATTGAGGAATTTGTTTTATGTAGACTCTGCCATGTGGACTAGTCAAACAATCCCCCAGATGGATTGTTTCCCCAGTACAACTAGGTGTGGTTATATTACATTATATATCTCTTATATTATATATTTATATATACATATATAACTATTCCTTCGTTCTTGTTTCTCAGTGAGGATACTTCCTCTCTGGTTGTGCCAATAGGTACGCTTTTGAGAGTTTAGTTTTGCACTGTGATTGGGTTTCAAAATAAGGATATTAGTGAATAAATTAGGTGAGTCAGGGGTAAAGCCGCCAAATTTCCCTGTTTTACGCACGAAGCACACAACACACAGCAGCCACCCTTTTGGTTCTTCGCTCCTGCTACCCTTAGTTTTTCTTCATTTCTTCCTTATTTACTTCTTCATTTCTAACCCCCTCCTCCTTCCTCTTCCTCCTGCCTTCACTTTTCTTCTAACCCTCTTGTTTTTCACACAGTCCTCTCACAGTCCAAGTTCGGGTCTTGGAGGGGTTTGCTCAACCCAGTACTCAAAGGGCCAAAAGGTACTTCCTTTTCATTCTCTAATCTTCTAATTTCTTTGCTGAAAGTTTGGTGTTAATTTATTATTGCTCATGTATTTGCAGTGGTGATGTTTAGGGTTTATCTATTCGATTGAGAGATTCATTGGCATGGCTAATAATTGCAGAAATTTTTATTGTAAAGCAAACTAACCAGTCAACTTTGTCCCACTCAGCTCAGCTCGTTAGTGCGAAGTTTTTAGAATTAATTAGCAAAATGTTAAGTCGTGATTGATGAGTTGGTCGCTTACTAAAATGTAGTTTGTGTACAACAAAATGAGTTTAGTATGAATTTTTTGCTTTTTGTTTCATTCTTGTTATCCTTTTTGTTGTTGTAATTCTGGTCTTGGTAAATTTACCAGTCTGGTACTAAATGTTAAGTCTTCTCTCACCCCCAACAAAAAGATAGGGGATTGCAATTTTTTTTATGTTTTCTTCTTGTTTAGAGCAATATATGTAGTTCTTGTGTTCTACTGATCTGTTCTCGGCCTAATAATGGTAGTTAGCATTTTTTGTTTTATGGTATGGGTGTTTTCTCCAATTGCTCAAAAACAGAGTCTTTTAAGTTTGAATGGTCATTGATTAAACATTTTCTTTCTCATTAAGTGGTTCATCATGAACAACCTCTTGTCCTTCACAACTCTCGACTCCAATCCACTCTCTAAGCCTCGCTCATTTGGTCCCTACCTCCACGGGCATTCACCTTCAGCGCCCCAGAAATGTTGTCGTATGCTCGGTGAAGCCCTCAATTGCCACTCCCTCACCTCTAAGTGTGTCTGGGTCCCCTAACCAGGGGCTAAGTCGAATTGAGTCGCTAACCCAGGTCTTGGGTGTGTTGGGCTGCTAGTGGGGAGATGAAGGAAAAGGCAAACTTGTCGACATCTTGGCCCAACACTTTGACATTGTTGCTCGTTGTCAGGTAACAGAAAACTCTCATGTCTATAACCAAAGTTTGTAATTTCCTAATTAATTCTTGTATCTTTTTAGGGTGGAGCAAATGCTGGACATACCATTTACAATGTAGAGGGAAAGAATTTTGCACTTCACCTTGTTCCCTCAGGTATCCTTAATGAAGAGACTCTTTGTGTTATTGGGAATGGAGTTGTGGTGCATCTTCTAGGGCTCTTTAAGGAGTTTGATGGCCTCGAATCTAATGGAGTCTCCTACAAGGGAAGGATATTGGTCTCTGATCGTGCGCACCTCTTATTTGATTTTCACCAAGTAGTGGATGGGCTTAGAGAATCCGAACTTGCTAAATATTTCATTGGCACTACCAAGAGAGGTATTAGACCTTGTTATTCTAACAAGGTTATTCGAAATGGTATTTGAGTTAGCGACTTGAGGTACATGGATACTTTTCCTCAAAAGCTAGATCTTCTATTATCAGATGCTGTAGCAAGATTCCGAGGTTTTGACTATGGGCCCCATGTGCTCAAAGCAGAAGTTGAAAAGTACAAGCGATTAACATGAAGGCCAACTTAACATGAAGGCCACTTGGGTCTTGTATGCTTTACATTGCAAAATGTATATGAATCAGATTTTGTTTTTCAACAAAAGATTTATAAGTTCATCCAAAAAAAAAGTTAAAAGCAAGAAACCAATCTTCTCTTTTTGCTTGAAGGGAGACATTCTGAGCTCGGAAAAACAGTTGATAATGTAAGCTAGGAGAGTGGATGGTGTTTGGTTGCTAAGAAAATGGACCAGCCTTTCTTCTGTCCACAACCAACCTCTCGGAAGTCTTTAGAATGAAGCACCAACATTTTGTAAGCACATATAGCCACTAATAAGTTGGTTGCTTAGTGTAGTAAATGTAGCTTCCTATTTTTTCTCAAATATGCATCTCTGCTTCTTGTTTTTTTCTTTCATTCATGTTCCTCCCTTATTCAAATAATGTCAACGTTTGTTTGACTTACTGACGTTGTCCCACTTGGTGCCCTTTTTAGGTACGACATAAATATTTTGCCGACATTAGGTATATGGCATTTATTATGAAAATTTTGAATTTTGTTGAGTGCAATATAAAAAGTAGGGGTGACATTTTAAACCGAAAAACCGCAAAAACCAACCGACAATTTACCGTAATGAAACCGCAATCGCGGTAAACCGAACCGCATTTGCGGTATTAAGAACCGAACCGTATTTGCGGTTGCGGTTGCGGTATTTAATTTTCAAAACTTGCAGTTACCGCAAACCGCAAAGTACAGCCGCACGGATGATGAAGTTGAATTCTACAAGGAAATGGAACATATGACAACTTGTAAGTAATTAGTTTATTTATGCTTCTTCTTATAATAAAATGTACTAAACTATGTTGTTTTATTTGTAAATAACATTGATTCTCAAACAACACAACGGGGTTCTTCAAATCCACTCACCACCAACACTTGAGTTTGTAACTTTAGTTTGTAACATTGATGCATTGCATTTTCCTTTTAGTTTGTAACTTTAATTAACTTTGAATTGGATTTTTCTTTTTGGTTGTAACTTTAATTCATTTTGCTTTGCATTTTCCTTTTGGTTTGTAACTTTAAAGGATTTGGAATTGGAATGCTTGAGAAGTTTAACTTTAATTGGAATGCTTGGAATTGTAACTTTAATTTTCTTAGGTTGTGAATGCTTGAGAAGTTGAGGAGATTGTGAATTTATATATGCTTGAGAAATTGAGGTTGTGTATTTATTTATTTAGGTTGTGAATTTATATTTTGTGAATGCTTGAGAACTTGCAATTTTAAACCACTAATTCGCGGTAACCGACCGCATTTTGCGTTTCAAAAATCACCAAACCACAAATAGTCAGTCGGTTTGCGGTTTGAGTAAAAATTTGCGGTTACCGAACCGCAACCACCCCTAATAAAAAGTATCTGTTGAATATACCAAAGCGATTTGGTCTAGCGGATACTGGCTAGTTCCTGCAGTTGGGCGAACGAAGTTCAAAATACCCCCCTAGGAGAGCTTTACTGTAAACAATCCCAGCTTGGAGTGGTAGCACACTTTGGTTCACCAAAGAAAAAAAGTATATGTTGAATAATGTATGTTTTTGTCTTATGGTGTTTAATTAGGGTTTTTAAAGATTCTAGGTAAGGGAGTGTTTACACTACTAAAAGGACCGAGACCTTTTGCTATAAATATAGTTGAGTTGTTCCACTACTAATAGCATCGATAAATTGCTTTCAAGTTAAGTTTAAAATGTTGAAGAATGAGTCCCACATCGGAAACTTGATTAAATAAAATACAATATATAATGAATTGTTCTACTACTAATATCACCGAGGCCTTTTGTGATAAAACCACACCTTTTGGCTTTGTAGGTAGTTTAGTTTGAGACAATATCGGTGTTGCTAGTAATGGGCCGATGACCCGTCTCTCTGAATTTAACATAAAATACTTTCCGCATCACTTCCTGATGAAGTTAATAGGGGCAACATTTAAATGAAGCAAACGGATGGGATGAACAACAATACCAAACTATGCCTTAGAATTGGATTTTATGGTGAAATTGTTTCCTTAGTTGTCCTAAAACTATTTTTAAACCCAAAATCATTGCTAGTTCCCTTTCGAGTATTTTGTTTGAGTTTTGTGAAATCGACAAAAAAAATAGAGAAAGCGTGAAATGCAAAATAGAGAAGATGAGCAAGCTGAATGAAACACGCGTTCTTGTAAAAAAATACACCACTTTTTGGTCAATAAGGGTAAAAATGTCCTTTCACGTACTAATTTAAAAATGCCCAATTGATTCAGTTTTTCCAAAACAAAATTTAAAACCCATTCACCAAACCCAAAACAAAAATAATCCATTATCATATCCTTATTAGTAAACATCTTTGTCACTAATAACTAATTTTTCTTTACTTTTAAAATAATCAAAATGTTTTATTTTTACCAAACATTTTAAATTACTTAAATTTAATGTGAAACAATTTCTTTTAATGAAAAAAAACAATCACCTTAATTTACTTTAAAAAAATCTTCAAGAAATTACAAATATGGTAGTAGTTGGGGGTGATTGAGCAGTTTACTCAGAAAAATGTGTGTGTATTGGTAGAAAAACTTGTATGAAATGGGAATATCACTATTTTGTTATCGCCAATTAATTATAGATTGCCACATAAAAAGATTATCACGCATAACATGTCGTGATTAGTCGGAATAGAAAAATAATGCCATCTTCGTTTCACACGAGTGTTTGTCGTCAATTGGTAGAACACGTACCAAAAGAAAAAGTAGAACATAGGTGAGGACACCTGTGGTCGTGTAAGAAAATTCCCCATTTAAAAACGTACCTCTCTTTCTCTTTCACTTTGTATCTGTATCCCTAAATCCCTATCCTCCTGTAACCTGTCTGTCTACGCCACAGATATCTACACGACGACGCAGAGCACCTGACGGCCTAAACAAAACAACCAACCAACCGAAAAAGAATCCTTTCTTTCTTTGTTTCAATCGATGGTGGGTGACGGCTTTATCATTAACCACAGCACGAACAGTTCCAACAAATTAGAGAGCCCAAAGAAAACAAAGAAGAAGAAGAAGCGTGGTGGTACCAAGAAGAAGATGACCACCGAGCAGACTTTGGCTTTCAAGTCTGTGAGTGAATGGGTTTTCTTGGAACAAGCTTCTTCACTGCCTTCCACTGCAGCTTCTTGTGTTGTTGATGATTTTGGGGTACAGAAGAGCCTTGGAAGAGGTGGAGACAAGGTAGTGTTTGAATTGCATTCACATTCAAAATGCAGTGATGGGTTTCTTTCGCCTTCGAAGTTGGTGGAGAGGGCTCATGGAAATGGGGTGAGTTATGCTTGTATTGATTTTGGCTTTTTTAATGGTTAATGGGTTCTGGCTTTTTTTTATTTTTATTTTTTATAAATATATTAATATATTTATAAATTGTGTGTAGTAAATTTTTTTTTATGGCTCAACATTCTAACTGGGTTTGAATGAAAAGCTCATGTGGGTGCCGGTTTTTGAGTTCCTGTAGTTCTATTTTCTATGGTGTAATTTCTTTGTTGATATTTAGATGATTTATTTTCTTGTTAAACCACTTTCTTAAAACCCAACGAGCACGCTGAAAGAGCATAATGGTGACGAGGGGTGTCTACACCTTTTGAGCATTTTAATTTTCTCATAAGTTCTGGTTTTGTCTAGGAGAGAGATTCTGTATAGGTCAAGATGCAACATCTTTGACCCATTCAGGGTGTTTTGTCTCTCTTGAAAGAGATTAGCAGATTGAGGATCCACAGTACAACAAAGGACGCTTCTTACTGTGAGATTTAATTAGACTCGGGATTATATCGCCATCTCGAGCTGACCCAAAGATTATGGCTTCAAAATAAGAATGTATGACATAACGTTAAGTTCTTGCAAACCTTTGTATGAAGATGATTTTTTAGATAAGTCAATTTTCATTTGTCAGATTCGTAGATTGGAAAATTCATGGCTGTTGGCCCAGCCATTAAAGGCTAATTATTATTGATTAACGAAGTCTTTCTGTTAGCTTTTATAAGGTGCTATCATAGGTATAGATGTGAATTATTTGAAGGCAAGGAGGCTCTGCCTTTAGATGATACATTTTCTGAAGAATGGGTTCAAGGACTGCTTCCGTTGGTTTGCATGTGTGTTTGGGGGGGAAGAGGGCAAGAGGCCAAGTAAAAACTATCTAAGTTAAATTGAGGATATTTTAGTTGCAAATGTTCGTGAACCACCAAGAGACTCCATTATGTATGTAGGATATAACATGATATTGGTAAGCTTTAAACATTCATTCATCTTGGCAGCGTAAATTATAAATCCATACCTGTTTATTCAATCGTTTATGCTTTTAGTGAGCGGATACATGCAAATGAAAGATGATGGAAAGTACATTGTATCTAGTTAATCATCAGGTATTTTGAGAATTTAGACTGTTCTGGATGTGCATATACCATTGTTTTTGATGGGTTAACCATCTAGTTGCTATATGCGTAGGACAGAATAATTTGTTTTCACCTTACTCACTGAAAGAAGGGTGTTTATTTGGACTTTAAGAAGAAAAAAGGGATTCAAAAACAGAAAACAGAATGAGGTTTGTGGAGCACTGTAGTAGCAAATATGACCTGGTTTCGCATTGAGTTGGAGTCAGCTACTACTATTTCCAGCATGAGGGGAGTGTTGATAATATTGCTGTTTACAGCATGTTAGATTGGCTTGTCTCTGTCATTGTCTCAGTTCTAGTCTTGCTCAGATCTCGTTAAGTTTTTGCGATAGCTGTTAAGTTTGTCTTTTATTCTACTTGCAGCAAGCGGGGAGTTGTTGATATCTACTCTCCTGCTTCAGGGGGAGCCTCATTGATGAAGGCGATAAAAAGCCCTATGTTAGAATGATTTAGCTAATTTAGTTTGCTGATTTGGTTAGCTAATGCAGGGCTACTGATTGACATAATTTAGTTTATTTGGTTGGGCTTGTTTGGATGGTTTCATGGGATTTATGTAGGGTGGTACGTAAGGCTATGTATATTACTCAATTAAATCCATGAAACATTTGGTACTCTTCAGCCTTTTCTTAATTTTCTCCTCAACAGCTTTTCTTTTGGGTGTAACCGATGTTTGTGATAGCCTCACAGTTTTGTATTAGAAGTTATTTGTCCAGAAAAACTAATGTGCTTATATTTTGAATACTTAAAATTCATACTGCAATGTAGTGAGGTTTAATTATATATGTGGTCATAACAGGTGAAAGTTCTTGCTCTGACAGATCATGACACGATGTCTGGCATACCTGAGGCCCTGGAAGCAGCTCGGAGATTTCGCATAAAGATAATTCCAGGTGTTGAAATCAGTACAAAATTCTACCCAAGGTAATTTTTGAAAGCTATGCTTTCTGGAAGCCCTTAAATTGTGGACCCATTTTTTTTAAGGTTGATTACTCGTGTTCCCCCTAATACTCTGTATTGTCTTATGTTACTCATAGCACTTATTTGGAGATTTATGATCAGAGAATGCCTTTGTGTTTTCTTTCCGTCTAAACCTGAAGAATCATGTCATGTAATACCTTTTTTCGTATAAAATCTGCACGAACTTCACAAAGAAATCAGTTGCAAGAGTGTTGAAAATAATCAGCCTTTGGGGAAGCTCTATTTGAACCCAAAATTTTCGTAAGTTTACCCTGCTTAATATCTACACCACCCAACTTTTATTAAATAAATAAAAAAATTGTAAGTACCCCCAACCCACAGTCCAAAACAAGCCCCACTATCACCCAAACTGACTTACCTATCTAATTTGGAAGTAAAGCCAATTGACTAACCACACCCACACCCACCCACTTAATTTTGAACATGAAAAGCTGCACTGCACCTATGTCCCCTGCGCCACTGAAAACAGCAAGAAACATTCTTCACTAATGTTTGGTTTTGCTAACATTTCAGAAATGCAACTGAGTTTGGACTGAAATATCTGGGTATAAGTGTGCTGTTCAATGCTGGTTTGGTGTTTTATTTGAGAATTTGGATTTGATTTATTTTGCACTGTCTGATTTGGTGTGCCAAATCTCCATGAGTAGATTCAGTAGTACGCCATCAAAATGCACATGGGAGGGTTTTGTGGGGGAAAGGCCAAGCGGACTAAAAAAAATATTTTTGTTTTCTGGCACCACATTTCTGAACCTTAAAACAGGATGTTTGGGACTGCACTGCCGAATGTTACATTATGCCAGTCTTTGTGTGCCGAACAAGTCTTTATTCCAGTTATATGAAAGATGAAAATTTTGTAGTTAAACTTGGAAAAGTCATATTTCAAGACCCACAATCCACGATTGGAGTGTCCATAGCCACTGACAGTAACTGTTTTGTTTACACCAATGTATGATGGAGTTGGCATAGGGAATGAATAAAGTAGTCTTTATGGTTTTTGGTGGGAGGAGATGAGTGCTGGATGTGCTCAGTTTTTTTGGGTAAAGATAGCATTTTCAAGTCTTTTTTTCTTTCAAACCAGCCATGTTATTTAATTGTCATTTTACTCTAGTGTAAATGTGTAAGTTTATTTTTCTTCAAAAGGGCAAGTTTATTTATGAAATTATTTGTTATATTATTGGCAATCTCAAATTTAATAGCAAATAATCAGCATATTTAACGACACGAGGAAATATCCCCTTTCCTTAGTTTTCAACACCTCTGATGCTTTGCACAATGGTTTTAGAGGAGATTCTGAACCAGAGGAACCAGTACACATCCTTGCATATTACAGCAGCTGCGGGCCAACAAGTTTTGAAGATCTGGAAAAGTTCTTGTCTAATATAAGGGATGGTCGTTATCTTCGTGCAAAAACTATGGTTTCCAAACTGAACATGCTCAAGTTGCCTGTTAAATGGGAGCATGTCTCAAGGATTGCAGGCAAGGGAGTTGCTCCTGGGAGACTGCATGTGGCCCGTGCGCTGGTTGAAGCAGGTTATGTGGAAAACCTGAAACAAGCTTTTTCCCGCTATCTTTTCGATGGTGGACCTGCATACTCGACGTAATATTTTGAGCTTACTGTTATATCTTTTTCTGAGTACTGTTGATGCATATATATGACAAAGAGACCATTGTAAAGAATTATTTATGTTGAATGGGTTCAGGGGAAGCGAACCTCTGGCAGAAGAAGCAATACAAATGATTTGTGATACAGGAGGTGTGGCTGTGCTAGCTCATCCTTGGTCATTGAAAAATCCAGTGACCATCATAAGAAGGTTAAAAGAAGCTGGTCTTCACGGGATTGAAGTTTACAGAAGTGATGGAAAACTGGCTGGTATGCAATCTGAGATGCAACTATTTGCTGCTTTATGTATAATTTGTAGGTTACGCTGTGAAATCAATGCTACATGATGTATTTGACTTGTACATCTTCGTCTTTAAAATTATAATTGATGTCAGTGTTTTTCTGGAATACATTTACTACTCATGGATCTCTCTCCAAGAATATAAAATGATTGAGGGGGTTGATTTCAGTTTGGTTTTATTTCATGTACAATGTTACAAGAAATATCTTGGAAGAAAAGGAAATTCTCTTATAAGATAGATAGATGAGAATGTCGTATCTGTCCAGACTTAAATTGCTCCCAACTCACCATTCTATATATACATCGGGGCCATAGGAGCTAGGTGTCAGTTTATTGTTTGTCGTCAAAAAGTGTGCATGTCAGATGCCATTCAATGAGTTTCTATTGCACAATGGTTTCAGTAAGACTCAATCTTTTCCATTTTGTAATGCAATATACTTGGTGAGTTTCTGGATGGAACAGTTCCCAACTGACATGCATGAACACTTAGATCATGTGCCTGTTGGGTTCACCATATAAATGTGATAATTGACGTTCTTGTGGTATGAGTACTAGCAAATACTGGTTTTCTTCTGGTATTACCTTGGAAAAAAAGTGAAGTTAGTTTTCTTCTTATGTTCTTTTTTTATTTGAGTTTTTTTCTCACTCAGTACTCATATCTCTATCTGCTGATTTTGTCGACAGTGTACAGTGATCTAGCTGACACTTATGATCTTCTGAAGCTTGGAGGGTCAGATTATCATGGGAGAGGTGGGCATGGTGAGTCTGAGCTGGGTAGTGTGAACCTTCCAGTGCTGGTTTTGCGTGACTTTCTTAAAGTAGCTCGGCCAATTTGGTGTTGTTCCATTAGGCACATTTTAGAAAATTATGCCGAGGAGCCTTCAGATTTTAATCTAGCAAAGATTACAAGGTTTGGGAAGGGAGTTTCCCCCTTAACCTGCGGCAAGGATTTGATTGATCGCTGCTTGTCTTCGTGGTTGACAAATGAAGAGAGGCAAAATGCAGTTTTCGAGGCCGTCCGATTGAAGCTTTCTCATGTTTCAATTAATCAGGGAGGAATCCAGGTTCCCATAGAGAGTAAATAATCCCTATCTAATTCATATATTTTCCTGTACCAATCTTTCATGGAGGTGATGATATCTAATTTATTCTTCTAACTATTTTTAATATTTTTAATCGCATTTTTGCATTTGCCGTGAGATATTAAAATCTTACGAGTGGAAGACTGAGCAGTTGTCAGAAATCCCAGAGAGAATGACAATAGCTTGTCTTTGATTTTTCTACACCTGCTGTAAGATCAGATCTTTGATAGAATGTCCATTATTTTTACAGGGGATTTTCTTTCTATCGTTTAGCAACAGGGGGCATAGATTTTAGTTTTTCGTCCTGTTATCCATAAATGTTGGGCAAATGCGCTCTTTTGACTCTGGTTTACACCCTCAGTTCTTAAATTATTATTATTTTTGTCTTCGTAGCAGTTAGATCATTTAGCTATCTGCGAACTATGGAAAAATGCATACGCGAATACAATGTTTTAGATAGGAACACAAAAATATTTATGGATTGTGATCAGCGAATGGCTAATGTATTTTTCATTAATTCATGTATTTGCATGGATTGTGAGAAGACATTTTCGGCAACCATGGCAATCAATAAGAAGGTGTCCACGAGGAAAAATGAATATTTCTTATTTCTTAGGTCAATTAATTAGTCTAATTAAATTATATTTAATCAGGGAATTATCTTTGATTTAAGATAAGTTTATCTTCCTAAAGCAAGGAGATTTGATTTTCAGCAAATCTCTTCAATACTATCACCTATTTTTGGGAAGGGATTATTCTTCAAACCCTAGAGGCTATAAATAGTTGGCATCACACCATATTTGAGGTAATTCTAAAAACCCTAGCAATTTCCTCTCTCTTTTCTCCTCTCCCCCACACTGCTCTGGCTCCATCCTTTCTGTTATTTGTTGTATCTTTCTAAGATCCAATTAACTGACTTAGGCATCAGAGAGTATTTGCACAAGTAGATATCTTTCAAGGATGGAACAAACAAAATGTGGACTGTTTGGATTATAAAACTACATTGTGAGCTGTATCTAGACTGGTAATTTACTGGATTAAGGTATGTATGGTTGAAGTTAGGCGTGGGCTTGTTTATAGGATCTCTCAAAGTCAGGTAACAGAACTTAAGGTATGTTTGTATAGGGAAAATATGATAAATTAAAAAATGGGCTAAGGACAAAACACCCTATGCATGTTTGAGGTCATTCTTATGAACCTTCAGGTTTCAATTTCATCGATTTACTCCTCATAGTTTTCAAATTTAACCAATTTACGCCTTCCGTTAAGTTGATTGTTTGTTTAGTCAAACGACAAGCCCACTATGGGACCCACCCACTAACCAACTCCTATATTTTTTATTATACAAAATGATAAAATAGCATAATTAAAAACAAACTTAAAAAACCTAGATGCACAACCTTCCCCACCCCTTCTTGACGACGCACAACCGCACCCACCCCAGTGTAAAGGTGTCAAACAGACTGAGTCAGCCCGAGCATAGCTCGTTTAAGTAAGGCTCAGCAAAGACGACTTGTATCTTTGGGCACTCTGAGATGAGGTAATTAGGCCCAATGGTTGGGTCAGCCCGTGGCCCATTGCGGACTGTGCCAGCTTGAACCCCAACTAGCCAACCCATTTATTAAATTATATTTATTTTAGAGAAAATTAGTATATAATATTAGTACATTTATATCTTAAATTCAAGTCTATTTATTTTCTCTAATAATATATACTAGCCCCTTGACACACAGGTAATTTTTTTTTAATATTTTAAATATTATTTTAAAATTAAAAAAGATAATGGGTAGTTGTGTTACATAAAAATAGGATCCATTATATGATTTTGTTTAAATATGAAAAAATTGTGAATTTACCATATTATCTTCTTTTAATCAATAATTTCAATTTTTAATGTTTGTATTAACAAATGCCATTTTCTGGTATCTTAAATGTTTCACTATTCTCTGCCTTTTGTTTTATATATATATATATATATATATCAAAATTTAATATTTTCTTTATATATAAAACAATGATTTTCTTTTTCAAGTTTCATTTTTAGGGACATTCTCCAATAAGTATTTAAGTTAAGAATTGGTTACATACTTCTAATATCGGTCGTTAAATTGCATCTAAGAGACTACCAATAAATTTAATGAATGCAACTAACGGTCAAGATTAGAAATATGTAACCAATCTTTAATGTAAAATATTTATTGGAGAATCTCTCTCATTTTTAAAATTCAAACAATAATTTAGTCATTTTCTATTTAAATGTACGTTAAATAAAGTTATTGGCCTCGAACAATCTCAGAGATGCCCTCAAGTATTCACCTCTAATGGTTCCGTCAGAACACATGAATGCAAGACATGATGAGTTAAAGGACGTGAGAAATAGAAGTGGTTGATAGTTGCAGAGAATTTCATGCCTTCCACCACAAGCCCACAAAAATTCAACCCCCAATAAAGAATCATAGAAACCCAATATAATCAAATCTGTTTGGTTTTTGAGAAACTTTACGAAAATGAAGAAATTGAAGTTGAGGGAGCTTGGAGGAGAAAGAGACGGAGAGAAAGGGACTGAAGGAAGGAGGGGGTTGTGGTGTGGGATGGGGTTTGGTTGGGGGAGGCTGTGCGTCTAGGTTTTTTTATATAATTATTTTAATAATGCTATTTTATCATTTTATATAAATAAAATTTAGAATTGGTTAGTAGGTGGTTCCACAGTAGACACGTTATCAGTTAACATATGATCAAACGGTCAACTTAACGGAATGTGTAAATTGGTCAGATTTGAAAACTATGAGGTGTAAATTGATGAAATTGAAACCTGAAGGTCCATATTGAGAATGAGCCCAAATATGCAGGGGTTGTTTTGTCGTTAGCCTGTAAAAAAAAAGAAAAAGCCCTCCAAAATAAAGGGATGCGTAAGCCGGTTAATATTTTTTCAAAAGGACACAACAAATGGGCAAAGACTAAAGCATGAGGACACGTAACCCTAATCTCCATCAAAAGAAAACAATACATGCCCAATGTTATAAAAATAAAATAATAAGAGTATGAAAATTACCACAGAATATTGGGAGTAAAATTATATTTGTTTTTTGGGTGTTTACACTGACAAAATTCTCTCAGATAGAACTCACTAACACTCAGATTTCACACTCTCTCTTCTTTCCTCTCACTCTTCCTTTCTTCTCTTCCTTTCTTTCCTCTCTTCTCCATTGGTGTGTTTTGCTAAGTAATGGGAAGCCTATTTATAGGCAAATTGGATGGCTTATCCAACATTATCATTAAGCTCCAACATCATCATTAAGCTCCAACATCATCATTAAGCTTTTTGAATATTATTTCATTCTTTTCTTTATGTGGGCTCTACCATTTTCTTTATAACATTCCCCCTTGGAAACCACAATGTATGGAATATGCCTCATTAAAAACCTTGCCAGTAAAACCTAGTGGGACAAAAGCTGGTCAAAGGAAAAAGAGTACATAACCATGTGTAACATAAAATTATGTGTATATTGACATGCGTGCGACACTACCTCGTTAAAACCTTACCAGGAAAAACCCAGTGGGATAAAAATCTGGACGAAAGAAAAAGAGTACAGTGTGTGAAGATCTTTATTGATAGCATGTTCCCCCTGATGCTTGGCAAAATATCTTTTAAACCATACCGTTGATCATATTTCTGAATGTCATAGTTGACACTGCTTCTGTGAGTCAATCTTGTAATATTGTTGGATGCTCCCCGTGAAGAATATCTCCCCCTTATATCTTCATGACTATCTTTCCTAAGGGAAGATCTTTCGAACTGAGTGAATGATGTAGCCATCAACAATTCATGTAGTTGAGTAAGCAAATGTATTTCCAGTGAGCTATCTCTATGTAAATCATAGAAATTTCCAGAGTCCGCAAATCAAACAAAAACCTGTTCACTTGAAAAGAATATGCATGTATATTGTTTTATGTGGAGATGGCATCAAATATGTCTCACATCATCCCAAAGTGGTGGTGATGGAGCTGAGCTCTATCTGGAAAGTAAAATGTCCGGTCCAGTATATTTCTAGAAAAATCATTTAAGTGCCCAACGGATAATCCGCATAAAAATACTTCAATACTTTCTTAGTATAAGCAAGAATCTCGTTGGCATAATTCTCGATCTTCAGGCTGAGACAAATATTTCTTGAACTCTTCAGGAGTTTTAATCAATTATCAACATTTCAGGAGTTGTAATGTATTGCAACCATTTCATAATTAAGATACTCACTGATGTTGTAAAGAAAATGGTGGAGCCCTCATAAAGAAAAGAAGGAAATAATACTCAAAAGGCTTAATGATGATGTTGGAAGCCATCCAATTTGGAATGGTGCGGTTTTATACCCCATCCTGTTATTTTATGGTGGTGTAAGTTTCATTGCCCATCGCGTTGTAACACATATTATTGTAATAAAAATGATAGTGTGATCTTAATACCCATCTTATTATATCTTGAATAGTGGCGCAGTTATATTGTTCACAATATATAATATGTTATATACTTCATATATTAGGTGGTGGTTTAATCCCCGCATTTACTTTATTTACTATATGGTGTAGGTTTGTTGCCCATACGACAGTATTTATTTAAAAGTGTGGAGCGGGTTTATCGTCCACACAACTGCCTTTACTTTTTATTTAAACGTATGGAGTAGAATTAGTGTCCATACCAGCACATTTAATTTATCACACATTTACTTTATTATTTAAAGTATGGTGCGGGATTAACGTCCATACATGAATCAATTTAATTTATGAATTCATTTTACTGCACATTTACATTTATTTAAAGTATGGTGTGGGATTATCCTCCATACCAGCAATTTATTTACAAGCAATTCATAGCAATTTAATTTATGAATTTATTTTACCGCACATTTACATTTATTTAAAGTATGGTGCGGGATTATCGTCCATACCAGCAATTTATTTTGTGAATTAATTGTGTGATATGATGAGTTTTACAGCATATAGAGATTAGGGCCAGAAGTTCCTTAATCCTCATCATACAACTACATCAGGAGCTGAAGATCCTTTATGATGATAATGATATGAGAGCTGGCTGTCTTTTCGATACTATATTTGTAAACAAGAGATCGGACCTGAAGATCCTTGATCCTTGACATGTATATAAGGACTTGGAGTTCCTTGATAATGTAACTGTACAATATTTGTTAATAGTGCCATACAAATGAATAGTAATTATACTGGCAAATGTATTGTACGCATGAATAGTGTTTTCATGACTTGATGAATTGTACCGTACACATTAATAGTGAAGGGAAATTATGTAAGGGCCTGAAGTCCAGAAATATGTATGGGAAATTATAAAAATGTTCATACCATGAAAATATGCGATTTTGGCCTGAAGTTCAAAATCTGACAATATTGAGAACCTAAAGTTCCAATAGTTTAATAGACAACCCTTGAGGTATTATTCCAAATTGTGGTACACCACATATTTCTTTGGCATAAGAAAATGATGAATTTAATAAAGTTCGATTTTGTTATAATCGACACCTCAAGGAAGCAATATATTTTGTGAATTTCGGTTGTTAAGAATACACCGAGAAATGGATAATATCATAATACATCGAGAAATGGATAATATGATCTGGGCCGAAAGCCATGGATCCAAATATATGAGAGATCCCGAACCTAAAGTTTTGGGTATATAGTAGTTAATGCTCTTCACTACCATATTGCAATATTATCATGGCTTTTACTCAATCTATATTTCATGCCCATTTGAAAAGGGCAAATAAATTCTAAGGTCATGTTTAGCTCGTGCAAGAAGTTTGGACTCACATGCATTGAAATATGTAATTTGAGAGTTTTGAGGTGGTTATTTGAACCTATAAGGCAGAAGGTTCCAAACTGTCATCCATTTTGGCTAGGCGATATCACTATCATCCATTTCGGCCAACATTGTTGTCCTCTCTAGCTTCATGTCATCAAGGTTTTCTTCTTGTCCGTGGCTTTCAAGCCGGCCATGTGCGCACTCAACCTATTTGGCCTCTCGGTCACGATGGCCCGGTGCATTTGAAGTTCGGTAATTTTGGTCTCAACCTCAGCCAATTCGTTCTCTGTCTTGCTAAGATGTTCTTCCTATTCTTTGAGGATGGCCATGATGGGTTGAGTTTGTTATTTTAGATCCGCTGGGGTAGAATCAAATTGATGACCTTCGTCCATTTAAGCTTAGGCTATGGCATATTGGGAAATTTGTGGCTCACCTTGCCCAAGGAGAATTGGAGTTTGTCAAGCATGACTGTATTAAGAATGCCGAGTAAGGTGGCTTTGTCAGCACAAGCCCTAAACATGGTGAAGTTGTCACCATATGATATCTAGTTCACCCAAACCAGAAGAAAATCCTTGAGCTCTTCCAGTGTTGTCCTGGCCTCAGAATCTAAAGGTGCAGCTAAAGATTAGCTCCTCGTGTATTCATGCAGACTAGCGTAGAGCGCACCAAGGTCGTCCAATGACTACGTCGCCTAAGAAAGAAGAGTTAGGAATGGCGATGAAACATCGAGGGAAAACTGAGTTATATATTTACCTTGGTTTCTTGTTGTTCGTTAGCTGGCGTTTGCTTGGCCACGTCTGGAATGGGAGTTTCACGACCTATGACTTGCTCAGCCTAAGAAGTCATAAGCACTAGCCACTGAGAGCATTGGTGATGAGACCGGAGCTATAGGAAGGAGCGACGACTGAGGAAATTGGATCAGATGAAATTAAAGTAAGGGAGTTTGTTCAAATCTTTTACAAGGTTTTGATACTTTGTAAAGACCTTGTAAAGAATTAGATTGATCCTTACCATGCTCAACGAGGTTTGAGTTGCCAAGGAAGTAATTATTAAGGGCATTATGGAAGAAAGTGTTTTGGCCGTGATCAACAACAGAGCTATCAATGCAATTGAATAAGCGGAGGATGGCACAATCTTTGTGGGCGCGATGGCCAATGCCGAGACTATCATGTCAACAATGACAGATGTTGCTTGACCCACGATCGGTGTTTGAGTCTAAAATGATAGTAAATATACTAGGAAAGAGCTAATAGCAATAAAAGAAGTGGGGATTTTGGTTAGAGAATATATAATATAAAAGACTTTCAATAGAAGTCAAACTAAAACCAAGAAAACTGGTTTAGTTTCTTCGTTGTGCACGTTTCCCCCCCCCCTCTTTTTTTTTCCAGGCTGGTCCAAAACGCTTGTTTTGGCCAGAAAGAAAAAAAAAAAAAAAAAAAAAAAAAAAAAAAAAAAGAAGCCTGCTGCTGCAATAAACACAAAGCCTCTTTGAGGCAATACATTAAGCACATGGTGGGCGCACCAACGGAGCTGCGGAGGGCCGGTGATGGGAGGTGCAGCTGCATCTCTTTGAGCTTCTGTAGATCTGCTAGTGGGTGCGTCCAGGGTCATTTATCTCTATACCGATGAGAGACAGACCGAACAAAGTCGACATATCCAGGATCCTTAGTGTTAACATGTCAAACCTCATGTTGAAAGTAATGGTCGCCGAGGACCAAAAGCTTAAGGATACGGCCAAGAATGATCAATCCATCAGGACCGGCCGCCTCTCAAAAAGTTTACTCCATCCTCGACACCCATTTATCCCATTCTGCAATCGAGGTACTCCTTCCTCGACAACCATTTATCCTAATCCTTGTAGTCATCGTCGAAAAAGGCAAACTCACCCACCAGCTTGGCCTTCAAATGAGCGGCCATTCGAGGCAATAATGGTAGAGAGGCATGTCTATGCATTTAATGCCTACTAGATCGAGCGTTACATTCGAGGAACACAAAACTTGTGCCGAGTCCATTTCCAAAAATACATTCACCTATTAGATCATCTCTAACTATCTTGGGGCTAAACTCAAATTTCAACCCGGACTCATAATTTGAGTCCGCAATTTTATTACATTGTTTAAGAATGGTTAACCCCTTTTTTTGTCGTTTATTTTTCTTGACATTATATTTGTTTCAACATTTATGATTTAATTTTCTGAAGATTTTAACCTAAAAAATCAGAATCCAAAACATAATATAATTTCACTAAAAAAAGTAGTACAAGTACAACAAAAAAAAAAGAAAAAAAAAAAAAAAAAAACAAACCAGCACAACATTAATTTTTTTTCTTTTTCGAAACTAGCAACATTAAATGGGTATAACTATTGCAAGTTTTTTTATTATTTTTTTATAATTCAAATGGATCCAACGGCTCTCTTTCATTGTCGAAGTGTGGGGCTCGTTCTCTTTGACTTTCACGTGGGCTGCGTAGCTGGTGAGTTGGGCGCCACAAAAGTCACGTGGGCCCAAGATTCTGCCTCGGCCAAAATTCCACCGGCCCAAATACAAGGGTTGGAGATGGATTTTGGGCTCAAAAGTCAAATTTTGACATTCCACCTCTTGGGTTAGAGATGATCTTAGTTCTTTTCGTCGAGGCTTGGAGAAGAACTTCTCTCGGTCGAAGGATTTGGAATGAGGGGCAATGTTTATGCTTGAAATTTTCCGCATGGACCCCACTAGAATTGATGATGTGGCATTGGCCCATTAGAGCCACAAGTCATGGCCAAGTCTAGGGCCGAAATGAGAATGGTCGAGTTTTGAAATCCCCGACCAGCCTCGATCCGAAAGAGAACTTCAACCCAAACAATCAAATAACCTGCTACTGTGGGCCTAAAGATGGGCTCATATATAAAGGTTAGGCCCAATATTTGTATACCGGCCCAATGCAGCCCATTTGATGTGAAATCCAAAACGAGGGGAATGTCAGGAGATGTTCCCCAAAAATTCGAGCTGATCGTTGACTTAAAGCTTCTGAAGTCATGGATTGGCGAGGTAATCAAGGTCCGCATGTGCATCTTAGGACTCATGCCTAAGGGTGACTCTGAAAGTGACTCACCAAAACCAAAAGCCTAAGCAAACCTTTCTATCTTTTATCTTTTTATTTTTTTTATGTACCTTAGCTAGATTTTTTTTTTTTTTTTTTTTTTTTTTTTTTTTTTTTTTTTTTTTTTTTTTTTAGAAGTAGGAGTAACTCTCTTAGTGAAATCCTAGAAAATTTTCTGGGTAAGTGAGCAATCCCCATTTGTTCCATCCATTCAATATATCAGCAAGATCGTTGTTTTCAAAGATAACTCTTGAGCACTACGCAATCCATCCAGATTCCTCCAGATACCCGCATTTCTTGAGAAGTCTGAACAAAATTTGATAATCTTCCCCATTCCAATGGCCTTGTAGTTCAGGCAGTGAAACTACGACCAAGAATTGGTCCTCTCTCGACCACAGTCACATGAAATTGAAGTAAAGATTCAACATTTCATCCATCCACCACTCACCATCCACAATTTATTCGAACGACCATTAGTGTTGGCGCGCCTGAAAATTACACACTTCTAAAGCAGGATGCCTGCGTTACCCAAATTTGCTCGGCTCATTTGATACGTGACTGAAAAGATTTGGAGGTCAACAATGGGTATTTACAAGAAAGCGCAATGAGAAAAACGAGATTGCAAGGTAAAAAGCACACCTCATTGCGCAAGGTTTTTCACAATGGCTTGGGATTGATTGTGAGGAAACATTCTCCCATAATGTGTGCAATTATGTTTTGTTACTTAATCAGTTTGGCAGTTTTAGAAAAACTTGACATGATACTTATGGATGTCATTACCGCATATTTGTATACAGATTTGGATACAAATATAATTATCAAAGTTTCATAAGGACTTAAGTTGACTGAAGCAACTAACAATAAACCACGAGGCATGTTCTCAATAAGGAAGAATGTAGTACAATCATCTCTGTAAATATTTACTCTTTGAAGGATTTACGAATAATCCTATTTGCCCCTGCGTATTTATTAAGAAATCAAAGTCAAAATTTGCGATAGTGGTAGTATATGTCGATGACAACTAGTCGTAAATCCTAAAATGCTTCAAAAGACTGTCGAATATCTAAAACGCGAATTTGAGATGAAAGACCTTGGGAAGATAATATTGTGTTGTGGCATGTAGATTAAGCATAGTGCTAGTGGTATTTTTCTCCATCAATCAGCTTATACTGAAAAAAAAATATTTATTGAAGTGATTTGGCATGGATAAAGCTTATATACTTACAACCCCAATGGTCGTTTGGTCTCTTCACTACAATAAGAAAGATCCATATCACCCAAAAGAAGATCATAAAATGATCATTGGTCCATAAGTACCATATCTTAGCGCTATAAGTGCCAGACCAATGTGCCAATGTGCGTTATTGTACTAGAACAATGTGCCAAACTTGACATAGCATTTTTAGGAAATCTGTTAGCCATCAAAAACATCCTATGATATCTTTGTGGAACAAGAATCATGAGCTTATTTTATTCCAATGAATCTACCAATGCCCCGAGTTTTGTTGGATATGGTGATGCAGGATACCTCTCTGATCCACATAAAGGTCACTCACAAACTAGTTATGTGTTTAGTTATGGAGGACAACATTCTCATGGCACTCAACGAAACAAACATTGGTTGCTACATCTTCAAATCACTAAGAAATACTTGGCCTCCATGAAGCTAGTTGTGAATATGTTTAGTTAAGATCAGCGATCCATCACATTCTGAGCACATGTGCCCTACCCTTAGCAATAAATACTACAACCACAATGTATAAAGACAATGCAGCTTGCATTGATTTTATCAAAGGAGGATACATCAAGGGCGACACAACTAAACACACATCACCAAAATTCTTCTACACACATGAGCTTCAGAAGAGTGAAGAAATCAAAGTCGAACAAATATGTTCAAACGATAATCTGGCAGATCTATTAACCAAATCCTTGTAAAAATGTACATTTCAAAAGCTAGTGCATGGTATGAGATTACGTTGACTATGCAAGAAATCGAATTGAAGCTTGCATAAATTAAGGGGAGATATTCATCAGGGGAGCATTCAAGAGTTCTCTAACACAGGACATATGCGCGTTGGACTCTTTTTCTTTTGACTATGATTTTTCCCACTTGATTTTTCCTAGTAAGGCTTTGACAAGGCAACATAAGCTCATTCAAGCTACATCAATGTCCTAAACAAACTTGTACTTTTTTTCCTTCGCTTCGGTTTTTTCTCACTCGGTTTTTCCTAGCAAAGTTTGAATGAGACACCTAATTAGCAATTTGCAGGCATTCAAAGGTGAGTGTTAGAAAAGAGTTGATGCCGCAAAGGAAGAGTTTTTGTGCATGCCATAGTATATTGATTTAAGTGCAATAGTATGTTGATGTAAGTGCAATAGTAATCTTGGTGGGTGAAATGTTTTCACTTCCATTTCTTCCGCAAATCATTAACTGTTTTGTTCTTGTATGCCCATTATATAAGGGTATGCTTGTAGCTTTGTAAAACACTTCGTTCAGACCAAAATATCAAACTAAGAGACATTTATTCCTAAGAAAAGAGAAATTCGAAGAGAGTTCCATCGGTGTAGTGACGAGCAATGTCAACTCCACTACCATTCTTTGTGGTACTCTCATACTATGTCTATTTTATAACATTTAAATAGTTGTTCCCAATGACATCTTCCATTGAAGCCCTTAAAGCTTATTCGAGGACACTGTCGAATCTAATCCGCATTTCTATCTATCAATCTAAATCGTGTATTTTTCAAAAATTACACAAACGGTAAGTCATCAATGTTTCAAAATAAAAACTACTATTTAATCAAATGGTTATATGTTCTCAAATTTAGGTTTTTTTTTTCGGGGGAAATATGATTTCGAGGGTAAAAGTGAAAAAAAAAGAGGCTTTGGATTGAGGTTTTATTTATTTCTTATACTCTTGATGTTTGCCTCATACGCAGGCTTACGTCACTGTATGCATGGGGGACTTTGATTGGTCCAAATGCATGAAATCACTTTTTAAAATTAGCTAGTTTAACTTACAAATTGATACTAAAGAGAATAATTTCACATATTTGGTGATAATTTGTGATCAATGACACTAATGAGACAGTAACTCAATAAACAGCTACTCGAAAACGATTGTCTCAAAAAGCTACGGATATTGGAGCAGCACATACCCAACTGCCAGATTCACCCAAACTTTCCGATTTCCATCTTTTTCTTCATTGCTCTTTGACCATGATATACAAACGAATCTATAAGTCCTGCAACAGTAAATATACCTGGAAAACAAAGTCGAGTTTTATCCATCACTAAATGTAGGAAAGTGAAAACTGATAACCAAAAATACCCTAGCACAAAATAACGCTGTAATCTGTTATAAAATAAAAATAAAAATGTATTTCTGCCAAACCATCTAAGTTGTTACAGTCAACTCCAACTTCCATTTCACCTCACTATTCACTAGTTTCTGTCCTCAAGCTCTTTGCTCTTACCAAAAAGTTTATAATATTGCACATGAATAGCATGAGCGATACATATATCTAGTTTCATTGTACAAGAAGTTCCAACTCAGAGACACTGATTTTTCTACGCACAAGCTCATTATGAACACCTCGAAAAACCACCCATGGGGTCATCGTGAGTCATTGAATGGTACATTTGACCCTTTAAGTGGATGTAAGGGAACTACTGAATCTAAGTGCTAAACAAGAAAACTACAATAATAATAATTTTTGTTCCAAAATCAAAAAGGGAAAATATCTATAGTTAAATAAATTGATTTCTTACCTGTTTGAAACATACAAAGGGTTTTGTAAGAGTAGAGGAAAATAATGTTCAAGTACTTCTCTAAAAAGAAACTGTAGGGAAATTCAGCAATGAACTCAATAATTCTCTTCAGATTTCACAACATGCATGTATGATGAGCAAAATGGTTATATAAGGAAGAAATAAATAAAACCAATCACAGGGATTTCAGTACACCCCAAATACTGTCTGAGTTTCTTGCACACACATGAATTGGGGAAAAGTGAAAAAGAGAGAGAGAGAGAGAGATGATAGTACCTCCAACTATGGCACAAATATGGGTCATAAAGTGTAAAAATGGAACATGTTCTTCTTTCAATGTCACCTGAAATACCGATCAAACGTAAAGATGGTTTACTATATAAGGCAGCTCATCCTAGTTCTTATCTCAATGGCATCATTATGTGCTGCTTTATTAACAGGTGATGACAATTTTGTGATATACGCTTCTTTTTCTTTTGTTCAAATCAGGATGAGGTTTGTTGAACCTTATGCACTGCTTTACTAACTGGTGATATAAACCTTACAACTTTGTGATATACACTTCTTTTTCTTTTGTTCAAATCAGGATGAGGTTTCTTGAGGGATTAATAGAATATGCTCCATGCTACAGTTAGGCTAGAATCCAACACTTTCTCCCATATTCAGAGAATAGTTCAAACCCACCTCAACCTCAGCTTGGCAGCTTATACGCTATCATTCTTTTATCATGTTTGGTTAATCATGTAATGGTGGATGTACCCAATGATGGTTTAAACTTAGCAGTTCCTTTTAAATGGTCATTAAATGTATTTATCTGAGGGAACAGTGTAACACAAAGGAGAAGAAGAGGGATGCACAGTATGCCAACCGATGCGGATCACCATAACTGGTTTATTTTACAGTATTTGCTAATCTTGAAATGTTTTGGCAAGCCTCCTAAGCTTCTAATGATTTTTGAAAATTATACAGCTCTAAATCCAAATTGAATCTAGGGTTTTTCATGTGTCCAGGGCGTAAGATACATGAAAATCTGTAAGAAATGTGCCAATCCACAGAACTTGGAAGCTTTTCTTGAGGGTGGGGAGCAGAAACTCCACAATGGTAGAAGGTTTTCACTGGGGAAAGTCTTAACTTTTTTCTCTGAACAAGAAGGAATTTATCCTTTGTTTTTTTTTATTCATTAAGAAGGAAAGCACAAAACTAAGAAAAGGAAATCTTCCATTAAAAAAGTGGATGCACCAGCATAATTATAAAATAGTCTAAATCCAGTTTAGAATAGCTTGTTAGATGTGGACCAAGTAACACACCTTAATTGGAGAAAGATCATAAAAGAAGAAAACTCCTGGAAGCAGCTGAGAGTGTCCCAACTCTGAACTCTTACAATGCTCTGTCACAGAGTACTATATCATACAAAATTGAGTGCATATGAGGGCATGATGCGATGACAACTAACATAGAACAAGCAGATTGAACAAGCTTCAAAGTACCTGGTTTGAGCGAATTGTACGGCCTCTAATATTGGTGTATAATGTAGGGACCACCTGCAAAGTAGATAAGTGTCTAAATATCTCAGCACCATTATAAGACATTCAAAACAGTTCCAGGAAAGAAAAGAATTCTCCCTTCTTTTTTTTGTTTTTCCTTTCTCTGTTGCATTTAGATCAGTTATCAAATACTACCTGTCTTAGAAGAATATAGCAAGGAACCCAAAATAGTTTACTGATAATACCAACCTTGATGAAATACTGGTACATACCATTCGGTGTTTCCTGCCTCCACTGTACACTGAAAATGCAGTAAGAAGTTTAGGAAATATTCTTCAGTGGGAAAAGATAACAGATACAAGTTTAGGGAAAATGTTTGAGTAGATCTCCTTCAACTAAAACTATAACATAAACAGTTTATATTATAGCAACATTTATTAAATGAGTCACCCCATTAATTTATATTATAACATAAACAGTTTATATTAAAAAGATAACTGTGAAAAAGATTCAAGCACTCTAAGAAAAGCTATGGGGGGAAAAAAAAAGGTATATGGACATGTAAATTCCAGCCTGGAAACAAAATTGATCCACTGCGAAGCCCTCTGCAACAGAAATACAATAACATATGATATCCTATTTGAAAACCTGAAATTAACAGTGTAAGGATAGAAAGAAACAATTACCCATCAAGGGGATTTAGCATGCCAGGAAAGTAGTCACCAAAAGCTAATCTATTGATCTTGTGACTTATCTGTATCATGAAAGATGAAATTGAAATGAATTTTTTTTAAATGATCAGAAACACAAATTTCATTAAAAATAGAAAGAATGTACAACAAACAAAAACAAAAAACATAGAAAGATGGCTAAATTTAGAGTAGCTTCCATGATAACATTATTTGATTTGCTACCAAAGTAAATAAAGTGCTCCTTACATTGTAACTATCTGTCTGGAAAGCCAGCAAATCCTGCACATGAACGTTTGACTGGTGAAAGCTTTTTCCAGATACAAAATGAAAATTACCAGCGACTTTATTAACTTCAAGAGATCCTTCAATGTTACATCCTTCACCATCTTCATCTTTAATCTTTTGAATAAAACCTTCCCGTTTGCACTGTAAAACAAAGGGGCATTGAAAATTAATATCAACATAATGTTACGGAAACATCATAACTACCCAAATTTGGGCGTAGAGGTGTACAGTGGGCAGTCTTTAAGACTGGCCCAATAGTGCTTCGTGTCATGCTCAGGCTACATCTAGTTTAACAAACCAAAAACATATTCATGACACTACAGCTTTCCCAGTTTAGAACAATGTCACAAATAGAAGATTTCCTAAAATCAGGAGAAACAGAAGCCCAAAGCGCTGCCCACACCTCCTCCACTTCCATTCCCTCATCATACAACCCCATATTACTTTAGCCTTCTTTCCCCCACCCAATACTTTAAATTTCTCACCCAGCAAAGAAAAACAGTGTTTTGGTGCCCCCAACTAACATTAATCCCATTAAATGAAAAACACCATAATTGCCAGCTAAACCTGCAAGATAAGAAAGTGCGACCCACTCTCCCCTGCACTCTTGCATAAAATACACCAATGTGGGCATAACAAGGAACCTGGCCTACGTCTTTGGAGTAAATCACAAGTGTTAACCATCCTGCGTACCACCAAGCGAAAACCTTAACCTTGGGTGGGACCTTGTACACATTTTCTGCTTCATTCAATGTTCAGGAAATCATAAATCATCGTTCCCCAATGATATAAAAATTGATTATCATCAGTAACTCTAGAAAATCGTACATATTTCCTATATACAACAGAGGCCTTGTTGTATTTTAACTGCACAGAGTGTAAATTACAAAACATCCAAGTGCACACATTCACACACTACACTTTTGTTTTTTTAACATTTGTGACTACAGAAAGTAGAAAATCAACCAATAAATAATTAACTATAGAGAATGAATTCAGAATACGAATCATTAACTTATTATATAAAATCCCCACAAGCAAATGATAGTAAAACAACGTCATAGTAAACCTATAAGGACTTGGGATTTTATTGTCAAAGTGATAAAGGAAAAAATTGAAAATTTGATTTCATTGTCAAAAGCAAAATGCACTTAGAAGTGCAAGTAAAATAATAGGTGATTTTTTTATTTGTATGTGAATTTGATATACAGTTACATACAAGCATTTTTCTGATAAGGAACAAATTTTATTAAGAAGAGCGTAAAGTACAACGGATTAGATGTCCACAGGACCACAGAGAAGGAACTAGAAACAACAACAGCAAACTAAAGGAAAACAACAGGATCACCAAAGAAGCAAAAGACACTAATAAAATCCACATTCCAGTTTTAAAAAAATTGCACCTAAAATAGTATCCCTAAACTTGGAAGAGAGTGGAGCCCACAGAGACCCACAGTCCTTGGGTTCCCCCCCAGCAGCAGCCCCAAATATTCCATTGGCCACCTCCCCACTTCACAAGCCTAAATATAAGCTAACTTTCCCAATCTCCCATGTTGGGTATTGATCCCTGCAATTGAGCACTTAGCTCTATTAATTCTTAACACTGGGAGGGCGCAATAAGATTTAATCACCTATAACAGATTGTTAATACTATGATTTTCCCTTAAAAGAGTATCGTCCACAAATTGGAGATGACAGATTTCCACTTCTTCCCTTCCTACTGACAAACCCTTCAACAGCTGTACTTCTCTTGCCTTATCCACCATTAATAATTATAGAGAAGAGTGATAGCAGTCGTATTACCTTAAACCCCTTGTAGCGCCAATTTTACCCCTGGGTCCACCATTAATAATTATAGAGAAGTTAACAGATTTCAAACATCCATACATCCAGTTTCTCCAAGCTGCCCAAAATCCCTTTTTCTCTAAAACAAAGTCCAAAAAGTATCACGTTCAATGGACAAGAAACATTGTAGTGTTGGCATATTGATATGCTTATCATATTCTCAAGAAATAACCAGCTATGCCAAGACAATAGACTGTCATTTCCAGGGACCAAGATTAAAGACCCAAAGACCGCCTTGCCAATGGATCCACTGGATAGCACTTTAGGGTGCCTTAAATTTGTTCGACATAAAAATTGTGGTGTTGTTGTTTATGAATTATTCAGTTCAACTAATTATGTAACTCTTTACATTTTATATGGCAAGTTCTACAGTGGTCTCTTCTGACTCGTCTCTCTCTTCTATGGGGAAAAAAAAATGCAGAACGCAAAGATAAAAAATTATAAAATTATAAAATTAAAAAAAAGTTACCATCCACATGAAGCAGTATTTATTTCAGAATTCCCCCTTTATACACAAGAAAGAGTGCCCCAACCAATTATTAACCTTCAAGAACAGCAATATTAAAAAACCCTCGTTCAATTTGCTGGGCCAACAAGAAACATTATATTTCCTTATGAATTTTGTTGTTGCCATAATATGTCGATGTTTGTGCCAGTCAACCAGATTGCACAAAGAAAAATCAGAATAATCTCATAAACTAACCTGGTCTATCAAATCTGCATTTGTCAGTGCCCAACCTTTTTTCCTATATGCATCACGAACTTCATCGCATGAGTTGCAACAGTCATCATCAGACTGCATAAGAAAGCACATATAAATATACCAATCAATCTTAAGGTCTCAGGACACACATAAAGATTCTTTCAACATGGAATTATATATATGAATTTTTGAGTTCATGAGATAGAATCTTCATAACTTCGCACTATATTTACATTTCTTAAAGGGGAACTGAAGAAAGTGAGACTTTGAATGGAAATATTTTCAAAGGCATTCCTGGGGCATGCATCATAGCAAAGGCACAATAAAAACCCCCCAGGCAACCTGTGCTAAAAGTACCGAAAGGCATACACTATTCTCATAAGGCTTAAGAGGCATAAACCATTTGGGCCTTCTATGAAAAATAAAAATAAAAAAACTTCCCCAGACAAAAACAACACCGTTTGGAAGGGGTAACTTAAAAGTAAAAAGCAATGCGGATAGAAGAGGCCTTCTGCCTCTTTCTCTCTCTCAGATCTTAACTCTTGCTTGTTCAGCAGCAAGAGGGGTGAAGTGTATTTTCTCTTATGGAATTGCTTTTATGTTTTGTGAATAATCTTATTGGATTATCATTATGATTGTTGGATAATGTTCTTGAATTTCATATGTTTTATAAATGACTACTAATATGTTTCTTTTCAAATATTATTATATAATATCATTGATGAATGGTTATTTATTTTTTATGGGAAACAAAATTCTATTAAGATGAGACAAAAGGACAAGATGTGAGCTTATGAATGGTCATGTATGAATAACATTGCACATTGATGGATTCTGCAATACTAAAATTGGACCCCAAGGTTACGTGAACTTTCTGGCATAAAATTTAGCATGAAAGAAGAAGAAATAGGAGACCCATAGCTTTTCTAAGCAATCAGTAATCACACCCGCATGAAGCCTGTTAGTCAATCACAAATAGTTCTCTATGGTTTGGTTCACTTTTGGGTTTCTTTGTGGGCATCTGTAGCTGCAGAATTTAGAGAGCCTTAAAATTGGTGGTGTCTGGCATCTTCCACATCATTTGGAACTCAAATTTTGTGTCCCTAGCATTATTGTTCAAAATAAGATAACTATTATAGCAGCGCAAGGAACAGCACAAAATCATTTATACCATTTCTGCTCCAAAGCACGAACCACAATATTTTTCATTATGCTCAAGCCTTCCACCATGCCTTTGCAAGGGATTATCAATCTGCATTAGGCAAGTAAAGTGGAAAAAGAAGAACAGGTTCAGTGCATGCCAAACAAACAAATGATAACATGATATCATATTACAAGCCAACATGGAATATATAAATTTTTTGCTTATTCCTTGTGTTTTAAAAAAAAAAAAAAGAACAGGAAAAACAACCAATAAGCAACACCAATATATGATTAGGAATATGCCTTGTGTTTTTCCTCTTCTTTTGTTTCTTCAATTGAAGAATTCTTGTTTCAACTGTGTTTTTCTTGTGTATTACTCATGCAATAAAGGTGAAAAAACTTGCAAAAGCAGTAATGAAGTTTACCAATGGAGTGGTGCATGAGGCACCAAAACCTAAATATTTTTCTTTACCATTTTCCATGTTGATGGTAAAATAAGAGCACCAAGATGCATAGTAAATCAAATATGTCATTTATATGCCTTGTCAAATTGTACCCAACACATAGAACCTAAAAGTGAGCAATGATGCACTTGCACATCATATAATGAAGGGGTATATGGGCATTCTATTCAAAAAGACAGGCAAGCTTCTGCTAGAAAGCTGTGAGAAAGTATTATAATCACATGGGAAACTGATGTCTGCACATGTGCATGTGCATAAATTTTTTTTGTACTTCTACATGGTTTTGTCCACAAAACAAAGGCAGAGTAAAATACAAGTCATGGTATTATCTCAGCCCAAATTGTTCCACAGAAAACTGTAAGTATAAATAGGTGTGCAAACATGTAAGATATGTATGCAACCAGTGCATGCAGAAGAAAAATGCCAGAAAGCTGCTCCCACAAACCTTTGGTGCACCAATTCCATCCTTCTTAGCTTCTATTACATTACCATGAGCATCAATTCTTTTCTTGACTATATCGTGTCGCTGCAAGTAGATATATCATAAATTGTGATTGTTAACAAGAAGTAAGCATGACATTCAAGAAAGTTGGTCACAAGCAACATGATTGCAATAAAAGTCAATATTGAACATGTTCCTAACACAATTGCAATTATTAACGCAAAAAAACAATTAACAAGAAGCAGCTGCCTGTAGTATTATACTATGTCAAAATGTTGTTCACCGCTGATATCCATTGTGTCAAGACTGAGTAATGAGCACCGGATAGCAGGAAAAGTTACATCAAACTGCAGTTTTAACCAAAAACAAATAATCAGTACAACTAGAACCAGAAACGACTATGTGGGACAATATTTCACATGCAAATGCACTACTCCATGTGAAAGTGCAAAACCAGAATGGATGTAAATGTATGAACATAACACATAAAAAGGTGTTTTACAAAATAACAAGTATAACTTGCAAAGAATGATAATTTGAACCTTTGAAGTTATTGTAAAATGAATGGTTTAACATTGATCACTTAAAAGTGAATCTTGGGAAGCAAAAAAACAGAGATCATTACATTGATATGTAAGGTTTCCCCTCTTGAAGCATCTACAAGCAGCTTTGACTCTGTAACAGTGTGGAGGTATAGTCCTGCAAGCACAAAAAAGTAAAAGAATAAATAAACAAATAAAATACAGCTTTATAATATTATATAAGAGCAAAATAAGTGCTCATAGCTCCAGCATTAATCCAATGTGATCGATGACTGCAGCAGTAAAAGGGAAAAAGAACTCAGCATTACAAACAGATTTAATACAATTATTGTGCCGCTTATTGATAGTTTTGATCCCTTGATCGATGGCTAATGGCTACTATAAAGGCCTTCCATCATCTAATCCACCACAAATATTTATTCATCACGACGTAAAGCTACAAATATGATCCTCTAACTAACTCCAATTTCCCCTCCACAAATCCTCTAACACCCTAGAATTTCCCCTTCACAAATTTATTCATCAAGAAGAAACTTTTAATTGTCCCTGAAAAATACCCAATTAATCCAAGCCCAGACAAAGATCATTTAGCCCAGTGTGTGAAGTGAACCAAATTGGCTTTCAACAAAAAAATCTCAGTTGACCCATTTACAAACCATAGATATAGATGACAGAAGCAATCCTGCACAACCCAAATGCTACAATTTCTAAACTTTTTCCGCACCTCAGAATTATTAGGAAAGCAAAAAATAAACAGGGGAGAGAGAGAGTTGATAAATAGAAAAAGTGAAAAAGGGTTGCATACTGAGCTCAGAGAAGAAAAGCAAGAGGATGAGGAGGGAAGAGGCGAGGGTAATAATGCCACCGGAGAGTGTACGGCTGAAGAAATCGTCATTGATTTTAGGGTAGGCGTCCAAATTCCTCAGCTTCTGAAGGATGCTGTCCATGGTCACCGGCCTGCGTTGACTACTCTCAACAAATTCCTTTCTTTTCTGTTCTTTTCTGTTCTTTTCTTATACACGACAATACAAAATAAAATAAAATGCTTAATTACCGTTTTCATATCCACTTAAATGTTAATCTCAATTTAGTCCCTCGAACTCAATTTTTCGCACTTAACCCTCTGCTTTTATTTTCTCACATAGAGTATGCTTGACTTTTGTTCCTATTCTCTGCAAGTGACTTATTCTTCCCCAAATTCTTACTCTCGCATCTTCGATAAATAAATAAATTAGAAAATTCCTTCTTTCTCATTGAAAATCATGTGTTGATCCTCCCAACAACAACAAAAAATAATGTTGTGGTGGCTACAACGTAATGGACTTATTCCTTGTAGATGGACTTTTTTATGAGTTTGAGGTTTCAATTGGATTTAATGTTTGTCAATGTAGAGTGGAGCTCTTTTTTTTTTTTGTTCTTTTTTTTTCAATTATTTATAGTGCCCCTAAAATTAAGATTAAATTTCATATTGTCCTTAAAAGTTGAAGTGGCCCACTTTGCCTCCTTCATCAAGGTTTGATGTTCCACCACTCCCTCCATTCAAAAGTCTCCACAAATTGATGACATGACAAAGGTGTTTACGTAACTTTGTATGTGCGGGTTTTACATTTAAATAATTAAAAAAATTAAAAATCAATTAGATGTCTAAGCAAAAGCAAAGAAAAAACCTCTCTAGGTAAGACATTAGCTGATGGGGGTTCTTTTGATGCCACAATTCCGGTGGCTGCCGATTATGAACTAGAAGAGGGTTTTTGTGAGCTTCCGGTGGCTACCAATTATGAACTAGAAGAGGGTTCTTTTGGTGACACAATTCTGTTGGGGAGTAGGGCTACCACGAAAAGTGTTGTGAACATTGATGGTTTGGCTTAAATGGGGACATAGGACAATATGTATATGGTCAAAGAATGGGGCTTAAGTTGGGAGGTGAGCGGCCTTAGAGTAGTCCCAAGACGAGGGGTTCGAGATAGAAAATAGAGGTTCTTGTAGATAGAAATGTGGTTGTTCGACTGGACAACACGTGATGGGTCTCGAGGCTCACGAATTTTTTCCGAGCTCTGAAATTTTTTCTCATAGCAAAAAAGCCTCGTGTAGTCTTTCTATATGAAACTAGAATGACTATGTATGCAACAAATGGAAGTGGTACGAAGACAACTATGAATGGATGGTTGTTGTGGGAGAAAATAATTCGGCTTCCAATCACAAAGTGCCACGTGAACAAGAAGAATATCTCTTAGATCAATTCATTGAGCCCATTTATTTGGCAAATTAATTGATACTAAAAATAAGGATATTATCTTTATTTAAAGATAATATCACCAATTTAGGGTATTATCTTATTTGGAAGATATCATCATCAATTAGTGATTTGATCATAAAGCTGGGCATCTAGACCAGAAACCCGGTCAAATCGACCGAACCAAACCAGTGGTTTGGTTTGGTTTTTTAAAATTTTTTCTTGTGTAATCGGTGTTAAGCCGAACCAAACCGATCTATTCAGTCCAATTTACGATTCAACTAATGTCAGTCAGTTGGTTTACCCGAACCAAATCGTCCACATCATAAAGCTCAATTAAATATAAAAATATTGCACCATTGAGCATCGAACCTTCGAAATCTTTGCCCAAAGAGAGCGCATTCCACTGTGATATTATTTGCTTTTGTGTTTATTTTGAGTAATCATGGTATTTAATGGTTTTCGGTTAGAAATAAAAAATAATATAAAAGTGTTAGGGTTAACCCTAACACATATCTTTTTTTTTAAATGTAACATCCTACATTGACCAACGGAGAGGGGGTGATGTGCTTTACATGTACATGCCCACCTCTATTTAGCATGAGGCTTTTTGGGAGCTCACTAGCTTCAAATTCCATGTGTACTCCGAAGTTGAGCGAGTTTCGGCTAGAGCAATCTTAGGATGAGTGACCCACTAGGAAGTGCTCGTGAGCTCCCATAAACAAAACCGTGAGGGCAAGGGGCCCAAAAAGGACAATATCGTGCTACGGCGAAGTCGATCCGGGATGTGACAAAAAAACTTTGAAGCGTCGTATCTGTTCTCACCCTCTCTCTCTTTTCTTTCTTCTTCCTCCCTATTCTGTGTCACGACTTCTTTTTCCTCCCTATTCTCTGTCACAACTTCTTCTTCTTCTTCTTCTTCCCTCCTTCCTATCTTGCAGATCTTGCTGTTCAAGCCGCAAAGTCGTATAGCACAGATTTCGCCATCCAAGTCGCGAAGTCTTTGTGCCCAGATCTCATAGCCTCATTCTCAGTCTTTGCAACCACCAGTTAAACACATAAACTGAGCCAAACCAACCCATACAACCAGTTAACCGAGGACTCCGGTTAACCGGAGATGATGGTTCGGCATCAGTGTTAGAAAATGCTTTACCGAGGGCTACGGTTCAACGTTCGGTGTTGGCCACATTCAACACATAAGGTAATCCAAAATTCCTCTCAAAACCCTAAACACCCGCAACCTCTCTCTCTCTCTCTCTCTCTCTCTCTCTCTCTCTCTCTCTCTCTCTCTCTCTCTCTCTCTCACTCATAGCTGACGACATCCCTAGCCGCCGGCTACTCCCAAATTCATCTCTCCCATACAGCTAAGTGCCACCACATATGGCTCTGGCCACCCGGTTCTCCCCATAAAGAAAACTCCATACCTTTTTTTAGCTATTGTTTCTCAATGATTCAATCGAACTAACTTAGGCATCGAAGAGCCTTTGGCAACACCCCTGTGTGTGGTCTTTTACTCCTATTTGATTTTAGAGGAACCGAGGAAGAGAGAGAAGGAAGGTAAAAGGGCAAAGGATCTAGAAAGTGAATATTCTCCTGTGAAATATTTGCACAAACATTTGGTGCTTTCATTGAGAGTGTGAGTTATACTCAACGCATGCTCTTGAATCAAAATAATTTTTTCCCTTCTTTTTCCGCTTAATCTAAGACTTCCAAACAACCATGGTTGGAAGCAAACGCACGAGAAGCAAAATTGCCACGGTGGCTCAATTCACGAGAGAGCCATTGTTTAGTTGCCTCTTACCAGCAGCAATTAAAGTCTTACTACGACAAAAGGGCCAAGGTTAGGTAGTTTCAACCTGGCAACCTTGTGCTTAGAAGGACTTTCATTACTGTACAAAGACAAGGATCAAAGAAGATGACACCCAATTGGAAAGGTCCTTACTTGATTAGCCAGTCTGGGGGCATAGGAAGCTATACACTTGACACCATGTTAGGGAAGGAGATTCCAAGACAATGGAATGCTTGCCACCTCCAAAGATATTACCCATGAAGCGTCCTCTTGCAAGCTCAGTTCTTGGCAAACGACTGAGCCTTGCCCACTTTTGAAAAAGAAAAGCAGCTACTAGAAATTCCAGGTTATTTATCCAGTTATTGTCATTTCAAATAAAGCGATGTAATCATATAAACATCAATGCAAATTCTATTTCTCATTCAATAATGTGTCAAAGAAAAAAAAAAGCAGATTGTTGCCCATAAGCAACATTCTAAAGGAGACACAGGGCAACAACTATGAAGCATCCTAAAGGAGACGCAGGCCAAGCAGGCCGTCACCCATAAGCAGCGTCCTACGGGAAACATAGGGCGACAACTATAAGTGTCGTAAGGGAGACGCAGTCCACAAAAAGAGTCCTAAGGAGACGCAGGAGGCGCCAATAGCTTACTAAGGGAGACCTAGGTTCTTATCAGTTTCTTAAGGGAGGCATGACAATCATTTATAAGCGTTCTAAGGGAGACACAGTTCACAAAATGCATCCTTAAGGAGGCGCATGATGCGTCGAGCGTTTCCTCAGGGAGACTTAGGTTCCTGTCAGTTTCTTAAAGGAAGCATGACAGTCATTTATAAATGTCCTAAGGGAGACGCAATCCACAAAAAGCATCATTTGGGAAACGCAGGATGCGCATGGAGTTTCCTAAAGGAGACCCAAGTTCCTGTTTGTTTCTTAACTTAGGCATGACAATCATTTATAAGAGTCCTAAAACAAACACGGTTTACACAAAGCATCCTTAGGGAGATGCATGACACGACGAGAGTTTCTTAAGGGAGACCCAAGTTCCTATCAGTTTTTAAAAGAAAGCATGACAATCATTTATAAATATCCTAAGGGAGACGCAATCCACAAAAAGAGTCATTAGGGAGACGCAGGATGCGCCAAGAGTATTCTAAGGGAGCCCCAAGTTCCTGTCAGTTTCCTAAGATAGCCATGACAATCAAAGTATCCTAAAGAATGAGCAGAAGAGCACCCTTCAAGTAAGTGGTGGGTAAACATTCAAACATCCTAAGGGAGATGCACAACCAAGACACTAGCCGGTTATCCAAGCAGTTCACAAGACACAATGCAAATTGAAGTTAAAGACATACCTAAAGTTTCCATAGCAAAGTGACTAACCGGCCAAGTTCAACAAAAAGAAGATGGTCAAACAAGACCAATTATTTCAAAAAAAAAACAAATTACAGAAAACTTAAAAGAATAAAGGAGTCTTCATCTACTCTAAGATCCCAGCAGGAGACCCCTAGTCAACAAGCTCGTTTGACATCCATATGATTAGCTGAGCCTTTAGCAGCCAAAATTGTCTGCTTTGCGGCATCTACCATCATTTCATCAGTCACGCCCTCCTCAGCTTCACCCTCCTCAATTACATCCTCGTCGGCTGCCTGCTCTTCAACTCCTTCCACATCTACAATATTGATCTGCTCACTTTGAACAGGGAGCAAGTTAGGACATGGCATCTCAATGTCTTCATCTCTAATGGCATAGGAAGGCGCAGTTGCACTCGTGCAGTTCAAGTAGCCCAACTTGTACTCGTCAATGACAACCTCAAACTTGGATTGTTCAGTAGCCTTATGGTAGGCATCAAACTTGGCTAGAAGCTTATCATAACTGTAAGAGATGTAAGCATTCTTTCGCCTAAGACGAAAGTAGGCCTATTTTTTACTATGCATGGTGGTAGCAGAAGAGTTGCGTTCACTCTCCTTCTTAGCAAAGGAATTCTTTAGCTCAAATATATTCTCCCTCAGTTTATACATCCTCTTTCATAACGGATTTGCTCGATGATAAGTTCATAATTTCATACATTTGCATACCTTCTTTACTTGGTGACTTTGCTTAATTTCTCTTTATTTTGAGTAATTTACCTCTTTTTGTTTGTTTTGTAGGTTAAGACAGCAGGAGATCACATTTGATGCAATCCATGCTTGTTAAGGGCTGATTGGGATAAGAGGAATATGAGCTTAAAGACAAACCCATTTTGGGCTACACTCATTGTCAGTTCAGTTTCATAGGTCATCTTGCAGGCCTCATTTCAGCAACTTACACAGGTCGGATGAGGAGACATCCTTGATAGAAGTTGTTCCAATGGGTGTCTATTATAACATATCAAAATTTCAGCCCAATTGGATAAATCAGGAGGCCTCAGCACGTCAAAGACTGAACCAAGTTCACAGAAATGTCATGTTGGCTGCCATTACATTTAATGTGGCTACATCCCTAAAGCCATGTGCTGCACATGGGCAGCCACACATGGGAGTCAAATCAGCTCAGGAACTCAGAAGGATGGACAAAAGTCAAGCTTTCCATAAAGAAACCATACTAAAGCATGTATTTGGCAGTTGGAGCAGTTGGCAAGTATGGGCAGCTGGAGCAGTTGGCATGTATGGGCAGCTGGAGCAGTTGGGAGCAGCTAAGAGAGGTGTGCTTCACCAGCCAAAGGGGAGGATGAAATTGCACTCTATAAATAGAGAGCTGCACACTCATTCAAAGGAGACACACACATTCACTTCATCCATTACTCTCATACACACATTCAGATTCACCACAAAGAGAGAAGAGAGCTTGGAGCTGTCCTCGGATCTACATTGCTGCCAGCTAGTTCTTCTCTTCTCTTTGTCCTATCTATGTATTTCTTATTTTCTATATTCATAGTTATATTTAACTAATTCATTTAGTCAGGGCTTAGGATGAAGCCCTAGTCATGAATATTTAATGTTATGGATGATTTTATAGTTAATTGATTTCCTTGCTTTCATTATCAAGTTGTTAATCTCCAGTTTATTATGTGCTTGATGTATGTTTTCTTGGAGTAGCTAACTAGGATTTTATGCATCTAGCACAGGTTAGGAAGGGGTTTAGATTCACCAATTCTACTCTCCTTTCACAAGCAACACATGAATGGCCTAAGAATCATTCAAGGGGTTAATAACCATAGGTTGACTAGGACAGATACCATGTTCTAGGACTTCTGTGATTATCATATTCTCATATAGTTTAATGACTCTTGTATGCTTTATTCTAAGTAGATACCATGCTTAGGTTGCATATTAGAGATCACGTGTTGTGTAGATACCATGCATAATCACATGCCTTAGGAGAATCATGCATCATGCACCTAGATACCATAGGCTTGTATGCAATAATCTATTGTTGATTAAGCTTGAGTCAATTTCTATGCATTCATAACTTGGATAGGAAAACTAGTGGTGGATTCCAAGGCTCTAACACCTCTCAATTATTGTTTCACAATCTATTAATTGCAGCCAGTGTTTACTTTCAAGCACTTTAATTTCACTTTCTTCTTTTCATTTCAACAACAAAACCCCCCATTTCGAGTGCGTGTGTGGTGCTAGGATTCTGTCCTAGACCTTGAGTAATTAGCAAGAGGAATTGTTGAATTTGACCTTGCCTTTAGCTAGTTAGTTAGTTTCTTTATTCTATGTTTTTCTAGCATTCTAAGTAATTTAACTTGGAACCAAGTTACCATTCTTCGTGGAATCGACCTCGTATTTACATAAGTTATACTATAAACGGTTCGTGCACTTGCAAAAATTAAAGTTGCTGTTTTTAATAACTCATTTTATTTGTTAAGAATAGGCTCAACAAGTTTTTGGCGCCGTTGCCGGGGAATTGGTAACGATGGTACTATAGTTAGATTACTTTGATTGTTTTGTTTTGTTTTTTTTTGTTTCATTTGTTTCTTTTCATTGGTTTTTCTTATAGTATTCAGTTTTTGTATTTACTTGTTATCTCCATTGAAAGCATTGAATTGAGTTCCTTGGTGTGTGCATGTCCGAATCTAACTAGGGGTAAAGTTCACCTGAGCCACTTTCACCAAGAACCACTGCTGTACGTGCTGGTTTGAGGAGGAATTATAGTTCTTCAAGCACTGATTCTAAGAGTTATGAATCTGAAGGTTCAAGCAAGATGGCAAAGATTCCGAACAACAACAATAATGTTGAAAGAGGTGGTGAGCTTGTTGTCCAACCTCGAAAACCCCTGCGTGAGTTTTCCATTCCCAAAGTCACCGATCAACCTTCGTGCATCGTCTATCCTCAACTCACAGTTGACAGGTTTGAGCTTAAAAGTGGTATGATTATGTTTGGGCCTAATTTGACACACACACAGCCCACTTCTCAAAGGCCCATGAAACCAAAACCGGGCTTCAAATTATCGGATCGGGAGAGAGAAAAAGCCCAGCTCACGTCTTTTTCAAAGGTGGTAGGAATGAAAAAAATGCCAAAGGGATGGCAGTTACATTTTAGATAGATCAAATAGAAAATTTGGATTGGGCCCAACCTGTTACCATCTCTCAAAAAGGCCCGGCAGCAATTTCTCAAAAATCCACGTGAAACCTTTCTTCTCAAACTTTGAAAAATTAACAAAATCATCTATCACAGAGTTGATTGGGAATTTAAAAGAAAGGGTCAGTGGCTGGCAAACTGGGAAGGGACATCTCTGAAAATACTGAAGATCAAATCCCTCTCACATATATATATATATATATATTCTTCTTTTTTCTCTATTCTAGAGAAGGTGATTCTCCCAAGAGATAAGCAAACTTCAATCTCAGAAAGAAATAAGCAGGAAAGCAGGGAGTTGTTCAAACTGAAGAAATCAAACTAACCATCACAGTTGAAATCTCATAAGGGGCAGTTAAATTGGGAAAAGGGACTAGGTTTTCTTTTAAAGAAAAAAAAAAACAGAGAAGTGATCTTAAGAACTGATTGATGAAAGCCTATCTGACAGAATTAAAATCCTTTCCTCTCTCCTGAATTTCTTTGTAGATCCTTTTCGAAAAGACTTGCCGCCCATTATTTTAAGAAAAAAACCCCACTCCTAAGCATTTCTTGTAAATCTAAGAAGGAGTGAACAGGGCAAAGAAAAAACACACAAAAATTTATCAACCAAACAAACAACAAGAAATCAACCAAAAGCTCACTCGAACTCCAAGAGAAACCAGCTTTAGGTCAAAATTCCCAAAGTTCAGCCTTAGAAGATAAGTCATTTAAAACGAAGATCTCTCTCGTTACAAATTTGGTTCAGCAAAAGCCAAAACAAGCAGAGTTTGATTTTTTCCCAAAACCTCAACAAAATCTTACAGTGTAGTCCCTAGCTCACTAAGTCTTCAAGAACAGCCACTTCTGCCCCTTCAGACTGAAGAAGCCGCAGTTCTGCCCACTCAAAAGCCTCAAAAAGCTTGAAGTAGATTAAAGCTCTGCCAAAATTGAACTTTGGTATCAATTTACAGCTGAAGCTTAGTAGTTGAAGTTGTTGATAGTTCAGTCCAACCCAGACATATCCAATCCAGCCCGGATCAGAGCCTTCTATCTAGGCAGAAATGGAGTTCCAATTGTCTTTTAATCTTTCTAGCATTGATATGTATGTTTATAGTCTTGTAAAGGGCAATTCTGCCTAAAACAGTCCAATTTCTATCAATTATTCTGGCAAGAACAACCATTTTTATATTGAGATAAATTATGAAAGTCCTCACCAATCTGAGGCACGAAAAGAACTTACTTGGGAGATATTCCTCACCCAAATTCACAATCGTTTGTTTTAGAGAATAGTAACTTGGGGCGCAAGTTATCTATTCTAGAAGAAGTCTGCTAGAATCTTCATTGCTAGTAGTGGCACTCTCATACACCAAAGAAAGCTGACTTGTTGACCAGTCAATGGTTTCCAAGGCAGTGGGGAACTTTGCCTTTCTAACTCAGGAGTAAACACCAAACAGGTGAACAATTTGGCACGCCCGGTGGGACTTCTCAGTATACATGCTCTGACAGAATTCTTTTCAAGTTTATGAATATTGGAAGCTCTAGCCAGAACCCGCACCACGCCATGGAAATAAATCAGGTAGCTATCAGGGAAGGTCTAGAGTCAGAAGAAAGTGATGCCAGGCAATCAGCCCACAGCAGTACCGGAAGCAGACGATCCAGGACCGACTCTAGGAGGATGAACCAAATACAGGAATCTGTGCTCCGACAGGAGGTCACAACACAAAGAAGCCAGGATACTCTCAATAACATGACGGCCATGATGCAATGGCAGGTCAACATGCAGTTCAGAAAGGATTGTGAGGCTGCCATGACCAGAATTCCAAATCTGGATGCTGTAGTCCAGCAGCTAGACCTCCCCTATGGTCCTTCACCAGGATTAGCATGGTCATACCAGGAAAACCCTCTCATTGCACAAATAGCTGGGATGCTGTGGCATGGAGAGATCCAGACTGGACAGAGAGGAGAAGCCCTTCCCATCCAAGAATGTGAGACCCCAGTCCTGCCAGTAGGCCCTGCACCAGTTCGGATCCAACAGAACCAGCAAGAACCTCAACCTATTCCACAACCTGTGGCCCCACATAATCAACATTTGACACTTCTGCCTGAGCCACTGGCAGTTTTGCCATATAGGCCCAGAAGGATGGATCCCAATCCATTTCTTCCACCTACAAGAGGCAGAAGAGGCAGATGGGGAAACAACCCTTTTGCTAACAATAACAAGGACATGCTGGGGGCAAACTGGAGGAACCATCCAGACTTAGAAGAAGAGGAAGAACACAGGGAGGAAGTTCTACCCAGGCCATATAGGGCAGAACTCAGGATTGATCCCATCCAGCCAGAACAGGGACGAAACCTGCACCTTGTTAATGCTTTGAACGATGTGGGGGCATTACAAAGAATGATCAGAGAAATGATGGAACCTGAAGCTAGAAGGGGAGAAAGGCCCACTTATAGGAAGCCATATCCGGCTTATATCAATCAGATACCTCTATCCCAGGATTCAAAGTGCCAAACTTCACCTTGTTCAACGGGGATGACCCCCATGCTTCGTCGGTTGAGCATATAGGCAGGTTTTCTGTCCAATGCATAGCCATAGAAAATAACCCATTGTTAAAATTGTGGCTTTTTGGCAATTCTCTCTCTGGACAAGCTTTCACCTGGTATACCAGTCTGCTAGCCAATTCTGTTCAGACTTGGGAGCAAATGGAAAGTGTTTTCCATGACTATTATTACAGGATTCAGCCAGAAGTCACCATCAGTGATCTTGCCATCCTCAAGCAGAGTGAAGATGAACCGGCTCAAGATTTCATAACAGGTTCAGAAAGCTCAAAATGAAGTGTCAAATCCCTATGGAAGAAAGACACTTCATCCAAATGGCTCAGGCTGCCCTCAAGATCTCTATGAGAAAAAGATTTGATGGGATACTGTTTGGAGATCTGGCAGAACTAGCAGATAAAGCATCCAAGTACGAGGAACTGCTTAGGGAAGAACAGCAGAGGAGAAACTCTTCCAAAGGCACGTATTACAAGTCCCCTTCTTCTTCAATACACCTAGTTCAGATAGAATCAGAAGAAGAAGTAGAGGGCTCGGAGGAGGGAGAAATTGCAGTAGCAGAGATGGCAAAGTTGAAACATCCCATAAGCTGCAAGCCCCTTACAAAACCACCAAAGGATCAGAAGCCGCTACCATTCACAGGAGGGTTTGTTCCGAACAAACCAACGCAGAACAAGGTTTATTCCTTTGATTTGACCAAGGTGGATGCTTTATTTGATGAAATGTTGCAACAAAAGCAATAGAGACACCCCACAGGATGCCCAAGCCAAAAGAACTCAAGGGCAGACAGTATTGCAGGCGGCACAACTCTTAGAATCATTCTACCAATAGCTGTGTTGTTTTCAAAGATGTTATACATGAAGGAATAACAACAGGAAGTCTAAAGCTAGCGGAGAAACCTCCATCAGTCACAACAGATCCTTTTCCCCTGCCACAAGTTAACATGGTCAACCTAAATTGGCCAGAACATAAGAGAAGTAGATCGACGACAGAAGCTAGCTCCAGCAGAGGCAGAATAGTCACAAAGGAAACTATTGAAAGGCCAAAAGCAACTATCTCAGCTGGGGTAGTGCTCTGCAGCAAGTGCAAGTGTGAAACTAAGCTAAAAGTGGTCCTGGACAGGCAGAGTCAGCCCATTCCGAGTGTTTTTGACAGGATTGGAACCTCATCCCGAGATAGAGCCAGGCAGAAAGACTATCTCAGGCTTGCAGAGCGGCCCAAGAAGGAAATACCAATCAAGATGCCCGAGAATGAAAAACCCTTGGCAGCTATCATAGAAGGCAGATGGTATTCTATGGGGAAAAGTGGTAGACCAACTCTGGAGCTAACCAGAACTCAGAAGAGGATGGTTCAAAGGCAATACTGCACATTCCTCAAAAGCAAGAGTAATGCACAGGTACTTCCAGAAGCTAGTTCTGTCAGAAAAAGGGAAGGAACCAGAAGTGCCTCCTCTGGCAGAACAAACAACCTGCCAGGCACAAAAGCTGGTAAAAGAACTCCTATCCATCCTGCCCCATCCTCAATCAATTAGCTCGAGCCTTCACAAGTACAAGGTGAATCCAAACCTATCCCGGCAAAAGAACAAGAAAACTGGACTGGAGAGTATGAAGAGGAGCAGCTGGATTATGAACCATCTACAGATGATCAAAATGGACTCCTCGAAACAGGAGAACAGGAAGACTGGACACAAGAGTACGAGGAAGAGCAGATGAAATATGATGGAGAATTAGATGAAGAAACTGAGGCTTTTGGTGCAGAATTGAAAAGCTTGTTGTAGGAAGATCTATGCATTAACATGATGTTCATCCTGCCAGAGAAGTTCAGAGCAGCAGAAGGACAAGAAAACACTCTGAAATGAGATGTTTTCTCTCAGGAAAGCTTTGATAGCAGGTTGGCAGAAGTAGAGGAGACACCAGAACAGCACCTGGCAATCCCAAGAATGGCGGAACTGCCAACAAACCGGTTGCAGAATAGCTTTGCTTCTCCAAACCAACCAAAGAGATGACCAATCACCTCAGACCCTTGTTTATAACAGCAAACTTTGGGGGTATTCCTATTCCCAAGGCCATAGTAGATGGAGGTGCAGCCATTAATCTTTTGCCTCACAGGATGCTGAGCAAGATGGGCAGAACAGAGAAGGATTTGATTCCAAGACGCTTAGCCGTCACCAATTTCGCTGGAGGCATCACCAAAACCCATGGAATCTTAGATGTGGATGTCATAGTTGGAAGCAAAGAGCAGAAGATTGCATTCTTTGTGGTAGACACCACTTCTACCACTTATAATGCACTGCTTGGCAGGGACTGGATTCACCAGATTCTATGTGTTCCTTCTACTCTCCATCAGCAGTTAGCTCTGTGGAATGAAGAGGGTTACATGGAGATAGTAGAGGCCAATCCACCACCATTTCTGCCTTCTGCCATGTGTTTTGAGGCAAGGTATTACAATGATGACCTTGGTCCTTTCACTTTCCTTGAAGTCAACCAGAACGGCCGCCCTCATGGTGTCACAGCCCAGAGGCTCATTGAAGATGGTCTAGACAGTTCCCTAAAGGTTGTTCTAAACCTCCAGAACTCTGATGTTTAGTCCCAATCAACAGGAAAAGGATAGAGTTGCAACAATCCGATCCATTACAAAAAGATTGTTGATATATTGGGAGGAAAGAAAGTCTTCATGCAGAATCTAGCCACCAATATGACAGAATTCACCCATGAAAGCACGAAAGATCAAGAGGAAGAGAGTTTGCAGGAGGAAGTATTAGATTTTGCACCAACAGCACTGGATGATTCTCTGCCATAAGTGGAAGATCCTTTGCAGGAAACAAACTTAGGGACAGAAGAGGATCCAAGAGCTACTTTCATTAGCGCACTGTTGAAAGAACCAAAGAGTGAACTCATTACACTTTTGCGGGAGTTCAGAGATTGTTTTGCTTGGCATTATCATGAAATGCCAGGTTAGACAGGGAATTGGTAGAACACAAGCTGCTAGTTAAAGATGGCTACCTTCCAATTAAATAGGCCATAAGAAGAATGTCTATGGACACAGAACTGAAGGTCATAGAAGAAATAGAAAGGTTGCTCAAGGCAGGATTCATCAGACCAGCCATTTATGCTGATTGGCTAGCCAATATTGTACCGGTTCTCAAAAGAAAAACATGGGTAGTTAGAATCTGTGAGGATTACAGAAATCTAAATGAAACATCTTCCAAAGATAAATACCCTATGCCAATGGCAGACATGCTAGTAGATGGAGCTGCTCATAACCAGATGCTATCTTTTATGGATGGCAATGCAGGTTACAATCGGATTATGGCGGTAGAAGAAGACATCCACAAGATAGCTTTCATGTGCCCAGGACATATAGGTGCTTTTGAATACACTGTAATGCCTTTTGGTTTAAGAAATGCAGGAGCCACTTATCAAAGAGCAATGAATTCTTTGGAAGTGTATATAGATGATGTGGTGATTAAATCCCCAGAGGAGGGAAATCATACATCAAATCTGAGAAGGGCATTCCTAAGAATGAGGCAACATAAACTGAAAATGAACTCCAAGAAATGTGTTTTTGGAGTTCAAGCATGAAACTTCTTAGGATTTTTGGTCCACCAGAGAGGCATAAAGATTGACAAGAACAAAGCAAAATCCATCATAGAAGCTCTACCACCTATGAACAAGAAAGAACTATAGAGTCTCCTAGGAAAAATTAATTTTCTAAGGAGATTCATATCCAATTCTGCAGGAAAGATCCAGCCTTTCTCTTCTCTGTTAAGATTGAAGCAGGAACAGACGTTCAAGTGGGAAGAACAACACCAATAGGCTTTCGAGGAAATCAAGCATTACCTCTCAAATCCACCAGTTTTGTCCCCGCCAAAGAGAGGCAGACCACTCAAGCTCTATGTGTCTGCATCAGAAGTGTCCATTGGGAGTCTGTTAGTCCAAGATAACAAGGAAGGGAAGGAATAGGCAGTCTACTATCTGAGCAGAACCCTGACTGCTGTGAAGCTCAGACACTACATGCTGCAATATACTATCTACATCATTGCCAAGACAGATCTAATCAAATACATGCTAACAAGACCAATGCTGAGAGGCAGAATTGGAAAATGGACTTTGGCCTTGACAGAATTTGCCTTCAGATATGTTCCTCAAAAAGCTGTCAAAGGACAAGCTGTGGCAGATTTCCTAGCAGATCATCCAGGAGAAGAGATTGAAAACATGGACTCTGTGGACATAGCAAATGCAGATTTGTTGACTAGAGCTCACACTTGCCTTAACAATCCCATCTATTCAGTTCATCTCACACCTTGGAAGCTGTATTTTGATGGGTAAAAACTGATATAGCTTCCGGGGCAGGGATTGTATTGGAGGAACCATTGGGATTAGACATTGCTATTCTTTCCAGTTAGATTTCCAATGCACCAACAATAGGGTTGAATATGAAGCTCTAATTATAGGCCTAGAAATGCTGGTGGAGTTAGGGATCCAATCTGTGGAAATCCTGGGAGATTCCATGCTTGTTTTGAAGCAGATTGCTGGAGAATACAAGTGTCTAAGTCCTTCCCTAGTTGTCTATTTAGTGGCAACTAGGAATCTTCTAACAGAGTTTAGAGAAGCTACTTGGGAACATATCCCAAGGGAGGAAAACTTTGCAACCAATGAACTGGCTCAAGTAGCAACAGGTATACAAATGCATGAAGATTTCGTATAGAGGATCATCAAGGTGGGAAAGAAAAGCCTGCCATCAGTTCTGACAAGAGGGATGGAGATAGATGTTAATACTGCCATAATCACTGAAGATGATTGGAGAAATCCTATCATAACCTACTTGCAGTATCCAACCTTACCTTCTGAAAAAAGAGTCAAAATCATGGCTTTGAACTACCTTATGTGGAATGGAGATTTGATCCTTAAAAGCAAGGATGAGGTGCTATTAAGGTGCCTTGGGAAAAAAGAATACATGAAAGTCATGGGAGAAACTCATGAAGTGATCTGTGGAGCTCACCAAGGACGAAGAAAGATGTGCTGGTTAATCAGAAGGTATGGCTACTTCTGGCCAACCATGATGAAAGATTGCATTGACTATTCCAAGGGGTGTGAGTCTTCTCAAAGGCACGGCCCAATCCAGCAGGCTCCTTCAGTTCCCATGAATCCAGTGGTAAAGCCATGGCCTTTTAGAGGATGGGCAATGGATCTCATTGGCAAGATCTATCCAGCCAGCAGTCAGCAACACTGTTTTATTATTGTTGCTACAGATTATTTCACCAAATGGGTGGAAGCCAAGCCTATTAAATCCACTACATCTCAAGAGATCATTACTTTCATAGAAGAGCAAATCATACAAAGGTTTGGCATTCCAGAATCAATCACGACTGATAGGGGATCTTCCTTCATATCTAGAGAGATGCTAGATATGGCAGAAGCATTCAAATTCAAGCTGCTTCAATCCACTCCTTATTATGCTCAAGCCAATGGATAGGCAGAATCAAGTAACAAGGTGATCATCAACATTATCACAAAAATATTTGAGAAAAATCCAAAACAATGGCATGAAAAGCTATCAGAAACTTTGTGGGCTTATAGAACTTCAAAAAGAGAGGCAACTGGCATGACCCCCTACGCATTAACCTATGGTCATGATGCAATTCTTCCTATGGAGATACATGTCCAGTCCCTCAAAATTGCTCATCAACATAATATGGTTGAAGAAGACTACTCTCAAGCCATGCTGCTAGAATTGGAAGGATTGGATACAAGCATGATTGATACCCTCAACAAAGTCTTAGTAGGGAAACAGACTGTGTCAAGGGCCTACAATAAAAGAGTCAAGGACAAGAGTGAACAAGGAGAGATAGTTGGAAAGCAGTTCTGCCCCTTGTAACACATGTAGCTGGTTATGGAAAGTGGTCACCTACATGGAAAGGTCCTTTCATAATTAATCAGTTCCTTGGGATGGGGGCATACAGGTTGCAAGATCGAGATGGAGAAGTACATAATGCCCCAATCAATGGCAAGTGGTTGAAGAAGTTTTATCCAAATATGTGGGATTCACAGGCTGTACAGACAGATCCTAGGATAGAGAAGGAACAAGACTGAAACCGTTTGTTTCAAATTCTATTCAGAGTTATTTTTGCTCTAAGTTGTTTAAAGTTTGTTTCCCTTTCGCTTTTTACTTCTGTTTATTTCATCAAAAGAAATTAAAAACCCAAAAATTGTAGCAAATAAATAAACTTTTATAAAAAATAATAAAGCCACTCTCATGGCAAATTATTCAAATATAAAGCCGAAAATTAAAAAATTTATAACCCTAATTTCCTAAGGGTTTCTTGCAAGTTCACTTTCTTGATGGAGAGTTCCTTCTGAAGCAGCACCCCTTGGTGGATTGAAGCCTCTACAATTTTCAGGGCTGGCCTGGAAACTGCAACCATGCTCTGAACAAGGAAGGTAGCCTTGGTCTTGGAACTCAGTCCAGCCCCAAGCCTGCTCTGCACCTCCTTGCACTCCGCCAATTGTTTTTGAAGCTCTTCAATCTGCTTCTCTAGCTTGTCTGCGGTGGCCTTAGCTTCCTTGTATCCTGCCACCATATGGTCCAGTTCTGCCTTCTGCTTTAAAAAATCAGCCAAGTTGGTTTCATGAGTGGCCTTGCAGAACTCAGAGGTCTTGAAGGTGGGCTTGAGATCCTCATAACGATCATGGAGGTTGAGCACATCTCTTGACAGGCCAAGACTCATCTCAAGAATGGGTTTGGGGGCCATGTTCTGTCTATGCAGCAGGTCCAGATCTTTCATCAGCTGGTCAATGGCTTCCCTATACTCATCCAGCTCCAGCTCAGTAGATTGCCAGATCTTCAGTCTCTCCATGGCCTTCTCCATTGCCTTGGATTTTGCCTTGCTTGGAGTGGAGCTGAGTTTTTCCAATCTGTCCAGCTAGGCATCTAGGTCCATGGCTTCAAACTCTTCCATTTCTGGATCAACAAAGGAGGCCGTGGTAGATGCACCTAGAAGGGAATGAATAGGCATCTGTAGAAGGGAGCGTAAGTTAGAACCAGGCAGAAACAGAAAAGAAAAAGCCTAAATATATAAAAAAGCACTTACAGTAACAATTGGGGGCTTCAGTGGGCTGGTCACCACTGCCAGGGCACCAATAGATCTAGGCACTCCTACCTGGAAGGACTACAACAGTTAAAGAGGCAGAAAATGTGGACAAAATGAAGAGAAAATTACCACAACCGCAGGAATAGCAACAGCTGTTTCCACTTCAGCTTCTGGGACCGCAATAGGTAATTCTACCTGTTCCACAGGCTCCGATGCAGACTGCTCCGCTTGTTCCTCAGTTGTTGGAATGGCAGTAGAGTGCTCTGCCTCTGCATCTTCAAAGAGGGCCAACTCTGAACTAGTCAGCTCTGCCCTTGTGCTCTCGTGATGCTTCTGCGCCAAGGCAATGCTATCTGCTATTACCTCAGCAGGAATCTCCTCCTGCAGAAAGATAGAAGTCAGAACAGAGGAAATGAACGACAGAAATGACTGGTATAAAGAACGAGACTCACCTCTTCTTCTGTTTCTTTTGTCTTTTCTTTAGATCTTTCTTATACTTCTTCTAGCTCTTCTAGCTCTTTCTCCTGTTCCACTTCTTCAAAAGCCTCCCCAAGTTCTTCATCTGTACCAGAAGTGGTTGTGGGAACCCCTGCAGGCTCTTCTGTAGCCACACACTCCACTTCAATCCTCTTTCTAAGTCCTTTTGACTTAGTAAGAGGAGGAGGGGGACTTTCAGCTGGACATAACAAAGAAATGAAGGTTAAAAGATAAGGCAAGACAAGGCAGATTCAAGGAAATAGTTGGAATGTCACAAACTTACCAAAGATGTTAGGCTGCGCAGTATTGTTGGGGGAGGAGCAATTCCTTTTCTTTTCCTTCTGGCAAAAGGAGTAGCCTCAACAGGAGTTTGTTTTGCCTGAGTTTCGTCCTCTTCATCTATAGAGGGAAGCTCCAAATCCCCGGCAGCAATGACATAAGTGACTGCACAAAAATAGAAAGAAATTAGAAGCCAATCCAGCAGGAAAAGATTGAAGGAACATAATAAAAGAAAACTTACCAATCACTTCTCCAGCATGGGCAGACTGCCCACCTATGTTCTCTGTCAAAGAGGGATCTGATACAGACAGAACAAAACATTAGGCAATCATCATTAAGGGCAGAATGAGCAAATTCCAGACAGAATCAGAGATCTACCTTCTATGATTTGTGCATTAATGTCTTTAATGGTCTGGATCATGGACTTCTTAGCGTCCGCCTCTGCAGACAGATCTTGGAATCTAGCCTTCCACCAAGCGTCAAACTCGGCAGAACTACAGGAATTCGGTTCCCATGAAGGATAGAGGGCATCTGAACTGTTGTTGATCTTATTTACTGCGCACTTGGAGTCTTTATGCACCTCCAGGTCATCTGTATCCTTCCAGGAAGAAGCCCAATTGCAGCTTCTGTATGATTTAAGCGGAATGAGCTGAGGGCAGCCAAGCTGCCTTGCACAGAAGTTTGGATGATAGACTTCTGCCCCCAAATGATAATTCGGAGGCTTGCCTCCTCTATGGGGCAGATCTCTTGGCGAGGTAACACTTAGGAATTTCTTCCTAAAGTCTGTTATGGCAGAGTCCTCTTCTGGCTCCTTCTCGAATAAACGGTATCCAAGCTAGAACCAAGGATAGGTCCTTCTGATCACCATCTGATCACCACCTGCCATTGAGCTGCTGACCTTTTTGTGCAATGCCTAAAGAACATTAAGTATTCCTCAATTGAGCACTTGGGCACTTCTGCCGACATCAGAGGAAGAGCCAGAACCTGGTATTCAGGCATAATTATGTCTGGAAATCTTAATTCTGGGAAATAAACCTGCAGCCAAATCTGGATCATCCAGAATGCACCAGGGGCCGACAGATTCAATGGATTCTCCAAGGTGGCATTGTGCAGATTCTTGAAGAAGGGAGCCAAAACTGTGGGTCCAAGCCCCACATCAGTGTGGTTATGAAGCGCTTATGCCAAATGCCTGTATTCAAGCAGAACTGCTGAAGACCGATTGGGGAAGACAAACCTGTTCAGCCAATACAGGAGGAATAGCATGTGCTGCTGATCCTTGTCCTTCTCAGCACTAAAATTCCTCAAATAGTTGGAGAATGAGCAGTTCTGGTTAATCATGGCTGGAGAGATGGTGAAGGGATTGGCCATTTTCTCCTTATTTTTCCTCTTGTGATAGTCACCAACAGCATCAACAGGCCTGCCATGGGGCCTGAACCCAAAAATCTGAGCCGTATCCAGTAGAGTTGGCGTCATTAGGCCTACACGAAAATCAAACGTGTTGCTGGCAGAATTCCAGAAGCACAGGGCAGCAGCAAGTAGGTTCTCATCCCTGTTGATAGACTGCTTAGATAGGAGGATGGCATCATAAATCCCGGTTCTCTTCCAGTGACCCCCATATCTCGGAAGAAGTTTGTCAATCCAGTCTGCCCATTTGACTGGACTATTTCTCACTTCGCTGGACAGGAAAGACCGGCTTAGATTCTTGCTGACCCAAGAATAAGAGGCCAAGGCAGAAGTGCTCTAGAAACACAGAGGAGCTTCAGCATCATTTTTCAACAATTCAGCCATCTCAGCCGGAAGAAGACCAAACCAGTAAGGCCCTAGCACCAAAGTATTCTTGAATAGATGGAGGACATTCTCGTCTAGGTTCTTTTGAGCAAAAGGATGAAGTTTGCTCATAACCTCTATCGCATGTTTGTCAATTCTGGTCCCAGTAATATAATCGGGAGGAACTGGAGCTGAGGAAGACTGAGCACGAGTTTTTGGGGAAGACATTTCTCAGGTTTTTTGATTAAGAAGCAAAATAGGTGATAGGAAAGGCAGGCTTTAGCAAGGAAAGGGTAGAATTTTTGAAGAGAAACTCAAAGGAGCAAGGTCTAAAATACTAGGTTTTCAAATGAACAGGAATGGTGGGTTTGAATTTCTTTTAAAAAGCTCGAAACCGTGGGAAGAAGAAGACGATGCGACACCTGATGAGGGCTAGCTAAAAACTAGCCAGTAACTGAAAACACTCTCCCACAAAGTCTAGTTCATGGTAGGAGGACGTGGCAGACAACATGAGTTAACGGGAAAACTCACGGGTGCAAATTAAATGGCCAAGTCATTAAGTCTGAAACTGTTAAAAAAAAACAATTCAGACTTAGGGGGTAATGTTTGGGCCTAATTTGACACACACACAGCCCTCTTCTCAAAGGCCCATGAAACCAAAACCGGGCTTCAAATTATTGGATCGGGAAAGAGAAAAAGCCCAGCCCACGTCTTTTTCAAAGGTGATAGGAATGAAAAAAATGCCAAAGGGATGGCAGTTCCATTTTAGATAGATCAAATAGAAAATTTGGATTGGGCTCAACCTGTTACCATCTCTCAAAAAGGCCCGGCAGCAATTTCTCAAAAATCCACGTGAAACCTTTCTTCTCAGACTTTGAAAAATTAACAAAATCAATTGTCACAGAGTTGATTGGGAATTTAAAAGAAAGGGTCAGTGATTGAGCTCCCATCTTCTAACCTTCAAACTCCCTCTCTTCTCTCTCGCGATACCCCCATTCACCCTAAACCATCAATCGCTATACCTAATCACCATCACTCTCTCATCCAGTCATAGAAAGTCACTCTGTTTGCCTCCTCTTCGTTTTGAGATCTGTGCTCTTCAGTCGTCTCCTTCACTCCTCTAGACTCTTCTTCTTCAGCTAGGGTTCGTAACTTCAATCCTTCACTGGTACGTGCTTGCTTTTGCGTTTTAATTGCTCTATCTGTTTTAGGGCTCTGAGATTGCTCATGTTCTCTGTGTTGTGAATTAATTTCTATTTTTGAAATTTTAGTAAAGTTAAAGTCATAGTTTGGCAGATCTATACACGAGTTTTTTTGATTTGGGTAATTTGTTATAGATATAATTTTGAAGTTTTGGGTTTGATTATTCTTCATCTGAGTTCTATTATTTTGCATAGAAGTTGCATGTTGCAATATGAAGCTTATTTTTCAGTTTATTAAGGGTTGTGGTTTTTTGACATTATTTACTGAAAATGGGTGCCTTCTTTCAGAGACTGAGTAAGGGCACCGCAATAACCTTCAACAACTCATTTGGTGGTCAGTTGAAGTCCAAATTTTTCATTCCCTATGGAGCTCACGCAGCTACCTTTGGTGGAGTCTCTTATATCTGCCTGTACTGAATCTTGATAACTACAGGTAAGACAAAACATCTTCCTTTTCAATTTATGCTTTTACTCTTGTTCACCAGTTTGGTGTTTACTCCTGAGTTGGAAGGGCAAAGTTCCTCACTGCCTTGGAAACCATTGACTGGTCAACAAGTCAGCTTTCTTTGGTGTATGAGCGTTCCATTGCTAGCAATGAAGATTCTAGCAGACTTCTTCTAGAATAGATAACTTGCGCCCCAAGTTACTGATCTCTAAAACAAACTATTGTGAATTTGGGTGAGGAATATCTCCCAAGTAAGTTCTTTTCTTACCTCAGACTGGTGAGGACTTTCATAATTTATCTCATTATAAAAACGGTTGTTCTGGCCAGAATAGTTGATAGAAATTGGACTTTTTTAGGCAGAATTGCCCTTTACAAGACTATAAACATACATATCAATGCTAGAAAGATTAAAAGACAATTGAAACTCCATTTCTGCCTAGATAGAAGGCTCTGATCCGGGCTGGACTGGATATGTCTGGGCTGGACTGAGCTGTCAACAACTTCAACTACTAAGCTTCAGCAGTAAATCGATATCAAAGTTCAATTTTGCCAGAGCTTTAATCTACTTCAAGCTTTGTGAGGCTTTTGAGTGGGCAGAACTGCGGCTTCTTCAGTCTGAAGGGGCAAAAGTGGCTCTTCTTGAGGACTTAGTGAACTAGGGACTACACTGTAAGATTTTGTTGAGGTTTTGGGAAAAACTCAAACTTTTCTTGTTTTGGCTTTTGCTGAACCAAATTTGTAACGAGAGAGATCTTCGTTTTAAATGACTTATTTCCTAAGCCTGAACTTTGGGAATTTTGACCTAAAGCTGGTTTCTCTTGGAGTTCGAGTGAGCTTTTGGTTGATTTCTTGTTGTTTGTTTGGTTGATAAATTTTTTGTGTTTTTTCTTTGCCTTGTGTAATTTACAAGAAATGCTTAGGAGTGGGGTTTTTTTTTTAAAATAATGGGCGGCAAGTCTTTTAAAAAAGGATCTACAAAGAAATTCTGGAGAGAGGAAAGGATTTTAATTCTGTCAGATAGGCTTTCATCAATCAGTTCTTAAGATCACTTCTCTGCTTTTTTTTCTTTAAAAGAAAACCTAATCCCTTTTCCCAATTTAACTGCCCCTTGTGAGATTTCAACTGTGATGGTTAGTTTGATTTCTTCAGTTTGAACAACTCCCTACTTTCCTGCTTATTTCTTTATGAGATTGAAGTTTGCTTATCTTTTGGGAGAATCATATATATATATATATGTATATATGTGAGAGGGATTTGATCTTCAGTATTTTCAGAGACGTCCCTTCCCAGTTTGCCAGCCACTAACCCTTTCTTTTAAATTCCCAATCAACTTTGTGATAGTTGATTTTGTTAATTTTTCAAAGTCTGAGAAGAAAGGTTTCACGTGGGTTTCACGTGGATTTTTGAGAAATTGCTGCCGGGCCTTTTTGAGAGATGGTAACAGGTTGGGCCCAATCCAAATTTTCTATTTGATCTGTCTGAAACGTTACTGCCATCCCTTTGGCATTTTTTTCATTCCTATCACCTTTGAAAAAGACGTGGGCTAGGCTTTTTCTCTCTCCCGATCCGATAATTTGAAGCCCGGTTTTGGTTTCATGGGCCTTTGAGAAGTGGGCTGTGTGTGTGTCAAATTTGGCCCAAACAACTCTTTTAAGTGTATTTGTTTCTCACTATTTGAGTTCTGAGTTTCGTATGCTTCTATTTACGCTTTTACTATTTCTATTTCGATACCATTCTGTTTAAAACTGTTTGAATACTCTGGTTTGGTCTTTGAGTGTAAAAAAACTTTGGTTCTTTGTTGGCAGCTGTGGGAAATATTGTGATGCAAATTTATTTAAATGATGGAAGTTCAATTTTGTGCCTGTAATTTCCATTGCAATGGATGGGTTAGAGTGTAATTTGATGGTTTTTGTGTCTACATGGTTTTTTACTCTACATGATTCATACTCTCAAATAGAGAATCTAATGGTTGGTTGATAAATGCATCACAATGGTATAGTTTTCAAATAATGGCTCACTATCTAACATGATATAAAACTTAAGCCTTACTCTGTGTATTCTAAAACATGATGACGATCAAAGATGTTGAGCCTATTATTCTGTTTTAGGTTCAGCCACCAATATTAAAAGCTGAAATTCAAGCTCTAAAATAAATTATTTAGTACAAATCATGCTTTTTAAGGGTCAAATTAATTATTGGCAGGCTAATGCAGATGATACATAAATGATTATAAATGTTGGCAGCAAATTAATTATTGGCAGACTAGTCACAGTAGTAGCTAATCTTTTTAATTATGTTAATCGTCATAATTAATTAATTAAGTGCCCTTTCGATCTAAAGCATGACCTAATTTTCATATACTTGACCTCAATTATTGTTGGAGTGTAAAGTTCTGTGAATGTGTTACTACTAGGTTTTGTAATGTTCATTGTGATTTTGAAATAATAAGGCTTAAGTTAAATATGCATGTGCTATGTAATTCATGTAACATCATTGCAATTGAGCTGAGTTGCATGCAATTGGCTACTGCCCTCTTTGTTTTGAATATGAACTAGTGTTTTCTCTAACTTTATTGTGTATTGGTAAAAATTATGAGTTCAGCAATTATGGAAAAATCTTGGATGCTTGCCAATAGGAGAAGTAAAGAGTATGAAGAGGGAGTTGAAGAATTTCTAAGGATAGCATTAGCAAATGCTATTGATCATGGACGCATTCGCTGTCCATGCCAGAAATCTGGGAATACAAGAAAGTTTACGATTAGAGTAATAAGGGAGCATATGTATTTTAATGGTTTTGACCAAACATACAAGGATTGGACATGGCATGCCAAGCCTATTGAAATAAAGGCTTGTGAAACTGTAAATCAAGAACCACAGCCGGAACGTGATTTTTTTGGTGAAACGGTTGACATGTGCGAAGGTGCCCATGAACACTTCATTGAAAATCCAGAGGAATTTAAAAAGTTTTTGGAGGAAGCCGAGAAGCCTCTTTATCCTAGGTGTCATAAGCACACCAAGTTATCAGGATTGGTTAAGTTGTACAATCTTAAAGCAAGGCATGGCATGACCGACAATTGTTTCGCGGATATGCTGATCGAAGTTGGTGATTTGCTCCCGATCGGTCATGAGCTACCCTCGTCTATGTATGAGGCAAAGAAGACGTTGAATGCATTGGGATTGAAATATGAGAAGATACATGCATGCTCTAATGATTGCATTTTATATAGGAAGAAGTATCATGATTGGACAAGCTGCCCTAAATGTGGCCTTTCAAGATGGAAGGTGACAAAGAAGAACGTAGTACAGAAAGGGGTCTGGACAAAGGTTTTATGGTACTTTCCTCCTATCTCCAGGTTTAAACGTATGTTTAAGTCCTTGTAAACATCTAAAAGTTTAACTTGGCATAATGAAGCTCGAATAAAAGATGGTCGATTGCGTCATCCAGCTAATTCGCCAACATGGAAGATGATTGATTATAAGTTGCCATCATGGAAGATGATTGTTCAAGTATGGCATCTTCTAAACCTTAGGTTAGCTCTTTCTTCGGATGGAATCAATTCACATAGTTCTCTTAGTAGTAGATATAGTTGATGGCCAGTGATTTTGGTGACATATAACCTGCCCCTAGAGTTGTGGATGAAGAGGAAGTTTATGATGTTAACATTGTTAATTTATGGCCCTAAACAACCTGGCAATGATGTAGACATCTACTTGGAACCATTAGTTGATGATTTAGCGTTACTATGGGATGGGTGGAGGGAGTCTATGATGCTTTCTGACAAAAGTCATTCACTTTGAGAGCTGTCCTTTTATGGACAATCAATGATTTTCCGGCATATGGTAACTTGTCTGGGTGCACTACGAAAGGGTATTATGCATGTCCAATATGTGGTGACAAGACATATGCGGAAAGGTTGGAACATGGAAACAAAATGGCATTCACTTGCCGTCGCAGATTCTTATCACATTATCATCCTTACAAAAAATTAACTGAAGAATTTAATGGTAAGGAAGAACTTGACCCGCCACCAATGCCTCTAATCGGGGAGCAAGTATGAAAAGAAGTCGAGTCCATAAACTATGAGTGGGGGAAGAGAACTAGAAAGCGGAAAAATGTAGGTTGTACTAATTGTTACAAGAAAAGATTCATTTTCTTTAATCTTCCTTATTGGAAATCACACTATGTTCGACATTGCCTCGATGTTATGCACATTGAGAAGAATTTATGCGAGAGTATTTTCGGTACATTGTTGAAAATTCCCGGGAAAACAAAAGATGGTGTGGCAGCTTGTGAGGATCTTGTTAAATTGGGGGTAAGAATTGGTTTGGCGCCACAAGTTGGGGAGAAGAGAACTTTTTTGCCTCCATCAATGTGTACATTGAATAAGAAGGAGAAAATTTCAATGTGCAAAGCATTGATGGGTATTAAAGTGCTCGAAGGCTACTCTTCAAATATAAGAAATGTTGTATGCATGAGAGAGTTGAAACTACTTGGTCTTAAGTCACATGATTGCCACGTATTGATGCAACAATTGCTACCCATGGTTATACGTGGTGTGTTGCCTAAACATGTTAGATATGTAATAATGAGATTTTGTTTCTTCTTCAATGATTTATGTAAGAAAGTGGTGGATGTACCTAACCTTGATAGGATACAATCGGACCTTGTGGCAACATTGTGTTTGCTTGAGCAATTTTTTCCTCCATCTTTCTTTGATATAATGGTCCATCTAACTGTGCACCTTATTAAAGAGGTTCGTTTGTGTGGACCAATTTTTATAGATGGATGTACCCTTTTGAAAGATACATGCAGGTATTAAAGGGTTATGTACACAATCATGTGTATCCGAAGGGTTGTATCGCTGAACGCTTCCATGTGGAAGAATCTATACAGTTTTGCTCAGAGTACATGGCTGATTTATATGCAATTGGGGTACCTACATTGCGGTTAGATCTAGCAAATACTAGCACTACTTTATCAAGCATTGTTATAGAATCAGTGTCGCATGACAAATGGGAGCAAGCACATCGAACTATCTTGGATAATACCACCGGTTGAAGAATTTAAATATGAATTCGGTGAGGGAGTTGCGAAGTACATTTGAACAGATTGCGAGGGTATATGGGTCACTAATCGGAAAAAAGAGCATAGATGTTGGTTTATGTGTGTGGAATTCCAAAAGTACTGCTCAATTTTCTTAAGTAAGCATTTTCTTTATTGACATCATATTAGAATGCATTTATAATCTGATTTTTTTTTTACTGTAAACCTGTGTCATTTATAATCTGAATTTTTGGTAAGTTGGTGCATTTATAATCTGTCTTATGGGTTCATATATAATCTGTCTTCATTTGTCTCTCTTTCAACGAGTTCATATAATCTGTCCATATTGGTGCATATATACAATTCACTAATAGTTTTGCTTTTGGGTGTTTAGGTTTGCCTTAATCAATCTTGCTATGGGTTCACCAAAGAAGATTCCAGTGAAACCCTCAAAAGATAAACCAGAGAACCACTCAGATATACCCTAGTCAAATGAAGCTTCTTCATCACAAACAACTGTTACCACCACGAGTAAAGCTAAAAGAAAGCGTAGTCCAACAGAAATTCATAAAATTCAAAAGAAAAAAAAGAAGGGGAAAAAGTTAGTAGTTTAGTTTAGCCCAAAAGGAGAAGCAATGGGGAAGGTGGGCAAACAATATGCATCATACACAGGTGTAATGGCTCGAACCATAATCCCCATTTATTTAAGCAATTCGGCAGCAGTGGATGACCATTTGAAGGAGAAAATCTGGACAGAAATAACGGTAATTTTAATTTATGTATATTGAATAACTCTTTTATACTTATTTTAATCATTTCTCATAAGATCAGATTCCTTTGGTTTTTGTCTTTGCGGCATTTAGTTTGGCATTCAAATACTCATGGCTAGTAGGCAGCAGGCACATATAGGTATAAATTGTGAGCCTAAGGCTACTGATTGAGCTGGTGCTATGTGCCGTGTGATTCCCAAGTTGAAAAAGAATTGTCATTGTTGTTTAGATCATAATCAGACAAGCTGAATTTTCTTGTAGCACTCTGAATAGAATCAGTGTTTGTTATATCATGTGCTGTTATCATCTCTCAAAATTTTCATGCATGTAGCATAGCTTTACATCATACACAAGCTATATTTGTTATTTTATTTCATCTTTCCCCCTCTTATAATCTCATAGTAAAAGTAAATAAGATTTATTCTGTTATTTTGTGCTTACATGTTGGCTTGAGTTGGGTGAATTGTTAGGCTCCTTAGTTATGTGTAAGTGTTCAATCTGATTTGGCTTAGGTCGTTCTCCATTTTGAGTAATATAGTAATAGTAAAGTAGTTATGCACAGTAGCTCCATGTCACATGTTATTTACAAAAGAAAATATATTTCTAATCTATGAATTTTATTTATTTCATTCTTGGAGAGTTTCTGATTTCTCTATGCAATTGACTCTCTCTCTTCAATTTTTTCCTTTAAATATGCAGCTCTCTTTCTCTAATTTTATTTATTTCATTCTTGGTGCAGCCCGTCTTTGAATTACCACCCGAAAGCAAATAGTCTACTTTGCAATCTGCTTCAACCAAATGGAGGCAATTCAAGAGTACATTAACAAGGAAGTACGTACTTCCACATAGAAATGACCCAGAAGCCTTGAAGGAGCCTCCTGAAATGTATGACTTCATTGAATTATCAGATTGGCAAAGTTTTGTAATCTCTAGATTGAGTGAAAATTGGTAGGTATGATCAGATTTGTAAATACTATCATATAACTGTAAATGTGACACAAACTTTCATAGATTTGTAAATATGACATAAACTTGTTGTTTATAATGTAGGAAATCCATGAACTCCAAACGGAAAGGCGCAGTAAATGTAAATACCATCATAGAACTGGCCATAAATGATATATTGGAGTGGTAGAAGAATTAGTAAGTATACATATGGAGCATCTGTATATAGTTAGTAGGAGTAAATTGTTTTGTGCTAACTTTGGTTTATCTTGATGGGTAGATAAGAAGATAGTGGCAAAGGATGAGGAAGTAGATCGATCTCTTTTATGGAAGGTAGCACGTGAAGATAAGAACGGGAAGATTGTTGATGAGGAGGTAGCTGAATTGGCTGGAACAATTGTAAATATATATGTAAAATATAAGTCAATTGTAAGACAAAATTATATCTTTCTAATATATATATATATATGTGTGTGTGTGTGTGCATGTGTGCGCGCGCGTGTGTGTGTGTATCTTTCTAAATTAGGAAAAAACGAGATGTTTTGCTGCAAGAGACAAAAAAGATTATGGAAGAACAACAGAAAAAGCACGAAGCTGTGCAAGAACTTCTTCAAAAGCAAATGGAGATGCTAAAGCTGGCGATTTCCGGTCAACCCTGTAATGTATCTACCTCAGCCCATATTCCAAATATTTCTCTCATGTTTGAAAAACCATCAACAAACATACCATCAAAATTTGTGGAAGTTGCTGCTGGTAAAGAAGTTTGTGAGGATGGTTGTGATGATGTGGTGGAGCAAATTGAAGTTGAGGCAAACAAGGTATTATTTGAATTTACTTTGATATTATGCACTTATTAATATTGCAATATCAATTTAGGCACTGCAAATTAAAAAACAGATTTTGAACTTGATATTAAGACTGAATATATGCTTGTTGAATTTCATTTAGTTTTATAATATGCATATGCTTCATTTAGTTTAAGGCTAGGATATAAGTAAGGCTAGGGTATGCTTGATTATTATTATTATTTTTTACATGTCTTTTATATGTGTATTAGGGTAAGGATTGCAAATTGGCTTTCGGCTCAAAGGACAATATTGTTGCAAGTGGCACAATTGTGACATCAATGTGCCTCAACAGCTGATTCATAATGTTCCTTTAGGAAAGGGAAATATAAGAGTCTCTGTTAATTATGCCCTAAAAGGAGCTTCTCCACTACCGATACCAATGAAAGGAGTGTTGAATACTGTTGAGGATGCTGTTAGGTCTCAAGTAGCTTGGCCAGAGGATCTTATAGTTTCTATAGACGATATAGTGGTAAACAACCTTACTTTTGAACTTGTTTTATTTCATGTTATCCCTAATATATATGTGACCTTTTGGTATATGTGATAGGAGAAGAAAAAGAAAACTACAAAGGAAAAATTAGCCAAGTCATTATTACAGGCTAACCTGGAAACAGTACCAAAGTCATGCAAGATTTTATACGGCTTTGCACAGAAACTGATGTCCCAAGGTCAGACTCTCGCTTCATATATTGATGAGGACATATTTGGGGTAGAAAAGATGACATACGCCCTAAAAGAAGATGTTATCAGCTTCATTCAAATGAATGAAATAGGACAAGCTGTAATAACCGCTTACATTAGGTAATAGTCACTTTGTGTTTTATAATTTTACGTTTATATTTGGACATTAATCATGTGTTTCAGTTTACTGACTCTATGATAATGGTTAACAACTATTTATGTAAGTTGGTAAAGACCAAGAATGGGAACCAAAGATTGCATTTATGGACCCAAGTCGTACCTTTCATGATCCGAAGTCACTAGATGAGGTAGGGAGGGTTCAACACATTGTGAAAACTTTGAACCAAGCTAGTATTGACAACATCTTTTGATCCCATATAATCCTAGGTAAGTGAAGTGGTTTGTGTTTTAGAATATTAGAATATATATTTATGACTATTACTAATATATTTCCAATTAATATGTAGGGGTCATTGGATCCTTACAATCATTGACGAAGAGAAAGACAATGTGTATATCATGGCTCCTCTTGGGGCTCGTCACCCTCATGATGTGTGGAAACGTATTGTAAACGCGTAAGTTGTTCTTTTTTAATTATTTCCTCAATATGTCAACTTTTTCATTTGTATTACAGCCTGAAATCTTCTGTTATTTATGTCCTAAAGTGGAATAAAACAATTTAATGCTGAAAAGGGGAGAGGCCTGCGTAGACCACCAACATGGATTATGCTTTCAGTATGTGTGTATTTGAAAATTTAGTAAGATTAATTTTAGGGAACGTAAGTACTAAATGCTGAATGTATTTTGTGCATAATGTATGGTGCTCCTAAACAAGCTAATGGAAAGACGTGTGGTTATTGTGTGATGCGGTACATGAAGGAAATTTGTGAAGATTCATCCCTTGCATTTCGAACTAAGGTACTTATACAAATTATATACAGCTTCATTTTTTTTGAGTCTTTGTTATGGATTGGATGATTGGGTACAGCTGAAATACCAAATGTTTTTTATTCCTTTGTTTGATGTTGCTCCTTTTCGGCTATGGCAATGTTTCCAGCTTTGAGGTGACTTTTTTTGTGTGTGTGGATGAATGCTAAATATAAAACCTTATTGCTGTATTTTCATATACCATTACGTTTGGTCAATCTACTGCAGAATGTGCACGATTTCTTTCTTACAATTTCTGTTTCCTTGGCGTAGTTGATGTCTGAACATAAGTTTACTTAGATGTTTTTCTAGCAAATTTTAGGGGGTGTAGCTTCAGTGGTTTTCTTCTTGGTTCTAGTTTCCTGCTTTTAATTAAGTAGTGTTTGCTCTTGTTGTTTAGTCAAGGACAGCTTGTCCTCTTGATTATCAATGCAATCATTTCTATTAAAAAACAAAAGATTATCAATACAATCATTTCTATTCAAAAACAAAAACAAAAACAAAACAAAAAGTTAATGACTGAAATCTTCTAACAATTGAAGTTGAATTCCCTGTATTTTTTTAATGGTATTTTTGTTTTTCTTTAGCTTCTTATTAAATATTGTGCATAGCTTCTTGTTAAAGATTTTATATAGTTTTTCTTTAGCTTCTTGGTAAAAAATTTATATAGTTTTTCTTAATCTTACATGGTCTCTTCATTTCATTTTAGTATGCGAGTCGTGGGAAAAAGAAGGCATTTTACACCCAAATGGAATTGGACGAGGTTTGAGATGAATGGGCATGTCATGTGCTAGAGTGGATTTGAGTTTAAACATTCTCCTTGTTTTGGTAGTATTTTTCTTATTTATGTATGGATGATGAATGGATTTTGGTTTACTGGCATAACTCATATATATATAGGAATGTTTTTGATGTTGGAATTGCAATATATATGAAATGGATGAGATGCCTCTATATTTTGAGACAGAAACTAAGTAAAATATGATGTGAAACGTGGAAATTGCTTACACTTTATTAGTAACAACGATGTCTATTGTGTGTAACAACCTCAGTTTTGCCATAACAACTGAAGTTAAAAATTAAAAACAAGATCAGCACTCTGTGGGAACCGAAGCCTATAATCCGAAGGGTCAATAATATTTGTAGAAAGTCAAACTATTTGTTGGCTTTTCACTTCAGCATAAGCACAAAAAACGAATGCGTAAACCATAATTTGCAACAGCAATGGCATATTTTCTGAAGGGGTAAGTCAGAACACGCTTCAGTATAAACAAAACCATTGATGCTATAATTAGTATTTAGCATAAGTTCTGATATATTCCCTAATGCTATTAAAAGTTTAGGCATCGGAGGTCAACGCTTTTTTGGCACATGGTAACAACTTACGCATCGGCGATTAAGTGAATACCGAAGTCGTAAATAATCTTTAGCGACGGATAATATCCGAAGCGTATCACTATAGCATATGCATCGGTTCCCAATACTTCGGTTCTGGGGTACCTTTAGCAACGGATATTATCTGAAGCCAAAGGTCAATTTTCACATAGTGCCAACACCCCCCGGATGTGGTCTGTTGACTCTAATTTGTTTTACGAGCGAGGAAGAAGAAGAAGGAAGTTCGAAGGGCAAAAGAATCAATCGGTGAATATTCTCCCGTGTGAATATTTGCACAAACAATACCTAAGGAAAGTACGTAACTCAACTTAGAAATCCAAAAATGACTGAGCTCCCAACTCATTTCGACACATTGGGCACTGGTACCAAACCGAGGCACACGTCACTCGAAACGCACCTCACCAATGACTCACCAAAGTCACCAACAACTCAAAACTATCACGACCAACCACGTTGTCAACCTTATCCTTATCCTCACGCAAATCTAAGATTCTGCACCCAAATGATGAAAATGCCCTTTGGACCAACCTATCAAATGTAACCAAACAACTCCAAAAATGTGGTGTACGTACTATTGTCATCAAAACAGGACCAATGATACCCATTGTCCAAAAAGTCACTATTTGGGTCCCGTGGGTCCAAAACGTCCAACCGACACTCCAAAAATCTGTCTCGTGCCCACAACCTCATATATGAAATATGGAACCACCAATAGACTCTAAATAGTTTTGAAATCACCCTGTATCAATTGGCTTAATCCAATAGTCGGATCATCCTAGATCACATAATTCAATAACGATCGAACTATGATCACTCATTGTAACTTCGAATCGTGATAACTTAATATCTGGGTATCCGATCTTCAAGTCTTCAAAACGTAGATACTCACAACAACACTAGCTACTACATATATAAAATTGGACATGATCCATAGTTTGATCTAACAATCCAGAATTTGCGAGTCTCAAATCGTTGATGAAACGACAAAATCCGGCCAATTATATATATTTTGTCTCTCTCTCTAATTGCGAATGTCCACATGATGTTAAAATCTGACCTTTCCTTTCTTAGCTTGTTTTTTTTCCAGATAGATTGGATATCTGCAATTCCAAGTGGTCCATAATTTTCCAATATATGTTAAGTTTTATTATTATTGTTATTCTCTATGTTTTCTAAATAATGAGTTGTGGACTCCTATTCTGTAGGAAGTCAATTTGTTTTACTTAGTCTTTGGGAGTATCTCATCTGTTTAGGAGTCTGTTCATCATGAGATTAATTGTTCCATGTTTTTAATTGGTTTAGTACTCTAAATTTATATTTGCATTTCATTCAATGAATATACTTCAGTTTTATATAGCTTTCTATCTCGTGTATTCGAGTTTTCTAAATTTCCAACATCTGGTATCAGAGCCCCTACTAGGCTTAACTTAAAATTCACCAAAAAGCAGCAGCTTTCTTGACTTGCAGCAGCAAGGACTGATGGCATACAACAAGGTTCAAGAGAACTACGTGCAAGCAGCCATACCTCGCTTTGATGGTCATTATGACCATTGGAGCATGTTAATGGGGAATTTTTTTTGAGATCCAAAGAGTATTAGACTCTCATTGAAATGGGAATTGTTGAACCAGAAGGTGTATTGGTAGAAGCACAGCAAAAGAGACAAGATGAAATGAAGCTGAAAGACTTGAAGGTGAAGAACTACCTGTTACAGGCGATTGATCGTACAATTTTGGAAACCATTCTTAAGAAAACCACTTCCAAGCATATTTGGGAATCCATGAAAAGAAGTACCAGAGCTCAACAAAGGTGAAACGCTCCCAATTGCAGGCACTCCGTAGAGAATTTGATACTATACAAATGAAAGAAGGTGAATCTGTCGCAAACTATTTCTCAAGAACTATGTCAATTGCTAATAAGATGCAGATGAATGGTGAAAGTATTACAAATGTGGCCATTGTGGAGAAGATATTGTGCTCGATGACCCCACAGTTTGATTATATTATTTGCACCATTGAAGAATCAAACAATGTTGATGAACTTACCATTGGTGAGCTAAAAGTTCGTTGTTGGTTCATGAGCAAAAGGTGAACCGGAGCACCACCAAAGAAGAGTAAGCTTTAAAGGCTTCAACCCATTATGAATCTTCATGTTTGAGAAGCAGAGGTTGGGGTAGAGGTAGAGGTTGAGGAGGTTGAGGAAACCGAGATGGAGGCAGACCACATGATGCATCTATTGAGAAGGCCGATGATTCTTACGACCAAACTCTCAAAGTAAGGGAGAGGACAGAGACAATAATATGACAAGTCCAACGTTGAATGCTTCAGGTGTCACAATTTCGGTCATTATTGTTCTAAATGTTACATTAAACTGCCGAAAGACAAAGAAAAGGAGGAGAAGTCGAATTTTATTGAGAAGCAAGAAGCAGAAACCCTTTTGATGGAGTGTCATATCTAGGAAGAAGCTAATCAGAATTTGTGGTACCTAGACATAGGCTACAACAATCATATGTGTGGCAACAAGGATGTTTTTTCTATTCTTAATGAAAGCTTTCGAACCACTGTAAGGTTTGAGGACAATTCCATAATTTCGATTATCAGGAAAGGTGATATCCAAATTCGAACCAAAGAAAACACCCTTTAAACTATTTCAAATGTTTTCTATGTTCCAGATTTAAAGAGTAATCTACTTAGTGTGGGTCAGCTTCAAGAGAAGGGATATGTAATCACTATCAAGGGAGGCACTTGTCTGATTAATGATTCGAAGAAGGGTGCCATTGCTTAAGTCAAGATGCCAGCAAATCGTATGTTCCCTATGCATATCAAGCATGATGTTCACTCTTGCTTCTTTGTCAAAGTGAAAAACCCAACATGGCTTTGGCATTTTCACTATGGTCACCTGAATTTTAATGGTTTAAAGACCTTACATGACAAGGACATGGTGATTGGCATTCCTCAAATCAATTGTCCCTCACAAGTCTGTGAAGAGAGTGTTGTTGGCAAGCATAATCAAGATCAATTTCCAAAAGGAAAGGAGTGGAGAGCTAGTAATCCGCTGGAGCTGATTCATTCCAACATCTGTGGACCCATCAATCCGGTATCCAATGAAAAAAAAGAGATACTTTATTTCCTTTATTGATATTTTAGTAGGAAAACTTGGGTCTATTTCTTGTAGGAAAAATCGAAAGCTTTGACTGCATTCAAAAGCTTTAAAGCTCTTGCTGAGAATGAAACAAGGAGAACTATTAAGGTTTTTCGAAGTGATCGTGCTGGAGAGTACAACTCCAAAGACTTTGAAAGCTTTTGTGCTCTACATGGCATCCGTAAGTAGTTGACAACAGCCTATACACCACAACAGAATGGTGTATTCAAGAGCAAGAATCGAACCATTCTAAATATGGTCTGAAGTATGCTAGCAAAGAGTCACGTTCCAAAGGCTTTTTTTAGCCAGAAGCATTAAATTGAAGTGTTCATATTCTTAATAGAAGTCCCACATTCGCTGTCCAAAATATGACACCGGAAGAGGCATGGAGCTGCAGCCACTCGACTCAACTCATACAACCTCACCAAGGTCTCCTACAGTCACAACAAGTGAAGGCGAGCCACGTCCTCAACGTTCAAAGAAGCGACCAGCATGGATGACGGATTATGAAGTGAGAGATATTTTCAAACTGATGATGATGACGATGATGATGACACTATTGCCCATTATGCCTTGTTTTCAGATTGTGATCCAATAAGTTTTCAAGAAGCTATGAAAGAACAAAAGTGGCAAAAAGCCATGGATGCAAAGATTGAATCTATAGAGAAAAATGACACATGGGAGTTGACATACCTTCCATGGGGGTAAAAAATAATTGATGTCCAGTGGGTTTTCAAGACAAAGTTGAATGAGAAAGGAGAGATTGACAAGCATAAAGCACGTTTAGTAGCAAAAGGCTACAAGCAAGAGTTTGGTGTTGACTAGAAGGAGGTTTTTGCTCTGTTTGTAAGGTTGGATACTATTCGATTGGTTGTATCCATAGCGACACAGAATTCATGGCCCATCTTTCAACTTGACGTGAAGTCCACTTTCCCACATGGTGACCTTCAAGAACAAGTGTACATTGAGCAGCCTTCCGGGTATGTCAAACAAGGAAATGAGGAGAAGGTGTACAGGCTAAATAAGGCTTTACACATACTGAAACAAGCACCTCGAGCTTGGTACAGTCTTGTAGATGCGTATTTTGCTAAATAAGGCTTCCACAGATGTCCATATGAGCACACACTGTTTACTAAAAGTGGAGATGGAGGTAAATTTCTAATTATGTGCCAATATGTAAATGATTTGATTTACACAGGAAACAATAAGGCAATGATTGCTGCTTTTAAGCAATCCATGATGAAAGAGTTTGATATGAGTGACCTTGTATTGATGCATTATTTGTTGGGAATCTAAGTAGAGCAAACTACTGCAGGATTTTTTATTTCACAAAAGAAATATGCTCAAATGATTTTGGACAGATTTGAGATGAAGAATTGCAATTCTGTTGCTACTCCAACTAAATATGGATTGAAGCTATTGAAGAATCTCAGAGGAAATAAAATTGACAACACTTTTTACAAGCAAATTGTGGGCACCTCATGTACTTAATGGCAACTAGACCTGATATGATGCATGCCATGAGTCTCATAAGTAGATACATGGAAAGTCCGACTAAATTTCATCTCCTTGCAGCTAAAAGAATCATGCGTTATTTGAAAAGCACCATTGACTTTGGAATTTGGTACAAGAATGGAGAAAAATCAGCATCATCGGCTTCACTGATAGTGATTATGCTGGAAACTTGGATGATAGAAAAAGCACCTCTAATTATGTTTTTATGATAGGTGCATAAGCTGTTTCATGGTCCTAAAAAAAGCAACAAATTGTCACTTTATCAACAACCAAAGCAGAGTTTGTTGCTGCAACATCTTGTGCATGTCAAGCAATCTGGTTGAAGAGAATGCTTGAAGAACTACATTGCTGTCAAGCGGGTTCTATTCAAATATTTTGTGAAAATAGTTCAACCATCAAACTTTCAAAAAATCCAGTTTTACACGGGAGGAGTAAACATATTGATGTGAGATATCATTTCTTGCGTGATCTCTGCACCAATGGAGTCACTAATATGATTTATTGCAGAAGTGAAGACCAGGTTGCAGATATTCTAACGAAGCCTCTCAAGTTACCTGTGTTCGTGAAGCTAAGAGAATTGCTAAGAGTTTGCTCGTTGAAAGATATTACTGGGTGAAGTTTTTTGATGCACAAGAACAGAAGTTTTTTTTTCTTCTTTGAACTGATTGTCTGCTAACTTCAGTTTAAGGAAGGGTGTTAAGTTTTATTATTATTGTTATTCTCTATGTTTTCTGAATAATGAGTTGTGGACTCCTATTCTATAGGAAGTCAGTTTGTTTTACTTAGAGTGGCCCATCTATTTAGGAGTCTGTTCATCATGGGATTAGTTGTTCCATGTTTTTAGTTGGTTTGGTGTTCTGTACGTGTATTTGTATTTGCATTTTTTAGTCAATGAATATACTTCAGTTCTATATAGCTTTCTATCTCTTGTCCTTGAGTTTTCTAAATTTCCAACAATATATAGATATATATTATATACATAAAAGAAATCATGGTTTTGGGGTTTGGGAACAGTGCAGATGCAAAAGAAGAAAGCATATAAAGCACATGTGGGAACGTTGAGTTGCAGAAGCAGAAAGCACTGTCATTGGTTGCTCTCAAGGTTCTTGCGTCATGTATAAGCACTTGCAATTGCAAACCACTTGGAATGGCAGGATTCCAATCCAAAACCAAAAAAAAGATGCAAAGGGGACGCTCATATTTTAATTAACAATATGTGGACATCCGCATTAGAGAAAAATTATATATATATATATACCAGTGTTTTCAAAGGCACGCTTTCGCTCGCGTCGAAGCGCGCTTCGGAGTGAGGCGGCAGGAAAATGCCCGAGGTGGTTGGCTGTTTCGCGAGTTGCACATTTAGCGCGGGGAAGACTTAAGGAGGCGTTACAAAGCGTTGCAAGGCGGAGCGAGGTGGAGCAAGGCGCGAGAGATCTGGACACTCTGAAACAGAAGAAATTTTCAGCTTCTGCAAATTCGGTGACGACTTTTTTTTATAGGTTTTTTCTAACGAAACGACGTCGTTTCGATTGAAGTGTTTAAAAAAAATTAAAGTAAAACGACGTCGTTTCACTTGGAGTGTTTTGAAAAAAGAAACACGCAAGTTTTTTTTTTTTCCGCTTCCCTTTCCCCCCCCCCACCCGTTCCTTCCCTTCATCCAATATTCCTGCCTTTTCTATTTTCCAGCCGTTTTTTTACTTACCTTTAAAAAAAAATTAATTATATTAACACATGGAATTATATATATATGTATATTGTATAGTACAACCCTAATTTCTACCCTTACCAAATATTTAATTATATTTAAAAGACTGTTATGGTCCAATAAAAATTAGTTGTACAATTTAATTGTATTGTATTATTCCCAAACTTTTCTAATTAAAATAAATTAATGTTCAAAAGGCTTAGTCCTCAACGCTTCAAGGCTTACGCCTCGCATAGCGCTACAAAAAAACACCTCGCCTTTGAAAACATTGATATATACTAAGGGAGATTCTCTAATAAGTATTTTATGTTAATAATTGGTTACATACTTCTAATCTTGGGCGTTGGATTGCATTCATTATCTGTGTTGAAAGTGTCTTAGATGCAATTTAATGACCGGAAGTAAAAACATGTAATCAATCCTTAACTTAAATACTTATTGGAGAATGTCCCTACATACTACAATGAATTTGAAGCATAAAACCAGAATGGTTATTTTAATTACAAAAGCAAAAGCAAATAGTCTTGGATCAATTTGGTTCCCTCGTAATTACACGATTGTCCAGCCGTTATCAATTTGTAAATGACCGTACATGAGATTATTTCCACCTTAGTCAAACTATGTAATTTATATAGAAAAGCATATTAAGAAACAATTGATGCGTTTACAAATTAGTTAACAGTGGTTGCAATAATAGATCTTCATTACAAGATAAATTGCGTGTCGTAAACCTCAAACTTTGTAGAAGATGACAGCATAGGTTCCTGCATACATTAGGCACAATGTAAACGTCTCTGTAGAGGAAAAGAAATAATGACACAATGTGAAAGATATATGCCAAACTTCTTTTACCCTTCCGCTATGAAAATTAAGAAACGCTACCCAGATGAGTTTGTACCATTCGAAGAGATGAAGAAACCCCAATCTAACCATTTTTCACTCTTGGCTCAGAATACAGGTTTAGAATTTAGGGTTTAGTCAAGGACTCAATATGGGTTGAGTGTCTATAAGTGAATCGGGTGGGTCGAGTTTTGATCTTTTGATGATCATGAGATTAATCCTGTAATCAAAACTTGTCCAATGAATTAATGAAGGTAAATTTAGATTTGACGTGAATCAAACCAATGTTACCTTGACACATACCCATAATCAATTGAGATTTCAGTCGTTTGGTGATTTTATCATTTTAGTCTCCGTAGTTTTGGTTTTGTCAATTTTATCTGTAAAGTTTTAAATCTCAGGAATTTAAAGACAAATTTAAAATTATGTCAAAATCATTCTAGTTCCGTTACAAATTTTTTCAAATCCCATGCTCAAAACATAATAGAAAGAAATTTGATAGAATTTGTAACATGATATGTCCTTAAATTACTCGAATTTAGGGATCAAAATGATAAAACCAGCAAATTATATGGACTAAATGTAACTTTTTGCCCAATTTTTATGTTAATATGTGTTGCAATCAATAACTACTTTATGTCTCTAATTTTTCTTTTATACAAGTGATATTAGGAAAGACAGAATTAAACTCACATTTGGTACACACGGATATGGAAGAAAAGATAAAGATTTTGTTTGACATGGATCATGGGAACAAAATCAAACCTGTATGGTTTTGTGTCGAAGTACTTTCCTTATGATCCTTGACTTGATCCATCTTTCGCTGTTAATATTTTCAATGTGATTGGCCATTTTGTCAAGCAAAGCCCCATATGTTATTTGAGGGTTTTCCTTAACAATTTCAGTGAGAATGTATGTCATAGCACCATTCATTTTTTTTTAGTAAAAACCTGCATTTACGATTAAAAGATAAAATAATTAACAAGAAGTTGCTTCATGATTAAAAAAAACACACACACACAATTATTAGCAATGAGTAATGATCAAATATTCGAAAATATAAAATGTGACGGGACAGTAACATCACGAAACATGCTAATTTAGTAATTTTAAACTGCTACAAAATTTCTCAATTTTATCAAATCATACTAGAATATTTTTATTTTTATTTTTTTTCATATTGCCACATGCAGAGTTCCGCGTATATTAATACTAGAAACAAATGGTTGAAGCAAAATCCCTTACAGTAGTATCTGCTGCCATTTTATCATCTTCGCAAGCACTGATTGAAATCACCAGCCCACCACTTGTACTTTTTCTAGCACCAGATGGAGGAAGATTATTAATCCAAGTCCTCCTGCAAATTAAACTCAACTAATAAAAAACTGTCCTAATTATTTAGGATCAACTACATAAATCCCCCCAATTTTGGGGTTCATATCAAATTGGTATCCAAACTTTGAAGACCCTACAAATACATACCTAAACCCTATTATCACTTTTTCTGGCCGATGCTTTTACTCGGCTTTGTTTGTACTGTTCTCTACCCCTTTGGTAGTTTGCAATGAATTGCAACTTCGACCCAAAAAAAAACCCCTATTATCAATTCATTCCATATATATAGACCCTAAATGCTAACTCCTTATACTAATTATATATAATTTGTGGGGTAGTAACACCTAAATTATTCTAAATTAATCTAATCTACATGAAATTTAAACTTGAGTGCAAAGAAATGGACTCACTGCCCTGACCAACTCGCCTAACTCACATATGCACACATGTATATCATATTCATAAGTATACCTACGCAAATTAATGTACATTAACTAGTATATCATATAGTACTCACTGTTTTCGGTTGTACACGTGTTCGAGATCGAGAATTGTTCCACTGTGACAAGCATCAACAATAGCATGGAGTCTGACACCCGCCTTGAGTGGCCAAACAATGGTTTTGTTGATATCATTGTCAAGGATCATGCCCTCTTTCAGGAAATCAACGGGGCAAATAGTCTCATCATACCCATCAATCTCATCGTTCTGGAAATCAGGCTGCCGTAAGCCATGCCCTGAGAAGTAGAATACCAAGGAATCTCCCCATTTGCAGCCCTCCACAAGCCATTTCAAAGAATTTTCTATGTTTTTCTTCGTTGGTATCAAATCTTGGGCAAACGGATCATCTTCTGCATCCATTTTAGTAATTTAATTGCACCGAAAACACCATATATATATATATATATATATATATATATAGTCATGTTCTTTCGTCAATCTTATATTGTTAGACTGTAAATTCGGACCATACCGTAAAAATCAACTTAATCAATTGTATAGTTTCATATATGGTATGAAAATATAAGCATGTTATTACAAAGACAGTCTGACAATAGAAGATCAATTATACTATAATTCATCACATAAACATGCCATGCATATGGAGAGTTACAATGGGAGAGGAAAAGTAGGGAGCAAAAGATAGAGTGAGTGAATATAGATAGTATGGTTTAATTACAATGTTGCCATTGACTTCTAAACTTATCAATAAGTTCTCCTTCGTTTCTCCTTAAATCCTCCTACACATTTTCCCCTTGCTTGTGACTTTAAAAAAACAAGTGTCGCCTAACGGATATTCGTAAGGAATCATTTTTTTCTCAAGCCCAATTCAATAACAATTTGTTTTCTTTTCCCATTTTCTTTTCCATTAATTAAGTAGAACCACTTATATAATAAATAAAGACGGATAATAGTTAACTTGGGGCCTAATTAATTACCTGAAAGTATGCGTATGCATTCGGCAGGATAACCAAAGGTGTTAGTCAACAAGTTTTTCATGTTACTCACATCATTAGCAGTGCCCTTGAGCTTGTATCTATGCTCATGACTGTATGTCACCCCGCAAAGAAGTGCACGCTTGTTCGATCCTCCACGTGCTGCAGCTGGGGCGGCCGGGATCACGACAGAGGGCCACGGCGTCAACTTCCCTCGATAAGATGTCTCAAAACTGGCCATGGACACTGATGATGAATTAACATCCGAACTGTTTGATGAAGCCTTGCTAGGAAAAAACCTCTTTACTATTTTCCTCAGGCCACGCTCACCTCCTTTGTCCTTGTGATCTGCACCTCCACTGCAAGCAATTATATGGCCGCGGATGCAGCTTTCTTGTGTGTTTTGGTGATCATAGGAATCGCTGCATGTGATTGGTGTTGTGGTTTCCATATATGAATATATGCCTAATATGTTGAAGGCTACAACGCCAATTAATGAGGCTTTAAGCAAAATATATAAACAAGCTTAACCCTAGATAGGGATGGCCCCAGTTTGGACACAACTATAGCTTGGTTGAAAAGGCTTCATATCATATCTGGGATTATTCTTAGTATAGTGAACAAGCAATCACAACCGTGGAGACGTTTTGGTTGGCGTTGAGCATCTTAATTTTACCTTATTCCGGGCCTTATGCAAAATGTGTATGAATTGCTACAACATTGACTTTCTAGGTACAATTAATAATTAATATGGGAGATTGAAGGTAGTCGGTTGATTAATCTACTTTTTGTTTAATACAAGCGACAATGAGAGTGGAAGAATCGAACACAAAATCTCAACTGCATAAAACGCGGTATTTATTATGGACCATATTGTCAATTTCAAGCATGCATGTCCACCTCCCATTGGAACTGAAAATATATGTGGATCCAAATTTCTATATTCTTACATGAGAGTGTACTCTCTTTTCTAGCTTGGAAATTAATACGTACGTGAATTGATGAATTTAACAGTTGAAAATCGTTTTGTTTCCTACAAAATCCATAGAATAATTAGGGTTAAAGTCTTAGTATCTGTCCAATCAAACAGCATGCATGGGGTCACTTTTCTTTATTCTGTCATGTTATAAAGAAAGAAGAACTAGATGCCCTTATCTTTTTTCTTTATTCTGATTTTCCCGTCTTGAAAACAAAGGCCAAAAATATTAAACATATTAAAGGGCAAGGGGCCAGACAGGGGATTCGGTTTCTTTACACTACGTTCAGGGCGAAATGCCAATCTTCATATAAAATGCACGCACTGAACATATTCGCCCAAAGGTTTTCTTGTTTGTTTAATCTTTTCAGGACAAAGATGACACCACTTGATTGAACTGTTTTGTTTACTTTGTTCTTTTGTGCGGCCAAGAATTTGGACCAATAATTAAGTGGGTTACTGCTTTGCTTAAATGAGAAGATTATACCTTATATATATACTCCCGCTCTATCGAGGGATTCCTTAAATAATTTTATTTGAGGAACACCCTTTAGGGTCTCCTATAAACTTTTTTTCAACGATCCAAACCATCTATTTTTTAAGTCTACATTCATAGATTATCCTTGCAAAAAATTAGACAAATCAGAAATTGTTTCGACATCCAATTGTGTCCTACAAATCAATGAATATGGTAGGCCTTGGCACAGTACAGGATGACATGGGACGGAGGTCATCATGGTGTCAATCCCGAATAGAAGCATCGGGATGGGACAGGACGGGGTGAGGTTTCAAAAAACGTTCTAACCATACTGGCCCCAAACGAGACCGGTATGATTTGGTATCATTTTTTATACCCTAAAAAACATGTTTGCATAACACAAAATTATAAAGTTTTACAAATCAAGCCTAAAACAAGTCAAGAGATTGAGAAGAAGAATTTGAATTGATGGAGGATTGGGAATTAGGGTGAGAGAGAGAGAAGAGGAGCTCCCGCTCTATCGAGGGATTCCTCAAATAATTTTATTTGAGGAATACCCTTTAGGGTCTCCTATAAACTTTTCTTCAACGATCCAAACCATCTATTTTTTAAGTCTACATTCATAGATTATCCTTGCAAAAAATTAGACAAATCAGAAAATGTTTCGACATCCAATTGTGTCTTACAAAATCAATGAATATGGTAGGCCTTGGCACAGTACAGGATGACATGGGACGGAGGTCATCATGGTGTCAATCCCGAATAGAAGCATCAGGATGGGACAGGACGGGATGAGGTTTCAAAAATCGTTCTAACCATACTGGCCCCAAACGAGACCGGTATGATTTGGTATCATTTTTTATACCCTAAAAAACATGTTTGCATAACACAAAATTATAAAGTTTTACAAATCAAGCCTAAAACAAGTCAAGAGATTGAGAAGAAGAATTTGAATTGATGGAGGATTAGGAATTAGGGTGAGAGAGAGAGAGAGAGAGAGAGAGAGAGAGAGAGAGAGAGAGAGAGAGAGTATGACAGAGAGAGAAGAGGAGAGTAAGAGGATCTAATCGAAATCAAAAGGGATTTTGGGAATTAGGGCGGCGTATATGAATGACACATAGAGAGAGAGAGAGAGAGAGAGAGAGAGAGAGAGAGAGAGAGAGAGAGAGAGAGGAGGAGGAGGAGGAGGAGAAGATGATGAGATCAATCAATGGTGGAGGATTTTGGAATTACGGCTTCAAATCGATGATTGAGAAAGGAGAAGAGAAGAGAAGAGAAGAATAGATAGAGGGAAGGATGGGACAGAGGAAACAAAGCTCGAGTCGAATGTTTGTGGGATAGGAGCAACTGAAATTGGGATTTATTATTTACCTGGTACTGTTCGGTATGGTATGACACCAAACGGGATCACAAATCTAGAACCGGTGTCATGCCAAACAGTAACGGGATGACACGATATCATCCCATTTACACTTCAACACCAAATGGGATGACACGAGATTGGCATGGTTTGGCATGATTTTGGGACGGTTTCGGTATTTCGGTTTTGATGCCCACCCCTAGAACACGGTGCTTCAAGAAAGTAATAAAATTTCAATAACTCAATTAAGTGGTCAAATGATATCAGATTCAAGTGATTTTTTGTAAAGGTGATCTTTGAATGAATATCTACAAATAGATGGTTTGAATTAGTGAAATACAATGTGAAGTGGGCCTTACAAGGATGTTCCTCAAATAAGCTTATTTGAGGGATCTCTCAATGGAAGCTATTTGTGTGTTTATATATATATATATATATATATATATATTCCCCTTCTATTGAGAGATACTTCAAATAATTTTATTTGAGGGACAGCCTTTAGGGTCTCCTACAAATTTTTTTTCAACGATCCAAACCATCTATTTTTTAATTCTATATTCATATATCATCCTTGCAAAAAATTAGACGAATCGGAAACCGTTTCGACATCTAATTGTGTCCTACAAAATCAATGAACACGGTGCTTCAAGAAAGTACTAAAATTGCAATAATTCAATTTTGTAGTCAAATGATATTGGATTCAAGTGATTTTTTGTAGAAATGATCTTTAAATGAATATCTACAAAATAGACGGTATAGATTAGTGAAATACAATATGGAGTGGGCCCTACAAGGGTGCCTCTTAAATAAGCTTATTCGAGGGATCCCTCAACTGAAGCTCTCTGTATATATATAAAGATTTTTTCCTATACGGACGTCAGGATGTTATTATCATGCGAACACCATGTATTTTCTACTAACCCTCCCTATTTTTCTCCATGTTTACAATGGGGTCTGCACAATCCGGATATATATATATATATATATTTATATACAATCCCCTTCTATTGAGGGTTCCCTATGAATTTTTTTTTCAACAATCAAAACATCTATTTTTTAAGTCTACATTCATAGATCATCCTTGCAAAAAATTAGACAAATCGTATAACCGTTTCGACATCCAATTGTGTCATACAAAATCAATAAACACGGTACTTTAAGAAAGTACTAAAATTTCAATAACTCAATTGAGTGGTTAAATGATATCGGATTCAAGTAATTTTTTATAGAGATGATCTTTGAATGATTATCTAAAAAATAGATGGTTTGGATTAGCGAAATACAATGCGGAGTAAGCCGTACAAGAGTGTCCCTTAAATAATCTTATTTGTAGACTTAAAAATAGAATGTTTGGATCGTTGAAAACAAAAATTGTAGGAGACTCTAAAGGGTGTCCCTATTTGATGAATCCATCAATAAAAGGGGACTATTTATATAAAGGAATAATTGTCGAAATGTCACCTTAATTTTTCAAAATCCATGATTTGTCATTTAACTTTAACACCATCCATTTTTCCATCCATTTTAAGGGTATTTTAGTCTTTCCATTTTCAAGAAAAAAATAAGAGGAAAAAGAGACCTCTCTCTCTCTCTCTCTCTCTCTCTCTAACCATGTATAAATTTTTTTTTATAATGATTTTTCTATTTTAAAATACCCTTGAAAATAGAAATGACTAAAATACCCTTAAAATGGATGGAAAATTGGATGGTGTTATGTTAAAGTTAGATGACAAATTATGGATTTTGAAAAATTAAGGTGACATTTCTCTTAAATTTTTTTTTAAGGTGACAAATTGAAATTGAGATAAATTAATGTCCACTAAAACATCATCTTTGCAATTAATCAATTAAATCGGAAACCATAAAAACATTTTCTTCTTCTTATCAAATAATTATACGAACACAATTGGCTGAAATGATCACTATTCTAATTTGGATGATGTTTAACAAAGATTATTCTTTAGTGGAGACTAAAAAAATATAAATGATCCATACCATCGAATTACAATATCCATTTGGCCCAACAAACTATGATCCCCTTGTGTTGAGAGTCAAAAGGTTTCACAATGTTCGGGCCACTTCGCAATGTGGCCTAAGGTAAGGGTTCGAATTATCCAAATTTGAGATCCACATTTACATAGGAAGACCTCATGAGGCCAATTCACACTAGTAACATAGCAACTTCAATACCAGCCAAACCAGAAAAGGGTTAAAAGTAAAAGATGATTTGATACTTTAAGGTTGAGAAATAAAAAAGGGCTGGGTAACATTCTAAAATAGCAAGGTTACATGCCCAAATAAAATTAACGGACGTCCATGATAATAATCACAATGGAATGATAGGACGCCACTGTTTAGAGTGGATTGGAATTCACAGGCATATCATTATCCTATACATTGAGTGGCCCAGAGATCTTGGCCTTGCAGGCTGGACACATGAAACCGACGGAATCCGCTTGTATTTCGGAATCAGCAGCCTCATGGTTGAACTCTACTCCACACCATACACATGTAAGCTGATGGCTTGCAGCCATGCTTAGCATGACTTCTTCTTGTTCAAACTGGACAGAGGAGCCAAATGCCCTTTCCATCTCTGCATTATTTGTCAAATCCATCGGTACCTCCTGCATTGTAAGAGATTCTTGCCCACCTGCAAAACCATACTTCAGAGGTTCTATTTCATCCAGCCTCAGCTCCTCAAACCCTGTTTCATGGTTATGTCTCTGGCCAACACTGCTAACATGCTGCTCCCCCTGTCAATCAAAACAGTGAACAAAATCAAATTTCAAAAGTAAATATCACAGAATAAAGGAATATAGGCATGTCAAAGAAGAGTCCCGGCCAACAAACTATGGGCCTGTTTAATAACCATTTCAATTTTAGTTTTCAGTTTTCATTTTTTATGCTAGAGTATAGAGGAAATGAGAGTGAGAATGAGAGTGAGGATAATATTGAGAGAGAGAATGAGAGGGGAGGATGGGAGGGATGAGTAACAAAAGTGAAAACAAAAACTAAAAAGTTTTAGTTTTCACTTTTGTTACTCCTCCCTCCCATCATTCCCCTCTCATCTTCCCAATCAATCCCATCTTCACTCTCATTCTCACTTCCATTCTCCCTCTTTTTCCTCTAATACTCTAGCACAAAAAATGAAAACTAAAAACTAAATTTGAAATGGCAGGCCCTAACATATCACTATTTTAGCGTGCATGATAATTCATTTACAGTTAAAATATATAATTAGTTAGGGTCTACTCTGATCTTATATTTGAACCGTGTAACCAAACCTGGCACATCAAATTCCAATCAACAACTTGGAGATAGGGCTGAGTGGCTTTTTTTCAGGCATCATCTCTTCAAACTCTCAAAATCAGAATCTCTTTAGTTTATCATCATGATCAACACTTTGTTCATCTATCTACTTCACCGCATTTAGATGACTAAAGAGTTTCTGATTTGGCTAAAACCTATTGCAACGCTAGTCCTTGAAACTGAAAATTAAATGATTTGGATCATGAGACTGTCTGATAGGTCCCACATTGTGATCCTTTTCTTAAAATAATGACATCTCCATTAGAGAATTATTATTATAAGTGTCTGTGTTGAGCATATACCATCCATTTCCTTTTTTCTACCATTCATATTAATGCAATACTAGAAGTAACAGTAATCAATCAAATATTTTGATAGGCCAAACAGACAAAATAAAATTAAAAACCATACGAAAGCTGCTAGACTAAATAGTCTCACAGCCAACATACTCACAACTTAGAAACAAATTCAAGCAAAAAGCAAAAAAAGAAAAGAAAAGCATACCAACAGAATGATGACTCAACTCCTACAAAATTATACTCATATAATTGCTACATTTTGGACAGATCAGCATAATCTTGGAATCCAGGAAAGAGAACATGATACATTCTTCAAATATAAATTCTTTAGCAAATTTTTAAGTTTTAATTTTGAAGAAAAAGTTTTAAACACGACTAAGGTGTATTCAATGTATTGGGAAACCACAAAAAGACAAAATATGGCAGCAATTGTTGATACCTTATCCAATATTGCATTAGATGTGGGAAAACAGACCAATGGTTGCACCAGAGACATTGAGGAGTCAGAAATCCCACTTTGGATTTCAATTTCTTCATTAGCTTGGCATACAGGCTCTATCAAAGTATCATTAGCTGGTCCATGATCATTGCTGCTACCAAACTCAACTGCAGGTTCACTATTTTTGTTATTACTGAGTTCAACAGCATTGGGATGCTCTAATGTACTTGTGAAATTCAAATTTTCATTGCCTACAACTTGAGAAATAATTTTGTCATTTGAAGAAGCATGTATCAGGCACTGAGAAGCTCCATCCTGGTTGGTACCAGACTTCTCTAACTCATCAGATGTGAAGACCAAACCATCTTTCTCCAAAGAACTTTCAGATGGTTTGCCATTTTTCTCTATAGAAGTTGTATTCATTCCAGAATCCATCTTAACATCTACAACTTCCATAGGATCGTCAGCTTCCTCCATACTTCCATCAGTTATTGTATGCTCACTATCATGTTGATCTGAAGCAGTCCTATCAATCATGCTACCTTCCAGGTCCGGTTCACTGAGGGGGGAGTCTATGTTCATTTCTTCATGAGAATTGGCAGCAGGACCACATTTTGATTCATTATTAGGTCCAGCAGTTGAGGTTTCTAGGATAGAGTTTTGGGCAATTTCAATTAAAGCATCCATCTTAGAAATCCTTGAAGGAAAACCTTCCCCGCTTGGAGACTCTATTCTCTTTTGAACAGTCATTGGACCTGGGGATTCTTCCACCCTCCTCACATAATTACGAACATGGATCCCTACATGACCATTGTAGCGACGCCTTTCCAGAAATACCTTATGGCAGAACTGGCATTCATATTTCCCATCTTTAATTATCACACCATCACCAACAGTAGAACCAAGTCTATACCTCCTTGTAGTCCTCTGGTGAAAGGACAAAAGATGCTGCAAATATGAATCCTTCTCACCAAAAGTCATACTGCATTTGTGACATTCAAAAAGGTCACGTATCTGAACCTCTGCAAGATTCTCCATTCCCGATAAGCTAACTTCCTTCTCACGCTCATTAGATATAGTAGACACGACTAGAGCAGAGCTGGAATTCACAGATTGCCTTCGGCCTCCATCCTTATCAGAATGCTGCTGCACCCCAAACAAAGCTTATTAAAGAAGACTTATAAACCAAGGTACAATAGACCAAACAACTGCACAAATATATACTTACGTTTTCAGTAGTCATTATGCACTCTTCCTGAAGGTTCTCACCCCCACGACCATCTGGCTGTCGCGCATTATTGAAACCAAAGAAGGAGTGGAGAAATGAAGAAACTTCCTTGCAGGACAGAAATTGTTGTCCAGTAGGGCTGGAAAGTATCAAGTAACTTGTAACTATGAGAGAGAGAGAGAGAGCTCAAAAATACAGGATATGAAGTAGAAGAAATGCTGAAAAGCAAATATAAATAACCACCCGTTTACTAGTTATGCATGTTCTTCAGATATACTACCCACATTTCTACTTTCTCTAGTACTGCCACATCTCCTTTGAATGGATTGTCATTGTCAAGTTCTACAACCAACCAAGAAAATGCAGATGCTAGCTCGAAGTGACCATATCCCAAACATATCGCAGAAACTCTCTTTGTAGCCCCAAGAATTCTTTAGTAAGTGGCAGTGATAATGGGTACATAATTCTAATTTGATAATCATTACTCGAGGATGATCTGCTAAGATAACCTATGTAACCAAAGAAGAGAAGCATTCTCAAGTGACAACGAGCCAAAAAAAATAAGCATACCAACTAAAGGCTCTAAACCCAAGAGCTCCTACAAGCAAATGCATACAAAGTTCTAACAATCAAGACTCCCATGATCAACAGAGGACAAGAAATTTTCAAACAAACAGAGCATAAAAAAATAGTCATAGCAAAGTCAATGCTTATGCTAACCAAAGGAATATATATGTGTATTCAAACAAGAACTATGTAGACCTCAATGGTTGCAAAGCAATGGACATTTTTGCATACTCTAGTATAAGTGACTGAAGAAGAAATAAAGCAAGTAAAACCTTATGAAGCGGCGGCAGTATATCCAAGCACGTCCTTCCTTCCTCTTAAGCCCCAATAAGAGCTTCCAACCGACCGGCAACGCATCCCCGAACTCATTTGCATCGACAATCTTTCTCTTCTTCCTCCTACTTCCCCACTGCCCACCCAATTCCCTCATAAACCCCAACAACTGCTCCTCAGTCTCCAAACCCACAGTCCTCCTCCTCAACTCCTCCCCAAAAGGGTCTTCCACATTCGCCAAACCCGAAACGTCCACCGCAGCGCCGTTCTTGTTCACCATCTCCATACCCACATAGCCCTCACCCTCCATGCTCAAGACTTTCACTTTCGGCTTCCTCCCCCGCTTTCTTTTCTTCACACCCTCGTCCTCTCTCCCCTCAAAACCCACAATTCCACTCCTCAACTCGTGATTCGGGCCCATCAACACGGGAAACGACGCCGTATGGGCAGCCTCGAAGTCGATTTGGTCAAATTTGGGGTCCTCGGAAATGAAGTTCTTGAGGTGGGCGATGATGGCGTGGTTCTCGTTGCGCTCGGGGTCGTCGGGCGGGACAGGGGAGAGCTTGGGGGTGGCGTGGAGGCCGGCGACGCGGCGACGGTGGCCGGTGGAGGCATCGGACTGCGAGCGGCGAGGGCGGGAATAGGTCTGGCGGCGGGAGCCAGCGCTCTCGTTGAAGACAGATCGGTCGATTTTGGGGACGACGAGGTCTTGGGCCCCGAAGAGGTTGAAGGCAGAGGAGGAGGAGGAGCAGAGGGAGAGGGCGTGAAGCTCGGATTGAGAGAGTGTGGTGATGTCTATGTGGGTTAAGGAGTCCACCGTCGCCATTTTTGCAGTGGTTGCTGTTGGAAAGTTGGGAGTATCTACAGTGAGAGAGAGAGAGAGAGAGAGAGAGAGAGAGAGAGAGAGAGAGGAAAATGGTTGGGAGTGAGAGAGTGGGTTGGTGCGGAGAGGATCTGTTGTTAAAGCCCTTCACTCAGCAAACTCCTTTCCTTAAGAGAGCATCTTCAATGAGAGAAATTTTTGTATGTTCCGGCCTGGTACCATTCGATACGCATAAAACACGTGGAAATATTATTTAATACACAAAAATTACTCCTCCAATGAAAGTAAAAAGGTATAAATTTGTTGACTCACCACGTAAAAACATCATATTTTTGGGTGGTTTTAAATTGATATCCTAAGACTACAAACTCATATACTAAAAACATACACCTAAGTATATTAGGTAGTCAGACCGTTAATATGTGTTTTAAATGATAACTGATGAAGTGGTAAATGTAAAATCCACTTTATGTGCTCCACGTGGATTAAAAAATTATTAAATAATTTATTAATTTAATATAATAGTCTTGCTCATTTAAGGTTCTAAAAATGAAATAATGATGTACAAGTTTATGGAAAACACACACACGTAAGTATTTACTTAGTTATGGGGAAAAAAAAAGTATATTTGTTAGTCATACCGTTAATATGTGTGTTAAATGATAACTCTCTTTAATTTGATTGATTTTGCTTGTATTCTGTTTCTTTTTCTATTCTTTTGTTTTTTCGCAGAATGAAGTCTGTAGTGTCGTCTTTTTCAAGTGTGAATATTGAAGTGCTGGAGGATCTGCGCTCTGATTTTCGGTTTTGTTTGGCTTGAGTATTCATGAAGTGGTTGACAGTTTGTATCTATTCTCCTTTCAAAGGGAACAAGATTTGCTTCGGGTTCATAATTTGCTCATTCTCAATATAACAGTTTCAGTTGCCCGTTTGATTGGCAATCGTTTGGGTTCTTTTTTGGAGGTTGCACAGGGCGCTACTGGAGATTATGTCGGTCGATGCTTGCGTATCAAAGTTCGAGTTGATGTCACCAAACCTTCATGGAGGGGTACAACTTTCTTTTTCGGAAATTGGTTCGAAATGGGTTGATTTTACTTATGAGAGATTGCCGGAATTCTACCATGATTGTGGGAGCTTAAAGCATTGGTTGCCATATTGTTCCAGGCCTTCTATGGACATTCGTGTGGGTGCTATGAAACCTTTCAGTAGCACTTTGCATGCTACTCTGGAGCCTGTTGGTGGTTTGCGTTTCTCATATCAACGGGCTTGTGACCGGTCAATCACTTTTCATGATTTGGCGGGATCGTCTTGTGACGGAAACCGTCATCAGATTGATCTTTCTTCTGAGGTGGTTCCGCAATCGGCTGACACAACATAGCGATTATTCATTTTTATCTCATCCAAATAAGGAGATAAGCCAGTTACATGGATTTCAAATGTCTAGAGCGGTTTCTCCTTTACCTATTGGAAAGTTAGAGGCCCAAGTTTCTATGTCTCATACATCTTAGTTGTACCTCCCTGTTACATCTACCTTTCATGATTTGACCCAAAGGTTTTCTCCTCCACTTCTAGCAAGGGTTGGAAAAGGTTTGCTCATCTAAAAGGTGTTGCTGATTCCACTCTTCCTCTCACATATGTTACTAATATTATTACTCCTTTGGGTGGTTTTCCTGATGACTTCAATCAAGGCTCTCTACAGATCATGTGTCCTAAGAAAATCAAGGTTATTTCTATTTCGTATGATGACAAAAATGTGGTGGGTGCACAATTTTGGGATTACATATTGCAAGTCAAATGGGGTATCGTTATGTCATTTTGGAAATGAAGGCAAAAGAGATTATTATGAATCTTCAAACTTATGAGTAAAGCTGGTCGATGGAGGGTGTTTTAGTAGATGAAGTCAGGGGCCTTTTTAATCGTTTTGCTCATATTTCTTGTCAATTTGCTCTTCGGGAGTTTATCCAGGTTGCATAGTCGCTCCTGTCTCAGGACTTTCAAGTGTGGTTAGAGGATGGTCCTTTATGGATTTATGATGTTTTGGCTAATGACAAGTTATTTTCTTAAATTAATTTTATACTTGATGTGATGTAGTGATACTCTTTTTTCTTGATCGGATTTTCCTCCATTTGGGGGTTTTAAAAGGCAATGTTTTAATGAGGCCACACTTGTTACATTACTAAAGTCCAGTCTTCTTTTTATACTCTGACATTGTTGTTTCAATGAAGTTATCTCACTTTGATAATATATATATATTAAAAAATTTACAGTAAACTACATATTAGTACCCCAACTTTAGGGGTCGTTACAAGCAAGTATCCAACCATATAAAATTTTCAAGCAGATACCTGAACTCTTGGAAAACCTACAAATTGGTCAATCGTTACCTAGTCCATCATTGGAGTCGTTAAGTGATGATGTGGTGTATCCGAAGTGGCTTTTTTTTTGCTTGCGTGTTCGACTCGTGTTGAGTGAATGTTTTAAAAAGATAAAGGGATAATTTCTAGGTTTCCAACCCACTTATGGGACATGTGTCGAAATCTAGTGTACCCTCAACCTTAATCCCCAAATGTGACTCGAAATCCCTAATCACCTAATTCTTTTTCACCAAGCTTTTGAAGCAAAAGCCTTCGAATAATGTCGAGTGCAGGAGAATCTTGCTGAATTTAGGGTTATCGTGTCGGCCATGGCGTGGGTTTGTCGACCTCGAGGAAAAGTCGAGCCAGATTATGGTAAGTTTCAAAATGGGGGAAGCCTGTTACCTTTTAGGGATTGGGGTTTTTTTTAAGGCTTATTAGTTAAAATGCCCTCTGAAACTTGGGTCAAATCTCACTTTGCACCCTGAAACTAAAAGTGACCCATACACCCTCTTTGACCATGGTTTCGCATTTCACTTTGCCCCCTGCCGTCAACTTCATTGTTAACCTTGTCAAAATTGTTGACGTGGCAGGGGTAATTTCTTCTTTTTGTCCCATATGGCATAAAAACATTATAAAAAATTAAAAATTCTCTTAAATAATTAAAATTTAAACATTAAAAATTAACTCGTCCCCTACCCATACCAGCCATCTCCACCTAGCCCTCACTTCAATGTCACCACCACCTCTCCCACCTTCTTGCACCCCCACCGCAACCTCAACCCAACTACCAGATCAACCCACTCCAACAATCCTCATCTCCCATCTCTGTCAGCCCATAAAACACACCCTATTCCCACATATGCTTCCCTCGGACAAACCCCACCACCACACAACCATCTACCTCCACCTAATCACCTCCAGCACATTCATCTACCAACCCCAAAACACCCATCCCAAACCACACAACTCCAAAAAGCCAACATGTACCCCACCAGCTCCAACACATCCATCCTTACCCGGCCACCCAATTGATCCCACCCCAAATCGCAACAACTAACTAATACCTTACCCTATATTACACAAACCCAACTATCCTCTACTCCTCTTCCCCAAATATGACTTTCAAATTAAAAAGAAGAAAAGAAAAAAAAACGAGAAAAGAAGACCAAAAAGAAGAAGATGCGGAAGAGAAAAAGAAAAAAAGAGAGTAGAAAGTCAACTGATGAAGAAGGAAGAGTATAAAATGAATATCAAATTCTTCTAAGAATATAATGAATATCATCATTGTACAAAGACTACTTAAGAATACAACTTGCTTCAATGGTAAAGACCATTTATTAGGTATTGGAGGTTAGGGCTTTGAATCCCCTTGAACCATAGTACTCTTTAGTATTTGCATTTTTTTTCTTCAATTCTTTGAATAAAGGTGGGCTCCACAATTTGCGAAGTTGATGAAACGATGAAATTATCCCTCTACGTTATCAATTTTGACGAGGTTAGCAATGGAGTTGACGGCAAGGGGCAAAGTGAAACCCGAAACCACAGTCAAATGGGGTATATGGGTCACTTTCAGTATGCAAAATGAGATTTGACCCAAGTTTCAAAGGCCATTTTAACTAATAAGCCTTCTTTTTATAATAAAGGAGGCTTTGTCTTGTTGGTAAAGTAGTCACTAGACATGCGAGTTTACATATGCATTTTTAGGTGGTCCCAAATTCGTACTGCATTTTTTGTCCAGTTGGTACTTCATTTTTTGTCTCATTGCTTGTTCTTATGTGCTTTGCAGTTGATCCCGAGCATTTCACTATTACAATGTATCATGGTGGTAGATTTAGTGACAATTTCTATGTAGGAGGTGATATGACATATTTTTTACTATGTTGACAATGATTTGATGTCTATGGTTGAGATAGGTTGGATGGTTAAGCATTTGGGTTATATGGATGGGATCATTTTGTATCATTATAAGCTACATGGGTCATCAAATGCAATGACCTTGCTGCAATTTGATGACAATCCACTAGCTATTATACCAAGTGGAAATGGATCAAGATCTGCTACAATAGATGAGGAGCCATATGAGTTTGATGTAGGATGTAGTGCTCCTCCAACGACTCAAGGTTCAAAAAGCAAAGCAGTGGTAAGGGATGCAAACAATAAGGCTAGAAAAGGGAGAAATGTTTTAGTTGACAGTAAGAAGAGAAAAAAAATAGTAAAGGAAACATTCACACTAGAAGGAATTGTTCTTCAAAAGAAAAGAAATGAGTGAAACAAAGGCCTAAAATGAGGAAGCTTGGTGATTCTTCTCAGTCATCTGAAGAATCATGACTTGTTGACACAACATATGTCATTAAAGAGGATGATGGCTTTGTTAAATCAAACATTTTATTTGCACAAGATTTGTTTAAAAGTGGTTCTATTAGAAGTGAGACTATTGGAATAGAAGAGGTCCAAAATGAGGAAGCAAGAGAGCATGCCTAAAATCAGGGTGACAGGCCCAGGATGTTGCAATGGAGCATGTCGAGGGTGTTGCAAATGAGCAGGCCCCTAATGTTACAAATGAGCAGGCCTAGGGTATTGTAAATAAGCAAGCCCCCAATATTGCAAAATGAGCTGTCCAAAATGAGAATGAGCAGCCCCAAAATGTTACAGAAGAGCCTGAAACTGAGCAGCCAAATCCAAACAATAGACCAAATACTTTTGGGGCTAAAGTGTTAGAAGACAATGATGAAGACTTTCTTAGGGGTGCATCAGATGATGAAGAAACTGGGAGAAGGTTCTAAGAATACAATCCTAAAACTAACAACAACAACCCAATTTTTGAATTATGAATGATGTTTGAATATTGGCATGTGTTTAGAGAGGCAGTCGAAACTTACTCACTAATACATGATATATGGTATAAAAGAAATGCGAGGTTCAAGCTAAAGACATTTTGTAGAACCAAGCATTGCCCTTGGAACATATATGCCTTTTGCAAGTCATCTGAGGATAAAACATTGGTTGTTAAAATATACAATCATATCCATACATTTGTACTGGTTTGGGATAACAACCTAGCAACTATGAAGTGGCTCACTAAAACATTCATTGATAGAGTCCAATCTAAGCTTAATATTCCTCCACATTCAATCAAGGATGCTGTTTCAAAGAAGTAGGCAATGGGGTTTCACGCATGAAAGCATATAGAGCCAAGAGATCAACTTTTGAGATGATAGAGGGTAATTTGGATACACATTATACCATACTTTGGGATTATTGTGAAAAACTGAAAATGAGCAACCTAGGAACAACCACCAAGATGAAGTGTGAATTTAATGGAAGTGATGCAATCTTTCAAAGGTTGTATGTCTGTTTGGGAGGTTGTAAGAAGGGCTTCAAGGAGTATTGCAGGCATGTTATTGGATTAGATGGTTGTCATTTGAATGGAGTTCATGAGAGTCAATTCTTGACTGTTATTGGAATTGATGTCAACAATGAAACATGAGTCATACCTTATATAGTGGTGGAGATGAAAACTAGGGATTCATGGACATGGTTTCTTTAACTGTTGGGTAGTGATGTTGGAATTATGAATCAACATGGGTGGACATTTATCTCGGACGAGCAAAGAGGGTTGCCTAGAGCATTTGAGATTTGGATGTAACTTGAATTAGTCATGTTGTAGTTTTCGGATTACTTCTTTGCATAGTTGGTTGGATGTATTTGGATATATTTTGCATAGGGGTATGAATTTATTTGGATGTAGTCTTTTGCACAGGAATATTGATGTATTTTGAACTAGAGGCAAATTCTTTGATATATAATGGATGCAGCCATATTGATGGCAAATTCTTCTTTGCAATTATTTACAAACCCAAATGCAATTCATTGCACCATATGCAGTTTACAAAACCTTACCACATGCAATTCATTATACCAAAATGCATTTTACAAATCCACATGGACTTCGAATGTGGCTCACTAATACACAATGCACATGAAACCACCTAAAACTCTAGTTCTAGCCTTACATTGTGGTTGGTTTATCTTTTCTGCATCCTACCCAACTCAGAACCAACAGAAGCACAAAGATCGTGAATCATAACCCTAGTAGCAAAACCCACAGGAACCTAAATCTCCTAGAAGCTTTTCTCTGCCCTTTTTCCTACTTCGCCAAGCTTTTCAATGAAGGGAAAATTAGGGGGTAAGGATTTATGAAGCTATGACAAAACAAATCATCTAGCATATGCATATCAAATATGAAACAAAATAAAGGGGAAGCCAGGAAATAGCTAGAGATTCATACAATTCTCATCTTAGGTCCCAATCTTTATATGTTTATGAAAATAGCACCATAGACTCTCTAAGACAACTATTTAGAGAAGGATTAAGGAATACATACCCTTGGAGCATAGCTTGAAATCAAGGATGATGTTCAAGTAGAGGGATTGGTCCTTTCGATGTTGGTTCTCCACTTTGCTCTCCAAATAGGCACAACGAGGTTATGCCTCCCTAAAGAATCTTCACCAAGGATTGAGGAGAATAGGAGAATAAGGAACCAAGAGGAAAAGATGGGCGCTAGCCTCTTCTTCCTCTAGGTGGCCGGCAAAGAGAGTGATTGCGAGGGAGGTTTGATGTTTCCTTTCTTCCTAAATGTCTAACTTGAAACCCTAAGGAGGTGTGGTGATATGGCTATGGCTATGAATATATAGAGACATATTGTCACACATGTGCCACTAAAGAGCACATGTGCCGCACCCCCTCATCCCTTAGCCATTTGGGGCTACTTTGGTCTACCACATTAATCCCATAATGTGTCACACTTTGCCTAAGTCAATAAGGTCCATTTTCCTATAAATGTTTAAGTCATGTAGGAGCAAAACTAAAGTTCCATAACTTTAATTAATTCATTAAGCTAATATAATTAGTTTAATTAATTTAATGACTTAACTAATTAAATCACTAACTTGTCTAACAAGCATTGGTCCTAGTTAACCTTATGTTGACCGCATCAAGTCTCGGGCCAATGGTTTGACCTTTGACATTTGATTTTTGACTTTGACCTTGACTTTTGACTTTGACTTTGACTTTGACCAAGCCACAAAATCATTTATTCTCTCATACCTTTTTAGCGTACAATCTTATAGGTTCTAATTAGCGAGGTTGTGAGTAAAAATGGTTTCTTCTATATCGAATGTGAATTGTATCCCTCTATACAAATCTCCCTATTAGTGAAGGCTAATTATAATTAGTACTTATAGGGCTTTCACAAACCATGAGTGACACCTAGCAGTATGTCATGGCTACCCAAGCTAAATAGAGTTCATTTAGAAAACCTAGTCTAGTCAGTTTGTGATTACAATGCAATTCGGTCATTCTTTATTACAATACTCTATGTTGTGTTGTTGGGATATGGTTAACTTGTGTCAAATCCCTAACATGACATCTCTAGGTTATAGGATTCACTTGGATGCAATTGCAAACTTTCTTGTTCCAATTCTCATATTGTACTTTGGCTAAAGATTCAACGAATCATATATTTAGAGTATTCTCTCTTCCTACTTATACATTCACATGCCTCTGTGCACATGCTGATTATCCTGAGGAACACCTTTAAGTCACAACCTTTTGATATAACTATATGGTGCCCTCAAAGACAAACAACCCATACACAAAACAACCGTGATGTCTCAAGTCTAAGGACTAATATGCATTATAATAACTTAGAATTCTTTGTTTGAAACTTGTGACTAAGACTTCCATACAAGAATTCTTAAGTTGATCACGTTCAGTGAACTCTATCTTTATAGAGCGTACACACAAGTCTCAGTGTCTCTACACGAATGACTTAAGACTAGCGGACATAGTGTGTACTACTCTTTGCAGTTCACTATTTTATATTGGCTTCTAGGGTATGTATCTGACATTCAGAAGCCCATGTATCACATTCCTCGACCTTTCGCACATCTTGGGATCAATCCAATGAAAGAAGGCGCATCTTCGTCATTTCTGTAGAGAGACACGAGCAAGCCCTAATTAGCAATCGTAACCTCTGAAAATCTCAACCCCATAAATGGTGGCCTAGGTTTGTGTCTGTCCACGACGTGCAAACGCGAGCTCTCTGACCATAGCTACAGAAGGGCGCCTATATATGATTTAGATTTGAAATTGGATTTAGGGTTTCATTCCAGGTCAAATGGCGAGATGAAGATGTCAATTTGGGGTTTTTGTTCTCCATTTTGGAGTTCGTGGGTTAGAAATTATCTACTTTGGCAAGCAACAACAAAAAAAAAAAAAAAAAAAAAACCATGTCCTGATATATCATGTCATCACTTAACGACTCCAATGACAGGCTGCGTAATGACATGATCAATTTATAGGTTGATTATTCAATTAAGATTTCATAGAAGTCTATAAAATTATTGGTGGCCAGTAAGGTATGGCTCAATTGGTTGAGCTCTTTCACCTTCGCTCATGTGGGTAGAGGTTTGAAATCTCCACGTACCCAATGAATATTTATATAAACCGCCTCCCCCAATCGCTTGTACTGAAAAATAAATAAATAAATAAAATTTGAGAGAGTCCAATATAGGCCCCTACAATTTATATTCTCTAGATACAAACCCATCAATCTATAAATCTATTTGGAAACGCCAAATTCAAACTAAATGCCCTGTAAGATATAAGAGGTCATAATACTCTACGTATTTACATGATACGCATCCCGATGGTTTTCAATCATTGGGAACGACCGTTTCATTCACGACAAATTCAATTTACCACCATTTCAGCCTTGATCGATTCCCATTATTGAAACCATAGATTCTCCAATGTTAGATTCCCCTCCAATGTCTCTGTTGTTCAAATTCTGGATTTGTAGGTACATTCTATTCATCAAAGCAATCACTAAGAAAAGACAACAATGATTGAAACAATCTATTCTAGAACTGACGTGATAAGCTTGTATGGTCTGCCTAGCATATTGCAGGTAAATTACGGTTCATGTGTTTTGAATTTTTAGCACTTTTGTTTGTATCCTTTATATCTACCCCTAAATTATGCAATTCCATGGAGCCCCATCAGTTTGTTGTTTGACTATTCGTTTCAGAGATTCATATTGTTCAATATTTGTTTATGTTTTCCATAATCTATCGATGACCTAAAAGTTGGGCTTGTGTTTTTGTTATGCATATCATGTATTTGATGAAATTCCTAGGTGAATGCACAAGTGATTTGTGATGTTATTTTACCTTGTGGTAGGTACTACCTTTTATTCTTCAACTCACAAATATGAGGCGCAATATAGTAGTAGCTCAGTATTTTTTGTAGTAGGTAAATTGTTATAGCGTGAAACAAAAAGGAAAGAAAACCATCACAAGATCAAGAATGATTGGATTTTTTTTTCTTCAGTTATATGTGATTTGATGATTTTTTATAAAAAAAAATTTATATGTAAACAAGGGATAAGGAAAAAAAGAAGGTTCTATCAATACATCCCTGTTTACAGTGAATATTTTACCTTTTGTGTATGTTTCAAATGTAGATAATGTGGGAAATGTATATTACTTAAGCGAACTGGTAGGTAAATTGCAAAAAAGAAATAAAAGCATCACAAGATCAAGAATGCCTAGAAGATTTTTTTTTGGTTTTATGTGATTTGATGATTTGTTATAAACATTTTTATATGTAAACTAGGGGATTAGGAAAAAAAACCTTGGTAGCAAAGATACCCCGTCTATGATGAATATTTTACCTTTTTGGTATGTCACCTACGTAGATAATGTGGGAAATGTAGATTACTTACGGGAACAAGTAGGTAAAATGTAAGCATACTGTAGTGAAGTTAAGGTGCAAGGTGTTTTTTTTTAATAGAAGTTTGACTATAGGGGTAATGATGACACTCGGTATGTACTTTTTCCATTTTCGGAGGTGGTATGAATATTGTTACTTTTGGACCCAACTTAGAGATGGCTTGCCTTCGGTAATGGAGTTCCCTTCTACAAGCAGAGTGAGATCTACAAAAGGAGAGTGCAAGGGTGAAGACCTTGGCACTGATGTGTTAACAGCCGAAGGCTCTCCGATGCTTAAGTTAGCTAAGTATGAAAGGAGTAAGTAATTCGGTAGAGTATGGGTACAGAAGCCAAATTACTATTACCTTTTGAGGTTGGACAAGGGCCTTATTTATAGAGGAGAAATGTGGGATACCTACTTGAGGTGATCTTTCGATGTGAGATTCATGGGCATCCTTTGTGGAGCGACCACGTGTCCTAGGGCATATGTGTGCCTACATTTGATACGATCGGCAAGGGTGTCAACCGAAGGCTGATCATTGGCTAAGCACTTGCCGATGCCCTTTGTTAGCTACCAAAGAGACTGGTCATATGTGGTACAAACAAACATGCACTGTAGTTTAGTTATGCAATCATTGTTTGCATGTATAGTGTAGAGCAATCAATCAAAAAAGCCTACATAATGATTTTTTTTTTTTTTTTTTTTTTTTTTTTTTTTTTTGTTAAATTGTTAAAATTATTTGGTTTGATATGGTCCCAAAATTATTTTTTAACTACATATGTAGTTTACTAATTGTGTTTCATAATGTTCTTTTTTATAGTTATATGCATACCTATTAAGTAAAAAATTGCAATATGTTTGAATACAAGTTTAGCTATATGTTAAATGATGACGTTGGATATGTACTTTTTATTTTTATTTTTGTGGGTCGTATGGTTTTGAACAGGAAAATGTTTGGGAAAATCTAATGCATATATGGTTTTGGGCTGTTTTTTAACGTTTTTAATGGTTTGAGGAAAACATCATTTTGGGGTCTTTTCAAGGCTTATGATGAAAGTTTGGTTAGTGAAAACATTTGTAAGAAGACATATATAGATATAATCAGAATAATAAAGTGTTTCAATGTTACAACAACAGAGTTCACAATAGTGATAGGCGTGAAAAATTCACTGGTCTTGATGTTGAGGAATTGCTTGGATGAATGGAGTTCGAAAGATAGTGCAAATATTGTTAAAAAGAACTTTACAGCCTCTGAAATGGTTAGTAGGCAAAATATTGGAGTTCCAATGCTTAAAGTAGTTGAAGGCAAACCACAACAAGAACACAATCATGCTTATAAGGAAAACACCATTTTCCTTATATGGAAAACACTGTAATTTACCTAAAGTATGCAAGGGAGATCACACAAGCTTGTGAAGTCGGCTCCGGAACCAGCAACTGAACCAACAAAAACATGCGTGGAGAAGCCTTGGGCCTTTCTCAGAAATTTAAACATGATGAAAACTCTATTCCCCAAATTAAACCCACATTCAAAACCTACGGAAAACACAATGGTGCATATTAAAACCATAATAAAAACCAACGGTAATTGATGACTGAATCCCATACAATTAGCTGAAGGAAAACCTAAATAAAAACATATAATAAATAGAAGAGACTCGAATACAATCTATTGGAGGGAAAAACCACAATAAATTGGAGGATCACATTTTAAAACCCCCCACAAAACACGTTGAATTGTAAATAGGGGCAATTTTGGAATCTAAAAAAATACAATAAATCTGGATCTTAGCTTGATCAGGTAACTTGCTGAGTGAGTCATGGAAAAATAAAGAGATAGATTGCAGTCAAGGAAATATCACTTCTATGGAGAAAAGCCAAATTTTCTATAAATTTTTTGGTGTATTCAAACTAGACTTTTTAAAATTAATTCACATTTGGATATATTCAATGATTTTTAAATATACCTAAATTCTTTGGGCTTTCAAGTTTCATAAATACGTATGATTTTGAATTGCAATCAAAGTTTTGGGCTATATAAATTTGTGGTGGTGTACACATGGTAACATCCAAATTTAAAGGTACAGTAATCAAAAGCTAGAGAGGGTAACTTATGTTATTTCATGTGTGGCAAATGAAGTAGTTACATTGAATTTTAGTATATTTTATTTTTTTGTAATTTTTTTAGTATAATTTATATTAGTTCTTTATTTGACTTTGCAATTAGTAGGATTTTAGAAAGAATATAAAAATTAAATTGAAAATTAGAAAGTGAGAATAAAATACATACAAACATAATAAACACTTAAAAATAAATTAAAACATGCATCCTTCTACTTATATCCCTCCAAATGTCACCCGCCACCAACACCCATGCCACTGCTATGACCACAATAAGTGACCCCAACCAGGGGCGGATCTTCAGAGGGACAAACGGGGTTGCTTGACCCCATCCCCATGAACCCTCGAAATTCTTCCTGGAAGCTTCGATCTTGACCCTATGGAAGGTTGGTGGGCGACGCAGAGTGCACACCAAATGTTTGCTGAAATGATCCAAAGAGAGGGGTCTTCTGTTTCTGTTTAGAAGTCTCGTGTCAAGGGAAGGCTGAGGTGGTTTGCCTTAGTGAAACGGTCCATTTCAATTGATTTTAATGGAACTGTGCGTCCCGTTTGTATTAAAAAAGGAATACCCACCATTTGTTTTAGGACAAACTACAGTAAACCCCCCAACCTATAGGGTCATTTACGAGTTTATACCCGATTTTGGGAACATTTATGGGTACATACACAACTTCGCGAAAACTTACAGATTGCCCCCTCCGTTAGCGAATCCGTCAGAAAATCCGTTAAATGCTGATGTGTCAAAAATGGGACCCCTTTTTTTGATGACATGGACTTCCACATGGACCAAAAATTAATAAAAAATTATCTACTTTTTAAAATAAATTTTAAAATATTAAAATTAGTATTAAAATTTTTTTAAAATGAAAAAAATAAAATCTCTCTTCCTCTCTCTCCCCGTCTCTTTCCCTTTCTCTCCGTCGCTGCACAGACAAATAGCTCATCTGAGGGATTCAAAGGAGATGAAATTGAACTTTCTGGATATCAGTTCGATGAATTCGAAGGAGATCAAATTGACCCATGGTTCAATTTCATTTTTTTACCTTTTTCCCCTTTCTCACTGAAAATTCTGAGGGATTCAAAGGACATGAGACATACCCAGATGCTGATTTTAAATCGGAACCCATTTTATCATCTGGGCTCTGTGTGGAAGGTGAGAAAATTGCAGAGTCTCCATCCCTCACACCACCATCCTTCCCAGTAGCTCCCCAGCACCACAATCAATACATAATAAAATAAAAAGCATATTAGGAAGTTCTTTGATACCAACACCACCATCGCCATCTTCTCTCTCCAGAAAAGTATCAAGACACCAGGCCACCCCCTCCCCTCACTCCCCAACAGATCTCCTCCCTCACCCTGTCCCACGCCATCTAGCCAATAGCTCTGCCATAAACCAAAAAATAAAAATAAAAACCCAACCCACCCAGAACTACTTCTATAAGAGGGTTTGGTAATTCACACTTGCCCATCATTGCTTATTTCAATTTTAGTTTCACTAAATTTTCATTCTTTATAGATTAAGTTTTTGAACAAAAGAGAAGAAATCTAGTTTTAGGCTACGGTGGTGGTGGAAGGGGTTATTAGCAAGACGGGGTGGATGGTTATAGTCGGGGTGGGGGGAGAGAGAGAGAGAGAGAGAGAGAGAGAGAGAGAGAGAGAAGGGTTGGTGCGGTGGTGTTGGGTTGGGGGTGGGGGTGGGTTGATATTGGGTAAAGGAGAGAAAATAGAGCAACGAGACATCGAGGGTAGAGAGGTGGTCGAGATGTGAGGCTAGGTTGAGATGGCTGATGAAGGTGGGGCACGGGGTTGCAACCTTCTAGTTTAGAGACATTTACGAAGGGTCATCAACTTGTTAGATGGGGCTGGGTTCACGGCCCAAAGAAGTGGGGCTGAGGATGGGGTGGGGGAGGTTGGGATGGGGTGGAGCTTATGGGTTGGGGGATGGGTGGCCTGAGTGAGCTTGGGTGGTGGTTTGGGTGGCTGGGTGCTAGGAGGAGAGGAGAGAGATTTTATTTTTTTCATTTAAAAAAAATTAAAAAACTGATTTTAATATTTTAAAATTTATTTTAAAAAGTAGATAATTTTTTATTAATTTTTGGTCCACGTGGAAGTCCACGTCATCAAAAAAAGGGGTCCCATTTTTGACATATCAGCATTTAACGGATTTCCTGATAGATTCGCTAACGGAGGGGGGCGATCTGTAAGTTTTCGCGAAGTTGTGTATGTACCCATAAATGTTCCCAAAATCGGGTATGAACTCGTAAATGACCCTATAGGTTGGGGGGTTTACTGTATTTTGTCCTTTGTTTTATATAAAAATAAGCTAGCACACCAACCATGTAGAAACCAGGCCCCAAAAAATAAGGCAGATTGGTTTAAACAAACCATCCGAGTTCTAGGGACAGCCAACAAGTCATCAACAAGTTTTGAAACAAATAGAAATTATGACTCCAGTTGGCTAAGTTCTTCTCGTAGAGAACAACTTTGTTCTTTGCTTTTTTACGTTGACTTATCAGAAATGCGGGAAGTTATAAATTGGGGAACTTTAATGGGGAACTATCATAATTTTTTATTCCTTATGTGTAAGAAAACACCCAAAGGGTGAGGAATTGGAATAATTCCAATATCCATGTGTAAGTAAACACAGGATAATAAGGATTTGAAATTATTCCAATACCCATTCTTGATAAATAAACATGCGGACTATAGAAGAAATAAAATTAAGGTGTTGAAAGGTACATTACGGGAAGCATTAGGACTATTTAGACGTTGGAGCTTTCAGAAAATGAAATGTTGGAATTGGATGCTTATAAAAGTAGAATATTAAAGCATCATTTTCAACCACCAACATTAAGAGCATGGTTGGACATTATTCCCAAATTTGATTCTCAATTATAAACCAAATCAAATGAATTAGCTAGCTTGAAATAGAAACACAAACAAAAACCAAAAAGGAAAAGAAATAGCTAGCAATCTATAACTCTATAAATGACGAAAATGACTTCCAATATCTTTTGCCTTCGAAGAAGAACAAGATCATTTTATCTTTCGTAAACCACATGTTTTAAAAAAAATTTAATTTATTATAATGGAAGAGCACCGAATCCTTAAACTCTGGACCACTTTGAAACCAAATTTTCTTACGCATCTTCCTAAAAAGATAATGTATTTATCACACTATTGGGTGTATGTATATTATCAACTCTTCTGATTTTAGCAGGTAACAAAATGTGGGCCTTAGAATGCATGGTTGGTGTGATGTAAGCCCAATCTTCAAATTCCAAGACATCGAAGTTTGCCGGACACTGAGGCTTAGAGAGCTAGCTATCTACATACAGAACACACAACGCAACACACACTCGTCAGTTGCAATGCATATATATAAATTTTTGCGAAACCAATTGGAGAGCACGGAGAGAGTGAGAGAGAGTGGCTGTGATTCGCTTCATCTCACCACTATTGTGTCGTCATCTGAATCCACTCTCTCTCTCTCTCTCTCTTCTCTCAACCACACCTATCTCTCTATCCCGTCCTCTTCACACTCCAACACTCACAGGGTTGGTGGATGGTGTGTGTGTTGTCCCATATAAGCAATCTCGTGTGGTTCTGAATCCCCAAAGATTCGATTCCCTTTTGCTTGTTCACAGATTCAATTTCTCATTTCTTCCCCTCAAAACCATCACATACAAGCAACACTCACCAAACTCATTTTTTCAATTTCTGGTAATCTTCTTAACCCACTTTTGTTTTTGTTTTTGGGTTTTTTGGGTTTTTGATATGAGCGATTCTGTTTGACGGATCTATTGCTTATTGGGTTTTGGCAGGACCATCTTGGGGTCTTAATTACTTGAGAGGTTTTGCTTTGCTTTTGGGTGCCACCCAGTATTTGTCAAGTAAGATTCTTGCCTTTTCTGCTTCAAAACTGTTAATTCTATCAAATGCAAATGCCTTTCGTTGCTTTTCATATGACTGACACTGAGATTGAACAAGCTGCAAAATGGTTTGGCAGAAGCATGTTAAAATGTAGGTTCCATTTCAGCCATGATCTTATTACTTGAATTGTCAAAAGAAGTAATAATATTTCTGTATTATTCAGTGTGCTACAAGTGTGGTTGATGATAGGTTAGGCGCAGAATCCTTTAATCTGCTCACTTTCAACCAACAATATGTCGTTAAATTTCTAACTTTGATGTATTACAATACATATTATTCTTTAATGAGTAAATTTAAATTTTGTTAACAGAAGCTTTGAAGATAAAATGGACTCTTTCTTGCTTAAAATGACATATCCTCAAGTGTTGAATATTTGTTGTTGATAACTAGTTGTGAATGGCAGTCTTGGACTGGACATGACCTTCAGATTTTAATGGGAAAGTAGACATTTAGGACACGATGCACAATTGAGCTAATTAGTTTACCAACGAGGGGTAGTGGAACTGGTCATGCCCATGGTTTGCTCCCATATGGTCCGAGGTTCGAAATCCCTGAAGGTATCTATGTAGCTATTTGCTAGTGTTTCCTGCCTCCAAAAGATTGTAGGGTTTGGCTGGGGTCCCCAGTTTCGAATCTGATCCAATAGTGGATTAGGGGATTTCTGGGTATATATAAAAGAATGCACAATTGAGGTAATTAGTTTTGCGCTTGTTAGTCATAGTTCATCCACCAAATGTTTTGGAACAAAATTATGATTGAGATCTTCAAGAAAAGAAAAATCAATTGTAGGTATTATCATTGCGTTGGAAATTTATCTACTGATTTTTATTCTCAGTGGTTCATAATTATTTGAGCATTATGTGTAGGGTTTCATCTCTGGATTCCTGTAGTTGAAATCTCTGTATTACATCTTTGGTCTTTGCTGACCAATATTAGGTATAGCAACCATGGATATTCCTTTTGTAAATCTGGATGGAACCATCAGCTGAAACATGCATTCTTAAAAACTTAATGGCATAAGAAGTATGTCAAACTTGTAGGCAAGAACGCAAATATCGGCTGATACACCGATATATCGGCCGATATATTGTGATTTTCAAGTGTCGACACCGATACTGGGGGGGTAAGGCCATATCTTTCCCTTTATTGGCGATATATCCCCAATAAATGTGATATCCCTGATATTTTGGCAACATCGTCGATATTTCCTGATACCCATAACCGAACCCAAAAAATTTTCAGAAATTTTGAAGCCAATTGATGCAAATTGAAACCCAAAAATCTCTGATCATTATTAAAATATGCAAATAAGTTAAATATGTGGAAATTAAAGCTTAATTGGAACACCTATGAACTACCCAGCCATTAAATCATACCCAGAACCCTATAATCATGTTTGATTATAGTGGAACTAGTTATGGAGCTTAAGATGATGAAACAGATTATGGACCTACTAGTTGGGTGAATCCTAACTATCCCATATATGGGAGGACAGTAGGGAGCTCAAGAGAGGCATATGCGCACTATGTTCAAACATGGCTTACAAACTGCTCAGGTTATATGACTTGGTATGACTATTGTATGAATCTATATGGTTGTTCCTCATTGTTTGAATCACATAGGAGATCTTCATTTATGTAGATGGACACTTATCTAAATTGTAATCCAATGTTGAAACAAATTATGGATTTATGCATGGTTTATTCATTCTAATCAATGTTTTATTTTCAAACTTTTCATTAATGCATATTCCATACCACTTATATTTTATCATATGTATATCTTATACTTAATAAATTTTGAGTTTTGTTTGTTCAATACATTCATTGATAATGTACATAACATCTATGAACGTTTTACTCCAAAATTCTGTGTTTCAAAGCCTATATCTATCATTTTTGTTGATTTTTTTGCAATACATAAAACGATAAGAATATATCCCCCGAAATATCCATAAATTGGAGGCTCGATATTATCTGCACGGCTGATATTTTAATCCCTGCTTGTAGGACTATTCTCCCTATGATTAATGGCCATGTTTTGAGAATTTTGTAAATTTCAGAACTTGAATAAATTTTCTTACCCCTTTTCGTTAAATTATTGTTATTTTTGCTCCCACTCTGAATGTCCTTAATTAAAAGGTTCCCTTCTTTGTGGATTGGATGCTAACCTTTAAATCTTTTAGGTCCGACTTGTACTAATAATGCAAGTGAGAGGTATTATTTGTGATACATATTTTACAGTTCGAATGACATACAGAGCCATGCGTTGAGCGAACAATTTTATGAACATGAAGTTTTTAAGTACAGTAGCAATCCACAAGTAGGTCACGGAAGGTAGGAACAAAGACATCTCTAACATCCAGCTACTCATAACACAAAACAATTATACAACAGTCTCAATAAAATGCAGCCCCCAATCTGCAAAAATGAATCAATTTCTCTAAACTGTTTCACAAACCGCACAATGAAGCACACCAACGAACACTATCCCATAAAAGACATCTATCTCCTCTCCGCATTTTCCTTCAAAATCCTAACATCCCTTTATACCAAAGAATAGTCATTACTTAATTTGGCTTTTCCCTCAACCAAAAGCACAATGTCTCAACAAGTAAAGAGGCACAAGAAATTTGAAACCACCCCAACTCAATATTGTTGTCCTAAATAACTTTTCCATGGCCCACGTGCAACTGGACAAGGAAGAAATGAATGAGCAATACTCTCAACTGCCTCATTGCACTGGATATCTTTTTCAGAGAAGTGATGATTGAGTATTGTTTTGGTATAAAACATATCAAATTCAATCTCTATTCTGTGAAGATTAAAAAAAAAGCATAAAAACAGTAGAAAGAAGTGAAGAAAATGAACGATTTACATTACTTAATGATTTGAGTGCATCGTTGCTCATGCTCGGCATGTTTTATCGTCAAGCTTAAATATATAAATTTGATTTAGCTGTAAGATAGGCTGATTGTAATTAATTGGTGTCATTTTAAGTTTAAGCTGCTCATAAGCAACTTGTTGATCTATCAATCTTCATTTTCATTTTTCTTGTTTTGTTTTATTGAACATTGTTTTAAAATCTTCTTCCCACCTCCATTCAATTGATCAATAAAGCAGGGATGAGGACTTGTTATTCTTTTTTCCAAAGGGATATTTTTATTTTTATAGATTTCTATTCTTTGTTTCCGATGAGGAGGGATAATCTGTTTATTTTTATTAAGGACTCTGTGATTAAATTTTTATGTTGTTTCTTAACATATTCATTTTCTACCTTCCAGATATGTTTGAAATTATATTTACGTGACTGGAGAAGAGCCTATGGTTGAACTTCTTTTTTCTAAATCTTACATAGTTTCAAAGTATCTGATTTAGTTGTCATCATGGGGCTGAACATTTTTTCTTGATTTTCCCTGAACTTATAGGACGGGTTGACATTTATCCATTTCTAAGGTTGAGTTTACCTTTCAGGAGTTGCTTGCCCCCCTCCCTTCCCTTTGTGAAGGAAAGAAATTAATGTTGTCCCTTTTTTCAGTACAAAAATGGAAGCAGCCCTTGGAAGTTTACTGAAACTGTAACAGACAACGTCATTCTACATATTATTCCTCTTTGGCCTGGTTCAAAATGCTCTCTGATCCAAGCGCCGACAAAAAATTTGGATGTTAACTAACACAGCATTTGTATGGCTCTAGATTAACAATTTTATAAGAATCATTGTCATCAAACTTATAATCAAAAGTCCTTGTATGTTAAATTCTAATGCCGAGAGTTATCTGTTTGGGTTTTCTAATTCTGAATATGCGTTGACCAAAAAATTTCTGAATATGTAGATGGGGGAAGTAGTCAAGGACTTGACCGCTGGGACTGTTGGAGGGGCAGCACAGTTAGTATGTGGGCACCCATTTGATACTATAAAGGTTAAACTCCAAAGCCAGCCTAATCCACTCCCTGGACAACCTCCCAAGTTCTCAGGTGCTATTGATGCTGTCAAGCAGACATTAGCTGCTGAAGGCGCAGGGGGTCTCTACAAAGGTATGGGAGCTCCACTTGCCACTGTTGCAGCCTTCAATGCTGTCCTCTTCGCGGTAAGAGGCCAAATGGAGACGTTGTTGAGGTCTCAACCTGGTGCCCCACTTACAGTGGGCCAGCAGGTCATTTGTGGGGCTGGGGCTGGAGTAGCTGTGTCCTTTCTAGCATGCCCCACTGAGTTGATCAAGTGCAGGTCAGTGTAGCTCTTCCCTTTAGAAAAGAAAAAGACCCAATCTTGTATATATTTTCAAAATTTTTACTTCAATTTTGTTTCATTATCATGCCTATATTCTCTTTGGCCCTTGCACAATATATCTGTAACCAATCTTAGAAAGTGTTTCGGAAAAATTTAACATAAAAATTGTTTTGTTCAATAAATATTTGGTTATTCACCTTAATCATTTCTTTTCCTTTCATTTTGATTTTAGCTTTTTGGCAGAAACTGTTAAAACTGTTCATCACTTTGTCATTTAAATAAGGAAATGAAAAGACCTTATCTATAAGCTGTTTGCGCTTCATGGTAGAACAGGTTGCAAGCCCAGAGTGCAATGGGAGATAGTGGCTCAGTGGGTGCCACAGTGAAGTACGGAGGACCATTGGATGTGGCCAAGCAGGTACTTAGATCAGAAGGGGGTACGAGGGGTCTCTTCAAGGGCTTGGTTCCTACTATGGCACGCGAAATACCTGGAAATGCTGCACTGTTTGGTGCCTATGAAGCACTGAAGCAGTTCTTTGCTGGAGGTCAGGACACTTCTGGCTTGGGAAGAGGCTCTTTAATTGTGGCTGGAGGCTTGGCTGGAGCAGCTTTCTGGGCCTCTGTCTACCCTACTGATGTTGTCAAGAGTGTAATTCAGGTAGATGATTACAAAAATCCAAAGTTTTCCGGCTCAATTGATGCGTTTAGAAAGATCCTGGCCTCAGAGGGAGTCAAAGGCCTCTACAGGGGCTTTGGACCAGCTATGGCTAGAAGTGTTCCAGCCAATGCAGCATGCTTCTTAGCATATGAGGTTACAAGGTCAAGTTTGGGATGATAATTTGGGGCATTTTGGTGGTTTTGAATTTAGTGATTTCAGTCATCTTCATTTCCTGATGCAGAAGCCATTTTTCTCTACATTGAACTTGTGGTTCGGTACTAGGATCCTCCACACTTTGTAATAACAGCTCTGTTGCCGGAGGAAACATTCTTTTACCAATCATATTGCGTTCACTGATTTTTTTTGCCTTCATGTTTTTTCTCAGAAACTCTTGCAGATGGTTTGCATCTGATGGATGTGGTAGATGCCAACCATACTGCTGTCACTTTGTATATTTATTTATTGGGGTGGGCGATGGGATGGAGGAAAATGACTGAAGATAAATAATAGAGTGATCAATCAAATTAAGCTTCAGATAATTACCACGACAATTTACAATATAAAAGTAGACAATTTACTGATAATAGCACGGAGACCTATTGTGATGAAACTCCACAACAGAATAGGTCTATTTGGCCTAATCTATTATGTTTGTGATCCAAGTGATTAAATTGGGGATAAAAATACTAAAGAGATCACATTTATAGACCATTTTATGTACCACCTTTGTAACATTCCTATATTATAAACACGTGGCATGATCCTATAAGTTCTGGTCCCACAATCTCTCCATGAGTTTTATGTTTCGATGTAGATTCCACCAATCGAATATAAGAATACAATAAGAAGAAAAGTTTGCCTTCTGTTATAAAAATAATTAGAGTATGAAAAGTACTCTTCTCTCAACTCAGTGTATTATCACTTCTCACTTCTCACTCTCTAGCAATGAAGAAGTGAACCCTTTATATAGGCTGAAGCACCCGTGATGTTCGGTTAGTTACAAGGGAAGATGGCAGACAAATTGCTGCATTCTTTATATGAGCTCCACCACTTTCTGTACAATACTCCCTCTTGGAGACCACATGTCCCTCGATTAGTTGCCTCGTTAAAACCTTGCTTGGAAAAACCCAGTGGGAAAAAACCTAAGCAAAGGAAAAAAAAGTACTACTTCATTTGGGACATAAGGGTAATGTTAAATGCACTCATGTTGCCTCGTTAAAACCTTGCTAAGGAAAATCCAGTGGGAAAATTCCTAGTCGAAGGAAAAAGAGTACAACGAGCATATGTCCTGTGTTAGAAGACTCTTGAATGCTCCCCTTGATTTTGCATGCTTCAATTTGATTGCTTGCAGAGTTGACGTAATCTGATACCATGCACTAGCTTTTGGAATGTACATTTTGGCAAAGACTTGGTGAAGAGATCTGCTAGGTTATCGCTTGAACGGATTTGTCTGACTTTAATTTCTTGACTCTTTTGAAGCTCATGTGTGACCATGAGAAGTTAGGATGGTTCTGCTATCCCGGATTATAAGTATTCGAATAAGGGTCCAATTTTTGTATTTGAAATGCATTCACTTGCTTTGCTTCCTCAACTTCTGGAAACGTTCCACTTTAAAGACAAAGGTGAGTAGGATGTCATGGACTCTTTCACAAATCCCACAAATCTCGGCATTCTTAGTCATGATACCCAATATGGCGTCCATTTTTCTAGCTAATGGTGCCCTTGGGATGAACTCGCTTCATATGCGGTATCTCTTGAATTTGTTCTACACTCCCATTGAGTGGAATTAGCGACTACAGTCTTAATGATTGTCGTAGCTTCTTCTGGTTATTTACCCATAATATTTTCATCGGCCGTGGAATCCAATCGATACCAGCAATCATAACTAAGATGATGCATAGAACAATAAGATGATTTTCTATAGCATGAATTGATGATGAGGGCAACTTATCAACAAAGTTTTGTATCTCTCACAAGCTTGAAACAAGGGTTCTCCTCTCCCTTGCTTAAAGTGAAATATTTGGTCCCTCAAGCTTTGAGTCTTATTTTGAGTATAAATTTTTTGAATATACTTGGCCGATAGTTGATCCCATGAAGTAATTGATCTAGCGGCTAGGGTATTGAACCATGTCTTGGCTGCACCTTCCAAAGAGAAGGGAAAAAATCTTAATGCGAATGAACTCATCAGAGACACCTTGAATATTTTGTGTGCATATCCAAGAAGTTATCTATGTGATCACTCGCATCTTGGTCCTCACTTGAAAATTTAGGCAACATACTAATTAGATAACCTTTTATTTTATAAGGAGATTGATTTTCAGGAAAAAAACTATGCAAGGTTGTTTAGTATTGAATTTAGGCATAGAAAAATCCTGTAAAGTTCGGGGGCCATTGTTGTTATTGTTGTTGTTGTCGCCCATATTTGCTTCCTCTTCTTCATGATAGGAAAAAGAAGTTTCAGTTGGAATTGAAGAGGAACCTTGATCTGATTTGTCTTCCTCTGGTTGCTTTCTCTTCCTTAAGATGCTCTCAACTTCTAGATTTAAATGTACTAACTCTCCTTTTTGTGATCGAAGTCCTTGCATGCATGAATGAGAAACTAACTTCGGAAAGGATTAGGATCCCAAATTCCTATAGGAAACAAAATAGTAAGTAATCAAATAAAACTATGAGAAAGTAAAAAAATAAAAAAATAAAAAATAATAATAATTAATTGGGATTAAACAATTCAATCTCCGGCACCGGGGACAAAAACTTGTTAATATGTCCAAATTCAACCTAAATTAATAGATTAAATTCAACAAATTTATCTTGCAAGAGTACATATCAATGGTTAGTATAAATATTCAAGCACAGGGTCGTTCCCACAAGGATTGAGTAAAATTCTAATTAATCGAACATAAAAGAAATGGAAACAAAGGTGGAAGATAGAGAGATGGTACACGGTAGTGGAAGTTTTAAAAAGTGAGTTGGCAAAAGTTGATTTTGGTTTAAGAAAACAAATAAAGCAAACAAGGAAATTAAAGGAAATATAAAAACAAGGATTTTGAAAAACCCAGGTGAAGAATATAATGCCAAATGGTGAAGATTTTAGACCTGAAATTGATATGGCAAACCCAGGTTTCAAAGTGGGTTTAAAGTTTGTAATTGCCGAGATGTTTAGAAAAGCTGTAAAGATATACTCTATTAATTGTCGAAGAGGGTTGATATTTATGAATAATGACCATAACAAAATAAGAGTAGTACGTGAAGAGGGCTGTCTTTTTGTTATCCATGCTTCAAGTGTTAGTGGTAGCACTTATCTGTAGGTGAAAACCTTTAATCCTACACATGTTTGTAGTAAGGGGAGTAAAAATATACATGCCACTGCTAGCTGGTTGGCTGAAAGATATTCTGGGCAGTTAAGGCTCAATCCAAATTGGATTGCTTCTTCTTTTGCAGAGCAAGTTCACCAATACTATGGTTACAGACCATCTAGAGCACCTGTGTACAGAGCAAGAACCATGACAGTTGACATTGTAGAGGGATCTTACAGTAAACAATATGAAGTATTGTGGGATTATTGCCATGAATTAAGAACGAGAAATGTGGGAAGTACAGTGATCATTAAATTTCAAATGGAAGGCGATAAGCCACGGTTTCAGAGGATTTACATCTGTCTTGCAGCATGCAAGAAGGGGTTTTTAGATGGTTGTAGGCATGTGGTTTGCTTAGATGGGTGTCATGTCCAAGGGCCTCACCTTGGGCAAGTGCTTTTTGCAGTGGGAGTTGATGCAAACAACGGAATGTTTCTACTTGCCTATGCATATGTAGAGATTGAGAGTAATTCAACGTGGCTGTGGTTTTTAAAATTATTGAGTGGTGATATGAATATTAGGAATAACCATGGTTATGTATTTATGACTGACAAGCAAAAAGGTTTAATAGATGTTGTGGATGATCTATTCCCTCATGCAGAGCATATACATTGTTTGAAACATCTGTATAGAAACTTCTATTTGGAGTATGGAGGTCTTGCTTTGAAACATCAAATGGAAGCAATTACTCGGGCCACAACAATGCCATGGTTTAATGCAGAGATGAGAAAGATGTTGGAGTTGTCTAAACGTGCACATGATTGGCCTGCAGAGAAAGATCCTAGGCATTTGAGTAGGGCATATTTCAAGAGTGATTCCAAGTGTGACATGCTTATGAACAACCTATGTGAGGCATTCAACCGTAGCATAATGGATGCCAACATGTTTTGACTATGCTAGAAAGAATTCGATTGTATATAATGTTGTTAATGGCTGGAAGAACGGTTTTCTGTGAGAAATGGCATGGACAAGTTGAGCCAAGAATTAGAAAGACATTAGAGAGAAACAAAGGAAAAGCGCAGTGGTGCATTCTTAAGGCTACTGGATAGAATAAGTTTGAAGTAATGCACCATAGTGGCCGCAACTTTGCTGTTGATTTGAATGCCCACTCTTGTTCATGCCATGCCTAGGATTTGAATGGAATACCATGTTTGCATGCTTGTGTTGCAATAAGTTGGTTTCATGGAAATCCAGAGGACTTTTGTGATGCAGTGTACAAGAAAGAGGCTTATTTGAGAGTCTATGAACCAACGATTATGCCTATGACTAGCCAAGATCAGTGGATGAAGATTAATTTACCTCCATTACTCCCTCCAAAAGACCACAAGTAGTCTAGTAGGCCTAAGAAGAACAAGCTTTTGATGAGCCTAAACAACCTGCTAATCCATATAAGCTTCCTAGGTATGGCATCCCTTTAAAGTGTGGCAATTGTGGTAGAGAAGAGCATAATCGAATTAGTTGTAAGGAATGTGTCATTATCCAAAATTGCTTTACATTTAAATCTATTTGATATGATTTCTGACTTGATGACTTTGCTTATTAGGAACCTAGAAATCCCAACATAAAGCCTATTAGGAAGAGGAAAGTTGCCAAGGAAAAACTTCCAGTAAGTGCCACGGTTTCAACTATGTGTTCACCATTCAGATTTTCATATCATACCTACCTAATTATTATTTGTTTTAGGTAAGAAGGAGAGATGGTGGAGAGCAAAGTAGCTGACAACAAGGTATGCAACTAAGACAAAGGAAACAAGCCAGTGGTTCCCAAGGGCCTTCTCAATTCTAGGCATCTGAAGTAGCCCAGGCTTCTCAATCCCAACCATCTCAAGCAGCTCATGCTTCTCAATCCCAACCATCTCAAGTAGCTCAGGCTTCTCAAACTTGTGATTCATCCACAATTGGGTTGTTGGTTTGTGGGATTATTGAAGCCTGTGATGGTTTTTGAGTTTGTCAAGGTTTTTGAGTCAGGTACTTAGATGTAATTGACCATTTGATAGGTAATGTGATGGTTGGAACCTGTTTTGGTGTTGTGCTTATATTGATTAGGTATTGAGATGTAACCATTTGATATGGCTTGAATAAGATATGCTTATGAGTAACTTGTTTTTGGTATCCAATGAACAAGATATGGTTGTAACATGTTTTTGGTATGATGCTTATAAGTATGTCACCATTTGTAGCCTATTATTGGTTTCCATTCATATCACAGTACAAAGAAAACTCTAAACTCTAAACAAATTACAATGAACTAATGCTTACTGATAAAACTCAAAACAAATTACATTGTTTTCCCACCAAATTACATTATATTACACCAACTGAACTATTGCTACATTACATTAGCATTTGTTCTCAAATTACATTGCTTACTGAACTATTGCTTCTGGTCTCAAGTAGCCCAGGCTTCTCAATCACATTACACCCACCAAATTACAAAATATATTACTCTTAATTCCTCATAATTCCTCCTAATTCATCTTCATGGCAAACACCACCAACCAAGAAAGCAACATAGTAGCTCCCAATATTTTTGACTTTGCTCGAATCTTTGCATTTTCCTTCTCTACCCTATCAATCTTCCACAGCAAACCAGGTATCAGAGACTTTAAATGCTCACACATTTTTGCATCAAACCACTGAAAAAACCTACATCCTTTTTCACCACTTCCCTGTATCAACCAAGAACAATGACTGAAAATTTGATCAATTTGATCAATGACTGAAAATTTCATCAATAAGAACTCAATCAATTTGTGATGCCCAAACAATGACTGAAAATTTGATCTTAAACATTCTTACCTTTAACTTTGGGCAAACTAGAAATATCCGCCTTGGGTTTGAAGTGGTCCATGAAGTCTGCATCCGTGCTAACGTCCCATAATGACACCATTGGGCATGCCTTGCTTCTCCTGTTTCCATCTCTTCTTCAATTTAGTCAGTATTCACACAAAGAAGAACCAGCTGAACCTCCAAATATGAAATCCCCCTTCCCCTTTTCCCAAATCCGAACTCCACTAAGAGATTCATAATAGCCAATCTTCTACTCCACCTAAGAGTTTTATAAACCCGTGATTTCTTCTCTAGATTCTCCCAAAATCCGAACCCCCACCTCAGATTTTGATAAGCCTTAGCCTTCTTCTCCAAATTTTCCCTTCTCACCCAAATACCCACTTTCCCTTTTTATGAAGCTGACCCTTATTCTCCAATGTTAAGCGATTGAAAAGAAGTGGGGCCCAAACCAAGTAACGGAACGTCTCTTAATGCTGATAGAATGAGTAATGTGAGACAGTTTAAAAAATTGTAGGGGGTATTTTGAGACGTTTCAAATAACAGGGGGTAATCTGAGACAAGGTTGAAAGCACAGGGGGCATGTACATAAATAAGCCTTTATTTTATACATTATTTCTAGGTTTAAGTGCTATAGTGCACACTGAAACATTGGTCAAATTTCACTTTACCCCCTCGAAGTAAAATTGACCCATTTTGTCCCATTGACCAAGTTTTGATGTTCCAAATTGCCCCTTATCATTAACTCCATCCAAAAGTTTTTTAAGTTTGATGACGTGGTAAGGGTGTTTTAGTAATTTTGTTCACTTAGGTCATTTACTCACCAATTTGCATAGGTAATGTGGCAAAATGGAGCCCACCTCCACATAAAAACATAAAATATTCTTAATCTTTTCAAATAATTAAAAGATTTAAAACGTATTTAATAAATTAGTTCCACCTTTATCACAGCTCCCACCGGCACCACCCCTGCTCCTCCCCTAACCCCCATCCCCCACTAATATTCCTTCTCTTAATAAATTAGGTGTATATGAATATTTAAAAATAAGAAATTTTTAAAAAACAAAAATTAAAAAACCCATCATCCCTAAGCTACCTTTCCCATGACCATCACCGCCATTGGTAGACTCCAGCTTGATTTCTTCTCCCTCTTTCTCTCCCTTTCCTTTCTCTGTGATCTCCCTCTACCTCTATATTTTCTTCTCCGCAACAACCTAGACTACCCGCAGCATCAGTGGCAACCCACACCTCACTCCCACCCCTATCTGCAACCTAACCCACCCCTATCTTTGCAAATTCAAAAACCAAAAAATTGAAAGAAAAAAAATATTCATTGTTTTTGTACTCGAAGGTTTACAACCAAATTTAATGGAATTCAGTGAGATGAGATGGTAGGTTGTAGTAGCTGGAGGATCGACAGAAAGAGAGGGCAAGACTCATTTGGGTTGTCGACGACTGTGAGGAGGGTTGGGGCTGCTGGGTTTAAGGGCTGGGGGTGGGAGTGGGGCTTGGGTTACGGTTGGAGGTGGGGTTAGTCTAGGTTATTGGGGAGAAGAAAGTGCATAGGGGAAAGGAAGAGTGCAAAGGAAGGAAAGAGAGATAGAGAAGAAATCGGGCTCAGGTCTACTGGTGGGGGTAGTGGTCATAGGGGAATGGGAGAAAAGAATTCTGGGAAGAGGCTGGGATGATGGTTTTTTATTTTTTATTTTTTATAATCTATTTAGTTAAATTTTTTATTTTTAATTGATTTTAAATATCTATGAATATTTTATTACACCTAAACACAAAATAAATAAAAAATGGTGAGTAAATGACCTAGGTGCACAAAATTACTAAAACACCCATACCACATCATCAAACTTAATGGACTTTTGTATGAAGTTGATGATAGGGGGCAATGTGGAACATCAAACCTTGGTCAAGGGGGTAAAATGTGTCACTTTAACTTCGAGTGGGTAAAGTGGGATCTAACCAATGTTTTGGGGTGCACTGTAGCACCTAAGCATTTTTTGAGAAATGGAATTCATTCATAGAATCAAAGTAGCGTACATAGAACGACACAAAATAGCGGCATCGTTAAAACCTTCATGAGGGACAAACCTCAAGGTAGGAAACATACCACACATGTCATAGACTAACAAGAGAGGCTAAAACAATCACACAAGACCAATGCTAGAGTAAAAATAAAACAGCAAACTGACACATAGACCTTTAATGCAAAGACCCCCGATGAGAACACTACAACACAATCCAACTGTCAAAAGAGTCCTTCTATGAAATCATAGTCCTTTGCACAACCACAAGACAATGAGAACATCTGGTAAAGAACATAATACGCCAAGAAGAAAGAAAATAGTCATTAAACATACCATCTCTAGCCACCTCTAATAGCAATTAGCGATGAAAGAAGAGAAATCTGTAAGGAGCAAAACAAAGAAGAGACTAATCACAAACTGACCAGGAAAGAAAATAAATAAAAAAGCCCTCAAGCACGTCATATCATCTCAACACTGACAAAGAAGCCTTTTATAAAAACATAGTCCTTGAGACAGGCAGAGAATCAAAGATCAGTTAAGGGGAGAACGAAGAAAACACCACGCAACAATAACAAAACTGGCCTAGCCACTTAACCTGAACAAGGGGATCAGACATAAGAGCATTCGCTAGATGCCAAGCCCACGAATGCTGCAAGAACACATTAAGGAAGGCGTCCAGGAGACTCCACTGGGTCAGTCTCCATAGGTTTATCAAGAAGGAAAACAACATCACTTAGATTCACAGTTCCAATCACAGAGTAACCAACCAAACCCTTAAGGATGGGTAAAAGGATGGTACCCAACAACCCTAGTTGCCAAAAACCTAGCCCAACACCATGAAAAAGAGGATCAAAGCTATAGACCCTAAGTGAAGAGCCACCCACACCAAATCTCTGGACAATAGCCTGTCTTCTCTTGAAGGTAAGGCTTGAGATTGTAGATCGAACAATGGAGGGGGCGTGAGGAAAGCCACATCCACTGTGACCGCTGACCCCAACGAAGCAGCTTGCACCATGTTCGTTGTTGACTTGGAGATTGTCGGCATAATAGTAGGAGCTGACATGCTAAAACCACTATACCAAGGCAACCACCAAAGACGTTGACTCACCGAGGAGAAAGAGAACAACGAAATCAATGCTGAGGATCTGAGAGAGACAACAAGGAGACCAGCACCCAAGAGTCGAAAAGAGGAGTGAAGGCAGCGACTCGACTTGGAAGAAAATTGACTCGACGCTGTCAAGTCGAGGAAGGGGATGACGGCGGTTGAACGTGGATGAAAAGGAGCGTGGTTTGGCCGAGGAGGGGATGATAGCTAAACCTGAAAAACCTAAACCCTAATATTTAACGCACAACTCTCCTTACGTTGCGAGAGAGTTACCCCTTGTTTTTTCACTAGCCGAGTAATATAAGCCTTATATAAACTATAAATTATTTTGCTTTTGGATTTTATGAAAAGAGGAAAACTATAATTTTTAATAACATCAATCATAGAAAAAAAAAAAAAAAAAAAAAAAAAAAAAAAAAAAAAAATACGTACACAAAAAAAAATAAAATTATGTACACATATAAGATTGTACACATTTGTTGTGTAAAGTGGAATGGACTCCTTGCATTTAAGGAGGTGAGTATTTTTCTTATTTATATATTGTTAGTTATATATATATACCATTCTCAATGTTATATAGATTTTTATGCAATTATTCCACAAAAAAGTTTGATTTTAGTTCAAAATGATCAATAGGCATTCTATTCTTTTCTTTGGTGTAGCTGGACCATCCTGAATTTGAACCAGAGACCTTGCCTGTGAAGAAAATCAACGGGTTTTATTACAGGAAATCTCATGATGTTCATATTGTTATATTATATGCCTTTGCATCTACATTGGGTAGACCTCATAAAATAATTGTTCTATATATGAAATAGATCCACATTGCTCCATGGCGGATTCAGGAATTTTCATTTCGGAGGTCAACATGTAATAGTTAAAAAAATTTATATACTCAATAGACCCATCAAAATGAAACGATAATATTCTAGTTCATAGTTAATAGATAAAACCATACAAAATACGCATGTTCATTATCAAAGATAACTGCATCAACTCCAAAAAATTAGAGCAATCATCTTCGTCTCCCAAGCGTCTCGTCCTATTCGACGTAAGAGTTGGCATATAGTAACGTAATCCTGCTTATTTTAGGGTATTTAAGTCACTTTTGAGGTTCGTTGTGGTTTTGATTTTGGGCTTTATCTGCATTTCTTTTGGGCTCTAACTCTCAAACTTTAGACCCTTATGAGTACTGTCTTAAGGGGAGCTTATTCAAACAAATATTTTTTCAATACGAAAGAGTTAGGTTATTCTTGCGAAAACTCTTTGTGGATTGAACATCTAAGGTTTTTATCTAAATTGACCTTATGTCCCTTCATGCATTCACATCATACATGAAAAATTATTTTATGTAAAAATGTTGGCTAAGTATGAAAAATGGTTTTTCAAAATAATCATTTTCTTAAGATAATTTTTGGCGGCTTTTATTCCTTACACATAAAATAAGAAAACTTGATTTTATGGGATTTTATTATGAAGTATATATTGACTTAATGAGCTATCATTTTTAGCATAAATCTTATTTTGCACTAAAACCTATTTTTCATATTTTGATTTGGTGGGTATTTGATTTTTTAGTATTTTTATTTGAATCCAAATGGGAGGTACTTTCTTATTTATATTGTAAACTTAAATAAATGGAGTAAGATAAAAATAAATGAAAGTGAAAGGACAAAAACATTTAATTAAATGTTGAAAATGGAAATAAGGTGATTTGTACAGCAACAGTTTGTGGGCAATTTACAGGGGTCAACATCTTTGCCTTCAATTGTGGATTCCGGTCTTGTAGGGGTGAATTGACCCATCTATGTGGATACGCTCCTCCATATATACGTGTACTAAACAAAAGTGATTTTCCTTTAAGGTACTGATTTTCCCACTCCCTTTTTATCCACTTATACTCCAATTTTTTTAAAATTGTATGTTCTCACTCCTCTTTTGTTCACTTACACTCCCTTATAGTAAAAATTATTAAAAAACAACAAGGACTTTAGGTAGATAAAACGGGAGTGGGAAAATCACCACCCTTCCTTTATAATGGTACATTGTCAGCTGTACATAAGCTGTCTAGAATACTTGAAATATACATTATAATTCACTTGTCAGCCAACGAGGCATCATTATATGCAAACAGTAGGCCGCAAGAATATATACATATGTATATTATGTATAGACGTACGGGTCATTTTCAATTTGATTAATTCTAGCTGGAAAATCTGAAAGACAACAATGTAAAACAGCCCTCCTAGGTTTCTCAGCGAGAAAGTGCAACAAGATAAACGAATACCAGCTATCCTTTGTTTTTGTACCCTCAAGATAGAAACTGCAAGGGATTAGCTGTACTTGCGCATGCGATAGAATTTTATGAGAATATTATCCTTTTCTTTTCAATTTCTTAGCTACTTCTCGTCGAGGTTTTCAAGTTCCTAGCTGCTTTGAGTCTTTATGCCATAAATGATGGCTTCTCAATCATCAGTAGTAATATTCATGATGATGAAATATTACCTTCTTGCCATTCTTCTTCTGTGTATGCTGCACATGAGATGCTCTACAGCCCAAGTAGCTGGATATATTGGAAAGGAGAAGGATGCTCTCGTTGCCCTCAAGAACAGTTTCAACTATCCGTACCTAAACACTAACTGGACGGGCCCTCCTTGCTTCAAAAGTGAGCCCTCAACTTGGTACGGGATTCAATGTACTGGTTTCAATGACATTGGCCACGTGACTGGAATTGTGTTGAAAAATATGCCACTGAACAGAAGCATCGACATCTTCGCTTTCACCGACTTGGCTGAGTTGTCTGCCCTAACCTTGAAGAACAACTCTCTGTGGGGAAACATGATGGATTTTTCCCTCAATCCGAAGCTGACGCATATCGATCTTTCGGGCAACATGTTCCGTGGGCAAATTTCACCGTCGCTTTTGAGCCTTGGGACATTGGAGTCATTGCAGCTTCAGGATAATGGATTCAGCGGTCCAATTCCTTGGTTGAACCAGTTAACCTTAAAAATATTCAATGTCTCAAACAACAATGTCAATGGATCGATTCCGATGACTCAAGCTCTCCAAGCATTTGGCTACGATTCGTATTCTGGCAACCCAGGGTTGTGCGGCAAGCCTTCTCCCATTGCTTGCAACTCTTCTAGCATTGATGACAACCCAGGCACAGCTGATTCAGTTGATAAAACTCCCAAGAATAGGAATAAGTTCAGTTCGTACTTGTTTCTTTTGGATGTTGCTGGTCTTGTTGTTCTAATTTTGCTTTTCATTCTATATTACAAGAAATCGCATAAGCTGAAGAAGATGTTCAAGGAATTTGAGAAAACTAAATCATCAGCATCAATGATCAATAATAATATTGATCAGGAGGAAAAAAATGATGTTGGCGACGATAGAACGAAGACAGAAGGTCACCGGGATCCAATAACGAGACCCAACGCCGCAGCACAAGAACATCAAACTAAGAGAGGTAAGCTGGTGTTCGTTCGTCCCCCAACATAATAGTAAGGGGTCTGTTGGGAATCAAATGACAGATCATCAAATATTTGAGATGGAAGATCTGCTAAAAGCCTCTGCCGTAGGGTTGGGTAAGGGAATTTTTGGAAATAGCTATAAAGCAGAGATCACCACGACCAATAACGCCGTGGCGGGGGGCAGGCAAGTTAAGCAAGCCGTGGTTGTTAAGCGGCTGAGGGATCTGAAGCCACTAGTTAACGAGGAATTTACAGAGCCGTTGCAGCTGATTGCCAATCTGAAGCACCCCAATTTGCTGCCTCTTCTTGCTTACTACTTGTCCAAGGATGAAAAGTTGCTGCTGTATAAATACGTTCCCAACGGAAATTTGTTTAACCGAATGTTTGGTACGTACCTCTGATCTGAGTGAGTTGGAATTAATTTGTCACTTAATGTGATATATATGTACACTTTGCTTAAGTAATATTTACGAATTACAAATAGTAAGTTAGACCAGTTGGCCAAGACAATGTGTGCACCCCGCTTCCTTGCACTCCAGTTGCCCTCTCTGTACATTAGAGTAGTTTTGAATATGACCTTACTTAGGAATTGTTATTAATTTATCTATATGCAGGAGAAAGAGGCCCGGATCGCATTCCATTTCGATGGAGCTCAAGGCTATCAGTTGCTCAAGGTGTTGCCCAAGCACTGGAGTATCTCCACCTCAAAGCGACATCGTCAGCTCAAAGCAGCAGCAGCAGCACTGCTCCTCATGGAAACCTAAAGTCGTCAAACGTTCTTCTTGACGAGGACGATAGGGTTCTTGTTTCTGATTATGGCTTCACTTCGCTCGTTGCACTTCCAATTGCAGCTCAGGGTATGATGTCGTACAAATCACCTGAGTACCAAAAGACCAAGACAGTTTCAAAGGAGTCTGACGTTTGGAGCTACGGAAGCCTTGTTTTGGAGCTCTTGACGGGAAAAATCTCAGCTTGCGCAGCCCCACCAGGTGTGAATGGCATAAATCTCTGCAGTTGGGTTCACCGAGCAGTTAGGGAGGAATGGACGGCTGAAATATTTGATATGGAATTAACACTAGTGCGCAGAAGAGCCAACAGTGGGATGCTTAGACTGCTACAAATTGCAATGCGTTGCTGTGATCCGTTGCCGGAGAAGCGACCGAAAATGAAGGAAGTGGTGAGAGAGGTGGAAAGTATAAGACTTCCTCAATCAGACGTAGATGAGGATGAAGACTTGTCATTGGATCCGTCCTTAACCGATGATTCCCTGTCATGGACTGCCCCCCCTGCAAGAGTTAGCCAATAGCTTGGGACATTGCTACAATTAAACCAATGTTTTGTTTATTGTATCATAGTTTTTCAAATGTGGACAAATTATAAGGCATATTTGTTTATATACCCCTAAAAGTGTATTTGAGTCTAACTTTGCCCCTTGAAACTCATTTTGTCTCGCTTTACCATATTTTTCACGCATAGTTGTCTTACTTTATCCCAATTTTCACAAAATATTATATAAAATTAAAAATTCAAATTTTAAATCAGATTAAATATTAAAAACATTAATATATTTATAATGTTTGGGAGATGGGTAAGGCTCAAGGCGAGGGTTGTGGCGGGTGGAGGTGGTTTGTGTAGTTGGAGAGAAAAAAATAGATGGACCATTAGTAGAGAGACAGACAGAGACAGAGAGTGGGTCTAGGAGGGGGGGCTAAGGTTTGGGTCGCTGGTAACACATGGAGAGAGAGAGAAGAGGAGGACAGGAACAAAGGGGAGATGGATGGGGAGGAAAGGGGACGGGTAGGGATGCATTGTTTTTGTTTTAAGCTTCTTTTTTCTTAGAACTTAATTTTCTTTACAAATTTTTTATGGATCTCAAGTTTCAAATTATTTTTAATATATTTATGTTTTTAATATTTAATCGGATTTAAATTTAAAATTTTGAAATTTGAATTTAAAATTAATATTTTTTTTTAAAAAAAGGGGTAAAGTGAGACAAATATGTGTGAAAAATGGGGTAAAGTGAGACAAAATAAGTTTAAAAGAGTAAAGTGAGACTCAAATACACTTTCGAGGGGTATATAAAAAATATGCTAAATTATAATTATATTTTTTTTTTTTTTTTTTTTTTTTTTTTTTTTTTTTTATTTAAAAGGGGACAGCTGGTGGCAAGCCACGGCCATCCACCCCTTCCGGGACCCAGAGACGCTATAAGGAATTTCACCCCGTCCCTGGCCCTCATCGCTTGATTCACCAACGACAGGAATCGAACCCAGGATCTCCCGTTTACATAGGGCCTGGGAAACGCCCTTACCACTGGGCCAACCCGTGAGGGTTATAATTATATGACATTAAAATTGGCTGCACTAGACAACCTATATATATACTTCGCAAGTGCTAATTATTAGTTACTAAGTAAATGCGAACCACTTTTTGGATTGAAAATCATTCCCTCAAATTCTCGCAAATCATATATTGTTCAGTTACCATTGTGATAAAATAAAAGGGATTTTATAGAAATTTCACTTAAACTTATACCTCAGTTTTAATTTGTCACATTAAAGAAATATTTAAGAGAAATGTCATCTTAATTTTTCAAAATCCATGATTTGTCATCTGATTTTAATACCATTCAATTCTCCATCCATTTTAAGGGTATCTTAGTCTTTCCATTTTCAAGGGTATTTTTAAAATGAAAAAATCATTATAATTTTTTTTATATATCTTTTACAACAAATAAATAAAAAAAAAAAAAAAAAAAAAAAAAAAAAAAAAAAAAAATCACTTTCCCCATCCCATGTGTGCCGCCGACTGTGCCAACCAACCTCGCCCACCTTGAAATCCATTTCCTCTTCCCTCATCACAACCCCTTCCTCCTTCTCTATCTACCATGAAACACCTACCCTCCTCCACACACAAATTCCCTCAATCCACCCAAACTGAGTCCACCTTTTTCTTCTTCTTTTTTCTTTTTGGTATTTTTTCCATTTGCATATTGAAATTTTTTCCATTTTCATGCTCAATGAACACCATAAAACTTTTTATACATGCTCAGAGAGAGAGAGAGAGAGAGAGAGAGAGAGAGTTGAAAAATTAAGATGATATTTCTCTTAAATTTTTCTTTAAAATGACAAATGGAAACTGAGGTATAAGTTATGGTGACATTTGTACAAAAATCCGTAAAATAAATAGGTTGTCATTGTTTATGGAACACAGTTTTAAAGAATAACAATTTTTATAATAATAGGCAAATGACTAAATGATTCCGGACACTGTACCACAACTTCTTATAGATAGCACGAAAAAACACTATTGAAGATTATAATAGTGAATATATATAACTTACTTTTTCATGCACTATAATTTGAGTTTGATCTTTTGAAAATGTTCTCCTGTCAAATTGTCTAACATCAGAAGGTACTTATATTGTAAATCTGAAGCATATTCAGCAACATGAACATCCAAACTAAATTATTATTCATGTTTATTATTTTATAAGTCTATTAATAGAACATTACCCTTTATCTCTATTTATGAATTACAAAATCAAATTTTGTATATATTATTTTGCAATTTCAACTTTGGCCTTGTCGAAGTCGCGATCTGGTTCTTTGTCTGAAACGTCGCGCCTCTACCCGGATAAAGACTTGTTTGAAAGATTATCCAACGTCTCTTTCAGAAAGTCAAACTGAGAAAATCGCATGGGGTGTGTCGATAACTGAGCTTGAGTCCTTGTGCAATTTTTAGATTTTAATAAAAAAATCCCTAAATGGGCTTTTGTCCATTTTCGGTCCAAACAATTACAAAAACCCCAAGTTTTTGGGCTCAAGTGATGCGTTTAGAAAGATCCTGGCCTCATCTAAGGCCTTTACGAGGGCTTTGGACCAGCTATGGCTAGAAGTGTTCAAGCCTATGCAGCATGCTTCTTGGCATACGAGGTTACAAGGTCGAGTTTGGGATGATAATTTGGGGCTTTTTGGTGGGTTTTGAATTTTGTGATTTCAATCATCTTCATTTTCTGACGCAGAAGCCAATTTTCTCTACATTGAACTTGTGGTTCGGTACTAGAATCCTCCATACTTTGTAATAACAGCTCTGTTGCCGGAGGAAACATTCTTTTACCAATCATATTGCGTTCACCCATTTTTTTTGCTTCTTGTTTTTTCTCAGAAACTCTTGCGGATGGTTTGCATCTGATGGGGTGGGCAATGGAATGGAGGAAAATGATTATGAAGATAAATAATAGAGTGATCAATCAAATTAAGCTTTAGATAATTACCACAACAATTTACAATATAAAATAGTGCTGCTATTTCCACTCACCTGTCCTATTTTTCCACCCACCTTATCGTCCCACCCGCTATGTAAATTTAAAAAAACACGATCCTATCTTTCCACCCATCATTATTCCTAAAATACCCTTTAATTATAATCTTAAGAGTGAATTTCATATTTTTGCTTGTTTTTATGTTTGCCGTGCTGTGGAGGAAGAGGGAGAAGGGTGGGGTATGCGTGTTGTGAGGGAAGGGGTTTGATATTTGTTAATAATCTTTTTAGTTTTTTTATATAATCATTTTCTTATGTTTTTTAATTGGTTTTAATGATTTTCCCCTAAGCCCTTAGAAGTCATTTTATAAAGGGATAAATTGGTCTTTAAAATTTACAAGATTAGATGGGTGAAGAAATAGGACAGATGGATGGAAATAGCAACACTCATATAAAAATACATGGTTTACTAATAATAGCACGGATATCTATTGAGACGAAACTCCACAATTGAATAGGTCTATTTGGCCTAATCTATCATATGTGTGATCCAGGTGATTAAGTTGAGGATAATAATACTAAGGAGACCACATTTATAGATCACTTTGTGTACCACCTCTGTAACATTTCTCTAGTCGTAGGACTGTCTGATCTTATCCTATATTATAAACACGTGGCATGATCCTATAAATTCTGGTCCCACAATCTCTCCATGAGTTTTATGTTTGGATATACAGATTCCACCAATCGACTATAAGAATACAATAAGAAGAAAAGTTTGCCTTCAGATAAGTGTCTTGTCTTTGTCTATTTTATTATAAGCGTGCTTTTTTTTCTTTCTCCATCTAATGTGTTTGTCGTGTGTGGAATCATGAGATTCCCACTATGTTGATAATCTATTGAACATGAACTGAGACTTTTGAGCATCATTTGCCAAATCAATCGTGAACAAATGAGCTCTATGATGAAGCCTCATGCAGTTTGTATCCCTCTTCCAGCTCAAGGCCACATAAACCCAATGATCAAACTTGCAAAGCTTCTCCATTTCAAAGGATTCTATATAACCTTCGTCCACACTGAGTTCAACTACAATCGCTTACTTCAATCTAGAGGCTCAGATGCTCTCAACGGCGCAGAGGATTTCCAGTTCGAGACTATATCCGATGGCTTGCCACCGACGAACCAACGTGGGATACTTGACCTCCCGGAGTTGTGCAGAGCCATGCCGGTTGAGGGCCAGCGTTCATTCAGAGACCTCATCAAAAAACTCAACAAGGCTTCGTCGTGGGCGGACGTGCCAGCTGTAAGTTGTATTGTTTCTGATGGAGTGATGGGCTTCACCTTACGAGTTGCTCAAGAATTTGGCATCCCGGAGATGCTTCTATTTACACCTAGTGGTTGTGGTATGTTGGGGTATCTACACTATGAAGATCTAGTAGAAAGAGGTTATTTTCCATTGAAAGGTATCCTTCTAGCTAACTAGCATATGGTGATTCCTATCATGAACACTTTTTTATTCAAGCAAACAAGTTGTCTCTATGAAGATATAACTTACTTTTTCATGCTAATTTGAGTTTGATCTTTCGAAAATGTTCTATTACCAAATTGTTTGACAACATAAGATACTTATATTGTAAATATGAAGCATGTTTAGCGACATGAACATCCAAACTAAATCATTGTTCATGTTGATTGTTCTATAAGTCCGTTAATAGAACAACACTTTATCTCTATTTGATGAATAACAAAATCACATATTTTATGTATCATTTTGCAATTTCAACTTTGGGTTTGATTTTGGAAATGCACAAATGAGAGGTGCAGAATGCTTTAATTATGTGCAGATGATAGCGACTTAAGTATTGGCTTTCTTGATACCGTGATTGATTGGATACCCGCAATGGAAGGAATTCGATTGAAAGATCTCCCCACCTTCCTCCGAACAACGGATCGCGATGATACAATGTTCAACTACAACATACAAGCAATAGAGATTGCCATGAAAGCTCAAGGTGTGATCCTCAACACATTTGATGAATTGGAGAAAGAATTCTTGGATGTGATCACAACAAAGTTCCCCCAGCTCTACACCATTGGTCCACTATCACTCCTTCAACACAACATGTCCACAACACATCACTTGGACTCAATTGATTCAAATTTGTGGAAGGAAGACAAGAAATGCTTGGACTGGTTAGATAAGAGAGAGCCTCAATCAGTGGTGTATGTCAACTATGGAAGCCTAGTAATAATGACTAAAGAACAATTGGCTGAGTTTGCTTGGGGACTTGCCAATAGCAAATATCCATTTTTATGGGTCATTAGGCCAAATCTTGTAGATGGTGGAGAAGAGATTTTATCAAATGAAGATTTCATGGAGGAGACAAAGAAAAGAGGCTTGTTTTTGGAATGGGGTCCACAAGAGGAACTTCTTAAGCATCCTTCAATTGGAGGCTTTTTAACACATTGCGGTTGGAATTCGACTTTGGAAAGCATTTGTGAAGGAGTGCCATTAATTTGTTGGCCTTTTTTTGCAGAACAACAAACCAACTGCTTTTATTTATGTATAAATGGGGGTTTGGGATGGAGATTGACACAAAAGTGAAGAGAGAGAAGGTGGAGAGGCTTGTGAGAGAGTTGATGGAGGGTGAGAAAGGGAAGAAGATGAGGGAAAAGGCTATGGAATGGAAGAAGAAGGCAGAAGCAGCTACAAGAACTGGTGGATCTTCTTACACTAACTTTGATATGTTGGTTAAGCAGCTCAAACAAGAGCCCATTGGCTTGGAGAACTTGTCATAGAGTTATTGGGGGTATGCAGCTTTTATTTTATTTACATATAAAAAATTGTCATTGTGCAAGGGGCTTGTAGCTCAAGTAATTTAAGAGCATTTACTCATGCACCCGAAGTCTTAGGATTGATTTTTCACTCTCAAATATCACTTGTATAAAATAAAAATAAAATATTATCTTTGTCATCCATTCAACATATGACGTTATCAACCATTCTTGCACAATTTAAGAAATGGCCCCAACAATTGGTGCAAAGTGGTCTCATCTCAACAAGAAGTGTGTACCCCATTAGACTGTTGACGTCATTTATAACTAGTGCAATGTCAATTCACGTGCCATCATGACAAAAAATCATCATTAAATTCCTTAAGGAAAACCCATACTCAAAAGGAGTGGTTATTTATTTTCATTTTTATTTATTTATTAATTAAATTTTATATTTTTAACAAAAGACATATTGTGAGGTTCTTTTAATACAGGGAGTGCTAGGTCCTGGTTAGTGGGGGAGGGGGCGGGGCGGCGGGTGGGGGTTACTCTATCAAGAGTTGGGTTTCTTCTGACTGCTTTTGGTGGGAGGGGTAAGGTACTTGGTTAGTTTGATGACCACACTATATGTGTAGATTGCCTATTTATTCAAATGATGATGAAATTTACCAACTAGTCATTTGTCTAGTTATAGTTGTCTCTACTTGTTTGGAGGACGTTTTCATGTTGTTCAACTCACATAAATGTGAGGACGGAATATATTTGTGATCAGTTTGATGCCTAATTGTGGCGAGCACATTGTAGTGATGTAACTTTGTTTTGAATGTATAAACATTCTATTATGCGGCGAGCCCATCCAAAACAAAGTTATGTCAACACAATGTGCTGGCAACCAATAAACAAGTATCATACATCAATAAAAACAAAAAAACAAAAGCACCCGTTGAACAATATTTGATGCATGTCGACCATCTCGTTAATTTATTCCTAGCAATAATCGAGGTGATCGTTTCATGAAGAAGCGAAAATCATACCACCTGAATCCTGATCCATCCTCTCAAAGAATCATAGATGATATGAACTTAAGCTATAGGCTATATGTTTATGCATCACATATTTATGCAATGTGTTTTTTTATCACAATGTCTAGAATGATTTTCTATACATGTCTTGAAATTTGGATGGATTTTACATTGGCTAGCAATCTTTATTAGACAATAAATATCTTTTTGAGGTAACTTTTCCAAGTAATGTAAGTATGAATTCATTTCGTCGGTCGAAGAAGATGGTGGAAGAAAATCATGAGAGAGAAATGAAGGAGAAGGAAAACGATCATCTTCTGCTTGCACTACACCTTGGATATATAAGAATTATCCGTCCAAGTATTATTACCATTTGTACTCTCCATTGATTCCTCCATGTTGGTCTTTTGAACCTTTTTTTGGTTTTTGGTTTTTTTTTCAATGTTAAATAAATAAATAAATAAATAAATATATATATATATATATATAGACACACACACACAATAAGACTTTTGGTATATACCCTTTTGCATACTTCAATCGTTTAGCAAAGTTTTTTGAAAAAAAATTAACCAAAGTTTAAAAAAAATATATGTACTCTCACAACTTCATAAGCAAAGTTTAAAATATATATATATAGCTTCGGTTGATGGATCCCTCAAATAAGCTTATTTGAGGGACACCTTTGTAGAACCCACTCCGCATTGTATTTCACTAATCCAAACAGTCTATTTTGTAGATATTTATTCAAAGATCATCTCTACAAAAAAAATACTTGAATCCTATATCATTTGACTATTCAATTAAATTATTGAAATTTAAGTACTTTCTTGAAGCACCGTGTTCATTGATATTGTTGGTCTTAATTAGATGCTTGAATGATTTACAATTTGTTTAATTTTTTTTCAAGGATGATCTATGGATGAAGACTTGAAAAATAGACTGTTCAGACCGTTTAAAAAAATTCATAAGGTACCCTAAAGGGTGTCCCTCAAATAAAATTATGGGAGTTTCACTAAAACACCCAAATGGGGGTTGAAATTATAAAAAAACCCAAGCACTATTTAAACATATAAACACACCCAAAACCCATCATTACACACACTCAAAACCCATTTATAAACACACCCAAAAAGTTGACTTTGAGGTTGATTTTGGGTGTATTTTTATGTTTAAATAGTGCTTGGGTTTTTTTATAAATACATGTTTAGAATTGGGTTTATTTATAAATTTGTATAAAATTATTCCCTCAAATAAGCTTATTTTATGGACAACCTTGTAGGGACAACTCTATATTGTATTTCACTAATCCAAACCATCTATTTTGTAGATATTCATTCAAAGATCATCTCTAGAAAAATCACTTGAATTCGATATCATTTGACCACTCAATTGAATTATTGAAATTTTAGTACTTTCTTAAAGCACATTCATTGATTTTGTAGAACACAATTAGATGTCAAAATGGTTTCCAATTTATCTAATGTTTTTCAAGGATGATGTATGAATGTGGATTTAAAAAACATATGGTTTGAATTGTTGAAAAAAATTTCTTAGGGAACCCTAAAGGGTGTCCCTCAAATAAATTTAATTGAGGGATCCCTCAATAGAAGGGGAATATATATAAATTTGCTTATGAAATATTCTCTAAAGAGAGTTTGAATGGTGAAAAGTGTTTTTACTCTTTTTATTTTTTATTGGTACGACAACGAAGTTGATAAATAAGTAAATCTTTGGTTAAAAGGAAATCATAATTTCCTTTTTCAAAAAACATATTATAAGTTTTTATGACTTTTGATTAACCATAACAAATGTTTATCAGAAACGAGGTTTCTTGTTATAAATAAAATGAAGAAAATAGAAGAAATTCTAAATGTGAACTTTTTCTTAAAACAAAATGATTATTTAAATATATATTATAAATTAATTAAAAAATTTATTTTTTACACAAGCAATATTGAGGAGGGAGAATTGAACCTATGACCTCGAGTGTAAGGATAAATGCATTTAACCATTTGAGTTACAATTTACAAATCTATTGCTCTTATGGTGTGGACTTTGGATAATCAAATACTGGGCCTTCAGCCTGTTGGACTCAATTGACTGAAATAATTATTTTATACTTTTTTTTTAAATTCATATAATTCTTTTATTTTGAATTTCAAGTTTCAAATAAAGAGCCAAAAAGAAAAGCCCTAAGAGCAAGTCCAGCGCACAACCCAAACTGGGTGAAAGGCTCCCCTGGCGAGCCCGAGATGGCTCCAACGCAGGGCCCTTAGCCTGGTTTCATGGTGGGTCCCACGAGCCCGAGGAAGCCCAAGGGCAAGTCTTGCCCGGGCTAAAGCCCGAGTCTGGTGACGTCAGCACTGGCGTGTGTAATTCACGCGCCAACGGTAAAAAAATTTGACTTCCGTGCGCTGGCGTCAGCGTGACGCTAGCGCTGACATCACCACCTGACAGCCTCCAACGGGCGTTTGCCACGTGGCGCAATAGGGACTCTCGGATGGCTTTTTTTCCAGAAATCCGACGGTCCTCGTTTTTTTTAGCTAAAAAAATTGCAAAAAAAATCGAAAAAATTTTGAAATTTTTTTTAAAAAAATATCCAAAAATTCTGTATTTTTTCTCTATAAATACCTAACCATTTTATTTACTTTCCACACTAAATCTTCATACAATTTCTTCTCCATCCAATATTTTTTACTCTCCACTCACATTATTCACTTTCCACACCAATTCTCCATACAAACTTTTCTCCTTCCAATATTTTTTTATCTCCACTCACATTTTTCACTTCCACACCAATTCTCCATACAAACTCTTCTCCTTCCAATATTTTGTACTCTCCACTCACATTTTTCTACTACTTTCCATTTGTATAAAAAAACGAATGGCATCTTTTGTCGAAGTCGGAGGCTCGTGGTCAACGAATGAAGATATTGCGTTGTGTCAATCTTGGGTGAACATTAGTCATGACCCTATCACGGGCAATAAGATGAAGTTTCATCACATGTGGAGCAAAATTCATGGAGAATTTTGTCAAAGATCGGGTTCTATTTGGACCGAAATGGCCTTGTCTAGTAGATGGAAACTTCTGAATAAAGAGTTAGGGAAATGGAGAAATGCCTTGACAAAAGCAAAGGCGAACATTCAAAGCGGTCAAATTTGACCGATGAGGTAAAATATTTATAATTGCCATTTTAATCAATTCAATGTCACTTTTTTTTATTGCATATTCTATTTGTTTTTCTTGCATAATTTTTTTTTCTTGGTGCACCTTTAATTTGTCTATATTTTCTTGCATAATCAATTTTATTTTTTCATTTCAAAATAGTTTATATTTTCTTGCATAATAATTTTTGTTTCTTGCACTTCCATTTATTTATTTTAATAGATCATACAAGCACAAATGTGGTTCGGTGCCATGGGGCAAGGCAAAAAATGTTGGGAAATTGTGAAGGATTGTTCGATATTCAAAATTATTCCCACCGGTCCGCCGGTTGTGATGAATGAGACGCCACTCCACGATTCGACATCAACCGATTCTCATTGGACTTCCCAATGGAAACGGAGTCACCATTTGTGCCACGTCCGCCGAGACCTATTGGGAGAAAGGCCGCAAAGGCCAAGAGAGGGGGCACTTCGACCAATGAATGTGTACAATTATTGGAGCAAATAGCTAAGAGCACCTCACTAAGAATGGAGAGAGACTTGAAAAGAGATGAAATGGACGTGGCACGAGAGGAAGCATTTGTTATTCAACAGCAAAAGGCACAAGAAAAAGACATAGAGGATAGAGAGATGAAAATCATGGCCATGGATACGAGCCATATGTCTCCCGAAACAAAGGCCTATTGAAAGCTACGACGAAGAGATGTGATGAGAAGAAAACTTTTCCATGACGACGGACCTAGCAATACGGATTGGTTAAATGATGAAAACCATTAGGTTGTATTGAAAAACCTTTGCCATATGTTGTATTGTTGTATTATCCTTTAATTTGTTGTATTGTTTCCTTTTTATTCAATAAAAAAAGCATTAAATAAAATGACTATTTATTAAAAACATTTGAGCATCAAAACAAATATTAATTAAAAAAAACCTTCATTTATTGCAAACAACACACAAAACAAACCATACATAAAAGCATAATAATAATAAAAAGCATAATTCCAAAAAACACCACACACAAAATAAAGCATAATTAAAAACAAAGCATAATTCCAAACAAAGCACTAATCTTGACTTCATCCATTGTGATTGCCTTTCATCTCCCACAAGTGCTCGACCAAGTCACCTTGACGTATCTCGTGAACATATGAAGATTGCATTTCTTTATACCGATCAATCATGGGGTTGTTGAATTGACCATCCCGAAGTAACGGTTCGGGCTCCAGTGGTAGTCCATTTGGTCCAATCGGCCTTTCATATATTCTTGTCAACGATGTGTTCATTGGATCGGGTTCAAACACCTCTGGAGCATCATAGTCATACTCATCCTCCACAATCATGTTGTGGAGGATGATGCAAGTCATCATAATACTGCGCAGCACCTCCTCATCTAGCATCCGAGCAGCACCTCTAATAATTGCCAAACGAGCTTGCAAGATACCGAAACACCTCTCCACGTCTTTCCTGTAACCTTCTTGAAAGGAAGCAAAGTTTCTTTCCTTCTCGGATTGGGGATTCGGAATTGTTTTCACGAATGTCGTCCACCTAGGATAAATTCCGTCGGCAAGGTAGTACGCACCAGAGTAAACGGTATTGTTGATTTGGTACGTGACCTGGGGGGAATGACCTCGCAATACCTCGTCAAACACCTGGGATTGACCAAGGACATTGAGGTCATTCTGAGATCCGGCAACCCCGAAGAAGGCATGCCAAACCCAACAATCGAATGAAGCTACGGCCTCCAAAATTATACTTTTGTGGCCCTTCTGATTCCCGTACTTTCCTTGCCAAGCAGTAGGACAGTTCTTTCATTGCCAGTGCATACAATCGATGCTTCCAATCATTCCTGGGAAACCTCGAGCCTCGCCTTTTTGTAGAAGCCGTTGCAGGTCTTTTGGCGTGGGTTTGCGAAGGTACTCCCTCGTGTACAAATTTTTCACTGCATCATAGAATCTCACCAAGCACTCTAGGATAGTAGATTTTCTCATCCTTGCAATCTCATCCAACTGCTCTGCAGATGCCCCATAAGCAAGCATCCGCAAAACAGCTGTAAGTTTTTGCTCCGGGATAAGACCCAAAGCTCCAACAGCATCATGCTTTTGAATGAAGTATGTGTCGTAATTACAAATATCATGCATGATTTTTTGGAACAAATGTGGCTGCATTCTATATCTCTCTCGAAACTTAGAAGCAGGATATAATGAATTTGGGATAAAATAATCCTCCATGAGATTCTTACCCCGAGACTCCCTATGTCTGTCCACATTCGGGGCACGACGACGACGGTGGTGCCTTGATTGATCCATCATACACACCGCTGCTGCAAGCATTTGTTCCTCTTCTTCATCGGCGTCCCGATCTTCTTGAGCACGTCTACGCCAGATTTCTTCCCTTTGTTTCTGTTGCCTCTCCAACACCCTCGACAAGTTTGACATTGAGAGTAGAATGTGTTTTCTAAAATATGAGAAATGAAGGAATATATAAGAGATGGTGTGAGAGGTATGAGTTGATGGTGTAGTTTTATAGAAGGATTTAGAAGATAGAGATGACACGTGGCACAATTTTAGAGGATGAAAATCTTATCTAAAATCTGAGATTATAATTTTTTTTAAATATCTGAAAATCTTATCTGACATGGGACACGTGGCACAATTTTAGAGGGTGAAAATCTTATCTGAAATATGAGATTATAATTTTTTTTAAATATCTGAAAATCTTATCTGACATTGGACACGTGGCACAATTTTAGAGGGTGAAAATTTTATCTGAAATATGAGATTATAATTTTTTTTAAATATCTGAAAATCGTATCTGACATGGGACACGTGGCACAATTTTAGAGGGTGAAAATCTTATCCGAAAATTTAATTACAAAAGATTATCAAAATTAATGGTTTAAAGTATAAAAAAATAGGAAATAAAGTACAATGAATATTAATAGTCTTAGACTTGCCCTAAACTTTGCCCTCATGGGTGGAACCACAAATGCAAAGGCTGACACTATTTACGTGAATAGTGGCAGCCCTGCTTGCCCTTGCCTTAGACTTAGCCCTTGTGGGTGGAGATGCTCTAATAGAGAAAAGTTTCAGCTGCCTCCTTGGGGTCCCGCGGCCTCCATGCCTCTCCTCTCCTTCCCTCCCCCACCTCTGCTCCCTGCCCATCCACTCAAGGCCCTCTATTTTGGCTAAGTTTGGTGCTTGCTTGACTATCTTGGTGATGACGTGGTAGCAAATTAGCCCTTATTTACGTAATTTGTATTGCAGTTTTATTTTTTATTTTTTAGGTTTTGTAAAAATCAACTCATTTTCAATTTGTTGTGTGTTTGTAATCTACTCTTATAATTTCTACTTGTGAGTGTTAAAAGGTTGTATTTACAGTTGTAATTTGGTGCGCTGAGGTATATATCTGAATTTTTTTAAGGTTTTTGGCCAAAATTTCTTAGGCCATATGTGCCTGTAAATGGATGTACACTTTGTGGGTTTGCCGTTGCCCGTCAGTATTTCTCCGTATTAATTTACTACAATTTTCTTTATTTCCTATAATTACTGATTTACAGTCCCATTTTCTATCTTCTACACTCAGACAAAAAGAAAAAAGAAAATAAAAAATTGATCAAAAGAAAAACAAAACTGTCAGCCATTTCTAATACCAAGTAAAAGACAAAAAGTGGGCCACCAAATTTCTAATATATTGTTTAATTTTCAATCCGGATCCGGATGGAGCCAACGAGGCGGATATCCTATAGCCGACATGTATATTTGGAGCTGAGTAAATTTTTTATTTTTATTTTGAGGGTTTTTGTTTTTTTCGTCAAAGACAAATTTTGGCGATATTTTCCCTTTATCAGCTCAATTTTTTTGAAGATATCGCCTTTGTATATATTTTATTTTATGGTTCTTTTTAGCAATGACTTTGTTCCATTCTGCTTTCTGAAAGTTCAATTTGGTTTTGAGCTCTTCTAATCTTTCAAAACATGTTGATGTGCCTTATCATGTCAAGTTTGTTAAATTTAAGGACATTTTTGCCCATTCAAGTTAGGATTTGGTTTGACCCGCTTAAACTCTAATCGATTGATTCATTCTTCCTTTAAACCCTATTTTCACACATGGAAGCCCCACTTTCACCATTTTCATTCTTTTTTCTTTTCATTTACAATATGATTTGAAGGGAAGAATTGGTGAAGGCAATTAGGGTTTAAGTTGGTCAAATTAAATCCTAACCTTTTTTTATTAAAAAAAAAAAAACAAAAAATAAACTTCATTAGATAGTCTTCAACAATACAATCAAAGACTTGATATCTAAATGATCAATTCCACGAAGACAACAAACTAACATGCTAAAAACAAGACCAAAGCGGACAAAAGCCGCACTAAAACTACTAGCCTACATGACCACAATTAAGAATAATTCCAAACAAAGCCCACAAACCTAACATAACCGAAACCCTAAAGCCACCAAGGAGCCGAAATGAACTCTACCACCACTACCTGAAGAAGCATTGTCTCAACCATACCCACCACCAAATAAAATCTTGAAGCGATAATAAAATTTGTAACAGATCCAGAGAAAACAAGGTTTCCAACGATCTACCTGCGCATAAGAGCGAACAAATAAAACAAAACCACAAACCTGACAAAGAACAATTGGGTGATTTGTAGCGAACTTCATGGGCTACACGCAGTATCGCCAACTTATTGACAAAGGTCTTACACCACTCAGAGGTACATGTTATGTTACATGAAAAATAAAGGGCACGAATTAATACAGTAAAATGAAATTTTGTGATATTATTATTTGTATTGGTTTGGTTGTTATATGAAAAGCAATTAAATTAAGAGACTGGCAAACTATTATATTCATCGTTCACCCTCCTTTAGAGCATCCACAATGGGCTCTTTAAACCACCTCCTTATACAAATTTTAGGGAGGATTTGGAAAAACACATATTCAACTATGCTCCCTATCCACCTCCTAAAATAGGGAGACCTCTAGGAGCTCCTAAATCTGAGGAGAGAAAAAAGACTCCTAGTGGCTCTCTATAATTTAATGTTGCTTTATTTAATGAGTATTTCAAACTTTTAATTAATATTTATTATTTTTTAATAGAGATTGACCAATTAAAAAAGAGTTATAGCATTTATGACTCCCTAAACTAGAGAGCATGATTGGAGTTAAAATTTAATGGAGAGCTCCTAAAATAACTTTTATATGTTTTTAGCTAAAATTTAACTAAAAAATAGAAAGCATGATTGTGGATGCTCTTATTTTTTTTTATAATTATTTTTCATCTCATTTATCCATGCAATTTTCATTCACAAAAGCCTTATGAAAATGAGATTGAAAACTTAAAAAGATAAGATAGGAATTACAGAGAATGATGAGTATTGGAGTACCAAATAACTACCGAGGAGGTCTGGACGCTATGTGTTTTCTACTACTTCTCCCTGCTTTCATCCTTGTTTATATTGGCATCCTCACAGCAATAACGTATGGATCCGGATGAGAGAATAGCTATATATATATATATATACAGTTCCTTTCTATTGAGAGATCACTCAAATAATTTTATTGAGGGACATCCTTTAGGGTCCCATACAAATTTTTTTTCAACGGTCCAAACCATCTATTTTTCAAGTCTACATTCATAGATCATCATTGCAAAAAATTAAACAAATTTGAACCATTTTGGTACAATTGTGTCATACAAAATCAATGAATACGGTGCTTCAAAAAAGTACTAAAATTTCAATAATTCTTGAGTGGTCAAATGATATCGGATTCAAGTGATTTTTTTGTAAAGATGATCTTTGAATGAGTATTTACAAAATATATGTTTTGATTAGTGAAATACAATACAGAGTGGGTCTTACGAGGGTGTCCCTCAAATAAGCTAATTTGAGGGATCCCTCCTCTGTATATTATATATATTGCTTTTATTGTTTTCTTGTTAACTTGGGGAGTGATATGATTCTCATCTGACAAATTATGTGATGCTCTGAAGCCCACGTCGGTAATTTGTTGGGAAAGATGGCCATTACAATATGTACAAATATTAAGCCTATAAGAAAGAATTCTTATATCTTTGTTATTTAATTTGGGATATAGAAATGGTAAGCAGCTATGACAAATTCTATGTATGCTTTTTCAGGTGAGGCTTCTCTAACAAACGGGTATTTGGACACCACGATAGACTGGATTCCAGGACTGAAGGATATTCGTCTGAGAGATCTCCCAAGCTTTGTACGCACCACAGATCCAGAAGACATCATGCTAAGCTTCGCCATGGGGGAGGTAGAAAGAGCTTCCAAAGCTTCTGCTATCATCTTAAACACTTTTGACATATTGGAATATAAAGTGTTGGAGGCTCTTTCTTCAATGTTTCCTCCAATTTACACCATTGGCCCCAATCACTTGATTGTGAACAAGATTGTTCCCCAGAACGCTATATCGTCATCGATCGGTTCCAGCCTTTGGAAAGAAGAGCCTGAGTGCCTACAATGGCTGGATTCCAAGGAACCCAACTCGGTGGTTTATGTTAATTTTGGGAGCATTACTGTTATGACACCCCAACAGCTTGTTGAGTTTGCTTGGGGTCTTGCTAATAGCAAAAAGCCCTTTTTGTGGACAATTAGGCCTGACCTTGTGAAGGGTGAAGCTGCTATTCTCCCATCGGAATTTGCCCAAGAAACGAAACAAAGAGGTTTGTTGGTCAGTTGGGCACCACAAGAGGAAGTTCTGAACCACCCATCTATAAGAGGATTCTTGACACACGGTGGCTGGAACTCCACCATTGAGAGCTTGAGTGCTGGAGTGCCAATGGTTATATGGCCGTTTTTCGCGGACCAGCAGACGAACTGTTGGTTCTCGTGCACTCAATGGGGAGTTGGCTTGGAGATTGATAGCAATGTGAAGAGGAGTGAAGTGGAGAAGCTTGTGAGAGAATTAATGTCGGGTGAGAAAGGGAAAGAGATGAGAAAGAACGCCATGGAGTGGAAGGGAAAGGCAGAGGAAGCTACTGGTCCGAGGGGTTCTTCATTACTGAATTTGGAGAAGTTGGTTAAAGATGTACTGCTGCAGCCATCAAAACCCTAGTAGCTAGAGAGATAATCAACCCTGATCCAGGGGGTTCTATGTTGTTATTTCCTCACACCTCAGCTTATGTTTTATTTTATTTTATTGTGGAATCAATTTTATTTTATTTTTCATTTTTTATCAATGGCTGAGGGCTTTAAACTTTGCAATTTGTTTTATAGAAAAGTAGTGTGTGCTCCCGTACTTACAAATCAGTGGCAAGTATTGCCATCAATAATCTTCGATGACCATATGTCTGAACCAATACATGGCCCCCAACTTGAGCCCACTTTTCATGATATTTTAAGCAGTTTGCTACAATAATTGTTTTGGCATTTGAGTTGCATTTTTTCTTGCTTGTTTAGTATGTCGTGTGTGAGAGATATATATGTGGACGTGATATCTTTGAAAATGAAGGCTTGAAATTTCTCAATATCTCTTGGAACTCAGGGCCATTGAGTCCAATCCACTAATTCAGATGGGAACAATAAATCTACCAAAAGAAGTTAAAACTAGATCATGGTGGTAAAAATATCTTGAATATTATATATGTATACTGCCAAGAGAACAGATGTAATGCAGATCTAGATATGCTATAAAGTTTACATCTCTCGTAGTATTTTGAATCACACACACAGTACCCTAAGAGCTAAGAATTAAGATAGAAAAGAGAGAGAAATAGAAAATGGATGGCGTTGGAGTAGAAGTTAGCAAGAGGCCTCATGCTGTGTGTCTCCCATTCCCAGCTCAAGGTCACATAAGCCCAATGATGAATTTAGCAAAGCTCCTACATCACAGAGGCTTTCACATCACCTTTGTCAACAGTGAGTACAACCACAAACGCTTACTCAAATCCCAAGGCCCCTCCGCCCTCCACGTCTCCCAGGACTTCTGTTTTGAAGCCATTCCCGATGGTCTGCCCCCTACGGACGCTGACGCTACGCAAGACATCCCGTCTCTTTGTGACTCCACAAGCAAGACTTGCTTAGGACCATTTCGCAACCTGCTTGCTAACCTTAGTCTTGACAAGGCCCTCCCACCGGTGACCTGTATTGTCTCCGATGGTGTCATGTCATTTGCCATCAAAGCCGGTGAAGATCTTGGAATTCCGGTGGCGCTGTTCTGGACTACAAGTGCATGTGGCTTCATGGGCTACACGCAGTATCGCCAACTTATTGACAAAGGTCTTACACCACTCAGAGGTACATTTTATGTTACACGAAAAATAAAGGGCACTAATTAATACAGTAAAATGAAATTTTGTGATATTATTATTTGTATTGGTTTGGTTGTTATATGAAAAGCAATTAAATTAAGGGACTGGCAAATATTCATCGTTCACCCTCCTTTATTTTTTAATTATTTTTCATCTCATTTATCGATGCAATTTTCATTCGCAAAAGCCTTATGAAAATGAGATTGAAAACTTAAAAAGATAAGATAGGAATTACAGAGAATGATGAGTATTGGAGTACCAAATAACTACCTCCGAGGAGGGTCCGGACGCTATGTGTTTTCTACTACTCCTCCCTGTTTTCATCCTTGTTTACATTGGCATCCTCACAGTAATAACGTATGGATCCTGATGAGAGAAGAGCTATATATATATATATATATACAGTCCCCTTCTATTGAGGAATCACTCAAATAATTTTATTGAGGAACATCCTTTAGGGTCCCCTACAATTTTTTTTTCAACTGTCCAAATCATCTATTTTTCAAGTGTACATTCATAGATCATCCTTGCAAAAAATTAAACAAATCTGAACCATTTTGGTATACAATTGTGTCCTACAAAATCAATGAATACAGTGCTTTAAGAAAGAATTAAAATATCAATGAATGATTAAAACAATTATATAAACAGAATTTATAACAATTTGTAACACAGAATACAGTATATTAACAATAAATAAAACTGACTTGAATTTGAGATAGAGGCTTGCAGATTTGATGCAATGTCCTAAAGACAGTAATTTCACCCCTTCTCGGTGCTTGAAGTTCTACAGGTGACTGCCTCCCAGGATTCAACTATTTGTATTCTAAGCCCTAGCACTTGGACTTAGAATCTGGCGAACGTTGTTTGTTTTCCTCTCAGACAATATGAAATGCTTGTAGAATGCTTTTTTCTGTGTTGAACGTATGAGGCCTTGTTTGATTTAAATAAACTTCTGAAACCTTATCAGAAGAGTCACAACTGTTAGAAAACAGTTAATAAAACTAATCCGAATTAATAAAAATTATTAATTCGAAACCAAAAAATAATTTTAAATCTGAAAGTGCCCAAGGCCCATCTTTTTGACCATTAAATATTATATATTTTTATATAATATTCAAAGCCCAAATTGATTTTGAAGCCCAAATTGCTTCCACTTGGCCTACTTCCATTTACTAAGTGTGGCACTTCCACACTTATAAGGACCTCACTTTTTCTACTTTCTATCAATGTGGGACAAAGGTTCTTGAATTTAATTCAAACTTCCAACAATACCCCACATTTGAATCGAAATTCTAGACCCCACATTTGAAATGTGATACTTTTACTGCTAAATGTATGTAATGCATTTGAGAGGAAACAGATGTTATATACATCAGGAAAAGTGTCTTTTGGACTTGAACTTACCCTAGTGAAAACATATCGGATTTACTTGATGACGCAGTGGATATAGTTGATCTTGAACTGTTCACCGTTATAGTAAACCTAGACAATATGTCTCACACATATAACATCTTAACAAACGTTAGTTCATACGTTTTTGTTCATTTTGGTCCTGAACATATCCCAGGTTTCATGAGAGCTTTAGAGAACTTAGCCTTTTATTTTCCGTTCTCATAAATGCGACCCCACATTTACTCCCATATAGGTGACACCAATTAAGAGTTTTCTGCCTAAACTCCTCTTAGTAAGATATTAGTGTCATTAAATGCAAAGCATAACCTTCACATCAACAGACAACACACTAATCATCATAGGAATGAGTTAAATTGTGTGTTCAACTTTTGAATCTTACCCAACCAGTTTGCCTATTGAACCTAGACCATGGGATCTCCAATCAACTAGGTTAGGTTTCCGTCAGGTTTGATTCATTGGATTGGCTTCAATCCCATTCCTCTCGATGTAAATTTGATTTGCTCTCTTGGTAGGCCTTTTGTCAAAGGATCTGCAATATTTTCCTTTGACTTCACATAGTCAATGGATATAATTCCATTTGAGAGCAATTGTCTAATTGTATTATGCCTACGCCTGATATGTCTTGACTTTCCATTGTATACACCACTCTTGGCTCTTGCTTGTGCTGCCATACTATCACAATGTATACAAATTGCTGTCACAGGCTTAGGCCACATTGGAATGTCCTCTAGGAAGTTTCTCAGCCATTCTGCTTCTTCAGCAGCTTTATCTAAGGCTACAAACTCTGATTCCATTGTAGAGCGTGCTATACACGTCTGTTTAGAGGATTTCCAAGATACTGCAGCTCCACCTAATGTAAATACATATCCACTAGTTGATTTGGTTTCTGTACTGTCAGAAATCCAATTTGCATCACTATAGCCTTCTAGAACTGGTGGATATCTAGTGTAGTGCAATCCATAGTCTTGGGTGTATTTCAAATATCTTAGCACCTTTATTAGTGCTTCCCAATGATCATGTCCAGGATTGCTTGTGTATCTACTAAGCCTGCTTACTGAATAAGCTAAGTCTGGCCTAGTAGAATTCATTAAATACATTAGGCTCCCAATTACTTGGGAATACTCCAATTGGGAAATTGCATCTCCACTATTCTTTTTAACTTGCAATTTACATCAAAAGGAGTCACAGCAGGTTTGCAGTCAAATTGACCAAACTTTCTTAGAATTTTTTCTGCATAATGGGATTGAGTAAGAATATACCCATCATTATTTCTTTTGATTTGAATTCCCAATATGACATCAGCTTGACCTAAGTCTTTCATGTCAAAACTTGAATTCAACATCTTCTTTGTAGAATTTATCGCATCCTTACTCGTTCCCATTATGAGCATGTCATCAACATATAAACATACAAGAACACAAGAATTCTTGTTGTTTTTTATGTAGACACACTTGTCACATTCATTGATCTTAAATCCGTGTGACATCATTGTATGATCAAACTTTTCATGCCATTGTTTTGGTGCTTGTTTAAGTCCATATAAAGACTTAAAAAGTTTACAGACTTTAGTTTCTTGACCTTTTACCACAAAACCTTCTGGTTGTTCCATGTATATTTCTTCATCTAATTCCCCATTCAAGAAAGCTGTTTTTACATCCATTTGATGTATGTCCATATTGTGTATTGCAGCTATAGCAATTAACATCCTTATAGATGTAATTCTTGATACTGGAGAATAAGTGTCGAAATAATCCAACCCTTCCTTTTGCCGATACCCTTTAGCAACTAAACGTGCCTTGTATTTATCAATAGTACCATCGGCTTTTAGCTTTCTTTTAAAAATCCATTTATATCCAATTGGTTTGTTACCAGGTGGTAAATCAACCAATTCCCACGTATGGTTCTGCATAATGGATTCTACTTCGCTATTAACAGCTTCCTTCCATAAAGGAGCCTCAGGTGAAGCCATAGCTTCCTTATAAGTTTGTGGTTCTTCTTCAGAAGAGTCACAACTGTTAGAAAACAGTTAATAAAACTAATCCGAATTAATAAAAATTATTAATTCGAAACCAAAAAATAATTTTAAATCTGAAAGTGCCCAAGGCCCATCTTTTTGACCATTAAATATTATATATTTTTATATAATATTCAAAGCCCAAATTGATTTTGAAGCCCAAATTGCTTCCACTTGGCCTACTTCCATTTACTAAGTGTGGCACTTCCACACTTATAAGGACCTCACTCTTTCTACTTTCTATCAATGTGGGACAAAGGTTCTTGAATTTAATTCAAACTTCCAACAAGCTACTGGTCCAAGGGGTTCTTCATTATTGAATTTGGAGAAGTTGGTTATGTTAGAATTCAGACTATGATCTGATTTGTAACTTGCATGCTACTAAATTCTACTGAATGAGCAAAGGTTTTTCAGAGAGATTTTTCAGAGTGAGAGAGAGCTTGAAGAAGGAGCTGAAGGGAAATTCTGTTCTCATTTCTCACGCACACACTGTGCACTCATTACAGCTGGAATAAGATATTGCAAATTACATCATCCAAATCTAGCCATCCATTCTTCTATTCTAAGATTAGATCTTAGCTGTCCACTTGGACTATAATCCAAGGGCTCACATTTAAATATGTAAATTTAAAACTAAATTCAAAATCATATCAGCTACAACACTTATATTTCAACACTCCCTTCTAAGTGTTTAGCTGAGATCACTCCAAGCTTTCTTCTCAGGTATTCAAACTGATCTCTTGCTAGAGCCTTAGTAAAGATGTTTGCAGTCTGCTCTTCAGTTTTGCAATACAGGAAATCAATCTCTCCATTTTGCAAAGCATCTCGGATGAAGTGAAACCTTATGTTTATATGCCTTGTCGTATGATGATGCACCGGATTCTTGGTTATGGCAATAGCAGAGGTATTATCACGTAGAATTGTAGTAGCACCCACCTGTTCTTCCCCAAAATATGAGAGAACAAAGCGCAACCAGATTGCTTGTGCAGTAGCTTCTGCTACACTAATGTACTCTGCCTCTGCTGTAGACAAAGCTACACTACTTTGCTTGACTGAAGCCCAAGAAAACACACCTGATCCAAGATTAAATGCACATCCAGAGGTACTTCTCATGTCATCCTCACTCCCTGACCAATCACTGTCACAGTAGCCAATGAGCCTTGCTTCTTTTCCTTTCTCATATGCTATGCCATAGTCAAATGTGCCTTGAATGTACCTCAGTACCCTTTTGGCTGTTCCCATATGTTTTCTAGTAGGTCCATGCATAATCTAGCCAAAAGACTTGCTGCAAGCATGATGTTTGGCCTTGTTGCAGTCAAGTACAACAAGCTTCCAACTATCTGCCTATAGATCGCTTCATCAGCTTGTTCACTCCCATTTTCCTTGGATAGCTTTTCATTCATTGCAAGAGGAGTAGCTACAGCTTTACAGTCCATGAAGCCGAATTTGTCTAGCAATGTCTTAGCATATTTCTTTTGGTGCAAGAAAATGTAAGACTCGGTTTGTATCACTCCTAACCCCAAGAAATTGTGAAGCAAACCAAGATTAGTCATTTCATATTTGCCTCATCATTTCAGTTTTGAACTCCATCATCAAGGCTTTTGAGCTTCCAGTGTAGATAATATCATCTACATATAAAGAAACAATAATAATACCACTTTCTGCAGCCTTTACATATAGTGTTGCCTCACTAGGACTTCTTTGGAAACCTGCCTTGGTGAAGTAAGAATTGATTTCTTCATACCAAGCTCTTGGAGCTTGTTTAAGTCCATAAAATGCCTTCTTGAGTCTATACACTCTGTCCTCTTTGTTCTTAACCATAAAACCAAGGGGTTGATCCACATACACTTCTTCATGCAACACTCCATTCAAAAATGCAGACTTCACATCTAACTGAAACAGTTTCCACCCCTTTTGTGTAGCCAATGCCACAAATGTTCTAATGTTATCCAACCTAGCCACAGGTGCAAACGTTTCATTGAAGTCTATCCCTGGCTTTTGAGAATAGCCCTTTGCCATTAGTCGAGCCTTGTTTTTCTGAACTGTACCATCCAAATTCAGCCTGGTTTTTTACACCCATTTGACACCAATTACTGGTTTATCACTTGGTTTATCAACCAACTCCCAAGTCTTATTCGTCTTTATCATTTCTATCTCATTCTCCATTGCTTTCTACCATGCTTCATCCTTAATAGCCTCTTTAAAAGTCTCAGGCTCGATAATACACAAGTTACATCTCGCATACACTTCTGCAATACTCTTGTATTTCAGAGGTGTGTGATCAACATCCTGTGATCCTGAGTCAGAATCAGCATGCCCCCCTTCTGAAGTCTCTTCTTGACTTAGGCTAGAATCATTCAGTTCCTCTTCTCTCTCAGTGAGTGTCTCATTAAGAGGTATTGAGATATCACATTCCTTTCGTGCACTCCAATCCCAAACAGCTGCCTCATTGAATATCACATCCCTAGAAACAATCATTTTCCTGATGCAATATTATATAATCTGTAGCCCTTTTCACAGCTGCCATATCCTAGAAATATGCATCTTGTACTAGCTAAGTCGAGCTTCTGCCTTTGTTGATTTGGAACATGTGCATAGCACAAAGAACCAAACACTCTTAAGTGCTTAACTCCTGGCTTTCTACCACTATAAGCTTCAAATGGAGTTTTCTTGTCTAAGGCCTTAGTTGGACATCTGTTCTGAACATCCACAGCAGTGTTTACTACCTCAGCCCAAAATTCTAGAGGCATCTTCTTCTCAATCATCATGCATTTAGCCATCTCCATAATTGTTCTGTTCTTTCGTTCTGCTACTCCGTTTTGTTGTGGTGAATATGCCACAATTAGCTGCCTTTCCATTCCCATGTCTTCACAAAACTTGTTGAATTCATTGGAAGTATATTCTCCCCCCTATCACTTCTTATTTTCTTCATTTTATATCCACTTTGCAGCTCAACAGTGGCTTTAAATTTCTTAAAGACATTAAGAACTTCTAATTTGTATCGCAAGAAATATATCCAACACATACGAGTACAATCGTCTATGAAGGTAAGAAAATACCTACTTCCAGCTTTGGTAACAGCCTACATTGGTCCACAGACATCTGTGTGTACCAACTCGAGTGGGATTGTGGCTCTGCTTGTTGTTTCTTTTGGAAAGGAATCTCTGCGATGCTTTCCAAAGGTACAACCCTCACACACTTCATTGACAGGCTTAATTTCTAGCAGTCCAAGTCCCATTCCCTGATCTTGCAGCAGCTTCAAACTGGTGAAGTTTAAGTGCCCCATTCTTCGATGCCAAATTAAGGATGACTCTACATTTGCTCTTAATGCAACCTATAAAGTTGTGTGAAGCTTCAAAGGAAAGCTTCTGTTGCCTTTCATTTGCACCTTAGTAACTAGATTTGATAGAGAACTATCATCATAAATTTCAGCCTTATTGGCACCAAAAATCAGAACATATCCATGCTCCATCATTTACCCTACACTGAGCAAATTCTCCTTGAGACCAGCAACTAACAGGACCTCTTTGACATACCTTCTTCCCAGCTTAGTGTCAACAACAAGATTTCCTTTTCCAACAACATCAACCAGTTGTCTTGTCCCCATTGCAACTTTCGCAGTTATATTCTTATCAACATCAACTAATACGTCTTCTCTGCTGCATACGCTATCCAAATACCATGTATCATCACATCCTTTTACACTAGTAAAGCCTTTATTACTAGCATAAAACATGGTTGGTGTGGATTCGGTCTGAGTAGCATAGTTGAGCTGTTGTGCTGGTTTCTTGTTGTAGCAATCTTTTGCAATATGCCCAAATTTATCACAATTGTAACATTTTGGTTTCCCCTTAAATCGACACTGACCAAAATGTAGTTTGCCTTTTGTCTACCAATTGTCTACCAATTGTTTACCAATTGTTTTGATCCTTAGAACCACTTTGACTTACACTATATTTTTCTGATTTGGGATTCACACTAAGACTAGCAAATGCTTTCTTAGTCTTATCTCCAGAGTGCCTATCTAGCCTTAATTCAAAACTCTTCAAAGAAGCTACCACTTCTTGTACCTCAATTTCATCCAAATCCTTAGAATGCTCAATAACAGAACAGATTGAATCATAAGCTGATGACAAACTGATTAGTAATTTTTGACCAATCCTTGCTCTAGCTAAATCCTCTCCATAGCTCCTCATTTGGTTTATCAGATCAAACAGTTTGGTAAGATAATCAGAAAAGGACTCATCATCTCTCATTCTTGTATATTCAAATTCTCTACGTAGACCTTGCAATTTAACACTTCTAACCTGTTTATCACCATGAAATTCCTTCATCAAGATGTCCCAAGCTCCCTTAGAGGTTTCTTCACGAGAAATTCGGGGGAAAATCTCATCAGACACTGCTCCTTGAATCAGACCTAGAGCTTTAGCGTCCTTCATGAGTAGCTCAGTGACAGTCATCTTCCCAGCACCACTTGATTCTTCCTTTTCTTTCTTCTTTGCATCAGATTCGCCAGCTCCCTTCGAATCTGAGCACTCTATTCCCTTCTCAACCAATTCACAAAGCCCATGAAATTTGAAAATGGTTTTCATTCTTATGCTCTAGAACTCATAGTTATCACCTCCAAAGATCGGTGCTCTTAACTCACCACCTCCAAACCCTGCCATGTTAGACCCAAATCTTCAAGAAACCAAGCTCTTCAAATCGCTTTTTCCCTTCACAAATTCAATCTCCCAGCTAAACAATCGAACCTAGCTCTGAGGTTTTTCAGAGAGATTTTTCAAAGTGAGAGAGAGCTTGAAGAAGGAGCTGAAGGGAAATTCTATTCTCATTTCTCACGCACACACTGTGCACTCATTACAGCTGGAATAAGATATTCCAAATTACATCATCCAAATCTAGCCATCCATTCTTCTATTCTAAGATTAGATCTTAGCTGTCCACTTGAACTATAATCCAAGGGCTCACATTTAGATCTGTAAATTTAAAACTAAATACAAAATCATATCAGCTAAATCACTTATATTTCAACAGGTTAAAGATGTACTGCTGCAGCCATCAAAACCCCAGTAGCTAGAGAGATAATCAACCCTGGTCCAGGGGGTTCTATGTTGTTATTTTCTCACACCTTAGCTTATGTTTTTTTTTCTTTTATTGTGGAATCAATTTTATTTTTTTCATTTTTTATCAAAGGCCGAGGGCTTTGAACTTTACAATTTGTTTTATAGAAAAGTAGTGTGTGCTCCCGTACTTACAAATCAGTGGCAAGTATTGCTATCAATTATCTTCGATGACCATAACCAATACATGGCCTCAAAACTTGAGCCCACTTTTCCCGATATTTTAAGCAGTTTGGTACAATAATTGTTTTGGCATTTGAGTTGTATTTTTTCTTCCTTGTTTAGTATATCGAAAGATCAAAAGGCATCTCTCAAAACAAAACAAAAAACAAAAGCTCAAAAGCCAATATATGAACGATGTTGTAACGAAAGTGGTGGAGCCCACATAAAGAAAAAAAGGAAATAATATTAAAAAAGCTTAATGATGATGTTGGAGGTTGTAGGGGACTTTTTCTTCCTGCAGCTAACGGGCTGGGCTGCTGCAAAAGGCAGACTGAGGAGATTGCCCCTTTTTGTTTAGGTTCGAAAATTAAGCCCCAAAATACCTCGAAAGGGCAGCAAAACCTTAGGAGATATTTTGGATAATCTTCACCAACGAGAATAATGGTGACTTGCAGATAATTTTGGCATGCTTACAGATGGTTTTTCAGCTCAAAATGAGTGGCATGAGGCATGGGGAGCAAAACCAACATGGGTTTAGCACTAAGAAAGAATTAGGCTTGGTTTATGAGAAATGAAAGTGTTTAAGTAAGGAATGATGTGTTTTGTGAGGCATTTGACTAGGGAAAGGGGAAAAAGAATGGCAGAGTTCTTCTGGCAACTGCCAGAAAAACAAATTGGAGAAGAAGATGAACAGTGCACGAGTTTGTTGAGTTTAAGATCGAGAGAAAGCTTGCTCTCTGCAGATTGTCGGTTGTTCCTGTTGGGTAGGATAAGGCTCAATTTATAGCTGCCGGAAATCACCATTTTTCAAGAAACCCTAATGGCTTCTACTTACTTTGGCTAAGCTTTTCTTCCTTTCTCCTCCCCTTCTCTGACTTCCCTTTCTTGGCAAAGATTGCTTCTGTCTATTTTCATGAATTCAGGGGATTTGGGGGCTCAACATCCTCTTTTCCCGCGGCTGTGCAGTGGGAGCTTCCACTCTTGATTTGCTGTTTTTTCTTCTTTCCTCTCCTCCGTTTTAACCAAATTTGCCAAAAGAAAGGTAGTGAAGATGCATACTGGTCCAAGGGATGCTTCTGACAACATGCGGGATAGTACTCATCGGTTTTTTGGATGTCTCTGGCTTGGGACTGGTTTCCAGCAGCTTTGCTTTAGGAGTCTGCCATCCTCTCTTCACGTGTCCTCTGTTTTCTCCAAAAGCTGAGGTTTTTTGTGGGTTGTTTTAGGATTTTTATATGGGCCAAGGTGATTTCCTAAGCAAAAGGGTTTTTACTAAACATCGGGCTTCTTAGTTTGGGCTTTATTTTGGTTGGGCTGTTTTGCTTGGGTATTGGGCTACTTTTCTCTCTTGTGCTTACCCACATGTTTGGGCCTAAGAAATGGGCTTGAGTCTCGAGGCTCCCAAGCAACCCGAGACTTTCCATTGCTCGGTCCATCAATGGGTTTCATGTTGATTTATCACCATCCATGCCACAACCCACTCAAGCAAGCCCCGGGTTTTTTGAGTGGCTTGGGCCCACCTAGGCTTGTAGCGTGGTTGGGTGCGAGATAACGGCATGGCATGTTGCTTGGCGTATTTTAATTTATCGCCCTTGGGAAGAATCTTAGCATGAATTAATCATATTTTTTATCGCAAATCATAGCATGATAATTTCTTTATTTAGCGCGGCATGTGGATTATAACTTGCATGCGATAGACCCTTTTTCCTTTCTTTTTCCTTATGGAATATTGTGTCAGGCTGATAATTGCTTGGGCCCAATCCATGGATTTTTTTTTGGGCCTCAACATTAGCCCCCTTAATTATAAGGGCCATGAACAGGTGCTGGAATGGGCCGAATAATTAAAATCCAACCCAAAAAATCAGATTTGTATTTGTATAGAACTCTTCTTCTTCCCACGTGCAAAATGACGGCGTGCCATGATTGGTCCCGGTGGTTATTTGCAGTTTCCAACGCCAACTGCCTTTCTCTTCTTATTTTATTATTTTCCTCCCTTTTCTTTCTCTTTTCTTGCACCAGACACCAATTTCTTCAATTTCTTTCTCTTTTCACGCTCCAGACCAAAACTTCCCTCTAGCTCTCCTCCCTTCGTTCTTCTTTGCTTCCTCACGAATTCAAATCTAATGAAAGAGTGAAGTCAGGCCAAAATTATTTACTTCCAGCCGCAGAGAAGAAGACCCAAGTCGGACTCAACCCCGTCGTTCCATCTTTGTTTCGTCCGTCGCTGCTGGAAGGGCCGTGGATTTTCAAATCTCCCATTCTCTTTTCTCCTTGGTGCGTTCAAGGTCATCTCTTTGGGATTCCTAACGAGGTATGCCTTTTCTTGTTTTCCCCAAGATCTATTTGGTGAAATTTTGGTTGGGTTTCTCATACCCGTGGGTGTTTCCCTTCTTTTGACAGTAAACCCCCTTTTGACCCTTTTTGTCATTGTAACAGCGTGGATGCCTATAGGGTGATAGCACGGGAGTTCATGCGCCATTCTTCTGAGACTTACTCCGCCTTTGATTTTCTAGGGCTGCCGGAAAGGTACCCTTTTTTTTTCTTTTTGTTGTGGGAAGGAACTGTTGGCTTAAGTTTTTCCCCCCCCCCCCCCCCCCCCCTCCCCCCCCCCTTCTTTCTTCTGTCTCTGTCACGGGTTCTTCTTTTGTGTAAGAAAAAGGTAATTCTTGGCATGACGTGCTTTTCCTTTGTTTATTTTTGTGTGCAGGTATATACATCTTGGGTATAGGTGAGGGTAGGTGCTGGAAACCCTTGACGTTTTGCTGCTGGAACCTTCAAACCCTTCAGTCTTCTAACTTAGATTTTGGTAAATAACTCTACCAACTTTGGGTATTTTAGAATATGTGTAGACTGATGCTTGGCCTAGGCTTTCTTTCCTTGAAGACGTATGTCTGATCAATTGTCACCTGTGGAGAACAAATTTTTTTTTTTGACAGAGTGGATGTTCCGTATTGCCTGGTTGAATATTTACTTTTCATTGGAGAAGGGACTTGCTTATCCTGCCACAGAGCAAAAACTCTTGTTTGCCATGAGCTTGAATTTTAAATTGCATGTTTACTCGGACGACCATAACCAGCCATGCTTGATACATATCTTATGTGCGCTAATTCCATCTTGCTTCTTCCCGCTTTTCTATATGCAGGTACCTATTATGGCATCCAGTAATCCACCATTTATCATAAGGGATCATCTTTACTCCGAAGATGACAGGTTGAAGAGAGGGAGACCCCCTCCTCTGCTTAAGGATGCCGACGAGGATATAACTATTGATGAAGAACCAGCGCCAGAAGCTACTCCAATGATCGACCCCGCATCTGTATCAAGGTGCTGCATAGAAAGGGGTCTGTTTCCGACAGTTCCTTTGTTCTTTCAATATCCCTGCAGCACCAGCAAGGGTTGGTCGGAGTGGGTTGACGATGAATTGAAGAACCCGTCTACCCGTGATATCCTAAGCCGGGCAGGTGTGTTGGAAGCCATCTTTGCTTTTAAGGCTTGCGACATCCATATTGAAGTCAAGACGCTTCGACACTTGGTCAGACGGTGGAGCAGCGAGACACACACTTTTATTTGTTCGTGGGGAGAGTTCACTCCCACGCTTGAGGATGTAGCCAATATTTTCCATCTCCCACTTTGCGGCAGCCAAGATCCTTTCCACATTGCATTAACCCCGGAAGATGGGCTAAAGCTTAAGACTTTACGGAATGGTGCTCCGACCTCTCCTAGTACCTCTCTAAGATTCAGTAATTGGATTCAGTTTTTTGGGAATAGTGACCGAGATGAGCCGTGTCGCCTTGCTGCGTTCGTGTCCTTGTGGCTCGGGAGGTTCCTCTTTTGTGATTTTTTTCAAGACTGCTTGCATGGGAGAGTGTTTCCGTTGGCTTTGGCAATAGCACGGGGTAGCATGATCCCTTTAGCCCCCATGTTCTTGGGGCACCTATATCGCTTGCTTGACCAGATTCAATTTCTTGAGAAGGGGGCGGCCGGAACCATGGCTATGGAGACTTTTGTAAACTCCAGTTTTCTGCAAATCTTTTTATGGGAACGCTTCAAAGGCTGAGTAACTGGTTGCTTCGGACGAGAATTCCTACATGCCGGGTAGTCTTCCTCTGATCTGTAGATGGTCCCGTCGCATGCAACGGAAGGGCCAAAACTTTTTAGAGCTGCTGGACGATGTTGAGCAATTTATTTTCCGTCCCTATTGTGCCTCATCAGAGGGCTTTAGAAGTATGCCCCTCTACGCTGACTCTGATGCTTTAATGGAGGCCTTGGCCATGCCAACACAAGGTTGTCGGTTACGTAGAGAGGCATTGTTGAGTGCCGCATGCCTCCCTTTGCCCACATTTGGTGATGACCACTTGGAGATTTCTGTGCATTATTCCCCTTACCGGGTTAGACGACAGCTTGGGTTTGACCAAGGCGTGCCCTCTCGTCCCAACCATGGAGGTTCCTTGACCTTGCACAGGGTTTTTTGGACTGGCGACGGTGTGCCGGGAGACGGCAGACCTCTTGCCCTTGCTCTGGCCAGCCGGCAGCGCGTTGGTAGTCTCTCAAAGGCCTACCAAAATTATTGGAACCGTTGCTTCGCCTCGTTTAGCCGATTCCATGCTGCCCATTGTGATAGACTGATTCCCACCATCATTCATCATGCCCGTTTAGTGTCGGAAGAGAAGCGGAATCTGCCTTTTATTTCCAAAAGCGGAGAGATTGTTGGTGACTTTTCGAAGCTAAAGCGGAAGTTAGAAAAGTCGGGTTCTCACAGCACCGGGAAAAGTGCTGTACATGGGAAACGGAAGCGAGAGGAAAGCTGCAGCGCCGAGAAAAGGCAAGCTGTAAAAGGGCCGAAAAGGTTCATCCCCAAGGTAGCAGCAAGTGGTCCTCCTAGCTCAAGAAAAGTTGCCTTGCCAGAGCCTTTGCAGCAGCAGCCTATAGCTTCCGGCAGTAGCGAGCGAGCAGCTCCAAGAGCTTCATCTCCTCACGGTAAGTATTGCCATTTGTTTGCTCTCTTTGTTTCCCGCTCTTTGCGTACATATAAGTATACCTTTTATCTTATTTTGCAGGTACTTCCCAAAGTAAAGGCAAGGGTAACGGGTTTTCCGTGACCCCAAAGCGTCGAAGCATGCGTATCCTTGAAACGCGGTTTGCTAATACCCGTAAGAATAAAGGTGAAGACTCGGGACCCAAAGTAGTGGTGACGGTTGATGATAATAGTGATGATGATAGCGATGACATTGGTGCTGCGGGGACTGAGATTAACATTCATGAGCAAGAGAGCGCTCCATCGGAGGCTGATTTTGCCCTTCCCACTACTGTCGCTGAAGCTGTCCCTAAGCCTTCCGGCAGTGCAACCTCCTCCTTCTCCTAAGCCATGTACTCCCGACATGGCTGCTGACGCCTCTCTGCCACTTCCAACAGTTCCTCCTCCTGTTTCTCCAATTCCGAACGCACCTGACATAGCTTTCGGCACCACTCCACTTCTTCCAGCAGTACATCCCCTTACTCTTCCGATCTCGAGCACCCCTGACATAACTTCCGGCACTGCTCCACTTCTTCCAGCAGTACATCCCTTTGCTGAGATTGTTGACAATAGTCATAAGAATGGTGATGCTTTTATCGCAGGTTCCTCAAAAGGGCATTCATTCGAGAAAGGCATGTCTTGGCAAGATTGGGAGAACTCCTACACGGCATTCAAAGCCTTTTTTGATGGTGGTGTCACCATTCTTAGATCCATTGATGAACTTCTTCTGCTTTGCCACAGATTCGATGGTTATGCGACATTCCAAGGTGCCCTCGACAAATACGGAAGTTTGATGGAAGCTACAGATGTCACCTCTTCTTTCTCAAGGTGTACTGCCCTTCGAGCCCTTGGCTTAGTACTTCATGGGATGGACACCATGCAACTCCTTGATATTACATATCACAAACTGCTCTGTTGGCGAGATGCAATATGTGAGGCCATGATTCTGGGCTTTCGCGTGGAATTTCTTCTTAAACTCGTGAAGAGTTTAGCACGTGCCATCTTTGGAGCACGGGCCATTCGTAGTATGCAATTATCGCATGACTCTGATGAAGTAAAAGCTGCTGCAGATGCCTTGAATATTAAACAACAGGAATTGGAGAACCAGCGCCGGGAAATGCATGCCCTCCTTCTTGCTAAGGGTATTTCTGTTGACAGCGTTGAGTGTGTGACGGAGGCAGCAGCCAGATTATCTCCTGGGGCTTCCTTTGTTCTTTTCGGACATTCCCCATAGCCTAAAGGTACTCAGCTCATCCATTATTTATTTTTTCTTTATCACGTTACATATTCCAGCAGCAACTGTTTTTGACACACATTTTCTTTTTATCTTTTGCAGATTGCCCATCCTTGGCTTAGTGACCATTTAACTTGGCTCATGATCCTGCTTTCCTTTGTGACTTAAGGGCGCGTGAACCTTCAGCATACATAGTTTTATTTTGCTTTGTTTGTAGCGTTGCTTTTTTTTTCTTTTGAGACTCTAACGACTACGTCGTTATGCCCTTGTAATTTTGATATTAAACTACTGAAGCTTGTATGAATTTCCGAATGCTTGAGGCATGTTGCATATTTCCTGTGTATATATGTATATGTACTCCTTTGTTGGCCAGAGTTGTCTTTATGGACTGCTTGAAATTTTCTGACAGGTTGGATATCATTGAAAACAGGGTATATGCTGTCGAAATTTTTTTTTAACAGAAGTAAAATTTTCGAAAGTTTCTTCTGCATGGCTTATCTGGATTCTAAGCTTGACAAAATAGCTTCCCACCTTTCCCAAAGGGTCAAGCCAATATGTGCATGATTTCTACTTGGGCTCTATAAAGCTTCCAGGCGTTGTATCGTGTTGTTCCAGCATCTCGAAATTGCATGTCTCTTTGCAACATGCATTATGCTATCTTTTTTTTTTTGCTTAAGCGTGATGCTTGGGGACCCCATCTAAGTGACTTTGCCCGGCATGTTTTACTACTAAGTAGCATGTTCATATATATATATATATATGTAGAGAAAATTTGATAAAGGGTTAATAATAGTAAAGTTTTTGGAGACACAATATATATATATATATATTTTTTCAAAATATTCCTTCATTCTCATTGCAAAAGCCCTTGCTACCATAATGGTGCATCATACAAAAGCGTCTTTTTTTCAAAACGTGAAAATAAGACAGAAGGAGTCTATTTTTTTTGACAGAGAGAAAATACAAAAGTACTAGGCATAAAGTTAACTTAGCAGTAGTAGAGCTTGAGCCACTTCCCATTGACGGGGTCTGTCAGCGTGCCTTCCTTGACAGAGACCAAGCAATAATAGCCGCTGCTGTGAACCTCTTTGACTGCAAACGGGCCTTCCCATTGTGGCGCAAACTTGGAAGGTCCCGACACCTGTCTTCTCACATGTTCCACAACTTTTAGCACGAGGTCTCCTTGCTTGAAGGCGCGAGGCTTGACTGTCCTGTTATAGGCTTGAGCTACAGTTTTGTGGTACAACGCTGTCCTCTTTTCGGCTACCGCTCTTTTTTCATCCAAAGCTTCAAGGTCCAGCAGGCGCCATTCCGAGCATGACTTTGTATCCCATTCGAGGTCGCTAACAGCTGCTGTTCTGGCAGTGGGGATGGTAATCTCTACTGGTGAAATGGCATCGGACCCGTACACAAGTGAATAGGGCGAGAAACCTGTGGCACTTCTTGAAGAGGTGCGGTAAGCCCATAAAGCATCCGGTAGGTGAACACTCCAACCTCCTTCATACTCATAAACCATTTTGCTTAGGATCCTCAATAAAGTCTTGTTTGTGGCTTCCGCTTGACCATTTCCTTGTGGATAATAAGGCGTGGAGCGACGATGCTTGATACCATAACCACTAAGTGTCGAGCTTACTTGCCTATTGACAAATGGGGTGCCATTGTCGGTGACAATCTTGTATGGGATCCCAAATCTACATACAATATTTTCACGGATGAAATTGGCAACGGCAGCTCTCGTGGCCTTCCGCAAGGGAACCGCTTCTACCCACTTTGTGAAATATTCCGTGGCCGTGAGGATCCATATGTAGCCGTCGGATGGTGAATGGATAGTCCAGATCAAATCAAGCCCCCAAGTATGAAAGGGCCAAGGAGTGCGCATGTCTTGCAGCAACGTGGGAGGCTTATGACTTAAGTTGGCATGAACTTGACATGTGTGACACCTCTTCACAAAGTCGTATGCATCATTCTTCATTGTAGGCCAATAATACCCAACACTCAGCAGCTGCCGGTAAAGCTTCTTCATTCCTTGGGGCTCACCACATTCTCCAGCATGAATCTCTTGCATGACTTGCTGTGCCTCTGACTTTCCCAAGCATTTTAATGGCTCACCATTAAACCCCTTACGGTAAAGAGTTGACCCATCTATGAAGTATCTTTTCATTGTCCTTTTGAGCTTGCGTGCATGCTTGGGATTGGTTGGCAAGACTCCGTTGATGAAGGATGCCAAGTATGGAGCCCTCCAATCCTCCGCAAACGAGACGGTGAATGATTCCTCGGTGGAGGGTATCTTTGCACACTTGGGACAATTGGCTTGTATTTCAGCTGCTTGTTTCCTCATTTCTGGCCAGTAATAACCCTTGCGCTGCAGGCGCCGGTACAAGCTAATTATTGGCTCCAAATTGCAAGTGACCTCATGTACCTCTTGAAGCTTCTCCTGTGCTTATGTTATCCCTATGCAGCGGGTCAAAATACCTCCCGGAAGGCGTCTGTACAGTTCCCCAAAGATGATCGCATAATCCTTCAATTCTTTGATGTCGTTTCCTTTGCCTATTTTTTCTTTCACAAGCTTCCTCCAGTCATCCTCTTCCAGCTGCTCCTCTTGAGCCATTGCTTCAACAACTGGCGTGTCCTTCTTGATTACTGCAATATTGGGTTGTTCTTCAATAAATGAGAGCCTCGACCCCAAAGTGGCCAACGCATCAGCATATCTATTAGTGACTCCCGGGATATGTTCCAACACAACCTGTTTGAAAGAACGAACAAGCCTTTCAGCAGCTGTACGATATGGTGCCAACGCTGGTTCCTTTACGGCGAAATTTCCTTGTAATTGACTCAGCACCAAGTTTGAATCCCCAATAATTTTAATTCTTTTGACACCCATTTCCCTTGTTGTAGACATCCCTGCAATAAAAGCTTCATACTCTGCCGTATTATTTGTGCATGGGAAATTTCGCTTAAACGAGAGGGCCCTGGCTTGCCCCTCGGGATTGACAAGCACCACACCTGCCCCTCCACCCTTCGATGTAGAAGACCCATCGAAGTAGAGGGTCCATGGTTCTGCCTCTGTGACTACAGCAACCATTTCCGGCAGCTCCCCCAGAACTTCCTTAGAGATTGTTGATTCTTCAACTTCGGGAAATAAAGCCAACATGTCAATCACGGCCTGCCCTTTGATGGCTTTTGAGGTGGTGCAGGTGATATCAAACTCGGACAGTTGTAGCAGCCAACGTGCAAGGCGTCCGGATAATACCGGCCTTGTAAGCAAATATCTTACGGGATCGGACTTCACCATGAGATGTAGCTTGTGAGCAAAGAAGTAATGCCGCAAGCGCTGTGCAGCATAGACAAGAGCAAGGCACAAGAGTTCAGTCTTCGGATATCTTACTTCGGCTCCCCTTAGTTGCCTACTTACGTAATAAATAGGACCTTATTCCCCACTGTGATCATCTTGAGCAAGTAAGGCCCCAACCGCTGTGTTTGTTGCAGCCAAATAAAGCTTGAGAGGAAGCCCCGGAATAGGTGCTTTCATAGTGGGCAGCTTGGTGATTATTTGTTGCACTTGCTTGTAAGCTTCTTGGCACTTCTTACTCCATTCATACGGCTTGTCTTTCTTGAGCAATGGAGTAAAAGCACTCATGGTGGCAGCAAGACCTGGGATAAAGCGCCGAATATACGATAATCTTCCCATAAAGCTTTTCAATTCTTTTGGGTTTTTAGGCGGTGCAAGAGAATTTATGGCTTAGTCTTTTCAGGATCCACGTCTATGCCACGCTGGTGTACTTGAAACCCCAAGAATTTACCGGATGAAACCCCGAACGCACACTTCTTTGGATTCATCTTCAAACCGTACAGCCGACACCTTTCCAGCACTCTCCTTAAAACTTCTTGATGGCCTTCTCTGGTTTTGGACTTCACCACAAGGTCATCCACATAATCTTCTACTTCTTTTCCCATCATGTCGTGAAATACCGCTGTCATGGCTCTTTGGTAGGTGGCGCCAGCATTTTTGAGGCCGAATGGCATGACCGTATAATAAAAATTCCCATATGGTGTTCGAAAGGCTGTCTTCTCAGCATCCTTGGGTGACATCTTGATCTTATTGTAACCACTAAACCCATCCATGAATGACAACAAGCCTTGACCCGAGGTCGAATCAATTAAGATATCCATGTTAGGCAGCGGGAACTCGTCCTTTGGGCAAGCTCGGTTGAGGTCTCGATAATCCGTGCATATTCTGATCACACCGGTTTTCTTTTTCACAGGGACAATATTTGCTAGCCACGTAGGATGCTTGATTGGCTTAATAAATCCGGCAGCTAACAACTTTTCAATTTCCACCTTGATTTGCTTCTCAACTTCAGGATGAAAATTCCTTTTTGGCTGCACGATAGGTTTTGTACCAAGCTCAATATTCAGAGTATGACTTACTAAGCTTGGGTTTAAGCCAGACATTTCCTCATAGCTCCAAGCGAACACATCTCGAAATTCCTTTAGCAAAGATACCAAGGCCGCCCTCTCCTCACTTGTTAAATGAACACTTATGGAAATGGGCCTCGGGGCAGAGGGATCCTCACTCAAATCAATTGTTTCCAGCTGCTCCGCTACTGCTGCCGATCCATCTTGCATGTGTCTGGGTGCTGCCATCGGTTCTTGGAAAGCACAAGGCATGGGTGCCTTGTTGTTGGAACTCCCACAGCTATTTGTTTGCATTACTTTCCCTCCATACTCGGGGCTTTCCCGTAAGACACGGTCAAGCCCCCAACCCCGTCATAAGCGGTACACGATACGTCCATCGGGCAGCGTCACCTTTGAGCATTGGGGATGATCATAGGCATGGTTGTTAACTTCCGAGTGCCTCTTTCTCTCTCGATCAACAATGGTGATGAGCTCCTCATTGCTTAAATCACGAATTTCAGTCCATGAAGGAAGGTAGGTCCCGAAATCCTTGGATGGATTGCTTCCAGCACCTGTGCATTCAGTGTAGAATTCCGCCTCAGAGTAGTGAGCTTCATCTTTGTTGAACGGTGCTTGGTTTCCAGGTATGCGTAGCGGCCTCAGCCCAATCCTTCCTTTTACGCATTGATGATAGGTAGAGACCACAAGCTTATGCTTGTTGAGCCATGGCCTTCCAAGCAAAGCATGGTAAGCCACATCCACATCCACAACATAGAACTTAGTAAGTGACCGAATTGGCCCAACCTTCAAATTTACCTGTAGATGCCCGACCGTGACTTCACTCTTATTCCCGAAACCAATGATGTTTGTTTGTGATTGAACAATTTTGGACAATGGGATACCAGCTGCCATAAGCACAGACAGAGGTAATATGTTGACAGAGGAACCCGTGTCTACCAAAGCTCTCCTTATGAACACATCATTGATTTGTCCCTCCAAGTAAAGCGGCCTCTTATGGTCCGGGTATGGATTTTCCATGTCTTCGTCCGTGAAGACAATAGCATTGTTGTTTCCGAAGAATGACCCTTGTGGTTGAGTTGTAAAGTATTGAGAGTTAGACTCCTCAGAGATATTCATCAGAGCTACAGCGGCTGCTTCTCTTGCTTGAGGCCCGAAGCCAAGTTGGTCAAAGAGTGATTTGAACTTTGGGTTCCTTTGAAGGACCTGTGAAGCTGTGGGCCCCTGTTTCATGCTTAAATAACGTTCCATCACACTTGTTTCAGCTTCCGTGATATTATGAAATGTCACAGCAGCTGCTTCATGCTGCTCCGATAAAGCCCCGGGGTAGCGTTCTTCCGGCATGTCCAAAACAAAAATTTCGCTGCCTGAGTTGTCACCCCATCCATCAGCGAGTGGCCATGGTGTGTTGTAACTTGAAGGCCTCGAATATTTACACCAATATGCCTTTTCCATGTTTCCGCAAGGTTCCCATATAGCTTCTGGCGGCTTTGGGTCATTCCTCCAAGGGTGACACAATTCATCATCATCAAGCAAATCATCAGAGCATGTAATGACAGCGGCTACCTCCTTTCCCCTTCGTTTTGGCAAGGGGTCTTCATCAATCGTTTGCTTCCTAGAGGGAAGTTCAAGGACTCCCTCATGTATTTTGGCGTGTAAAATCCTTCTCAGACTCTAACAGGCAGTGGTTGGATGCCCCACAAATTGATGATAACGGCAGTACCTAGGATCATTCTTTTCCTCTCGAGTAGGAACTTTGTAGGGTCTGACAGGTTTGATTACGCCATCAGCAATCACTGTGTCAAGGATAGCATGAAATTCTTCATCTTTGCATGGTAGTGGTGGATACGTCTCTCTATCCTTCCGTTTGCGTGAATTGTAGTCGTTGGATGGCTTGTCATCTATTGCTAATGTCTGATGTGCTTCCTTCTTCTCATTCCTCCAAGTCCTTTGTCCTGGTGGCTTGACGGACATGCTCGTCTTCCTCACAGCTTCCAACAGCCGAGAAAATTGACTAATGCCAATATTCTCCAAATACACTCTATAATCTGCCACGATATTGCTGATGCAGATTTCAACAAGCGCCTCCTCATCTTTCTCATCATAGCAATCCAATGCCAGGTCCCGGAACCTACGTACAAAGTCCACGGGATCCTCACCATGCTTTTGGCGAGTGTTGTTGAGTTGAGTGGTGGTGACTCGTTCTTCATGCTGGAAATACTTCTTACAGAACCTGCTTGCCAAGCTTTCCCAGGAATGAATAGAGCCTGGTGCCAACGTTGTATACCATGTGTAAGCACAATCGGTGAGACTCTTTGAAAATTCTCTAAGTCGAAGATTATGATCACCAGCATATGGTCCCAAGGCATCGATGAAGCGATTGACATGCTCTTTCGGGCTCCCCTTTCGTCCATCAAAGAGGACAAAGGTCGGTGCTTCATAGCCTTTAGGATATGGCTGCTGGAGTAAGCTTGATGGATACGGCGGCTGAGGAAGATACTTCCAATCTTCCTGACTTCGACTCAGCTCCTTTTCCAGCATGGCAACAACGTCCTCCTGGGTGACAAAAGATGGTCCCTTCTGCTCAGACTCCTTTCCGGCAGCAGCAGATTCCTCCTGTGGGTGCTTCTCATTCACTTCACTTGGCTTTGGAGCCGATTTTTGAGTTCTTTTATCATCTCTGCCATCTCCCTCTGGGTCTCACCCATAGCACGAATGGCTGCAACAAGATCTGTGAGGGTAAAAGTTCCCTCACTTGCACGTTCTTCTTCTCTAGAATAGGCATGTTGCCTTGACTCTGAGTCAGCATGGCTTGGCCCATCCTGGGAAGTTATGTTGTTGCTTCTGGTCTTCTTTCTTGGAGGCATTGATGAAGATAATGGCTTAATCCCCAGCAGAGTCGCCAATTTATGTAGGGGACTTTTTCTTCCTGCAGCTAACGGGCTGGGCTGCTGCAAAAGGCAGACTGAGGAGATTGCCCCTTTCTGTTTAGGTTCGAAAATTAAGCCCCAAAATACCTCGAAAGGACAGCAAAACCTTAGGAGATATTTTGGATAATCTTCACCAACGAGAATAATGGTGACTTGCAGATAGTTTTGGCATGCTTACAGATGGTTTTTCAGCTCAGCATGAGTGGCATGAGGCATGGGGAGCAAAACCAACATGGGTTTTGCACTAAGAAAGAAATTAGGCTTGGTTTATGAGAAATGAAAGTGTTTAAGTAAGGAATGAGGTGTTTTGTGAGGCATTTGACTAGGGAAAGGGGAAAAAGAATGGCAGAGTTCTTCTGGCAGCTGCCAGAAAAACAAATTGGAGAAGAAGATGAACAGTGCACGAGTTTGTTGAGTTTAAGATAGAGAGAAAGCTTGCTCTCTGCAGATTGTCGGTTGTTCCTGTTGGGTAGGGGAAGGCTCAATTTATAGCTGCCGGAAATCACCATTTTTCAAGAAACCCTAATGGCTTCTACTTACTTTGGCTAAGCTTTTCTTCCTTTCTCCTCCCTTTCTCTGACTTCCCTTTCTTGGCAAAGATTGCTTCTGTCGATTTTCATGAATTCAGGGGATTTTGGGGCTCAACATCCTCTTTTCCCGCGGCTGTGCAGTGGGAGCTTCCACTCTTGGTTTGCTGTTTTTTCTTCTTTCCTCTCCTCCGTTTTAACCAAATTTGCCAAAAGAAAGGTAGTGAAGATGCATACTGGTCCAAGGGATGCTTCTGACAACATACGGGATAGTACTCATCGGTTCTTTGGATGTCTCTGGCTTGGGACTGGTTTCCAGCAGCTTTGCTTTAGGAGTCTACCATCCTCTCTTCACGTGTCCTCTGTTTTCTCCAAAAGCTGAGGTTTTTTGTTGGCTGTTTTAGGATTTTTATATAGGCCAAGGTGATTTCCTAAGCAAAAGGGTTTTTACTAAACATCGGGCTTCTTAGTTTGGGCTTTATTTTGGTTGGGCTGTTTTGCTTGGGTATTGGGCTACTTTTCTCTCTTGTGCTTACCCACATGTTTGGGCCTAAGAAATGGGCTTGAGTCTCGAGGCTCCCAAGCAACCCGAGACTTTCCATTTCTCGGTCCATCAATGGGTCTCATGTTGATTTATCACAATCCATGCCACAACCCACTCAAGCAAGCCCTGGGTTTTTTGATTGGCTTGGGCCCACCTAGGCTTGTAGCGTGGTTGGGTGCGAGATAACGGCATGGCATGTTGCTTGGCGTATTTTAATTTATCGCCCTTGGGAAGAATCTTAGCATGAATTAATCATATTTTTATCGCGAATCATAGCATGATAATTTCTTTATTTAGCGCGGCATGTGGATTATAACTTGCATGCGATAGACCCTTTTTCCTTTCTTTTCCTTATGGAATATTGTGTCGGGCTGATAATTGCTTGGGCCCAATCCATGGATTTTTTTTTTGGGCCTCAACAGAGGTTAATAATGATGTTGGAGCTTAATGATGATGTTGGAAGCCATCTAATTTGCCCATAAATAGACTTCCCATTGCTTAGCAAAACACACTAACGGAGAAGAGAGGAAATAAAGGAAGAGAAGAAAGGAAGAGTGAGAAGAAAGAAGAGAAAATGTGAAATCTAAGTGTTAGTGAGTTCTATCTGAGAGAATTCTGTCAATGTAAATACCAGAAGAGAAAATATAATTCTACTTTCAATATTCAGTGGTACTTTTCATACTCTGATTATTTTATTTTTATAACAAACGAAGACTTGATTAGGATACTTGTTGTAGTTTGAAAGCAAATGAAGTCTTTTTGTCGCACAATGAAAGTTCATAGTTTTGCAAAAGTCTTTAACAAAACATGCTCGAGCAAGTTTTCTCTAATAGAAAGTGATTGTGCGGGTTATTTCTAACGCAAAGCACTCAAGCGGGTTTTCTCTAACAAAAAGTACTCGAGCGGATTTTATCTGAGAGTTGGGCCCCAAAAATAATTTTATTATTATTATTTTTTGCACAGTAGAACATGTTTATTTTATCATTTCAATTTGAATTTAAATTAGAACAGGTTTCTAACTGTTGTTTTTGAAGCCGCAAACAGTATTATATATACCCAATATCCAACCATAAACTTATTTTTCAATAACAAACAAATAAAACTTCATATTTTTCTTACATTCTGTATGGAGAAGAAGCACATCTAAGTTCGCCAGAGATCAATGATCCGATGGATCCTTGATTTATAGATAGTTGAATCCTTAGAGATAGACACTGTGGGAGCAAATATTTTCGCCTCCAATCACAGCACGCCACATGGAAAAGAAGATTATCTCTTAAATTAATTAATTGAACCAGTTTATCTAGCCAATTAATTAATAGGATATTATCTTTATTTAATAAGATAATAGCATTAATTTGGATATTATCCTAATAAAGAGAAGATAATATCGTTAATTAAGATATTATCCTAATAAAGAGAAGAAAATATCACTAAATCAGATATTATCTTCAATAAAGAGATTTAATCAAGTCCGACTCGATCCCTACGAATTTGGGTAGAGAATAAACTCGTCATATTCTCTACGAAACCCTAGCCCGGAGGCTCCTATAAATAGACGACTTCATTCATCATTCAAGGTACATCTAAACCTACTCCTACTACTCGAGAAAAATACCTGAAGCTCTCTCTCCCTCTCCACTCTCCACTCTCCACTCTCCACTCTCCATATTTTCTCCACACGGCTCCAGCCACTACACATGGCTCCGGCCGCCCGGTTCACACCATACATAAATTTCGTACCCTTTGCTTAGCTATTGTTTTCCTACAAACACTCGAACTAACTTAGGCATCGAAGGGCCTTTGGCCAGCACCCCCGGGCGTGGTCTATTTACTCCAATCTTTTTTCCATGAATCGAGGAAGAGAGATAAGAAAGATCGAAGGTTGAAGGATCTAGAAGCGAATATTCTCCCACGAGATTATTTGCACAAATAGACATCCAGTGAATTGTACTTCAAGCACTGAAAATGGGTGAAATTTTGTCTTTAGGACATTGCCAATATGCAAGCCTCTACCATAAATTAAAGTCAATGTCCTCTTATTGTACTGTATTAGTTCATTCATGCAGTTTGTATTATTATTATTTGTTTTATATAAATATTGTTCATTGCATTAATATATTGATCTTAAGCATATAAATCATTTACTTATTGTTCCTAACAATCTATTGACAAAATTCATTTAGGGTTTGAGTGAAAACTTCTGGAGATTGTTGATATATGTTTTATTTTTGCAACTTAAATTATTAATTAGCATATATGATTTTTGGTGTCTTGTATTTCTTGTTAGGATATCATGTCGCATGATGATAATAGACCGGTAAAGAGAGGAAAAAACTATTTATTCATTCATCAAAAAAAGTGGTAATGATAACAAGGATACACCTTCTGCATCTAATGTTGATACTTCAATCCTGAGGAACTTATTGAACTCGGATCTTAAGAAGTTGAACTTAAAGAGTTTGATATTGCTTCTTTAGAATGAGATCTAAGAAAACACATTCCAATTTGTGAACACCCAATCAATCAACGTGATGAGATTAGAAGGTCTCATATCAAGTTGGGGCCTTATCAACCTAAATTTTTTGAGTATCCAAGGACTTTGTTCGGGCAACAAAGACGTCATTTTCAATATTATTGGCTTTCACAATTTTCATGGTTAGAGTATTCTCCTTCAATAGATAAGGCATATTGTTTTACCATGCTTTGTCTTTGAAAAAAATTCAGCTAGTGGGTCTGCACTAATTACTGATTGGTTCAGTAATTGGAAAAGAGTTAATGATGGAAAGAATTGTGCATTTTGCTTCATGTTGGATGTCCATCTTCACCACATAATAATTGTGTTAGATGTGCTCAAGACTTAATGAAATCATCTGAGAATATTAAGAAAGTTATTCATAAACAACCGAAAGATCAAATTTTGAAGAACTGGCTATGACTCAAGGCAACAATTGAGAGTGTTCGATTGCTTACATTTCAAGCATGTGCTTTTAGAGGTCATGATGAATCCATAGACTCAATGAATCATGGCAATTTCATTGAATTGATAAAATATACAGAACAATGAAATGATAAAGTTGCTGAAGTTGTTTTAGAGAATGCCCCGAGAAATGCTAAATATACCGCACTATCGATTCAAAAGCAAGTTTTACGTATTCTTGCTGAAAAAGTGAGAAACAAAATTAGTGATGAAGTTGGGGTATCAACTTATTGTATTCTTGTTGATGAAACAAAAGATGCATCTAATAGAGAGCAAATGACCATTGTTTTAAGATTTGTTGATAAGGAAGGTTTTGTAAGAGAACGCTTTTTTGAGAATGTGAGGGTTGAAGATACTAGTTCGTTGACACTTAAAAAACAGTTATCTCGGGTTCTTATAAATTATGATTTCCAAATTCATAAAATGTGAGATCAATGATATGATGGTGCTAGTAACATGCGAGGTGCATGGAATGGACTACAAATATTATTTCTTAGAGATTGCCCATATGCATATTATGTGCATTGCAGCATTAAAAGATGTGGCTCCTAGTTGGCTATTCTTTTCAATACTGAATTCCATTATCAATCTTATTACTGCTTCTCCCAAGTGCCATGGTGAGTTACAATCTACCTAAGTAATTGATATTGCACATATGGGCACTGGTGAATGTGAGATAGGTGGAAGGCTTAATCAGATTGGTACCTTGCATCGGCCTAGAGCTGCTCGTTGGGCCTCTCATTATGATTCTTGTTTAGATTTATTAAATATGTTTAATGCATCTTATACAATTGTTGAGACCTTAATTAAGGATGGAGCCATTAATTCTATATGAGCGGAAGCAATTGGTACGTTCAAAGCAATGACATCTTACGAGTTCATGTTC